CTCTGCTTGCTCTGCTTGCTCTGCTTGCTCTGCTTGCTCTGCTTGCTCTGCTTGCTCTGCTTGCTCTGCTTGCTCTGCTTGCTCTGCTCTGATAACTCTTATCGTCCCAGATCAACGAGAGCACCTTTACTCTGCTTCCTCTGCTCGCTTACCCCTACAGATCAGACAGAGAACGTCACGTGACTCTAATCACTTGATCCTTGGGTTCCTGATTCCCTTCCAGTCCGTTCTTCTTATATCCCTTATAGGTTTGTGTGCGGTTCTGGTTGCGTGGTTCGTAACAACAAAGAGCACAGTTATAGTTAACTTAATATAGTACTTCCCTAAACTTATATAGTTATTATAGGGGAGCGCTACTCGTACACCCCCTTTTCACTACACGTACACCCCCTAATCGCTACACGTACACCCCCCTCCTCTTGGCGCTTCACCACCTTCTAATTGGCTCGGAGAGCCCGGACCTTCCTCCAGGCATTCACCTTTACGTCTCTCTACACGTGATGCTATATACGAGGCCGTACGTGATGCTATACGCGAGGCCGTACGTGATGCTACACACGAGGCCGTACGTGAGCTCGTACGTGAGGCTATACATGAGCTCGTACGTGAGCTTGTACGTGAGCTCGTACGTGAGGCTATACATGAGCTCTGTCACGGTGACGATGTATCGGGCATTTGAACGCGAGATAGACAAGTATCAGATTCAAAGGATAACTACGTGCTATTACCGTGGTTGGTTACAAGACGTCAAGATGCCGAATTGAATTAGGGACGGGAGCCAGGCTATATACAGGACGAGAAAAGGGGCTCGCACATAGCGCGTGGCCCTAACAGAATCGGGAATCAGGTGGCAGGCGCGTGGCGCACGCGTGCGCACGTATGCGGCAACAAGGTGTCAGGGGATTGATGCTTAGAGGGAGGCCATGATCAATACCGTGACAAGCTCGTACGTGAGCTCGTACATAAGGCTATACAAATTGGCATTATGTGATTGCTTGTGTTGTACATGGCCGCATTTGGAGAGAGCATTCGGAATTAGTGAGCGAGTTAAGCGAGCGAATCGGAGGCTACGGAACAGTGTTCCGAGCCAATTAGAAGGTGGTGAAGCGCCAAGAGGGGGGGGTGTACGTGTAGTGAAAAGGGGGTGTACGTGTAGTGAAAAGGGGGTGTACGAGTAGCGCTCCCCTTATTGTATTCTTAATACCTTAAGAGTTTATCTCTTAACTTATATAACTTTTTTTAGACTTTTAACTTAAATAGTAGTAGTATTAGAGGAGAGTGCACGGTAGGGGGCTTATAGATAGAATTGATGATAATAGTGTATTAAGAAACGAATCCTTAAGGAAACCCGGAGGGGGCTCCGCGAAGGATGCATATGTGCTTCCGTAAGGCGAACACGTAAGGGCACTAGGCCCGAACGGAGTTCGCATGCGAATAGCATGCTATACGTAGGTCTATATACTGTATAGGCGCTCTAGCACCTTATAGCGAACTTTGCTTCTTTTTACCCCTTATTCTGTAGCTACCGCTGTATATATAGCTTTGCTAGCAGTAAGTTGAGTTAGGGTTCTGATAGCAAATTTTGTATGGGGGTGTTTGTCGCTATGAATCCGCTTCATTTTCTGTACGGCTACATCTGATAACGTTATTGCCTCGTCTAGCTGGCCTTGGTCTCCAAGCGTCTTTGCAAGGTTGCTCATTTCTAAGATTGTGTCTGGATGTTCTTCGCCGCCTCGTCTAGCTGGCCTTGGTCTCCGAGCGTCTGTGCAAGGTTGCTCATTACTAAGATTGTGTGTGGATGTTCCTCGCCGAGAATACGCCTCATCTTCTCGAACACCTCCTTGAACATCTTCGCCGCCTCGACCAGCTGGCCTTGATCTTCAAGCGTGGACGCAAGGTTGCTCATCGCCGACATTGTGGAAGGATGTTCCTCGCCGAGGATGCGCCTCCTCTTCTCAAACACCTCCTTCTTTATCTTCGCCGCCTCATCTAGCTGGCCTTGGTCTCCGAGCGTCTTTGCAAGGTTACTCATTGCTAAGATCGTGTCTAAGTGTTCCTCACCGAGGATGCGCCTCCTATTTTCGAGTACCTCCTTCTTCATCTTCGCCGCCTCGTCCAGCTGGCCTTGGTCTCCGAGCGTGACTGCGAGGTTGTTCATCGCCGAGATTGTGGAAGGATGTTCCTCACCGAGAATACGCCTCATCTTCTCTAGCACCTCCTTCTGCATCTTCGCCGCCTCAACCCGCTGGCCTTGGTCTTCAAGCGTGGACGCAAGGTTGCTCATCGCCGACATTGTATATGAATGTTCCTCACCGAGGATGCGCCTCATCTTCTCGAACACCTCCTTCTTCATCTTCGCCGCCTCGTCCAGCTGGCCTTGGTCTCCGAGCGTGACTGCGAGGTTACCTATTGCTGAGATCGTGTCTAGATGTTCTTCGCCAAGGATGCGCATCCTCTTTTCTAGTACCTCCTTCTTTATCTTCGCCGCCTCGTCCACCTGGCCTTGGTCTCCGAGCGTCTGTGCAAGGTTACTCATTACCAAGATCGTGTCTGGGTGTTCCTCGCCGAGGATGCGCCTCCTCTTCTCAAGCACCTCCTTCTTCATCTTCGCCGCCTCGTCCAGCTGGCCTTGGTATCCGAGCGTGACTGCGAGGTTGTACATCGCCGAGATGGTGTCTGGATGTTCCTCGCCAAGGAGTCGACGCTTCTCATTCCATATAAACTCCTGAATTACACGTCCTTCCGGCAACCGCCCAATATTAGCAATAAATACCCCTGCTAATACTAGTTCGTTAAGCGTGCCATCTGCTGCTTGATCCCATGCGCGTCCGGTACCGCCAAGCATCGCGAAGTTCGCCATTACATGCGGCACCAGCCGGAGCTTCTCTTCTGGCGTATTCCCGCAGCCATTGATTGCTTTCACAACAAGCTTAAAAGTGGTGACACTGAACCTGTGTTGCTCATCTTCCGTGAGCCTGTCGTAGCCCCAAGCGTGTACCAGCTTGTGCATTGCGTAGCTTTGTTGATCCTCTTTCCATTGCACAAACGAATATCTCTGCAACATCTCAAAGCACCCCTCTAGCTTGTAGATATCCTCCGTCGGCGTAGAAGAGACTTCAATAGCACTACCTGTCGATCTCGTACTTTCTAGTTGCCTGCTAGTCCCAAACAGCTGCAGAAAAATATCATCGAAGCTGAAAAATGACAACATGGTCATAAGTGTTGACGCCTCGGAACTCTGCTCGTGAATAGCGTGGTATGACGTTTCCCATGTAGTAAGCACACTCTCGCTGTACTGATGGATGAGACTCTCGGGTTTTCGCTTTAGTAGTTCGCGCCGGCGCTGTCTGTATTCCGGGAGGTATGCCTTAACATCCGACTGTAGCCGCGGAGTTCTCCCTACATATGTGGAAGCAAGAGTGACCGCTAGCGCCAGATACCCGAGCTCTTTGACAATAGCCCTGACTTCATGTTCGATGTCTTGATTATCACGCCGTAGCCGAGAGTACTTGTAGAACAGCTCCGCAGCCTGGGCCTCCTCCATATCACCAACCTGCACCCCTTCTAGTCGTGTCATGTCCTTTGCCGTACTGCTCCGGCTTGTAACGATAATATGTAGTGATGCCACGTCAGGAATAAAGCGCTTGATGTCAATGTATTCGGTGACCTCTTCGTTCTCGATTATGTCGGCGCCATCAAACACTATCAGCCACGGCCCTCGCTGACTAGAAAACCAGCTCTTCACTCCTATCACAGCACTGTCAACACTAACTGTCTCTTGCCCAGCGACCATCTGCACGCCAAACAGCGTCTGATAGAGGTTGACAAAGTCTCGCTCGAGCGACTCCTTCCGTCCGGCCTCGATCCAGAACGTTGCCTTGTAGTCGGTGCGGTACTGTCGCACGTAGTCTAGCACCAGCTGTGTTTTCCCAGCGCCGCCGAGTCCCCAGACGACAAGCGTCTTCGTGTTTGTGTCTGCAGCATCGTCGCACAGCTGTGTCTTAATCTCGTCGCGTAGGAAGGCTCGCGGAACGTATGCCTTCACCGGTTCAAGCGAGGAGTGGGAGAACTGGCCAGCAAAGTCGGGCCGTGCTGTGGAATCTGATCGTCGTTAGTATTGAAACCAGGACAGCAGCCGGCATAAGCTCACTGATAGTAACTCCACTAAAGTTGCCTTGGAAGACTGAACCGCCCGTCACCTGCGTAGTTCCGAAGCGTGATCCTTCTTGGTGGATGTGCGCCGCGCCAGATCGCAAGCCTGGTCGCACTGGCAAATCCATGGCGAAAGGTATGGATCGTCGTGGATACTCCGATGGAGGACACCACGATCACTCTCCGCAATCTTCAGCTGTTACGCCGGTAAGGCGTTCCTTCACAATTCTCGCAATGGCTACACCACAACAACATAAACTCCTACACAAAGAGGGCAGATTAGCTCTTGCTTTCCAGGCATACAAAATGGGCCAAGTAAAAACCCTCGAGACAGCTGCGAAGCTATTCGACGTTGCCCCAAATACACTACGGCGACGCGATGCCGGTATTCAACCTCAACGCGGTCACAACGCGCCAAATCGCCGTCTTACACCAGCACAAGAAGAGAGCCTTAAGCAGTGGATTCTATCAAGAGATCAACGCGGTATGCCGCCACGAATTGAGGTTGTACGGCAGATGGCTGCATTATTAGCTGCGCAGCGTGGACCCGCCAAACCCATCGGCATAAATTGGGTGTCAACCTTTCTAAAGCGCCACAACGATCTACAATCCAAATTCAATTGCAAGTACGATTATCAACGGGCCAAATGCGAAGATCCAGTTATTATTCGAGGCTGGTATAAGCGTGTACATGATACAAAGATGCAATACGGAATTCAGGATGATGATACCTGGAACTTTGATGAGACTGGCTTCCAAATGGGTGTTATCGCAACAGCTGCAAAAGTTGTTACCGGAACAGATCGAGCCGGCCGTCCAAGAACAATACAACCAGGCAATCGAGAATAGCCTCATGCATAGCCTCACGTACGAGCTCACGTACAAGCTTACATACGAGCTCACGTACAAGCTCACGTGCAAGCTCACGTACGGCCTCGCGTATAGCATCACGTGCAGAGAGATGTAAAGGTGAATGCCCGGAGGAAGCTCCACGCTGCTCTGAGCCAATTAGAAGGTTGTGAAGCGCCAAGAGGGGGAGGGGGGGTTGTGCGCGGAGTGATTAGGGGGTGTGCGTTCATCCCTCCCCCAATTCTATATTAAATCCAATCAATCTGCTCTCTAGTTAAGCCTGCCGCCCGTTTACCAACCACACTGCTCACCATGGACCAGAAAAACAAAGCCCGGCTCAAACACCTGAGCAAAACCACCATCCCCCGCTATCTCTTCCGCGGCTGGTGCGCTCTATCCGGCGGCGGTGCAGCCGGCCTGAACACCGTAGACGGCGTCTGCCCACACGCCTTCAACCGTGGCCGCGGCCACAAAAACGTGTACAACTTGACCTACGACCAGCTCCATACCATGGCCGTATCCCATTACGGGGGCGGCTTGCTCCCAGAGACCGAGCTCAGCTCCTGGGCCGCGAGCATCAGCGTCGCGCTCTCCTACGCCCGTCGCGAACCAAGCAGCCACCTGGCCATCCTCGACACCAAGGTCCTCGGGAGCAGCGTTAAGGTGTGGCACGCGCCGCAGCTGCTCGACTGGGGGCCCCACGAGTACCTCGCCCACGGCCCCATTGGCGGAGACGGGTACAAAGCTGTGCCGGTGACGGCGCTCGAGGCCGCCGGGCTGAGGGCGCTGGGGGAGGACCCTAAGGAGTATGAATACCTGCTGCGTGACGAGCAGGCAGGGCGTCATTCGCCGCCGGCGAAGCTGGAAGTGAGCGGCCCAGATGTGATCTTCGGAGCGTGCAAACAGGTCGCAGAGCTCTATGGTCGGGCATTCGCGATGCCAGTGGCGCTAGCGCTTCTGGCGTGGGTTCCGCGGGATTGGTATTGCTACGACGAGCCATCTGCGGAGGATAAGGCTGTCATTACGCGGGGGCTGACGCCGCTGGCGACGCCGCAGGATTGGACGGAGAGCGTGGCGATCTTGGTGGATGATAGAGTCGACACCGGGGGGTATTTGGACGTTAGGCGGCTTATGAAGCTGATGCAGGTGCTGGCGGACAGAAATCATGGCAAGGGGGTGAGGCAGAGAGAAATGAGGGAGAGAAAGAGGGCGTTGGGAGAGGCGGAGAGGAATAGAGAGCAGGTGGAGAATCTGAGGGAGGGAGCCCATAACCAGAAGCCGAATTTGGAGGGCAAAGGGGGCAAAGGAGTGAAGCATGAGGGTGAGAGGGGATCCGGCAGAACCAGGGCTGGTAACGGAAGTTTGAGGGGACAGAGGAGAGTGGAGAAAGGTGATGAAAAGAAGGACGAGGAGAGCAACGTCGCAAACGGGGGTTGCAATGGAGTTTCTAAGCCATCGGGAGAAGGGAAGAAGGACGAAGCGAAGAGAAACGCTAATCCAGAGCCAAAGGCGAAAGCGAAGAATAACGCCCTAAAGGAAATAGACAGAAACGCGGCACGCAAGAAAGACCCAGAGACACCCAAAAAAGCGAAAAACGACAAGCAGGCAAGGGACAAGCAGGCAAGGGACAAGACAGTCGGCGATGAAGCACCAAAGCTGCCACCCGGTAAGGCGACAAAGAGTGCCCAGAAACCGAAAAACGCGAGGCGGAAAAGATGATGCCGCGTGGAAGAGACAAGGAGGAGCAGATTGAATTCATACTTCGACTTTGTAGTAATGGGAGTAATGGGAATAATGGAAGCAAATATGTAGGGAACGGCCCATGTACTGAATTTGTGGATCAGATCGAATATGAGAGACTCGTCGTTTAGTAGTGAGCTGAGATTAGTTCTGACAGCTCACCTGGCGCCAACCACACCAACCCCCCTCAAACCCCCCGAATCCCCGTCCACTCACTCCTGCAGCCCCTCGCTCCTCTCCTCCAAAATCCTCCTCACCGCCTGCTCGAACCCCTCTGGCTCAAACCCAAACACCTCATTATCCCACGGCTGCGGCACCCCCACCACACCCAGCTCCCCCAAATTTTTCTTCAACAAAAAAGCCAACTCCCCATCCACATCCCCCGCCTTCCTACACGCCTCGGCCTTATCGACCGCCTCCTGCTGCGACAAATACGTACACGTATACTTCACCCCCTGCACCTTCTCCAGCGTCGCAATCACCTCCCGCCAAGTATACAACCCCCCCGGGACGCGGAACCAGCGCTCCCTGCTCTCGCTCTTCGGGAGGAGCGTAGACTGCACAATATACTTCGCGGCACTGCACACACACACGCATCAGCCCCTTTCCCCCCAACACACGAAGCAAATCCAAACCAAAAAAGAAAAATGCAAACTCACTCCCTCGCGGACGTCCACTCGCCCGCCCTCCCCGGGCTGCCATACAACTCAAACGTGTGCTTCGCGATATCAACGCCAAACAGCGGCATCAGCGCGAACTCGACAAAGTGGCCCGTCATCACGACGCTGTAGTTGAAGCTCGCGTGCTGTGGGACCACGGCGCGCAGGTGCGCCACCGTGCGCTGTTTCTCGCGCCAGTAGCCGTTGCTGAGGAACTCGCCTTGGTGGCCGTCGCTGCCGTACTCGGAGGGGTAGAATTCCGTGACTCCCGCGGCGATGGCGGCGTCGATGATGGCGGGTTGGTCTTTCATGACGAGGTTGCCGAGAAGGGAGATGACGGTGTCGAAACCTGGGTTGTAGTGCCGTGAGTGGCACGGAGAAGAGAGGAGGGCCGGGGGGGGGGGGGGGGAAGGGAGGGGTAGACATACCTTTGAATGAGGCAGCATCGGTATAGGACCCGATGATGAGTTCGAAGCCTTTAGCTTCCACGTCTGCGAACTTGTGGCGTTTGTGTTCTTCGGTGAGAATGGCAAGGCGGGTGAAGCTAGAGCGGTTGCGGAGGAATTCGAGGGAGACGTAGTTGCCGAGCCAGCCGCTTGCACCGATGAGGATGACGGAGGGAGAGGCCATGATGTGCACTTTGGTTGTATAAGAGCCGATTTATTCGAGAGGAGGTGGAGAAGTAATGCTGGGGCAATGAGATGAAAAGAGCAGTTGTTCGCTGCAGAATGTGGGCTTTAAGTACTTTTCAAAGAAGGGCCCCAGGAGCTCCGGCCAAGATACGCAATGCTGCATTATTAGAAATCCAAATGCCTGCTGAATGTGTGCTTGAGCATGAGGCATAAGGAAAAGGTGGGCATTGGGAAAGCTAACCTCGAATAGGCAGTGGGTGTCGGCCTGAACCAATCAGACCGTGGTGTGTTCAAAGCATTGCATGCCGCGCAAACAGATACCCACTTCCTATTGTGGTCTAGCACAGACTCTATACTTCGGCGCGGATGACATGTCCGCCGTTGAAACCCATCATAATTTGGACTAGACCGCAGTCAAATATACCCAATACCTTGTAGAGCTTAGCGTTAGCGTACCTAGGTGGCCTTGAAAACTAATCAGGCATCACTGATCAGCGAACAGCGTAAGAGAGACGGTTCGGTTAGTCCCGCGCAGCCGAAGGAAATGCGGAGTAGAGAGTAAAGAATTCTGTGTCCATTCATGGCTCGGTGGCCTCGGAGCATACTGACCGGTTGCTAAAAGCAGGTCCAGCCTAGTTCCAAGCTGGCACCGCATTACCTTGTGCATGATTCCCTCACCACCGTATTCCTCTAACTGGAAGAACCCGACAGAGACGACGAAGTGGAAAAAGATAGGACAAAGCAATAAAATCCAACCACGCGACCCATTCCAATCCAATCCAAGTTACCCCCATAAACCCGACACCCAGGCACGTGGATTCGTGCCAAGGTAAAAGCCAGGAACATGAAACTCCCATGCAAACGCCTAGAACCCGTGGGCCGAGCTGAAAGAACGCAAATCGTGCGTTGCCGCTATTCACGAAGAAAGGGAATATGGTAGTGTGGCTGTAGACGGACTCGAGCTGAAATCGAGACACACTGACGCTGGTGCCTCGTAAGATGCTGGGGATATATGTAGAATGAACGCCAAAGTGGAAAGGGCATGAGGGGAGGCTAGATCTCCTCCATGTTGCCAGCGGGCTCCTCGTCTTCGCCTGACGCGTAGCTACCGACGGAGCTCATTTCGTCGTCAAGGTCGCTTTCTTCGTCGGCTTCGTCGGCAGCATCTTTCGAGGCATATTTGGCGACATACTCTGCGAATTCATAAGTAGATGGTTCGAATAGAAGTGGGAAAACTGTCAAAAGAAGTCCACGTATTGTGACTTCCCAGGGCAAGAAGGCGGCTACTCACCCTTCACCTTTGCATCATAACTCTTCGGCTCCCGCATCAGCAACGCAGCAGCCTCGCCATTCAACGGGTCGGTGGGGTTCGGGTAGCGGAGAAGTTGCGGAAGGAAGACTTCGAAGATGTTGATCATGTCATACATTGGTGACCAGGTCTGGTTGATGACATCCAGGCATACGGAGCCCGACCTTCACGGGTGTTAGTTGCAGTCTTAGGGTTCCAGGACAGGGGTCATACAACTCGTCGATGTTGGGGTGGAATATCCGATTCACGAAGCCGATACTGGGGCTCTTGTAGGGGTATTGGTCGGGGAGTTCGACGTGGATCTTCCAGAGACCCCCGGCGAAGGGTGCTGTGTTAGTATTAGTAAATGAGTATCGAGGAGAACATAGGGGAACACCGACTCTCTTCAGGACCCTTGAATCGCACATAGAATTCTTGCCTATGGTGCCGTTAGGACTGTGTGGAAGCCGAATAGTGTAGTTAGTGGTAGGATGGTATAACGAACACTGCGCCAGGTTAGCTTCCATCTGCGGAGCCTGGACCGGGGATTTCCAACGTACTATTGTCATTGACCAGAGTGACTTCATAATCGCTCATCAGCCTACGCAAGTCTCAGCCTATTGTTCAGATATATGCGACGTGGTAGGAAGGTGGGGGAGCGCGTAGTAGACGTACATCCTATTCTCGTTAGCGGAGTTCATCATCACCAGCGGAATGTAGTGACTTACTTCATGACCTGAACACGCCGCAAGAAAGCTCGTTAGTCTTTGTGCTTCCCATAGCTACAGATAGTGCGCGGGATCCACCTACATCCGTCTCGATACGTCTCTTTGGGCTGCTCATCTTGTCGGGCTCTGGCTATCCACTTATTCTTCCGTGGATCTCGTACGGGCAAAGAAGCTGGTGGGAGAGTTCGTGTTCTTTCCCAAGCTCCAGGAAGGTTTTCAGCACTCAGAGAAGTTCAGTGTATTCCAGGCAAGCTCGGCGGGTGCTGCGGGCGGGATATATGCAGTTGGTTCGCCAGCGAAGTAGAGGGGCGCTCTGTTGGCGGGGTATGGCTGGATGGAGTGAGTCTATGCAGAAGTGAGAGCTGGATCAATGGGAGGCGGCAGATGAGGCGGTTGACGGCTGGCAGCAGTGGTCTAGGAGGCTATCTCACGGTAGAGAGGCTCGTAGAGGCAATGGAGGATGATGCTGGCAGCTGCAGAGTCACGCAAGCAGGCGGCGACGGCGGAAGTCACGGGGACCACTTGTCAAGTCTGGCCCGAGACCCCGCGATACATCACGTGGAGGTGTCTTGCGGATAGGTATGGGTAGCATTACTATGCATATGTACGATTCGGAAGAGAAAGCCGACTGCTATCTGGCAAGTTTTGGTGGTGAGTTTTACCAATAGGGCGGCTTGCAGGGAAACCTCAGAGCTCTGCCATCACGGTGCAACACCACACACAGAAGCCAGCCTCGCAGTGGCCTCGTCTCGACAAACACACTGTGACTCCACCACGCCGCAAACGACGACCTCGGGGATGTCGAACAAAGAGGCGCTGAGTCTGGGCGCGCGCTGACTCCATTCTCCGACAAGCACCGGACCGAGGCCCTGGAAAGCTGAACAAAACACCCACGGATCCCGCCTTCGTTCTCTCCTCTGCGCTGCAGAAAACATCACGAACCTCGCCATTTAAAACAAGACTCCGCACGTCCGCCATGGCCCGGAATCCTGTTTCTCTCGCCTCCTCGAATTCTCTGGAGAAGCCTCATCCACCACGCTTCGCCGCAAATACCCACCCGACATCGCCATGTCGCGTGCCTTGACTCGTCTTATCCCAACTTCTTCACTTCGGAGTTTGACGTCTTCACCACGATGGAGACCCTCGCTGCCGGTCGCAATATCGCAAACCTTGCTGTCGCCAGCTGCCCAGACTAGACATAGCTCACATTCACCTATGGGTGCTGCTCCAGCCCAAGTCCGCAAGCCCGTCACCATCAACACCCTGCAGTCGCTATACCGCAAGAACGAGCCCATAACTATGATCACCGCTCACGACTTCCCAAGTGGACACGTCGCCGACCACGCTGGCATGGACATGATACTCGTTGGTGACAGTCTCGCTATGGTTGCACTAGGTATGGAAGACACGAGCGAAGTACTGCTAGAAGAAATGCTGCTTCATTGTCGCTCTGTCGCACGAGCTACCAAGTCTGCCTTTACTGTATGCTCACCCGTCTATCTCTTGTTCACACTAAATCAACTCTAACCTCCTCTCAGGTCGGTGATCTACCCATGGGCTCCTACGAAGTCTCCCCCGAGCAAGCCGTCACCTCCGCTATCCGCGTCATAAAAGAAGGTCGAGTGAAGTCCGTCAAGTTAGAAGGAGGGGCGGAAATGGCTCCCACCATCGCCGCTATTACCCGTGCCGGCATACCGGTCCTTGCCCACATAGGTCTCACACCTCAACGCCAAAACGCTCTCGGCGGTTTCCGCGTACAAGGGAAATCAACCGCCTCGGCCGTTTCCCTCCTTCAAGACGCCCTCGCCGTACAGGCTGCCGGCGCTTTCGCCGTAGTCCTCGAGGCAGTGCCGGCTGAGGTCGCTGCCATCGTCACTGGTGAACTTAGCATCCCCACCATCGGAATCGGCGCTGGAAACGGCTGCTCGGGCCAGGTTCTCGTACAGGTCGACATGTCTGGAAATTTCCCACCCGGCCGCTTCCTCCCTAAGTTCGTGAAACAATACGGCAACGTATGGGCAGAGAGCATGAGTGCTATTCAAACTTACGGAAAAGAGGTCAAGAGTCGGGAATATCCAGCGAAAGAGCATACCTACCCCATGCCGGCAAAGGAGCTGGCTGAGTTCGAGAAGATAATCTCAGAAAAGAGGGAGAAATTGTGAGGACGATTAGTTGAAAAAGGCGGCGAATTCATTAAAAGCGTATAGAAGTTTTGGATACCCTGGTTTTGCATATTGAGCGCGCAAATGCCGTCGTTGGTTGGAGCATTTTCAATGCATTGAGAGCACAAAATAATGGATAGGATAGAATGAAAACTTACAACCGATTCGTAACATATGAGCACTTCGTTTGTATTGTGATGACACTGTCTGAGATGTCCCAGTGAGGCAACCCAACGCCGTTGCTACCCTCTAATCACCGCTCCAAATTGCACTGTAGCTGAATCTACCCCGACCTGGAGTCCCTAAAGCAGGTTCACTCTTTCGCGATGAATGACACCGTCTGAGGTGGCCCAGTGAGACACTCCTACAGAGATTTCTCAGTTCTGGTCATCGCTCCGTATCGCGCTGTAGCTGAATGTCCCTTAACTTGAAGTCCTAAACTAGGTCCAATCTTTCTCAACGGATGACACCGTCCGAGGTGCCGCAGCGAGGCAGCCCTAACAACATCTGTATCCTTGAATCACCGCTCTGATTTACACCGCACCCGAAGTCTTATTTTCTCTAACCTTAGATCAGCTCCATGATCACAGCTTCCAGTTGAACCGATTCCACTTCGCGCCACACGGGGGCTCCCCCGTTCGAAAACCACGCAACGTAGTTCCAAGTATCAACGAGATGAACCGTACGAACGATCAGTTTCGCAGACAACTCGTGGAAGTATTCACAAAAGCACCCACGCTACGTACAAGACTCCGTGCACACATGGTCCCCTCTTTTCCACCAGAGAACGCAAGAAAATAGATCCTGATATCGAAAGTTGCTTGATAACCAGACGAACTACGCCTACGCAATGCCCAAGCCGCTAATGCTCAACCTGACCATCCCCCCCCCCAAAAAAAAACGCCATAAAACGCCCCAACCTCGTCTCCGCTCCCCACCCAGTCCACTCATTCACCCAAACGCAGGCGTAATCGAATACGCCACCACCAGCTCCTCATTCGTCTTGAAACACTTTCAACCCCGTTAGCTTACCCCCCTCTCTTCCAGTCCCCTTTCCATCCATCACTCACCCGCCACAAATTCCCCACGCCCTCATCCGGCGCCGGCGCAAACACGCTATTCACATAGCAATTCAAGCTCTCGTGGGCCCCCAGCCTCAGCTTATTCCGCAGCGACGACACCACCACCTCGAAGCGCTGCGAGGACCTGATCATGAACTTCTGCTGCTTGAGGGCGGGCGCGGCGCCGACGGGGAGGAGGCGCACTTGGACTGCCAAAAACCTCATCGCTAGTTAGTAGTGTCTGGCGTGCCTTTCCCCCCTCTTCTTCCTTTAACCGAAAACGGAAGCATGGTATTATGGCGAGGAGACGTGGAGAATGAGGAGATTGCGGATAGTTTTTTCTTTTTTTTTTTCTTGTGGATGACGATGATACGTGGACTCGAAATACATGGATGGATGGTAGATAATGAATGGATTAAGAAACAGCGGACGCACCTTTCGCAACCCCCAACTCTCCCGCCCCTTCTAACGCGTGCGCCGCGTCGCGGGGTAAGCTGGTCAGCACGACCGACGCCGCCATCGTGAGCGGGATATCCGTCGCATCTTCCTCGTCCTCGATGGGGAGGTTGGCGGCGACGGACGATTCTGGGGAGGGAGGGGAGGACATCGTTGCTAGCGGATTTGCGGAGAAATGCAGTTCTGTTGGAGTGGGGTTGAGAGGAGTGGTATGAGTTGATTGTTGGAAGGTGGATGTGGTTAGGCGGCTGCCTTAAAAAAGCTAAGCGTTCGCCATAGAATAAGGCTGAGCGACGATCTCACAACGATGAATGTATATAGCTCAGTTGCGGGTTTATATCATCGGGGTTACATCTTATGTGTTAGTTTGCAGGCCGTAGCGTCTGAGCATTGAGGAAATGCGAACATCATGTACATATATGAGCGCCCTGTTTGTACCAGCATTGATTGCTGTAAGTTACGTGATTTTCTAAAGCTGACATTATGCAGCATTGCACACACATATTCCGAATCCATCTGATATTCTAATGCTTGGGATGGTGTATCGGAACATCAAACTACTTCATCATACAGTACTCCAGCTAAGACACAAGTTTAGGCACATGAGGTGCTGAAGCACCACAAACAGCGGCAAGAAGGCCGACTGTCAGCGTGTGAAACTTCTCTAATTTAGCTCTTAGGGACTTTACGTCTTCTAAAAACGTTTAGAATGCGCCGAAGCACCTCAAACAGTTGCAAGAAACTGCGCCCAGACTTTTGGCAAGGCACTGTATCAATCATCACCAGCCGCCTCACAAGTCACCACAAAACCACTCTAGCTCATGCCAATACAACAGTAGATAACCTCTATGTATCTTAGGATGCTTATGAATAAGACACTAGACAATGAAATACGCCTTCCAGGTAAGCCATGCCAAGCTATGAGTCCATGACAGAGACCACACCATGCCCCAATACAAAATACTCCCGACACCTCCCAAGTGCACAAGCATCAAGGCATCTATACCTGTTTTTGCGGTAAAACCACCAGCGACGCTAAACAATGCAGGCCATAAGATCCTACAGAGAACCACACAAGTGAACGGAGCCACCAAAGAAAGAGAAAAAAATGCGCCTCCGAAAATGCAGATGTCACCATGGAAATGCTGTGTAGTGGGTATTCGCAGAGAGAACACGCTTCCATATGAAGGAGGGCCTGGATGAAGGGTATACAGTAATAAGGATGACCATTGGTCGTGATTCATGTCGCGGAATTGCTTCCAGGATAGGTGATGATGGGATTGCTGGTGGAAGCTGGGCAACGATGATGGTATTTTTCGTAGTCGTTCGTAGACGAGACTATCGACGAACAAGCTGACTGAGAAGAGCGTCGAGTTCTCTCCAGTTCTCTAAAGTCATTGCGAATTTGCGATGTTTGCGCGAGGTGATGTGCTGGTTAGAGTTAGTGTTGTTCATGAAATGGCGTGTTGAGAGATACATACCTCATCGAAGTCGTTGAACTTCTCTCGGCAATTTTCGCAGTATCCGGGTTTGAGCTCCTTCTCTGTTGCCTTCTTACGACGGACAACAGCAACCTTCTGTTGCAACTTCTCTTCTTCAGAAACTGTCATGTCTTCGTGAATATGTGTAAGCGTGTCTTGGGCCTTTCGCTTCGCCGCCCTTGGGGGTGGACCGCAATCATTGTTGATGGCAGCACGAACATCATTCATGTAAGAGGATGGCATGCTGGAGGCTGAAGGTGCGTTGTTCTTCTCAAGAACCTTCCTCTTCAGTTGATGCATCTCTTTGCTGGTTCCAGCTCTTGCACCCGGGGCAGCAGCGGTAGAGGAGATCATCTGTGATCTAATAGCTGAAGTAACGTTCGATGGTTGGATTCCTGACGCGACAGGCTCGCCTCCAGCAAAGCGTGGGATGCCCCGAATGCTCGCCTGCGCGCTTCCAAACATAGGCGGCATGCTGTCTGGATTGCCACGCTTGGCCGGAACCAATGCGGGAGGATCGAGTGGTTTGGATTGGTTCAAGAGACCACCTGGCTGGCCTGCCGCACTTGTAGGTCGTCTCGCGAGATTGTTGTTTTGTGCCAATACTCGCCTTTCGCCTATATTGACAGACTGCCCATCCTTGGCAGCTTCCATAGCAGCGGCAGCACGAGTCCTGGGTACTGCTATCGACACTCGCTCGGTCCTTGCTTCTGACTGCTTCTCCTGGGCGTGAGAACGTTTTGAGTGATTTGGATCCTCCACGAACGGACACTTGCCCGGTCCGGTAACGCGAAACTGTGGCCATTTGCCTTCTTCTTTTGTTGCTGGTTTTGCGTATTCTCTGACCATGCAAGGTCGTGTTTGTTCATCCATGTCGTGGATGTAGATGTAGTAACCGCGAATTTGAACCATTTCTTGAGTGGCAACGGTCAAGTCACGGTCAGCAGGGCCATTGACCTTTTCGTTCTGGAGTAGTTGCTGGAGATCGACATCTCTTCCTGCCTTGGTCTGGGCAATAGCATGTCGGCGGGGATGCTCTGGAACCTGCTCGCCGGTGTCTGTGTGGAACATGGTATTCAACATTCGCTGGAGTTTTTCTGCCGACCAGATCTTCATGCCCATCTCTCTCGCCTTGTGGAGGATATCGCCATTGTTCGTCTTAGGCATTGGGGCCTCGAATGTGAATCGTCCCTTCAGAGTTTGAGCTTGATTCTCGGCCGAACGATCGAGAACAGACGGATCAATAGTACGCGATGCTCCCTTTCCTGTATGGTTAGAAGAGGATGTCTGCATTCCACTGGAGCTAGAGCTGTCATTCTCTGGGGGTATTGGACGCGTCGTCACGACGTGAGTGACGGCCTTGGAGAAGAATTTTTCTTCACGCTGTAAGACAAGTCAGTATAGCATGAAGATATAAGACGACATGGTGTATATAGAACCCACAGCACCAAGCGTATGTGCTTGCCTCGAAGCTCTGCTGCGAAGGTCATCGGGAATGCTGTCAAAATAGAAGACAAAGGTCGGAAACATCCGCTTGTAGTGCTTCTGCCATTGTCGAATGCTTTCCAGGTTCTCGTTGGTTACTTTCTGAGGTCGTTCAGATGACTTCGAGGGCGCCTTGACTTCTCGGGCAGCTTCAAGCTTCCTCTGGAAAGCATTGGGATTGTGGGTAGTTCTTCGGCCCAGACCGTGACGGCGAGCTTCGGCATCGTCGACCTCGACAATCAGCTTCTTTGTTGGCGGAGGCTGGCCGTAAGCTAGTTCGCGTTGATCGCTCGCGTGAGAACGCTGTCGTTTCGAGGCAGCGGCGGCGACGGCGCGGAAAGGTGAGTTGGCGGCATTGGGGATGTTTGCCAGCGGGGCGCGGCGACTCGTCATGGTGGAAATGACCTGGGGCGAGGGAGGAATAGACACTGCTGCCATCCGTAAGGATAGCTGACAACAGCGTGAGCCTGGTGTTGGTGGGTGGTCAGAAGAGGGAGGGGCAGGTCGAGCTTCCAACACGCGACTTGCTCACGTCGAGGCGGCGGCAGCGTTACGCGGTGGCCATGGCGGGCAGAGGACGGTGAAGGGCAGTGTAGAGGCGCTCCCAGCAGACAATTGAGCGAGTGGAAGGAAGATGGGAGCAGAGCAGGGCACGGAACTGGGTGCACGAGTGGTTTGTGATTGTTGTGGATGCGGCACTGGATATGGGACGAATGCTCGCTGCAGTCGCGCTAGTCTTTGTCAGCTCCCGCTCCCCAGCAACCATGTCGCGCCTTCCTTTCCTACCTTTGTATCAATATCAACAGTGGTGCCGCTCCACAACATTAACCCTCTCCTGCACTATGTATATTCACCACCATCACAATTCACTCATTCACCACTGTAGTCATGTAACGAACTCGCCAAGACATTTCTGTTGGTGAGCAGCTCCACGAAAACATATTCACCCCTCACGTGATGCGTCACTAAGAACAAACAGGACTCTGTCCCGCGATACACGAACTGCTTCTTCACACTGGAACAAACTAAGAAACCCATAACTTCAATTGGCCTGCTGGCTAGGCAAGCTTTGTATTACGTTCATTCACGTTTTGACTACGAATCGCAAGAACACCCTAAAATGAAACCCTAAAGCTCATTACGGCCCACCCAAAATTAGAACCTTTCTCATATGCTTATCGATGCGAGAACCCAACGAACGGGTCGTATTCTTCTGGGCTAGTTCCTATGAATGCGGTACGTTCATCATTGAGGGCGGGTTTCAGAGCGTTGCCCACCTTCTCAAATTGGAGGGCATTTTCGTCGTCGAGCAGTAGTCCATAAGCTTTTGATATAGCAAATGCAGATCGACAAGCAGCTCCAGTCTGGTTCTCGCATGTCTCAAGTATTTGGAGGGCCTCTTTGAAGTAGTCACTGGAACTTTATCAGCACAATGTGACTAGATGTATTTAATGATTGAAGCTGTGGAAACGTCTTACATAGACAAAGCAACGTCTCCTCGCTCTTGTACAATAGTCCCAATTTTATGCAATGTCAGCCCAGTATAGCTATGCGTGGGCATCAAAGTTCGTCGAAGGCGAAGACACTTTGACAAAGCATCGAAAGCTTCGCCGACTCGACCTTGCTTTTGGTAAATGTTGCCAGCATAGAATAGGTATCTGTTGCAACGTGTTAGCAAGCCCGCATTTGCCTACGGAAAACCTACATAGCCATTTGGGCGCTCTCTTCACCTCGCAACCTCCGAACGGCAGCCATCGCCTTCGAACCATACTTTAGTGCGTTGACATAGTCCCCCAAGAGCATATGGCATACGCATGCGTTGTTCAAGTACACATCTTCGTTTGGGCCCATGTCCGGTCTTTCGAGTAGACTGAGGACAAGTGGCAGAGCTATCTCTGGTTTCCCTTCGGCCATCAGCGAGACCGCGAGATTTCCGTCGGCTGCCGCAAGCCACTTATCATCTAGGTTGCCTTCCCGCATATTGGCCAATCGCATAGACTTGATCTTGGAGTGTAGGTTCAAAGCGTCACCCGTTTTGCCGGTTTCGTAGGCTACCGAAGCCCGAACGTTATACAGATGGCCCAGCTGGTCTTTAACATACCACTCACTGTATCCTGGATGATTGCTCAGGAGCAAAGCCTTCTCGCAGATCAGAATAGCGTCGGATGCCAATTTGTGTGCGATGGACATGTCGCCCCGCTCGAAGTAGAACCTAGGATCATTCATCATTTCGCGCCACGATACTGAAGAGGAGCAAATATGCCTACCAAGCGCAACGTGACGTAATCTCGCAGAGCAATATTGGGGACTGGACATCATCCTTCACCCACTTGTATGTATCCAGTAGCGCCAGTACATGACTGGAAAACTCCTCGCATCTCTTCCACTGGGAATGCAGAGGCTCACCGTCTCCTTGTTGTGGAAAGGCGCCATTCAGATAGAACTGAAGTTTGTTGAAAGCCACCACCCTTTGGTCTCGCGGCATATAGAACAGAACGGCACTCTGAACAAGGCGGTGGCAGCTGATACAATCGGCTCCTTGCTTTCGTGTGACTAGCGATCGTCCCATCAAGGCGGATATTGCTTGATCAAGTCTATTACTCATGAGTACCTAGGAATAGACCGCTTAGAGAGGGTTCAATGCTCACCGGGAAATGTCTGTGAACAGGAAGTCGAGATACCTTTCAACACCGGACATTTCCTCGAGTAGGTCCGGACCTTCGCAAAGCCTATGTTATGTTTAGCCACACCAACGTAGTCCTGAGATCTAGAGCTGGCGCCAATTGAAACATTCCACAACTTTGCAAGGAAATTATTGGGGCACAGGTTATGTGAGAATTACTGACATTGTCTGGCGATCTTTGGGCATGAAAAGGGACAGTGGAATGCCATCTGGATCCAAGAACGCGACCATATCTATGAGAAGTTGGGCCTTTTCGACAAAGCCTGGGTTCCCATTCGCCGTGAAATTAGCCAGGCTCCAAGTCTTGTCCAGAGATTGTTCGTAGTTTCCAACATATTGAGAGTAAACTTGGTCGTCGAAGAGAAATGTTCTTTCAAAATGAGGTTGAGCTGTTAGAAATTGAGTCAAGCTTAGTCCAGCAGAGTAGATGTAGCTTCCAGTCAAGAACACGGCGAGGGGAAGGTTTCCTACCGCGTCAGCGATAGCTTCAGCGGCAGTCCGCTCCTCTTGGGATGCAGCATTCTCTCTGTCAGTTCCAAGTCGTAGAAGGAATTTTTGCCCCTCTGAGGCAGAGAAGGGCAGAACTTCAATCGCTGCGGTCGGGCCTCCGAGGTGACGGGAAACGGCTGGGTTTCGCGATGTAAGAATGACCGCTCCGTGAGATCCGGTAGGCCAGAAAGGTTGGAGGGATGTTGAGGTCTCCACATTGTCGTAAATGATGAGCCACCTGCATGGGCGGCTACCTTCCCGTGATAGTTAGCTCCACCTTACATGGTTATGAGGGCAGGCGTACTTCGTTGGCTGGTCGCGCCTAGCCATCTCTTCAGCTCTTCACAACGCTGATGAGAGCTTTGCACACTCTGGTCAACTATTCCAAGCTGACCGGAAAGAGATGAAAACGAGCCCGATAGCTTCACGGAAGTTTCTGCAGTCACCCATAAGACAGCATCATAGTACTTCTGGTAGCGATAGGCGTATTCTAGGGCAATTTCCGTTTTACCAACGCCACCAGTGCCGTGGAGGCCAACCACGAGGAGCTTTCCTGGCAAAACTCCCGGTTGTAAGTCTTTCTCTAGTCTACTCAGTTCGACCTGACGAGCATGGAAATGGAGATTTCTGGTGTAAGGTAGGTTGTGGAACGGGTGTTGAAGAATGTGCATCTTCGGCTGCTGTCGAAGATCGAGCCTCAGGTCCTGAAATCCACGTAGTAGTTCTTGGCGGATCAATTGACTACTGATTACGCTCGCTTCTTGGTCAACCCAAATTGTGGAAATCTTCAGCTGTTCCACTCGCCTCCGAGTGTTCTCCTCGTATGATGAATCGAAGCGTTTGATGAACAAGTTACCTTGAAATTAGTCAATGCCGCACAAAGAGGGGTGGCATGTAACTCACTCAAGGACCGGTGTGAACAGAAACTAACTGCATCTTGACAAATCCCAATTACCTCGGCGTAATATTCCACCAGAGCATTTCTCAATGAAGCTGCTCTGGCTCCGGCTGGTTCGATAAGTTGATTGTAGTCGTGGAAACGCGGTAAGGCTCGTGCAAAAGACTCGAAAGCATCGACGATTCTACTAAGCATACGGGCATGTCGTGCAGAGAGCTTCGATAGTAAGCTTCAGAGTCCAAAGGCCTCTTTTTCACCGGAGAGGAGATGGGAGCCTCGGAAAGAGGGGTGACCAAATGGAGGCAAGGAAGTGGAGACAGTTCGACTAGCTCAAAAGCTAAAATGAAAGTACATTGCAGGACCGCTACCTAATTTCTGACCACAACAGGGACTCACCTCCAAAACAAACCAGATTGACCCCCAAACCAAAGCGAAGATCCCTGGATCTGACTGAAGGAACACTTTGACGACTTCAGAAAAGGATTGGATGGTATTCAGGAAAGGTTGTGCTCGTTCCAATGCCCGAATGATAGGACGGCCAGAGTACCGAGACTGTAATAACTTCGTTCTCTCCAATAGGGATTCCAGGTCTGGGGTGAGTAGCATTTTCTTGATTCTCTTGGGTGGCAACGTGTCCTCGTAGCGTTGTAGAGCCTCTTTCCAGATTCTCTCAAGTGGATCCATTTTCATTACACAATTCACATCAGGAAGTTTCACAAAGCGGAATGTGTTAAGATTCACTGTCTCGCACAGAATACGCTATCAAAACAGTGTTCGCGATACTATATGACAAGCCATATGAGCTTTGGAAAAAGCTAGAATCGTAAAGCCCTAAGGCATCTTCAAGGCGCCCTCACAGCATTGCCGGCAACTATGTGTCTGTTTCTAAGTCGTGCATATCATGTCCTCCAGACAGGGCCTCTGGCCCCGAATCGAATCCCAGTCGCAGGCTTACACAAAACGACCGATACCCAAAGAATGCCTCGCAATCCCAACGCCAATGCATGCGCTTCGTCGTCCATTTACACGTCGAAGACACTGGCAAGTCAGCTTAGAGACCAACAAGGATTTTCGTACCCACATCGTCTTAGAAGGCAGCGATTTAAGCTGGCACTCCCGCCTCCAAATCGTTCTCATCACTTTTCATCCGGAGGGCTCGTTCCAGTGCCCTGGCCGCCACCACCTCCTCCTCCTGATGACCCTCCTCCACCGGTCGTGCTGTCCTCATGACCAGAATTATTGACCGGTTCGTTGGTACACTCTGAAGGCGAGGCATTGTGGTTGTGAAGATGCTCCGATAACGTCGTCATGATGGTGGTGTACGAGTGGCTACCAGAAGGTTGGGTATGCTTTTGGAAGCCTCGGAGAGACTGAAGCCGGTGAGTGCGCCCTGAGAATGATGCACCTTTAAGTGCGCTTCAGCATGAGGCTTAAGAGATGGCCGGTGATAACTGCACACGTAGGTGGTGAGTCGACGCTATCCTTGGGCGGTGGAAGGCGATTTGGGGCGACTTCCTTTGCTACACAGCATCTGAAGGCCTCGGACGGGAGGCAGCCAATAACAGCTGCTTGAATGTTATCGGGCTTAGGAAAAGCAGGTCATTCGGGACGCACATCATCCTCAGCCCTGCCGACCCCTCATCAACTGACCAATAGACATTGTAGTGCATATTCATGATCATTTGCCACCCACCAGCAGTTACGACTGGAGTTCCTTTGGGCTCACGTTGGGCCGACACGGTCTGGATCTCCAGGAAAACAAGCGGTTTGTGTTTGGCTTAAAGCCTGGGCCCAAGGGCCGTAAAGAAGGCAAATAGCCTGCGGCTGACAAAAATGTCAGACCCGGATGATCGCGATTACTCTCCACGCGTCGGACCGACCCTAAAGGCAAATACCGCGTGGGGATGTGGGATATCGTTTGTGACTGTACACTCCCGAGACCGACTCTATACTGGTTAGCTGCGTGGGAGCCCCTGATCATTGGAGTATACTTATAAATGGCGTCTTATCTTCTATGAAGTCGCATATCCTAGGGAATTCCGTGGGGTTGGTTTCCTCAAACTCATCATTCCTCGACCTTCCTTGAGCTGTTTCATCAAACCGATTACGAGACGACACTGCTCCGAGTTTCTGGACCAGGTCACGCATCCGAGCGTGCTCTGTTTACAACAAGATTGCGCATCATACAAGCGGATAACCGTACTTGTGTCCCCCGCGGCCCGTTTTCCCAGTATCTTAGATACCAGCCTCCGATAATGTCAGCGCCGCTTCTATGCTGAAATGCCGCGATTAAGATTACCGGGTCCCTGCAGCTCGGCACAGCAACTAGACTTGCCACAAAACACGCCAAATCGAAATCACGGGCAGCTCTGTACTACCTCCACACAGGACTTGGAGTAAACCAGCGAAAGACGTCACATTCTGTGGGCTCATCATGATACCTGGTGCTTGATATATGTCCTGTATTTTCAAAGCGTTCAGGACATCCACATTGAAACATGAACGCGCGTAATACATGCATTACACCTCTCACCGACAATCTTGTCTTACTTATATCCCCGATTCGAGGACCGTGCACTTCCAAACGACACGTTTCATAGTACGTGTCAAACTTGCGACGAATCCTTCAGACTGTCCCTCATCACACGAGTGCCTGTGCAACGAGCATTATTCTTCTCTGATTGGTGCCGATATTCAACACCACAACAACCTATACCGCATTGCAGTAACCGCCTTGTACCACGGCCACGAAGCTGGGCTTCGGTAAACAGTCCTTGAGGACTTCATTCGTCAATCTAAGGACGAAGGCATATCTGTTCATGAAAATCTATGTGTTCACCATGCCAGCTCAAGTGAGAAAACTCCCCGGTGTTCTAAAACGCGGCTGACAGGAAACAGCAAAGTGTGCTTGATCGCCTGAGATCAACAGAAGCGTCCATTGAAAAGGTGCTAGAATTGTGTAAAGTCCCGTCAATATCGGTTGGCGTATTACATGAAGGAGAAAAGATCTACACGAAAAGCTTTGGATACCGCGACATCGAAAACCAGCTCAGTGCCGATGAAAACAGTCTGTACATGCTCGCATCAGTGTCTAAACATTTCTTGGTAGCCGCGGTTGGTATTCTTGTTGATGCTGGCAAGATGAAGTGGGCGGACCCAGTCCGGCTCCATGTTCCGAACTTCGACCCCAGGGGCGACAAACGTATAGGGAAGCATGCAACCTTTACTCAGATCCTGCGACATTCAGGCGGCCTTTCGAACCCAGTGGTTTCGATGCTAGGGCCCAATGGGTCTGTCATACTTCAGCCAGAATATTTCATGGAACTCGTCAATGAGAGCCCCACGGGTAATGGCAAGATCCAATACTATGAGCAAACCTGGGAATATAGCAACGTGGGATACGGTGTTGTTGCTCTTGCGGTTGAGAGAATATCCGGTATGCCATATGCCGAGTTCATTCAAAAGGAGCTATTGGATCCTTTGAAATTGAACCGAACTATCGTGACCGAGGAAGGTTTCAAGAATGACGATAACGTGGCTTTCCCATATGCTCAATTGGATGACGGTTCTTGGACGAGACTGTCGCACGAGTGGACTTCCGAAAAGAACACTCCAGTGCTTGCAGCATTTGGCAAACGAAGCTCTGTAAACGACTTGCTACTGTGGTGTGCGGCGATAATGGGCGCGGAAGACACTGAGAAGAAAGATGAGCATTTTGGAATTCTCTCTGCCATCGGAAAAAATCCTTTGAAAAAGATGCAAACGATAAGATGGGGTCACTGGACTCGGCCGCATAATGATAGGTTCCAAAATCAATCCGAATATTGTTTAGGATGGTTTCGTGCAGTAATGCCATCTTGCCAGGTCTCATGGGGCTCCTATAATACCCCCTTCGACCAAGAACCAGATTTGTTTGAGTATATTCTCGGAGTCGACTCACCCAAAAGATTAGACATCAAGCACACGGGATTGGGTGCCGGCGTGTCTGTCTCTGTTCACACCTTTCCGGAGAGCCGCAGCGCTGTAATTGCACTCAGCAATGGACTGAACGTCGGTGATGCCAGCGATTTTGCAACACAGATTCTTATTCAGGAACTCTTCGACCTTCAGCCGCGTATAAGTCTGCTGCCTTTAGTAGAACGCGAGGTCGCGAAACGCGGCAAAGAATTCGAGGATACAATAATGAAAAAATGGCACGAACATCGAGATACTTCAACCCCGGAGAAGCCGCACGTGGACTTCACAGGAGACTACAGGGGGCTTGGCATAACCTTGACAGTCCGACAGAACGAAGATACGAGTATATTGGAGCTGGTCTTCAACGGCCGCGAAGACATCTGCGTGCCTTTGCAATACTACAACGTCGACAAATATTCCTACATGCCAACAGCGCGGGATGAGTGGTTGAAAGGTGGTTGGCTGGACTGGGACTACTACATGGTTGGGATTCTTGATTTCAAACGAAATGACAGCGGCGAAATCGATTCACTTGAGTGGCAGTGGGAGCAGCCATCACTACCAACCCGGTTCTGGAAGGAAGGTCATAGCTCCCTTTAAGCCAGTAGTCTGGATGAAATTCTTTCTTGGTAAGTCAAAGCGGTCCTCACTTTCTGTATTCTCGAACAAGACACTGACGAAAAGATAGCCAAAACTCATGAGCAAATGTATCATGGAGACCACGAGGAGCCAGTTGACTATACAGAGATCTCTTCGTGATAGAAATAACGATGAAGATGAGACTACCTGAGTAATGTTGATTTCTACCCTTTCCCTAATGTTCTTGCGGTTAGCTCCAAATGTCAGATACGTATGTACATACTTACTCTATCCTCTCCACTCAGCGATTTCAGCTTTTAGGCTCTTGAATGACTACGTTTCTAGTTTTTATCATATTAGCGGCACGTATGGGCTCTCGTCGTGGCGACTTTCTTGTCTGGATTCATTTGGCGTTTATTTGGCGTATGGCGGATCAAAATTATTTCGGCTCGACGTTCTACTCTCGGTTTTTCCTCCTGGATTTGTATTATTACTTTTATTTGAGTGTACGTATCAATAATCATGCGCGTAAACGGAACGAAATGTCGCTTCTCTAATTAATAAGATATATATGTAGTTATCTAGCCCTTTCTTAGTCATAGTTTCAACGCTGAAACCCTCAACTCGCTCGCCAGTGGGAGTAGAGAGCATTGTCGCTAGTAAAGCCCTGCTGATGCGCCCTCGCCACTTTTTTCACCTCAATGACATCCCTTTCCTCGAAATATGTATTGAGCCCACAACGGTTACAGACCCCGCGTGATGCCGGACCAGATTTACCAGTAACGACCAGCGTCGCGCCGCAATTATGGCAATCCAATCCAGTCCGACGCACGAATCGACAACCACCGAATTGTTTTAGTACTCGCGACGTGTTAAGCTTCCCCGGGGTTTTCGTTGCCCGTCCGCCTAGACCAGCTACGGAAACATCCTCTTCCTCCTTCAAAAGTAGTTCTATACCGGAGAGATAGTCCAAGTCGGGGCGCGGGTTGGTCCAGCGCTTTGTTTCCAGGACTATTGACTCGGCATCGGTTGCATTTGTGCTATATTTCCAGGAGCTCCCGGGCAAACAAACAATGTTCATCTCGTACTCTTCGGCAAGCCTCTTCGGGAGCTTCTCTCCGTCCAAGAACGCGCCGGCCTCGACTACGAGTGTCATTCCCGAGAATCGCGGTCCAATCTTCAGGCTTTTCGGGATATATAGAAAGTCCTCATCGTCCTCGAGAAGCAACCTGAATCCACTGGGTAAAATGAGGCGCAGCTCCAGCGACATCTTCCACTCGTCCAGCAATTGACAAACATGTTCAACGTTCGTCGTAGTCATGTCTACATACCAAGACCTGTTGTCCTTGGGCGCTTTCCCCATGTGCATCTTGGGATGGTTCTTGGCTCGTTCTATGTCCTCAAACTCGAACTCCTCGGTGGCCTGAAGACCGCGTGAGCCTTCTAGCGGCAGGAACACCTCTAATTTTCGGATCAATGATAGCGCTCGAGGTCCGATGGCGGTAAAGAAGCGCCGGCAACCGTTCCATTCCATGTCGCTCGAAAAGCGGAATGTGTTCTGAGTCCAGAAGAGATGGCCAGCTTCCCACTGGATTTGCTTGCAGGTGGCCATGAGTCCAGTGGCCATTTCTTTGCGAACATACTGAAGATCTTTTTGGTCTCGGAATTTGGGTTCATGATTGTCACGGTTGTATGTACTGAGTGGGGGAGCTTCATCAACCGCTTTGGCTTTCCTTTTGGCAAGGCCTGGGTTGTCTTCTGGTTTTTCGATGTATTTGCGGGGGAACAAGTCAATTGGATCCGCACGCACGAGCGCAGCTTCGTATATGAGCATTCGGGTTTCTCCTGGGAGATCAAGGAGTGGTGAGTCTTGGTAGACATTATTCTTTCGAGGTCGGTACTTGGAACGGCGCGCCATTTTGTCGATAGGTCAGTAGACTGCTGCGTGAAAGGTTTTCGATAGATGCAGAGTTGGAGATGAAATGTGCAGCACGAGCCCAGCGGTGTAGAAATATACGGGTGTCAATGGTACGTGTCAATGCATCGGTGGCTGAGGCTGAGGCTGAGTTCCATGATACTACTCAGCCCCAGACAGAAATTAGATCTAACCCAATGACTCCATAACCTAGTGACATAGATCTAAAAGCAGTAGGGCAATGAATCAGTTAGGAGTCACACATTAGGGGAACCAGCATTTGTAGGTATCTATCGGAGACTTTATCTCAGGAACCTCAGACGCTCTACAGAGAATTCTTGTGGCGGTTGCATAACTTAGCACCTAACCCCCCACCCCCCCTGCAACCCCAAAATTCCTCTGTAGAGCGTCTGAGCTCAAATGGGCGCTCTTTTGCGTGGAGCAGGTTGGAATTCAACAGGCTCATTTTCTTTAGTGGATGAAAAAGGTATTACCCAGTAGCTATCATTATAATTGTTAATGCAATCGAATGCTAAGGTTCCTAAGTACTCAATTCACACATCTATGCCTTGCTACCTAGTCTATTAGGGGGCGAAGTACAGCGTTAAAAAGAGAGAGTTTATTTTTGGAGCCGGTCGGGGCTCACTTTTTTAATCCGCTTTTAAGATGGAACTTTACCACCACAACCTCTTTCACCCTAAGAACCTAGGAGCTGCTTCTTTATACTCTTAAGAAGCAGCTCCTAGGTTCTTAGGGTGAAAGAAGTTGTGGTGGTGGAATGCGACCGTGTGCAGTTGTGGGAGTTTCTATGCACCGCCCTTACAAAATGCGACCATTTTCTCCCTGACCCTCTACGAGGAATTCCTTGCCTGTCCGTGCGCATCACGTGTATGAGCATAAAATGCATAAGCTTGCACGGGCACACGTTCACCGCAGGACGGGCAAGGCAATTCCTCGTTAGAGGGTCTGAGGTTCCTGAGATAATCGGAGATTCAAAAAGCATGGAATATCTGGCACGTGATATTGCTGACTAATGCGCTCTTCCGTGAATTTAAGCGTCAAAATTCTCCCCACTCAAACCGGAGTCATCTCCTCAACCCTCATCCATCGTAGTTCCCGCGCCTAGCCTGCCATCAACAGTTGCTCAAATAACCTCTGATAACCCACTAACCAGTGAGTATCTCGTGTTGTCGCCAACCATATTGACTCACGTCGCTACAATGATGAATTGCCATTATTTTTTAATTTGTTTCAACCCCTTATGAACACTATTGATTATGCATGGCTGCCTCTTCCTGAAATGCACACCAGTCCCCTCATTTCATGTCTACCGACTGATAGGTTGAGATGCTGACGAGCTATCGGAGCTTTGCGAGCTAGGTCTCTGCGATCGCAGTGTCGAACCGTTACCTCTACACCAATTCATCGATTCATCGTAGTCGGACCCCAGTACCGCAACGGGACACCTTGGTGGGGACGGTGGAATATAATGGCATACCAAGTTATGATAACCGTGAGGCTGGTGTAATTGAGATTGAGATTTAGCTATCGGCTTTCATAGCCAGGACACGATTGTTGTACTGTAGTGTATGTACATACATAATGGTTGGAGTGCCATACCAAGCTCCATGCAGAGCATCACCGTCGCGCTCTCTTCCTTTTCGCTCCGGTTGCAGTTGTCTTGCTTTCATGAGAAGATTGCTTGCTACCAACGAGTCTCATTAAATGCTTAACGGCTTGATCCTTCTCAGCAGCACTCTTGTAGCCAGAGTCGGAATAAATAAAGTTCGTAATGGCTCGTTTCATCTCTCGTCGAGTCGCTGCGAGGAGTTTTTTGTTGAGTGCAATTTCTCGATTGTACCATGCGAGCCTCTGCTGCCATTCTTCTTCCGACTCTTCGCCTGTGAACGGCGGGAGCTTCACATCTTTAGCTGATATCAGAAGCGTAGGGACTGGTAGGAATATATCCACCTTCTCTGGAATGATCTGTGGTTTCTCGACCCGTGCCGAGCGGGGCCGCAGGTTATATCGACTTCCCGACATATGAGGGGCACGCGGGCAATGATGGAAACGTTTCAAGAGCGGTGTTGTAAATAGCTGCGACGAAGAGAACAACGATGCTAAGGATACAAAACAGCGAGCAGTGTGGGCTTCTGTTATCGTTGTCTTGAGTCATATGAGGCGTTAAAAGGGGTCGCCCGATGCGCAAAGGCGTCGTGCACGAGCATCCTCATCTCAATCGATATTCCCTTCGACGCGAAAGATGATTGCGCTCTCTTTTGTTTGCCGTACATACCAAGTAGTTTTAAAATGCACCACATCATTACTTGTAAGCACACTTTTGACGAAACATGGTTTGATTCCAGCACACCATTTCGTAACCTACTTCCTCTCACGTCCGCCTACCAAGAACCAAAGTCTAGATCGCTGACGAAACAACCCCAAACACACTCACTTCAACTTCAGCTTACCCGCCAGGTCCCTCAATTGCGCCAGGGTCTCCACAAAGTCAGGTATTCCCTCTTCCTCGCGCTCCTTTGCCACTACCTCTGCCACAGATAGGATGCCCTTAGCCTCTGCCTGAATACAGTCTTTCAGTTCCTCGATTCGCCATTTCAGGTAATCCTGCATGGAATCTGATGCTTCCTGAATGACCTTGTACTCATCCGCGATCTTTCGTCGCGCCTTTCTTATTTTGTGTGATGCGATGTTGATTCGGTTTTGTTTTTCGTCGTCAGCTTTTGGAGCCATGTTTCTCTTCCTTGATTAGGTGGACAGAAAGCTCTGGTTAAGATATCGATAACAAGAAGAGGAGCGTCTCCGCGCCCGGGGACTAGGAGGTAGATATACTCATTTGTCTACAGGTTTGCAGTTTCCACGCAGGTGGACAGCGCTATCTGACACTCGACTTGTCTATCGCTTTCCTTGTCAAACCCAAGAGCAAATACCCATTTCAAAGTACGGACATCGCATCTGAGTTTGAGAAGACCACGAGATCTCTCAGCTGCAAGATTACATAGATACCATATGTCTAGAAGCTAAGTGCATGTTTCAGACCACAAGCACGCTGGTAGGTAGGAGTCTCGTCTTCCTTTTTCTCCGCGCGCTCGCGGACCCCACCACTATTTCGATGGTACTAAAACATTTCTCTTCAAAAAATCCCGCCAGTTATTCTGCGTGACTAGAAGCGTCCTGTCATGCTTTTATTTCTGTGCTAGGACGTGTGGTTGTTGAGTTATCCGCGAAAAGGTGGTGCTGGCCTCGAAAACCGAGAAATTTGGTTTCGCTCGGGGCTCGACAGGCTTGGCGCCAGCCAAGAGTTGCCGAATAGGTCTATGAAAGGAGCTATGAAGTTCCGCGCCCTCCAAACTCATTCTCAGTCAAGAAGCACCGGTTCCTCTCACGGCTAGATCCCCCGCCCCATCAAACTTCACTGCTCTCAGTCGCCATGCAGTCCAGCCGAAACCCACGAACACGTCCAATAGCCTATGCGCCGCCTTGCAGCTCCATTCTTTTCTCTCAAGCATCAGCATGGCGGAATAGTTCCCGGCCCTTCTCGAGTTCCTCCTCGAGCCTCGCAACCTTCGCGCGCGCCTCCATCCATCGGTCGTAAGCAGCATAGGCCTCCTACGCGACTAGGGTCTTCTCCCCATAGGGGTCTTTGAGCTCCTCCTCAAAGAAGAGGTTATTAGCGGTGTCGTACGCCTTCTTAGCCTTTACCACATCTTCGTTGGCTTTCGGAATAGCATCCCGGTCGCAATCGCGAAGGAAACTCAGTTTCGCAATACTACGCTCCCTAGCCTCGATCTCTTGCTTCAAGTCGTGGATCTGCTGCTCCAAGTCGCGGATGTTGTCCTCTTCTAGTTGCTCGATCTCCTCTCCTTGCTCGTTCTCTGGGAATCGCATGGCTTCTCTCGGGTTCCGTATACGAGGTTGTACTCGGCCACAGTGGCGCCGTCGGTGCCCTCGGAGGGAGCTTGCGGGTCCATCTACTCGACCTTAGCTTGAGTGCACACGCGTCAGAGAGGGGCGAATCACGTTGGTAGATGGCAGATTCTGAACCGATTCTGAGGATGCTTGTACCAGCTTTGGAAGGGCGTGGGTCAGCTAGCAGGGGTTTATGAATGCCGACTTGGTGAATGGAAAGAAGATGACGGAATCGAGGGCACTTGTGGCTTCTCATTCGTAAACCCCGCGCTCGTAGCCGTCTATGCGGCCCGCAGCGTGCAGACTCGGGGTGGCATCCATCCAGACACCTCTCCCGGTTTGATCCATCCCCTCAAACCACTCATCAATAGAAGGCAACACGACCCCTAAGTCCGTGAGCAAACAAACCCTCTCAACTGCATTACCCCGTCCTGGGAACCGCCATCAAAAAGCCACAACTCCAAACCCCATCGTCGCGTAAAAATCGCACAAACATACCGTCCTCCCTCCCATGCCTTACTTTGTATGTCAACTCAGTCCACCAGCCTCTCAAACCCCCTCCCCCTCCCCCTCCCCAAACAACCCCCCCACCTCCCTCGCCGCCCCGAGCAACTTCGGCATCTCCGCCCTAACCTCCTCCCTCGACACCACCGTCCCATCCTCGGGCAAGACCCTATCCCGCGCAGCGCCGAGCACGTCGTTGATCGCCTCGACCCTGGCCACGAAGGCGCGGAGGACGTCCATCTCGGCGGCACTGGTGAGGGTGATGGTGGTGATGGGGATGGGTGGGGGTTGGTGGCCGGCCATTGTGTTTTGGATTTGGAGAGAGGAAAGAAAGTGTCGGTGGAGGACTTGGGGGTTTGGTTTGGGGATGGATGCTGCGGGGGTCTGGAGAGGGTGGGTGAGTGGAGGGTATCAGAGGGGGAAAAAAGGGGGGGGGGGCCCTTACTGGATGTGGTTGAGAGCGGCTTGGTGTTTTTTGCCAAGGTTTGGGTGGTGCGCCGGAGACGTGTAGAGGTGTTTGGAGAGTTTGCAGGGCTGGAGAGGGTTACGAGCGAGACGGCTGGATGATGTACTAACCACTCCTTTCTCAGGGCCATGCGTGCGGATGCTAGCAGCTTGTAGGGAGCAGCAAAGGGACGGCTTTCTGTAAGCCTGTCCCGTGGATTCCGATATCGTCTAGGGCTAGTTTGCTCTCTGCCAACGAGACAATCAGGCGCATGCTTCCGTCTAAAGTATTTGGGTAGGAGGCGCAGACGCAGCGTTGGACAAACAACACGAAGAAACGATGTCTCCGTGGAAACGAAGTCTGGGATGCTCCATTTGCTTCCAAAACTCGCTCACCCCATACAACACTTTCGAAGAAACGTACTTTCCATTCCACTACCGCTCCTACCTACCCCCAGCCCCTATCACCCCTACCAAATCCTCTTCGCAACCATCGCATACCGACTAACCCCGCCAAGCCCATCTCCCACCCCCTTCTCCCTCTCCCTCGCCTCCCTCTCCCTCCCCTTCGCATCCCTCTCCCGCAACGCCTTCAACCCCTCGGGATCATCCGCGTAAATCCACCGCCTCTTCTCCTCCTCCACCTCTACAACCCCCCACCCCCCAATCCGCTTGCCCCCCGTATCCACCACCATCCGCTCCCGTTCCTTCATATCCTTATACCTCCCCCTCGCAAAACTAAGCAAACACATCCCCAGCACCAGCTTCAGCGCCAGCAGCACGAGGTAGCACACGAGGAAGACGACGAGCATCGTCGCGAAGGCGATGAGGTCGTCGACGGACCACCAGTTGAACGAGGTGAAGGCGTCGGCGGCGCCGCCGGCGCCGAAGGAGGAGCGGCCGAGGGCGCGGCGGAAGATGTGGTCGATGTGGGCGAGGGCGGCGGTGGTGGCGGGCGAGGTTGGGGAGGACGAGTCGGTGGAGAGGGAGGTCGCGGCCGAGGGGAGCGGCGGCGGCATGTGGGTGGCGAGGAACATGTGGTAGGTCTGCACGAGGGCGCGGATGAAGAGGCAGGAGAGGGGGAGCACGGGGAGGCCGAGGCGTTTGGTTAGGTTTTGGTCCGCGAAGGCCTGGCGGGGTTGTAAGTGATGTGAGCGATACTTGAAAAGTGGGTTGATGGACTTACGTTGGAGTAGTAGTCCTTGGCCAGAACGTCTAGGAAACGGCCGTAGACTGCGGGCTTGACGTTGTTGAACTTGGTGATGTAGGAATGCTTGATCCAGTCAACCAACATCTCACTCCCCAAGACCAGCAGAAACGGTCCAAAGACTTGCCCAGTCCACTTCGGGAAAATCGTAAAGCTGAGAGGAATGATACTCGTAGTCCTAGTCGGTGCGCCGGTCGAGTTGCTACCCACGCTGCTAGAGGACCCTGAATCACCGAGGCTGATACTCAAGCCGCCGACCTCGACGATATTCCGCATCGCAATGATCATAAGCATAAGCCAGAGCTGGAACCGCTCTACCACATCTGCACATGTGAGCTGGAAGAGGTTCTCCTTTTCGAACTTTTTGAAGACAGTTCCCTTGATCTCGACGAACTGATTCGACATAAGGAGTGTCAAAAGCGCGTTCGAGTACGAGTTTACGGCGACGTTGAGTGTAATGACCTGGTAGAACAACGCCGTAGCGTGAATGACGTTGTACGCAAGGGCAAGGATGAACATATAAAAAGGTCGAATTACTTTACTCCGACCATCGGCGTTTCGGTCAAGCGTCTCTTTGGAGAGCAAGCATTCGAGGACGTCTTGGCCAAGCGCGGAGAATAGGCGATCACAAACCTGTCATTGTGAGTGATGAGATGAGATAGTTGGACAATACATACCTCAAGGACGTTGTAGATGACGTAAAGCTTGATAGCCGCTTGCCCACGGATACCGTGATACATCTTACTAGCATCAAACCGCATCAAGATCGCACAACTCGCAATCACCAATAGACCCTTCAGGATATCCGCCTTATGGCTTGGCATAAGTGCTGACGGTGTAGACTTCGTCCTCCGGTGTCTGTATGCCGAACTTCGTGCATATTTCCTCGGCTCAGGGAAGGTATTATACGAGATATTTCCATTCTCTCTCGGCGTCCCAGAATTTGGAGACATGGTGTTCGATGCCGACGGGCGTCGTGACCTACGACCTTCATCTGCCGGATTACCTGCTGCTACAGGTTCTGGCTTCTGTAGCTTTCTTCTCCGCCACACTCGCCCAAGTCCCCAGTACACAAAACTCGCTAGGTCTCGAATCTCTTTTACCACCAGCGCCGCCCACCACTGGATGAGAACCCAAACCGCTCTTAGAAACCTCAGCGGAAGAATTGTAAAGACATACAGCCATGCATCGAGACACGCCAATGCACCAAATCCAAGGATCTGCTCAAGCTGCGGAGGGAGATAGAGGAAATTCAGTATACGCTCAAACTTTATCGCTGAAGACTCGTAGGGAAAATCGCTGTTCAAAGGACGGTAAATATACAGAGGCGAGGGTTTATCGGAAGAGAGCTCTAGTTGCAGGTACGTGGGTATCGATAATGGCGGGAGCGGCATTGACGGCGGCATGGGTGATGGAGCACCACCATCGGGGGCCGCAGAGGCCTTGAGACTTCCAGACCCAAGCGGTCCATTGCCCTTATCGTCCAGTATCAACGGCGATGGTACTGTCCGCCCGGATCGCTGTTCCGAGTTCCGCTGGCTTGAATGCTTCCTCCGTATGACAGTCGGTGTCGAGATAGCTCTCGAGGACAGACTCGGGCGTCCAACCCTGGCTTCGCCGATTGGTGATTTGACCGCTACCGCTTCTGCTCCCTGCTTCGTTGCCGGTGCTTTCGAGACGCTGGGCCTAAGGCTGTCACTGCTGATGCTTGTGTCGCCATTATGCGCTGCTTCTTCTTCAAGTATTCCAAGAGTCGACGACGCCATCGAGACACTCCCTCCCCCGTCCTCATTATGCCCCCCCTCTTCCTCAAGTATCCCCAACCCCGCCTTCTCCTCAACTCCCTTCTCACCGCCTTCTCCACGGAGCGATCGACTCAACAACGGCGCATCCTCCTCCGGTATAGGCGACGCCGCTCGAATCGGCAAACTCGTCGGCGAACTCGTAAGCTCCTGTATCTGCGCCGGCGAAAGCTTCAGCACCTTCTCCCTATCATTTTGGTCGGAAGTATGCGATCCCACACTGCTCTTCCGCCGCCTATCCCCCGGCCTGTGGATCCGCGGTGCTTGTTTCGAATCTCTCAAGCCATCCAGCGGCACAGCTTCGTCCTGGACGTTCGAGAGCCTACTGCGCGAGTCGTCGGAAGTTACGGAGCTATCCTCGGTATCCCGTTCTCGTTCTCGTTCGCGTTGCTGGCGATGGCCGTTTGCTGGGATTACGGGGGACAGCGCGGGCGTCGGGAGCTGGAGCTGGAGCTGGTCATTGGGTGGGAGGAGGACAGAGACATCGCCGTCCGCGCGTGTCTCTCTAGCTCCGTTCATAGTGGCTTGGGTGGGCTGTTGTTGCGCAGAGCATGGTGCCCAACATGTCCTTTGTGGAGGTGAGTTCAAGATTGTTGAAGCTCGGACGAAATGGGAAGCAGGGGTGTTGGCCGGGGCTTGGCGAGAAGGGTTCTCCACCGCGAGAACGATGGTTCACTCAACACCATCAACGGCACCGTGGTGGGGCGAGGTAGTGTTTGGTAAGCATAGGCTTGTTTATTTCGTTCGTCTCCTCTTCCTATATTCGAAACCAACGTGTCAAATCGTCGATACGGCTTTGCCCATCTTCACGGTGTCCAGCGACTACGAGTCCGACTTCATACAAAGGTGGCACTCATCACATCAATACAGAAACAAAGCTTATTTCAATCTCTCTCATTCATGCCCTGCTATTCAAATAAAACCGCTTTCCACGGTCAATCTACGGTACAACCCATCCCAATGCCTACATAGAAAAGCCTTCCTAGGTCTACAGGAAGGAAAGAGAAAGAAATACCCGGACCTGTTCCAAAGTCCTCCGCATCAGTTGGTTCATTCTCAGAAGCACAAACACGCTAAAAGAAACGACAAATATACAGAGTTTGAAGGAAATGGGGATAGGATAGATCAGGTCCACGTCTCGCTTACTCGGTCTGAAAAAATGTTAGAACCCTCTCTGCTTTTCGATTCGACAATCTAGTCTTTTTGGCAGCAACACACATGCGGACCGGCCTTGATGACCTCAGTCGTAGCTTGATCCTCGTACTTCTTGAAGTTATCCATGAACAGCGTGCCGAGCTTCTTGACCTCGCCCTTGAAGTCGGTGGTGCCGTTCCACGCTTTCGCGGGGTTGAGCAGCTCGTCGGGGACGTTGGGGCAGGTCTTTGGCACGGAGAGGTTGAAGGTCTCGTACGTCTCGTACTCGGCCTTTGCGAGCTCGCCAGAGTGGATGGCATCGAGGATGGCGCGAGTGTACTTGAGCGGGCAGCGCTTGCCGCCGGTGGTGGCACCAGCTCCGACCCAGCCGGTGTTGAGGAGCCAGGCATTCGACCCGTGCTCTGCAATCTTCTCCGCCAACATCTTCGCGTAGCGCATGGGGTGTAGGGCCAAGAAGGGTTGAGCGAAGCACGATGAGAAGGTAGCGGTGGGTTCTGTCACGCCCTGCTCGGTACCGGCCATCTTGGAGGTGTATCCGGAGATGAAATGGTACATGGTCTGCTCGGTGCTGAGTTTCGAGATGGGTGGAAGCACACCGCGAGCGTCGCAGGTCAAGAGGATGATGTTCTTCGGGTGGCTTGAGCTAATGCAAGGAATCTTCGTGTTCTCGATGTACTCGATGGGGTAGGCGCAGCGGGTGTTCTCCGTCAGAGTATCATCATCGTAGTCAACAATACGGGTCTCCGGGTCGAAGACGACGTTCTCCAGGATCGAGCCGAACTTGATAGCACCGAAGATATCGGGCTCCTTCTCCGCGGACAGACCAATCGTCTTGGCGTAGCAGCCCCCCTCAATGTTGAAGATGCCCTTGTCGCTCCAGCAGTGCTCGTCATCACCGATGAGAGCACGCTTGGGGTCGGCAGAGAGCGTAGTCTTGCCAGTACCCGAAAGACCGAAGAAGACAGTGACGTCGCCGTTCTGGCCCTCGTTGGCGGAGGAGTGGAGCGTGAGAACGTTGTGCTTGACCGGCATCTCGTAGAAGAGAACGGTGAAGACACCTTTCTTCATCTCGCCAGCATACTCGGTTCCGAGGATGACCATCTCCTGGTCCTTGAAGTTGATGGCAACTGACGTCGCAGAGGTCATACCAGAGGTGTATCTGTTCGCCGGGAACGCACCGCCGTTGTAGATGGTGTAATCCGGGTGGAAGCCCTCCAACTCGGCCTTCGTCGGTCGGATGAGCATGTTGCGCATGAAGAGAGCGTGGTAGGCGCGGGCGCAGACAACTCGGACCCGGATCCTGTACCGCTCGTCCCAGCCAGCGAAGCCGTCGACGACATAGATGCGGTTCCTCGTGTTCAGGTAGTCGATGGCACGTTCTCGGTTGATTCTCCAGACCTGGGACAACAGTCAGTACATGTTCGTGAGGAATCACGTGCGCGGCGATAGGGCGGAAAAAGCACAGCACCCATGCAGGAAAATCAATGCGGGGGAACGCCACATGCAGCACATGCCGCATAGCATGGGACATCCCGATCCGACGACCATCCTCGGTTATGGTCTCTGCCAGTATGACGTCGGACCATTTATCTGGCGCACGACCAACCACCATGAGAGCGAAATGGGAAAGAGAGGGGAGCTTACTTCGGGCGTCATCGGCTTGTTGACTGGGCCCCACCAGATGTCATTTTCTGAGCTCTCTTCCTTCACAATACGCTTGTCTGAGGGTGACCGGCCAGTCTTCGCACCCGAATATGCCGACAATGCACCGGAAGATGTGATGGCCGAGCCGGTCTCGTAGACTAGGGCGTCTTCATAGAGGGCGGCGACGGAGGGGTTGGCGACCTGGAGCGATGTTAGCTGCCGTTGGAGGGCAGGGAGTGATAAGAGGGGGGCTAGCGTACAATGGCGACTCGGTCGTAGTCGATGTGTGCTTTGTCGTGGAGCTCTTCTTCGATCTCGGTATGCTCCCGCTGCGGCCTGGAAGAAGGAATGGGTTAGCAAGAGCTCGGCGAGAGCAGGAGGCAGGTAGCGGACTCACTGGACGCCGGCAGGGTGCAGATTCGTCTTGTTGACGCTGGCGGAAACCATGGTGGTGAAGGGAGCTGTTTTGAGGGAGGTGGAGTGGAAATTGGTGCGTTGCTGTTTGGCGACCTGTTGACGGGCGAAGTCTTGGGCCAAGGGAGCTGGTGATGCAGTTCGAACAATGGGCGGGGAGCCCGTCCCTTTAAGAGCTCCAGCCATATCGTCGTTTGTCGGAACAAGCCTCAGCGTCGACAGCGTCCTGGCTCGGAACAGGCTAGGCAGAGCAGCTCCTGGAGCTGTTGCGCAGTGCTGATTGGGTGCGGCGGCGTGGTGAGGGTCGTGCCGAGGATGGGAGCCGTGGAGAGGGTTCCTGATTCTTCCGAGCGGTGACGAGAACAAGCCGGGGCGGCGCTGGCTCGCTGCAATGGCCGCTTCGGCTGTATTTGTGCGTGCTGGTGGACGGGCGAGGGCTGGGAGCAGGCGGTGCGCGCTGAGCATGAGCGGATGAGGAGAGATGGACCCATGGGATGTTGCAGCGAGAGGCCTCAGCCGGTGACATAATGACGACGCTGTGAGTGGCCGCATGGGCAGACCGCGGGGCAGCAGACGGCAGAGCTGGAGGCTGGCCACGGCGGGAGACGTCACGTTCGCGCGATGGACAGCTGCGGCGCTTTGTTGAAGCTAGAGCTCCCCGCATTCCGCTGAGGAGTGTGGGAGTTACTGTGCCCTTTACGCAGGCACGAGGCCGTGACGCTATCGCTATTCTGCCCGCGGCGTGGCTGCCATCCACGTCCTTCACGCGTGCGATGCAAACGGCAGGGCGCTAGCCGCGTTGGAGCAGCTCCCATCCACCTCAAGACGACGGCAGCAGCGTCTGGGGATGGAGCATCTCGGGACCGCCAGGCTGGAGAGACCGTCGCGGTCGGGACGGGCACGCGACGGCCAATCGCAGCGGCGGCGCACCCGAATGCCATCTGTCCGAGTGCTGCTGCGCCCCCGCGTGAAAAGAGCGCATTCTAGATTGCCTGCGCGCCCGAGCAGCTTTTGCCTCGCGCGCCACGGCCAGCTATCGTCGTGAATGCTATCATCACTCCCCGCCATCGCCGCCAAGCCCGAGCCAACACTGCCGATCTTGCGTCGTCCGGCATCATCCTTCCTTCAGCGCTGAACACACGTGTTTATCTCACAGACGAGTTATTAAAGTCGTACTCAATTAAGCAGTCGAGCTACGCAGCTCGCACCTTTACCGCTCTATACACGCCACTATCCACGTATCCTACACCGCTTATATCCTACGCGCAAGTCATGTATGCACTATTCTGACACGGCTGCTTATTCTGACACGGCTGCTCCGAGCAAGGGAGCTCTTGAAACGGACCCCTGCCCGTTGCGTCCGCGGCCGGCGGAACACTTCCCGCGCCTACGCCTTATCGCTCGTGCTCTGCTGTTTCTGCATCTCGCGCCTGTTCCTCCGCGCTGTGGGGCTCACGACGTCCTTGATCTTTTGGAAGCCGCCCAGATAGAGGTACGAGCAGACGAAGACGACGGCGAAGTTGAAGAGAACGTAGGCCCCTGGGAGTATCAGTATCGTGATCAATTTGCGTCAATCACTATCTTCAAACTTACAGAATATGCCAAAGTCGCGCCAGATATGACTCGGCTCAATGTTGAAGCTCGCCGCGAACGCCGTCCCGTTGCTGTACTGGCAGAACCCGCAGTCCCCGCTTGGCTGAGTCTGCACGTAGCCACCGGTTTGTGCTGCAAAGGGGCCAGCATACGTCTGGCAGTTTTGGCCCGGAGGTGCAGGGAATATCGCGAGTTCAGCGGCCGAGCAGCGAATGGGGACGCCGTCAGTGAGTAATGCCAACATGCCTTCCAAGAGGTATTTGAACGGTGTGAGCCAATACATCCAGGATCTCCAGAAGTATGGGAGGGAAGCATATGGGACCACCACGCCGCAGAAACTGACGACTGGAGGACGTTAGTGGCTGGAGTCGTGAGGTTGCTGCATAGCACTTACTGAATGTAAAGAACAACGGCACAAGCAGCGAGGCCAGCAGTTCGTTGGGAGCGAACGAAGCAATTGCCTGGCCGAGGCCAAGATAGAACATTTCGAACGCAATGACATAGAGCCAAATGCTCGCCGACGTATACGTATCTCTCGGGAACCATGTAGCCCAGTACCAACAGCACCAATAGATGGTGCCAGCCACAATTCGATAAGGGATCTCACTCAGTATAGTTCCCCAGACGAAAGCAGACCAAGAGTAAATCTTCGAGTTGCCTTCTCGTGACGAGTATATAGACCGCATGTTGAGATATCGCGGTTGCAATTGCTGAATAAGCGGCGGGCAGATAGTCAATGTCATGAAGACAGAGAAGAGCCGAGACTGCATGTCGATGTGGCTATTTCCTAGATGCCAGAACGTGAACGTGTTGAAGAGACCGGTGAAGATATGGAGCATGAACATTCCACTGCGAGGATTAGCCACGATAACTACAGCTACAGGCGGAGACTTACACAACGTATGCCGGATCCCTCCACATAGCCACAAAGCTCCTATGAACAACGACAGACATCTGCGTCGCCCAAGGCATCGCATACTCCCTGTCATCACCAGTGTTATGCTTCGCGGACTCGCTCCGACGGCTACTAATAATTTCTTGCACTTCATGAGACAACTTCTCGTTTTCTGGCGATTTCGCCCAGACTTCGCCCCAGTCCTGGCCTTTGTAGTCCGGGTTTCCAGCACCGATAGCTTCGAGCATGTACTCTGCGGGATTCGTCTTCGGGGGACACTTCTTGGCCCCATTCTTCTCGAGATAGTCCAGCAGTATGCGGCTGTCGTGGCCGAGCTCGCCAAAGTACGCCGTGCTACCGCCATTCTTCAAAAGCAGCAGTTGGTCGAAATGTTCGAAGAGCACTGAGGATGGCTGATGGATTGTGCAGAGGATAGCTTGGCCGGCATCCGCGAGCTTGCGGAGGAACCTCACAATGTTGAAGGCTGCCCCGGAGTCCAATCCAGAGGTCGGTTCGTCGAGGAACATAAGAAGTTCGGGTTTACTAGCTAATTCAACGCCGATGGTGACACGCTTGCGTTGTTCCTGATTCAGGCCAGAACCGGGCTTGCCGATGGCGGCACCTGCGATTTCTCGCATCTCCAGGAGGTCGATGATTCGCTCTACGTAATCGTATTTCTCCTCAAGAGGCGTTTCCTTGGGTTGACGCAGCCTTGCGGAGAATCGAAGGGCTTCCCGTACCGTTGCAGTAGATTCGTGAACGTCCATTTGCTCAGCAAAGCCAGTAGACCGCTGAAATGATGAGGGGAGCGGGCGACCATCGACCAAGAAATCTCCCGTGACAACACCGAACCGGATTCTCTGTGCAAGGGCGTTGAGCAAAGTCGTCTTACCCGCTCCTGATGCTCCCATTAGCGCAGTGAGCTTGCCGGGCTTGACGTATCCCTGCACTTCATTAAGCAATTTTCGTTCGCCCTTCTCGACAGGAATCGTGTAGTTGACATTCTGCCAGGTGAAGATTGTCTCGTTTCTGGCAACACCTTTGGTAGCTTCATTATCGCTCTCGCTGGTCGGCTCATCCTTGGGAGCACCAGCGCCAGCTGCTTGAGTCTTTCCAGTCTCCTCATCTCTTGGCTGGGCGTTATCTTCCATGGCCTTCTCAACAGACTTCGGAACCTGGCCTCTCTTGTAGATTGTCACTGCGCCGCCGCCCTTATTCGGTTTCTGAATCTCCATTCCGACGGCAGTAAGGACAACGAAGAAGATAAAGAAGACACAGATGAAGCCGAAGTTCCGCCACAAGTGGGACCGCGAGTAGCGATATGCGACTTGAATGTAGTTGGCACCGTTGACGGTCAAACTTCCGGGAGTGCTCCCTTGGAGAGCACACGATTGGTATCGTACATCGGCATTTGGGACCATGGGAACAATGTAGGGAGGAACGCATTCGAGTTCGAGGTTGTAGAACTCATTGGCCATTAACGCTTCGAAGCCGTACTGGACCGGGTTGATCCAGCGAAGCCAGGAAAACCATGGGTGCATCTTTTGCGGAGGAATCAGGTAACCTGTGTACACTACTAGTGCCTGGATAGCTACACCTGTAATTCGAGTAGCAGCATCAAGAGACCCTACTAATGCTCCGATGGCCCTGAAGAACGCGTACATCGTCATCGTTAAAATGAAGAGTAGCAATACGCTGATGAAGAATTGCGATGCTGTTCTTTGGAGACCGGCCATGAAGTACACCACGATGTCGAAAATGAGGACTTGAACAAGGACAAGCGGTACATCGACGACTGTTTGCGCGATCGCGAAAGCCGCAGGCCGGTAGAACGAGAAACTTTTGTGTTTCAGAAGAATGGGTCGACTCTGGAACGCGGCAGTCAACTCGGCGAGAGCCAACAGCGCGTTGAAGAGGAGCATGAAGAACATAACACCACCTCGCGTGAAGGCTCCTGCGACTGTCTTCGGAAGGTTGTAAAATAAGCTTCCAACAATCAGAGCTTGGAAAAGGATGCCGCCCCATTTGCCAATAAGAGACTGCCTGTCACCAGTCATGACAAGGAACTGGCGTCTGGTGCAAGCCATAATCTGGGCTTGGAAGCTCAAAGTATAGTTCTTCTTCTTGGTGGCTTTAGTTTGAGCTGCGTGGCGTTCCTCAACCAGTCTGGTGGTCTCTCGTTCGAACTCTTCAATCTCCGCCAAATTTTGCTGATGTCTTTCGCTCTTCATGAAAGCATCGGCGAACTGTTCTGCAGAACGAGGAACACGATCTTCCCAGCCTTCCTTGATATGCCGCTCATGCTCGTCAGTAACAGAAGTGAGGAAGTCTGATGTAGTCCAGCGGTCTCTAGAAAGTTGCATCAGCAGTTGTTCATAGCAAATGGTAAATCAGAAGCGCATACGGTTGTACAAAGCCTATGTTCTTAAAGTAATCGGCGGCCTGATCTGTGGGTCCAAAGTAGCAGCAACAGCCCTCGTCAATTAAGAGGACCTTGTCAAACAGATCCCACAAGGATTCTCCGGCCTGGTAAAGGGCAACGCTGGTCGAAATCTGGGCCATGTTGGTCAGGGAACGCAAACTCTGGACGTATTCCAGTGCAGTGCTCGCGTCAAGTCCTCGGGTGCTGTTGTCCCAAGATTGGACCGAAGCCTTGGTGATCATAGCTTCCGCAATACTGACACGCTTCTTCTCGCCTCCAGATACACCACGCACGAACTCGTTCCCTACTTTTGTGTTCATTGTATGCTCTATCTGCGCCAATTAATTAGTTCCCGAAGTTGTGTTCAAGATATCAGACGCTACTCACCCAAAAGAGTTTCGAAACGACGCGTAAGAACTCCCGGACGTAGTCGGCCCTTGATTCTCCATCATTTCGCGAGCTCTTGCCGGGCGTTCGTGTCTTAAGAGCGAAGCTAAGAGTCTCCTTCACTTTGAGTGTGGCGTAGTGCAGGTCATCTTCGGGGTTGTAGAGAACTAAGGGCGTTAGCTGATGCGTATTGCGAGAGCTACTCACAGCCGTTTCATTTTGGCATTCACGTACCTTCGCTACGATATTTCTTGGCCATTTCTTTCGCGTCTGTGCCACCATATGTGACATCACCTTGTACGTCTTCATAGCCGAAACGTTGATTTCCGATGATTTTGAGAAACGTGCTGCATCCAGCTCCAGGCCTGCCGAGAACTAACACCATCTCTCCAGGTTTAATACAACCCGAAAAGTCATCAAGAATCGTCCTAACAGGTGGCTTGTTTGCTGCTTTTCGAGGGCCTTTCGTGAAAAGATTCTTCAAAAACCGGGGTAGATCGAAGAAGAAGTCTCCAACTGACGGTTGCAGTGCCGCACCGAGACCCATACCCTTGACAGTGAGATGCTTGAACACGACGCCGACATGTCTCGTCTTCTCATCTTCGGATTGTTCTTGCCGTGTGCGACCAAACATACGTGACATGAGTCGGTTGATCTCCTGCTGCTCATCGTCGTCGGAACTGGCAGTTGCCGTGGTATCGACTCGTCCGAGGGAGTTTGTTCGTCGCTTCGACAAGGTCCTGAAAAGGTCGTCTTCCGTAATTTGTCTCCCTGACGCGGTTTTCTGCAGGCCTGGCCGCCTAGAAGCAGATGGCGCTGGCTTAATGGCCGCAAATCCGTCCTCATTATCGCTGAAGCCCTCCGCTTTCTCCTCTAATCTGGGCTTAGAGTCAACAGATTCAGCGGAGTGCTGAGAGTGATACGTGGCAATGCCACCCGCTTCATAGCGTTTCTCTGCTTCTCCGGGTGACGGCACGGCTGTGCTAGCATTGGAGGACGCATTGGGAGCTGAGGTCTCCTTGGTGATTGGTACCATCTCAGATGTCGGTGTCTGGGCGACGCCATCGTAGTTGAGATATGTACCGGTATTTACAGGTCGGGGCGTTGCAGTTCCAGGTGCTTCTGAGCTGCTTGAAGTAGTAGTTGCAGACGGCCTGGAACCAATATAAGATTGTTGACGGCTTGGATCAGCTGGAGTCTCAATCCATCCTCCAGGGAGATCTTCCACGTGGGGAGTGGGGCGCTCATCACTATTTGACATTGTGGTGTGAGACCCTAGATTGCGTTAGAAATACGGTGGTATTACGAAGTACATGGGAGATTCTTACCAGAAAGGGACACTTGAGATGGGTAGCTGCTAGTGAAGCAGTTACTCAAGCGGCATTGATGGCAAAGTTGTCGACAGCAGAAATAAGCACGAGACGTGGCTCTTCTTGATGAGGACCCCAAAGTTCATAGTCTTAGCTGTGCAGCGGCGTCCATGAATTTTGGTCCGATTGATGACCCCAGTGCTGTAGGTAGTGTTGACGTCACTGCTCTTTCACCCAACCATTTGTCCACCACGCTCACACGCTTGCGGCCTGGGCATATCGGCGTGCTGAAGGACCGAAATCCGATGCGGACCTCACAACCTTAATACCAATAACCCTGCTCATACAATAGACAAGCAGGATGGTAAGCTATTGGATCCTTTGGTGCCAAACTCGGGGTAGAGTTCGACCATCCGCATGTCGGCGTCTCGGTTTCTCGTCTTTCCTTCCAAATCCATATCAGTCGCAACCTTGGCCAAAGAGGGTAATTTGTGCGTTCGTATCTCAACTCACACAGTGCGCAGCGCCAGCTTTGGTGGAGGAGTCACAGAGTACGTACGAAGTAAGTAGGGACCCGCGGGATCCGGGACGGCTGCCAAGACGATTGCCGCGTATGTATCGAGATACGACCCGCATCAAGGGATCTCCACATGCAACTAGACTGGCGTCAGCACTTCAAGCGCTAATGGCGTTGCGCTAATACATGTTTTCTCTTTGGCATTCTGTAAGTCTTTTAGCTGATAGACAAGCGACTATGGGTTGCTTGACATGATTAACGATACAGGTGTATGAATATGAGAGTGTTCGGGCACGTGACATTAATTCTATGCTCACGTGATCTGATCACAGATCGATCATCAATCTGCTCAAGTCCAGCCCAATTCGAGAACACTCTTCGTCGGTGTGTTCGGTTATAGCCTACAAGCATACTACAGGTCTCAAAGCTGCTCTTCTAAGCCAGAGCTGAAACGCCCACCCTTCTTGCTCATCGGCCACCCTCATTTTGTCACGCAGGCCCCCTGTCAATTCACCACGTTCTAATTGGCCAGAATCAAAGGGACGACACCTCGGAGGATAACTACCTCCGAAGTCTCAGTGTCAGCGTCTCACAAGGTCGCTGCAGGTAAGCCCAATCGGGTCCAGTTAGTCCATTGGTCAAGAAACTGTTGCGCCGGCGGTCGCTCAGAAGGCCACCCAGGCAGGCAGGAAGCGCGGTCAACAGAAATCAAAACTAGGTAGGGTATCTAAGCTAAGACCTAGGAACTTTTCTGCATAGATCAATTTCTGGTGTATATTCTTTAGAAGCGTCCATCTCCACGGTCAACTCTACCTGCATAGCTGGAAGCAAGTGGAGGATGGAGATTGAAGAGCGCTCAAGCGAGACGGTTACAAAGTACTAGACCGAGAGGCATAAGTCGGACAGTTTGGCTATTCAGACTGAAGAGCTCGGCCTCTGAATACAGTAAAATCTGGCTATAACGTTTGGCAAAATATTCGACGGCCAAACGTTACAGCGATGGGTATCGTTATAACCAAGTGTGTTCGTATGAGAAAAAAGCGGTCGATATTTTAGCGCATAACGGTATAGCGATGGGTATCGTTACATAGAACGAACATTTTAGCCAGATATTACTGTATTCACATATGAAGTGAGAATGATCCGTGCAATAGGCCTCTTCTTAAATTCAGATCTTCGTTGAAGGATGATGAAATGGTGGGCTGCTTTTCTTCGTCTAACAGACACCAAGACCCCTTTAGACAATATCTCGGGCCTGGAAAGGCGTAGAGTTCTCGTAATACTTTGGCTTTGAAGTGCCAAACCGTGGTAAAGAATGTAGCAGACCAAAAGGTAGATCATCGGAGGTCCCATGTCGATTTCCACTAGGAAGACTTGCTGAATATGAAGTCGTCGAATAGGCATGCACCGACGTGCATACGGAGATGAGTCCCCTCCCTTGTACACGCGTAGTTGCTTTTTCTCCCAGCTCCAGAGCGCGTGCCGAGTCATGGGAGGATATAAATTGATGGAAAACACAGACTCTGACTAAATTCGGCCCTTTCGCGTCAGAGTATGGGAAATCGTACTCGGGCCCCGTCGGGTTGTTTCACAATGATCGAAGATCAGCTAGGCCAGACTGACCCGGCGATTCCGAGCAGCGCTTCAGGGTCAGCGGGAAGTTGAGCGTTCATAGACGTCAAATCGACGGATTATGGCACGTCAGGACGGCCCACCGTAGTAGGAGGTAGTACGTAGTCTCAAGTCACGTGGAAGCTGAGGAGGCTGCCTCCGCTCTTCTCAAGTGCACATTGCTTCTCCCTACTGTGCCTAGCCGTTGTGCGCCTATTCTCCCGAAAGTACCACTGCCTAGGAGCTCCAACACGCGACGCATTCACTGCGAAATGACCCATGGAGAGGATGAAGAGACAGTCTGGGTTCCACCCCCGACTCCGCCGGCAGAGAGCGACGATCAACCCTTCATGGGCCCTCGCAATGCCGAGCGAGACTGGACTCTCGACCTTCCAAAGAGCGACCATGTGCAGTTCACATTCAAGACGGCAAACTGGGCGCAATCCCGTTTGGGACCCCTCGAGGGATGGCACCCGACATTGCGGATGGCGTGCCGCATGGTCTTTGCAGACTCCCGCCCCGCTACCCTATATTGGTGTGTTGGTACTGCTTCAATTCCACTGGCTTGGTGCCGCTGAGCTCTCTATTGATAAGTCTAGGGGCCCTCACTATGTCGCCGTCTACAATGAGCACTTTGTGCAGCTCGCTGCGAAAGTCCACCCCCGGCTGATGGGCTCTACCTTTGCAGAGGGCTTCCCGGAGCTCGTACAGGGCATCTTCCCGCTGCTTGAGCGCGCCAAAGAGACTGGAGTTGCTGGGGATGTGATTGAAGCCCCAATGATGGTTCATCGGAACGGGTGGGAGGAAGAGTGAGCTTCCCATTCATCGCAGCATTCACGCAAGAGTCGTGCTAACGAAGGAAGGGCATTTTTCACAGGCAACTTCACCCCAGTCGGATGGGACGCGAACGGCCTGCACGAAGGCTTCTACAATGCCTTGTTCGATGTCACCAACCAAAAGCTCGTCGAGCGTCGGACCAACATGCTCAACCTGATCGCCTCTACTACCGACTTGGCCCCGAACCGCGTATTTCCGCATGTCCTTGCTTCTCTCGAGACCAATGGGAACGACATACCTATGGCTATTCTATACAGAACAGAAGAAGACCCCGATTCGGGAAAGCAGACACTGAGACTGCAGGGCGCGATCGGGGTGCCAGAAGGCCACCAACTTCTAGTGGACAATGAAAGTATAGACAGCGAGAAGGGCTTAATCCCCCAATTCAAGGAAGCTGCATCAAGATCTCTCATAATCAATTGTGAAGAGGATGACGAACGTTTCAAAGGCATCTCCTGGCGTGGATTCGAGAAACCTGCTAAGAACGTAGCAATCTTGCCTATAATCAGCGGGTCACGAAACTTCGGCTTTCTCGTCGTAGGCACCAACCCATGCAGACCATTCGACCATGCCTGCCAGCAGTTTCTCAAAGACCTAGGCGGAATGGTCTCCAGCGTGATTACCGCGGCTGTCAACACGGAAGAGCTACATAAACGACAGGAGCAGCTTGAGAACAACCTTGCATTCAATGATCTGAAGGTCCGCCATCTAGTGGAACATGCTTCCGTCGGCATGGTGCACTGCTCATTGCAGGGTGATATTCTTTGGGCCAATGAGCAATACTACATCCTTGCTGGGCACACTGAAGACACAACTAGAACGAAAGATTCATTTTGGGAAGTTTACATGGTAATGTTAGCTTTGTCGATGTTTCATACCTCTACTAAGCCCTCCTAGGAAGAAGACAAGACGAAAGTCGCGGACACGTGGAAGAATTCTAAGGATGGCCAAGGCTACATCAGTGTGGATGTGCGGCTGAAACGACTCTATAAACCGCCAATTGGCGACCCCGAGCCTGCGCAAATCCGAATTGTTGCCTTTCCTTACAAGGAGAACGGAGAGATCAAGTCAATAATGGCTTGTACGACAGACATTAGTCAGTTGAAATGGGCCGAATCATGGCAAGCCAGGTTAGCAGAAGATGCGAAAGAAGCTAAGCGACGTGAGTTGGACAGCAAGCGCCTACCGTCTGCTTAAAAGCTAATTTTCTCCTTAGAGCAGGAGTCCTTCATCGACGTTGTGTCGCACGAAATGCGGAATCCTCTTTCAGCAATCGTTCATTGTGCTGACAGCATATCAAACTCGCTGGACGAATGCCGAGCGGCTTTAGGAGGCGATAAAATCGCCGAGCCATATTTGAAGCTGCTGACAGAAAACGTGGCAGCGGCCAACATTGTGATGCAATGCGCTAATCATCAAAAGCGTATCATCGACGACGTCTTGACACTGAGCAAACTCGATTCCATGCTATTATCAATCACTCCATCTATCGTCAAACTTCCAAAGCTGGTCACATCTATGGTTTCCATTTTCGAAGCAGAGCTGAAAACTCACGATATACAGACTGCGCTAGTTCCAGAAAACTCTATTGCTGAACTTGGAATCGAGTATCTCAGTTTCGACTCGTCTCGTGTAACTCAGATCTTCATCAATTTGATGACCAACGCTATTAAATTTGTGAAGTCCAAAACCAAGCGGGAGATTGAAATTCGATACGGCGCTACGCTTTCCAATCCGCGCGAGACATTTCAGAAGGGCATACACTGGCCTGAGAAGGGCAAAAACTCGGACGATGTCACTACCAACCTCGAGTGGGGGACTGGAGAATCTGTGTATATTACTTTCCTCATCTCGGACACTGGAATCGGCATGGATCTGAATGAAGTCCACAAAATCTTCGAGCGATTCCGGCAGGCCAATGTGAGAACCAACGTGAAATACGGCGGCTCTGGTCTCGGACTCTTCATTTCGAAAGAACTTACCGAGAAGCAAGGCGGAGAGATCGGTGTATATTCTACTCCGGGAGAGGGGAGCGCGTTTGCCTTTTATATCAAAGCCAAACGAGCACCCTTCCGCACCAAAACTCTGCCTGCCAGCATCAGGACCAAAGGAGCCATCCACAGCGACCATTTGCAGGTTCTCCTAGTCGAGGATAACATCATCAACCAGACCGTCTTGAAGAAGCAGTTAGAGAAAGCAGGCTGCATTGTAGACGTCGCCAACCATGGTCTTGAAGCTCTAGGCTGCTTGACGGACAAGCGATACGACGTTATTCTGATGGACATGCAGATGCCTATCATGGATGGACTTGAATGTACGACTGAAATCCGAAAAAGGCAAGAGAAAGGGCTTGTCCCTTCCCCACTACCAATCATAGCTGTTACGGCGAACGTGCGCCAGGAGCAAATCGATTTTGCTATGACGGCTGGTGCTGTAAGTGTTCTCGTATACTCTAATTCTCCCTGAGACATCAGCTTCGAAACTGACGGACTCCCTTCTAGGACCGCGTCATGCAGAAACCGTTCAAGGCCGCCGACCTTGTACATATGATGAGTGATCTTGTCTCGCCAATGTCTGCTGCACCTTTAGATGGTGATCCTGCCTCTTCAACACCTCCACAAGCTTCAGCGGGTGGTCTCAGCTATCTGCCGTCTCCAGCAAACCCAGCTGGAGATTCCTTCTCAATATTTCCCGCAGCCCCACTCGGAAACCTTGTTTCTTCAATACCTCTTCCAAATCTGGCGAGTGATTTGGTTCCCTCGATATCTGCAGCGACCCCTGCTAGAGACCTCGATTCTGTAACATTGCCGGCAGCTCAGGTCAAGGAGCTCCATTCTCCACAAGCTTATACAGGAGATTCACCGGACCGAAACGCCATGGTATTAGACCCGAGCAGAGCGCATAACGAAGAAGTAGAATAGAAGCAGTGCACCGCGTATGCAATCGCCAACTCAAAAGGCATAGTATAAAGGAGTGGATTGGACTCATCTAAATCATTTCGGTGTTAATTCCTCTCTGGGATAACGATGCGTTTCTTAGCCTACGACTCGCCAAGCGACACAATGCCGCACTGCTCGGCAAATCAACGACAAAAGGATGCTCACAAAACTGCATTGACTTGCATGCATTAGGGCATGTCATGGTAGAGGTTTTTCAGGGACGTTGACGAAGGATAATATTCGAACACCCAAGCTTTCCTCGCACCGTACTTTGATCCAGATGAGCATGCGGCTCCGAGCTTATACTGCTCAAAGGACGTCAAAAGACACCTGATGACAATGTCCTCGACTATCTCGGACTAGTAGTAGGTTCTAAGGACTACTGTCCATATTTCGGAAGAATCTAAATAATATTATCAAAGATTAAAACAATTTAAAGGACATATTACATATACATATTGGGACTCCATCGACAATTTTTGGCTTTCAATCAATTGGATGAGTGAGCCAAACTCACGACACCTACAGTCGATGAATCAAGCCTCTCTGCTAAACAATGCTGTTTATACGACCAGCCCGCGTGGTGGTGGGGGAGGGGTATGGGCGATGATAGCGCGCCAAGGCGGTCTGAATCCCGTTCTCATCCCCAGTTCTCTCATCTCCCTTACCACTGTTTCCGCACCAAAAACCAAGATGAGCATACCTCAGCCTCGAACAACGTTAGTCAGACGTGAGTCCTTGAGCATCAGTCCATTGAGAATCACGTGTCCGCATAGGCAAGCTAATAACGACGCGTAAAGCGCTCTCCGCCGCGTCTGCCGCCTTGCGTTCCGAACCTTGCCCACCATTAGATCCTCATTCCGACCATAGCGTCAAGAATGGCAAAGAAAAGACCCCATGGACCCCTCACGCACGCGTAATTCAGCAGCTCTCCGAGAAGCTCTAGAGTCTACCTGCTGAGGCCCGATTGCGCATTGTTCGATACGCGTTTGACTACAACACCAAAGCTCCTGTGCTATCCGTCCAATTGGCGCTTCTGTCACGACTAAGCGAATAACACCAGAATATGTTCGAACTATCACTACTGTGGGAAGGCACGTCTATGGTTTCCGATGGGTGTCATGGGACCTAAGGACGACGCTGTATGACTGGTGCTATGAGAGATTCGTTGGGCTCAACGTCGCGACAGAGGCATCCGAGGCCTTCTACGCCTCTACATGTTCCATCTCGATCTAGAGGATTTCCCGACTTTCGCATCTTCCACTGGCTATAAGTCTGTACGACGCTTCAAGCCCGGTGATCACGTCCGATACCTCATCGTCGACGTTGGCCAAGTAGCTTGGGACCCGGAGATCGATGGATCTAGATACTCGAATGATGACAAAGATTTCAAGGAGCACCTGTGGGGTGGCAAAACGATCGAGATGGACCCTCAGACTTGGCCGAGACTGAAAATGCTCCTGGACATGCCGAAGTTGCGAGAGATTCACATGTACATCCCTAATACATGGCAGAAGAACGAGATCCTCCATTTAGCTCCCACAATAATTGCCTTAATGAAGCGTGGGGTTCTTGTAAGACTGACGAAGGGGTCTGGCGAGTCACCGGACGAGGGTATGGAGGACGATATGGGGTACTCCGATTTACGGAGATGAAATATTCAACGCCGCGAGAAAGGAAGTCATACGAAAGGCCGAAATAGGCAAAAGGAGAAGAGATCCGAGCGTTTACACGGGGACAACTCATTACGGTGAACCTGAGCGTATTGACAACATATTCAGGAAGCCAGTGGAACCCGATTTTCAACATGCTGCTGCCTGTTACAAAGAGCAGATGATGGTTGCCTCGGTCTATCGTGTGTTGATCTTGGCGCCGGAGAGGTTTGCGGATTTACTTAAGCGTGAAAGAGACGGGAGGGAGTTTGCAGATGATACATCCGATGAAGACGATGATATATTCGAATGAATCAATGATCCCACGTGGGATTCGAATTCGTACCTTCAATCGTTCTTCAATTCCATCAATCACTCGAAAGATTCACGGAGGTCGCTGTTATAAGTGTAACTTCACGATTTGATATTGCAGGACCCTTCGTACCTACGACCTACAGACCTCCCAACACCGCAGCCGGCAAGCTCTCCGGCCCCCTGTGCCCCACATCCGGCCGCTTCAAGATACTCTTCGCACTCTCACCCTTCTTAATCCTACCAATGTGCTCCTCGGGGTCAAAGTCCGCGCCGAATGGGTTCTCCTGGAACGCCTTGCTCATCATAAAATCGGTCGCTTCCTCCGGCGTCTCAAACGCATCTACCTGCGTCTCAAGCATGTTGCCATCTGGGTCGTGATAGTAGATGGACGTGGTCGGCCCGTGGTTGATGCACCAGGAGGGGTCGATGCCGGCGGCTTTGCGTTGGCGGTATGCGAGGAGGAGCTCATTGAGGCTCGAGTGGGCGAAGGCGATATGCTAGGTCACATTAACCCTGTCCCTTCCCAACATCGCTGTCTCTTTAGGCTTGTTAAAGAGTAGGGGCACGCCTTACCTCTAGCCCACACGTCCTCTGATTCTTCGGTCCTGTACCAGGGATCGCGCCGATCGCGAGGCGGTGGTGTTCCTCGTCGTATGTGATGAAGCTCAGGAACTCGTTCTCGTAACTAGCTTCTCCCCCTAGAAAGGTCTTGTAGAAGTCTGTCATGATTTTAAACTTGTCGGGCGTGGTTCGTAGGACCACGTGCGCGAGGCGGATAGGGGAGACCACCTTCGCGGATTTCTGGTCGAAGTCGAAGTCCTTAGCCATGTTAAATGTTTGGCTGCTCTAGTTGACTTTTGATGGGGGAGTTTGATGGATAGATATAGTAGAGTCTGGAAGTCTTTGTCAGTTCTTATACCTCTCACCCCCTCCCAACTTTACTTACATACCTGCCAGTAACGCTTCCCTCACTCTTCGATATTCCGAACCTTATAAATGCAGTCTTATCAATAAGTCGATGCTAGTATTTCCAATCAGTATTACTTCGCCCCTTTCAACTCGTCGCAAAATTCAGACTTCCAGTTGGACACGAAGCGTTAGTAATATATCTACGTGATCCGAAGCTGTGGTCGACCACGCTAAGCTGTGCCCCGCAACATCCGGGGTCTCGTTATATCGGGGTTTCGACCATTCGGGGGCTCGCTCCCTGTCTTCCCGAAGGTCGTGGTTAGATTACCAAGGAGTGACCGCGTTCTAAGCTCCGGGTTCCGGAGGGCACGTGGTGTCAAAGGTTTGAGGAGAGGTGGGTCACGGGTAGTAGGGAACTGAGAAAGAATGAGGAGGGTTGACCATTTGTGTTAGGTTACATGGGCTCCGTGGTTTGCGTATTCCAGGTGGTGAGGGGCTTGGAAAAGGTCACATGAGAGGCATGTGACTATCAAGCGACCTAACGCGCTATACTCCATTCTAGTCAGCGCTTTCCACAAATAGGCTATATCTCTCCATCTTCGAGAGAAGGGATCACGCATTAATAAGCAGAGGCAAGCTGTTCCACCAGAAAGAACGAGCATCCCATAGTCTTACGCTATATGTACTCGGTAGGTTTCGAATCTCTCACTGAAGTGTAAACGTAAGGAGGTACTCTTCCCATCTACCTCAGCGCACGGCTGTGCCCAAACAATTCTAATTCGCCTACCCTACTTCTCAAAAACATACTTATTCTTAATGCTCCCAATCTCACTAATCTTCACCTCTACCACATCCCCATCCTGCACCCACGCCGGCGGCTTCATAAACGCGGCCACCCCGTTCGGTGTGCCCGTCATAATCGCCGTCCCCGGCCGCAACGTCGTGCCCCTGCTCAAATGCCTGATGATCTGCGGAATCGTAAACAGCAAATCGCTCGTTGACGTGCTCTGCCGCTCCTCCCCGTTCACAAAAGACTTGAGAGTGAGCGCGGCCGGGTCGGGTATCAGGCTAGGGGAGACGAGCACGGGGCCGATGGGCCCGAAGCGGTCGAAGGATTTGGCGTAGCCGTGCTGGTTGCCGGATTGCTCGGGCATCTGCCAGTAGCGGCAGGAGACGTCGTTGCCAGTGGTATAGCCGAGGATGTAGTCGAAGGGGTCGTCGGAGTCGGTGAGGTTGAGGGCGACTTTGCCGATTATGACGGTGAGTTCGCCCTAGGAATAGCGTTAGAGTGGGTTTATTTGGGATATAGGGTTGGGTTTGTTTACCTCGTAGTCCATGGTCTTTTGACAGTCTTTGTAGATGATTATGTCGTCGAATGGGCCGGCGAGAGCATCTAGATTTGGAAGCTAGGTTAGCGTTTGCCTTTACTCGAAAGTCTGGAATCTGGAGGTGTTTACCGGCGGGTTTTGTGAAGACTGTAGGGAATCCTGGTGTTGGAAACTGCGTCGCCGCCTCAGGTCTTCAGCATTTCCTCTAGACTTTAGAGTCATCTATACGCACGCCAGCTTCTGCAATATGCTCCTTGTAGTTCAAGCCAATTCCATAAAATATAGGTGCCGCTGGTAGAGGGCTCAGGACCTGCAATCACTCCAATTAGCTAATTAACGAGCCACTGCTTTGAAAGGTCGCAAACCTCCGCAATCCCAGCCTTCTTCCCAGTAGCCTTCAGCTCCCACGGCTGCTCCCCTTCATACACCTCCACCGTCTTCCCAATCAAATCATCTCCAGTCGGGGCCTCTCCATACAGCACCTCCCCTCCCTTGCTCTTGAACCGAACAAGTCTTTCAAAGGCAGTCTTCATGATGGATAATTAGCAGCACCTCTCGTAAGCCTTTTAGAAGAAGGAATGAGGGACTTGCAATGCCATTATAGTGCTTGGAAATCGGTTTCGGAGAGATTACAGTGTCCCTCCGGATGGAGGTCGGGTCTCCGGAACGGTAATTTTGCCCCGCGTTTGGCGGGGTATATGCCTACCCTTGCTGGAAGGGGTGAGGGAGGCGGAGAAGCTGTCTCGGCCGAGAATGGAGAGGTCGTATAAGAGAAAAGAGTGCAGCCATAGTTTGCAAGATAGATCAAGCATTGGACGCGTGAGGAAATGCTGTATAGGAGATTGTAAGCTTCTAGATGTCCGAACCCCAATTTGGGTCGCGAGATAGTTTCAAAATGGCACACCTGCAATCAACTCTGCTCTATAAATCTATAGGGAATATGGAACCAAGACGCGAGCTGTTGAAATTCATAGAATCCGCTACTCTGATACTTTTCACTTTTGTAATGCGATGTATGGTTCTTTTCTATGTGATATGATCGCGGAACAAGTCAAGTTTCCAAAGTCAGCTTCCGTTCTTCTCTTGATGCTTCTGTGTGGATGCGTATTCATCATGTGTACTATCGACAATTTGATCTGCGAAGCTCTCGGCCACAAGTGTAGGGCCGTAGTCTTGCTTGTCTAGCTCAAATTTCGGCTCAAGAATTCATAGCTAGAACTAGATCCACTCCACGCTGCCTCAAGCTAACGACCACAGGAGAAGCCTCGAGATCCTCGTACTGTCCGAGATTAAAATGGAAACAGACACTCTCCACTTTCGGGACGTTCAAGAGCAGACCCAACTGCTCCGATGTGTAGGTCTCTGGCCGACGAAGATGAATGCAGAGTCTCCGGGCATGGTCCACGAGCTTGAAATTTGGTACAGCGAGCGAGCGTTTCATGAAGGCTGGAAGACCCGTCAGGTTCACTACAACCGCGGTCGCCCTCCACAGGAGCTCCGAACCTTCTAATGCAATTTCCGGCCCCACGAGCTTCTCGTTGCACCAATCATATATACTGGCACCCTCGCAAAAACGAGTGTACGCTACATGCTGGAACATGAAGCCTTCAGCGCAAGGGGTTCGGATCATTAGAGTCCACATCGGCTGATGGAATACATATCGGAAAATGTGCAGGCGGAGTTCGGCGGGGAGTTTCTGAAGTTTCCCAGAAGCAGCATGGACTACGCGTACGTGCTCGTCCCATGAAGGGCGACGCCTCAGGTCTGCGGACAGAGGGCCGTCCTTGGAGTCGAGCAAGTAGATTATACCCTAGCAAACTATGCCGTTGGCATATAGCGGCCTGTGACACACGTGGGGATACCCTTCACAAGCCATTAGCCACTGTTATGAAATAACTGTTGTATCGGCTTAGACCGGTTTCGCAACTCACCTTGAGCCTTTCGTTCGACAGTTGTGACCATCGTGAGATGCTCGGGTTTCGTCGAGAGTGTTAGACTGCGGAAGTGGATGTGCGAGGAATTTGAAATGTCTGTGGGGACAGAGTGTCGATGCCAATATTCTAATTTGAAGTGAAGGGTTGACGATGATGACCCGTGGTACTTTTCGCGATCAACCACGCGTACCACCGCATTCAGCCAACACGACGTACTGACTTTCTTTATTTTGTAATTACTTAGAGGTAAGGGCAACATCAATGTCCTTCGCCAGAATCTATTTCCCTCGTTGCTGTAAACTTGAATAGGATGTAATTCCTGAGAGATCTGGAGGGTCTGCGCAGGGTGGCCCCGTGTCGGGCACTCCAATCAAGGCAAAAACAATGCTTGTGAGCGCATATAGAATTCTAGGTGCAGAATATAGGGGATACATAAGCCGGGATGGCAGTATTGGAACTATACGAAATTATGGAAAGGAACGCGGGAAATACGTAGGCGTTTAAAGCGGTCGACTTATTCCTCGACCTCTGGTATCGACCTTTTGTGCGATACTGGCTTTTGTAGATGTTTGTGCAGAAATATGTGGTACTTAGAAACGTTAGGTAGCCTCCAGAATCTCTCAGGATCCTCGTCGTACATTCGCATAGTCTCGTAGTCATCCGTTGTTGGTGTATCGAATATTTTTTCAATGCGCTGGGGAGGTGTCCAGGAGTTCTTTGAGCGCTGATAGTCGAGGAAGCTCTGATCATCATATAACCACTCAGGTTCTTGACGCTCCCAATTAGAGTCGGGTTGATCTTCTATTTGCACCTCGGCTTTGAAGCTAATCTCATTGTTTGTATCAGCGTGAACATGCTCTTGAACTGGGGCTTTATTCAAGGCTTCGTTCATGCCAAGGTCCGACAGTCCATCTTCAGGCATATCATCACCCCCTTGATACTTCCTATTATGCTGCAATTTCAACCATGCTCCAGGGTCGCAAGTTTCACCCTTGACCTTCTGTCTCGAGTGCTGGAACTCGTTTCTCGAATAATCGGCTTCGGACCACATCGATTCATCATCTCCGTCCTGCTCGTACGCATCTGGGTCGTCGTCCCTGGAACAATCAAGTAGTTCGTCCCAACGAGTGACTTTTATATGCACCCCACGCCTTCTCAAGCCAATGATAGTAGGGGCCATCGCAAGAAACTCTTCTCCCGCCCAACGGCAGGGAATGCTTCGGCATCTCTAAAAGCAACTCAAGGCATTTCCAAGCTTGCGGGTGCACATCAACATGCTCGTATGGGGGTGGTCGATATCGAGTATCGAAGTCAGTGTAAAAGTTGGGTTCGCCAATTTCGAAGCTAATGTTTTTGACGTGGTCTCCGGGCTTGAAATATCGTACAGCTATCGATGACTTGATGAAGCAGGGAGTGCTTTCAAACGCAGCCAGCTCGAACCAGACACATCCATATAACGCCTCAGCCGCCTCCAGGGCGATGTTGAGCCCAACCAGTTTTTCGTTGCACCAATTGTATAGTTGGCTCCGTGGGTCATACGACACCCATGAAAGCTCAGTTGTATCCTTCTGGACGGTGACGGGAGCTCTTGCACCGTAATCGAACGCGTATCTGAATACTTCGAGTCGGATCTCGGCAGGAAGGTCCTGAAGCTTGTTGGACACTGCACGATATATCAACTGCTCGCGGAGAGACAGGGTCGTGTTTTAAAGCCGTTCCAAATGATGTCGGATTCCGGTTTGGAGGTAGCATTGTTAAGAGGCGGCTCCATGAACGACGCGTCGTTGAGAGGTGGAGGATGCCCTTTGGTGGCATTAGCAAGCAATATTCGCTGGGCTCCACCAATGTGACGCAGCAGACCCACCATCACTTGCAGACTGTATGCGCTCCGGTGTACTCATGCTGAAGCTTGAATTAATGTACTTATTCAGATCGTGATGAGGTAGATGGAGAAGAGCGAGAACTACGCGACGTGATTGACGAAATCCGCTAGCCGCTTTCATGAACGCGAACTTCTCCCTTCCCACCTCCTTTACCTCTGACTTTTCGATCACATCGCTAAGAAAGGCTCCTCGGTGGTTTGTTAGTCCCAGCTTGTGATTGGTGGTAATATCACTACTCTATAGGAAGGTTTCTGGAAGCAGTGTCGATGGATAAGCGACCCGTGCCTTGCAGCTGTGGGGACTCCACACGATCGGGAAGATCGCTGGATTTGGTCTTTTGGCCGATATGTCATGGGTGTTTCCATTACTTCAATATAAAACATGCCGCGGTAATTGATTTAATATATCTACCCCGCAAACAAGACCAGGGAAGGCGCCTAGGTGGGCGTTGTTCAACCCTCCGGAAGTGCTTAAGCAGCTGACAGACTTCAAGCCTCTCACATCACAGTTGCTTAGCTAGCCCACGATCGAGTCTTACTCCGCCATGTATATTGAGGAGCCACAGCCGGTAGTGAGGAAATGCCGCAGACTAGATCTACCGCCGATGATGTATACACTTTCAACCTTCCCCATAAGGCTTTGCCCCGATTCGGGCCTCCTAGATTTCGTCCCTCACCACTCTGCATTTCACCTTCATCTCACGACACTACTGCGCTGGTAAAAAAATTCACCGGAGCCCAAGCCAGGGAACGAACATTGGGCCGCATGGCGGAGGTTGATTTACGAGACCTCTGAGTTATCAATCTCTATTTAAGAGAGGGGTGTTTTTCCAAATTTTGGGCAGCCAAACCAAGCAGCTTTGCTCCGTTACAGTTTCTCTTCCCACCAACTTTTACGTTTTCTTGAAAGACTCATTCGGTTCTCTTTCTCGATCATGTTTATCAAGAATTTCAGCAGGGTAGCGGTGGTCACTTCCGTGCTTTTTGCCGGGCATGGTATTTCCATCCCGACAAATTCGAGACTCCAGAAGCGTGCGGATGTTGACAGCTTCATTGCGTCCGAGAGCCCAATAGCTCTTGCTGGAGTCCTTGCAAACATCGGGTCGAGTGGATCGAAGGCATCAGGAGCTGCATCCGGAATCGTGGTAGCGAGCCCTTCGAAGTCTGATCCGGATTGTGAGTAAGGATCGCAACCCAATATGATTTAGCTAATTGAAAGGCCAGACTTCTACACATGGACACGAGACTCCGCGCTTGTCTTCAAGGCCTTGATTGATCAGTTCATCGTCACGGGAGACTCAAGTCTGCAAACACAGATTGACAACTACATCTCGGCACAAGCCCAGCTTCAGGGAGTCTCAAACCCTTCTGGGGCACTGTCTAGTGGTGGACTTGCAGAACCTAAGTTCAATGCAGACATGTCAGCTTTCACTGGTGCTTGGGGCCGGCCTCAGCGTGACGGTCCTGCCCTTCGCGCAACTGCTCTCATCGCATACTCTCGCTGGCTCATCAGTAATGGATACACTTCCACTGCCAACAATATTGTCTGGCCGATAATCCAAAACGACCTCTCGTACGTAACACAATACTGGAATCAGACCGGATTTGACCTCTGGGAAGAAGTCAGCGGCTCTTCATTCTTCACCATTGCTGTTCAACACAGGGCTCTTGTCGAAGGCAATATATTGGCGACCTCATTGGGCAAATCTTGCAGCAATTGTGTCTCTCAGGCTCCGCAAACGCTCTGCTTCTTGCAGAACTTCTGGAATGGCAACTACATCGTCTCGAACATTAATGTCGACAACGGAAGGACGGGTAAAGACGCAAACTCCATTCTTGCTTCGATCCATACGTTTGATCCTCTGGCTGGATGCGACGACACTACTTTCCAGCCTTGTTCGTCGAAGATGCTGGCCAACCACAAGGCCGTGACGGACTCGTTCCGCTCTTATTCCATCAACAGCGAGATAGCCCAAGGAGCTGCCGTAGCTGTGGGCCGATACTCCGAGGACAGCTACTACAACGGAAACCCTTGGTATTTGAACACATTAGCAGCCGCCGAGCAGCTCTATGATGCCCTCTATCAATACAACAAACTCGGATCCATCACCATTACGTCTACCTCCCTCGCTTTCTGGACAGACATTTACTCTTCCGCGGCAGCTGGTACATATGCCTCAACATCTTCAGCTTTTACTGCCCTGACCACAGCTCTGAAGACCTACGCCGACGGTTATGTAGCCATCGTCCAGAAATACATCCCCTCGAGTGGCGCCCTAGCCGAGCAATTTTCAAAGTCAGACGGCACTCCCCTCTCAGCCTCCGACCTCACTTGGTCATACGCAGCCTTTCTGACTATGGTTGCGGCTCGTAACAACGTCGTGCCAGCATCGTGGGGCGAGCCAAATGCCAACAGCGTCCCCGCCATCTGCTCCGCAACTTCAGCGACAGGCCCGTACAGCACCGCAACTAACACTGCCTGGCCAACCTTTAGTGGCGGCACCAGTGGCACACCAACCGGTACTAGCACTGTCACAATCAAGCCGACCACTACGGCTACGTCGACCTCTGCTACCGGTTGCGCTGCAGTCACGTCGGTCGCTGTCACTTTCAACGAGCTTACCACCACGACCTTTGGTGAGAATGTCTTCATCGTTGGCTCTGTTTCTGCACTTGGGAGCTGGAAAACGGGGTCAGCTGTCGCCTTGTCAGCCAGCATGTACACTGCCAGTAACCCGCTCTGGTATGTGACAGTCACATTTCCCGCCGGGACGACCTTCGAATATAAGTATTTCAAGAAGGAGAGTGACGAGAGTATCGTTTGGGAGAGCGATCCTAACCGGAGCTATACTGTGCCATCGGGATGCGCTACTGCGGCTACTGAGAGTGATTCATGGCGGTGAGTCTGGGGTATGAGTCCTGGTTGGTGCTACTTGGAGTCAAAGCTTAGTAGCGGAGGCAAGCGTACATACGTCCTAGTTAGCTGGATAGACTGAAGTAGCAGGTTGTGAGGATAACCTTTAACAGACATTCCTAGGTTCATTTAAAATTCATATACTCCTCCTCTAAAGCGTGGTTCATGCCACGACATGTGCTCAACTGTTGAAACGCACTCTCCCGGGCAGGGATGCCTTTCACGTTAAATGACTGTATAAGCAGGCGTATGGATGAGTCGTAGTGCCGAAAAAAGAGGAGAATGAGGGAGCATGGTATACTAGCTGACTGGACTAATGCAGCATGATGTCCAAGGTTCCGAGAGTGCGACATGCGGGCTGACTCTTGAGTTTCAAGTAAGATTTTCTTGACTCCCTCCTCCCCTTGTTTTGACTCCTACGTCAATAACTGCAAATAAATACTTCTTGCTTTCACTTCTAGGAATTGATTTCCCAAATACGCCAGCAACGAAACCTTGAACATACCAAACAAACTACTCGAACCTATATTCAAACTCTGCCTCGATCTTCTCCCAAATATTCCAGCAAGGAACCTCGAACATACCAGACAAGCTACTCGAAGCCTCGTTCAAACTCTACCTCGATCTCTCAAGATGTGCGAAAAAGCCGAGTTTACATACACATGCAAGCACAAGAACGTGGTTACTGATTGGTGTGAGAGGCAACGTAGTCCAGAATCCTTCTGCGACGTAGAAAAAAAGTAAAGGCTGACCAAGACTTCTTCTTCGCAGGCCTTCTCTTCGCACGCGTTCCTCATAACGATCTACCAGTGCCATCATGCCCCGGAAAGCCAGGGGATGAGGACCCCATCACCAAGAAAGAAATCAAGACTTGCGAGTGTGGCCAATGCTTGTATGAGCGATTAAGGAGTAAAAGAGCTGCTTGAGCGAGACGTAAGTTCAGCTACTATGATAGAGTGCCAGCTAATTGGGCTAACACAGGAGCCAGCAGGTCTTGAGGCACCCTGACAGTTGGAGGCGCAGGTCGACCTCCATTATTTAAATCTCAGGTTTTTGCTTTCTGAGTTCTGCATCAACTTTCATATATCAACATCACTTCTCAAAGAACCACTCCCAAGAACCATTTCCGAGAGCCCGGTGTCTAGTTTACTAAACTTCCCACCAAGCCTATCACACTCAAAATGTGCCAACAGATTGAACATACATACAGCTGCGGCCACCGCCAATACACTCTAAAACAGTGTGTGAATCCATGTAGGTGCTCTGAATCTATACCCTAGAAGCTTAGAGCTGACTGTTACTCCGTTTTCCATAGTGAACTTCCACCGCATTGCGCCGCCGTGTCCGGGGCAGCCAGGCCCTACCGCGCCCGGGCCACGGCATCCGTACAAGTGCGAAATCTGTGCCATAAGCCGTATGACGAAGTTCAGGATTTAGGTCTCCTCAAGGTAGGAAGGATGACGTATTGTGGTGGTGTATCTGGGTGTGGGTGTGTGGTATTCGGAACAGACGAAGGGTGTGAAGTGTCTCGAGAGTTGGCGGGAGGCGTGGAAGACTCAGACTACCTACCTATAATATCGATCTTAATATGTCAATACTTATACTACCTCTTTAACTCTTCGAATCGAATTTTCCTTCCAAAACTTGAGAAATTATCAGCGACTGATCGTGAACACATCAAGGAGACTATTGACCATTTCACCTAGCTTATTCACTAATCTCAAGAGATATGCAAAATCACTATCCACATATATGCCTGCGGCCACCATGTCGAAGACCTTGTTCCCGTGTTCAGAATCGATGGTCATAACCGCTGGGGTGGGACCATACGCAAGATAGAATCTCCGAATCTTACAATGGGCCGGCCTATCAAATTCACATAGGGTATCCGTATGAATACTCTAGCTGTCAAGGTGGGCGGTAGAGGCTGAGGTGATGCGGTGGTGTACTGGTTAGCTGGACTGGGGTGGTAGGGAGCGAGATGTTTTAAGATTTAGAGGGATTTAATGTAAACGTTGACTCCGTAAAACACTTTTTTACTATGCAGCGACGGGCTAAACAAGTAATTTATGTGTACTTCATGCAGCTCGAGTAGTGGCCGAGGGTCAAGTGCTTCCGTAGGAGCGTAGCATGTATGATTTGTGACGTGTATTTGAACATCACCATGCCAATATGTAAGGCTAGCGATGGCCAATGGCTGTTGCCGGTAAAAGGTCCGAGTTCAGTAGATGAGTGAGTGACGTAGACGTGCTGAACATAGTAGATGGTGAGGTGTTTTGAGACGTGAAGGTTGGATTTCAAACTTACTATATCTTCGCTATCTTCTGCTCCTTTATCAGTACTCAACTCCTAAACCAACCTTCAAGAATCACCATCTACACTCACATTTGAAATAGTTACCTTGATATCCAACTTTTCAACCTCCTTATCCGGAACTCACGATGTGCCGAGTAATCATCTACATATTTAGCTGCGGCCACCAGCAGCAAGTGCCTCAACAGTGTGCCGAACCTCGTGAGTACTACAGCCCTACAGGGGTCCATCTTCGTTTGACCAAGGTCGACTAATGCTTCTTCCTCGGTAGGCGGACGGCGGTGTCCTGGATACCCCATCGGGGGTAGTAAACGGCTTGCGTACAGTTGTAATAGTTGCGAAGCGCACCCTCCTGACCAAAGGGGACGGCGGTTCTGGCAGACATAGTATGTTATGGAGAGGTGGCAGGACCAACGGAGCAGCCAGCAGGCAATGAAGTGTCTTCGTGCGTGGAGGCTGGGTTTGACTTTCGAGTATTTAGTAGTGGATCTCCCACTACTACATTAGCTTTCTTCTTCGATTCATAATTGCGCCAGGAAATATAACTGTAACCAACCATTTCAATAGCCTAAACATCAAATCTACTTCACCCAAGATGTGCGAAACAATCATCCACATATTCGGCTGCGGGCACCATCAACCAAAGGGTCAAGCCTGTGATAGCCCTGGTAAGATCCTGGATGTCTCTTCCTTATACCCATAGCTCATTGATATTCACTGCTGCATAGGTGGGCCAAGATGCCTCTTATACCGTATTTCGAAAAGAAACGTGGCACATCGGGAACCCTGCCCCCAATGCTCATCGTATCGATATGACCAAGGGAGTTGGCAATTCCGGTAAGGAAGGAAGACAGCGTGTCGAGGCTAGCTGGCTGGACCAGCGCGGCAGGTTGTGAAGTGTTTTCATAGGTTGGAGCGTTCGATAATATATCTCTGGGGGGTTTTCATTAGCATCTAGGTATATTGAAGCTATACTTCTAAGACACACCTCGGAAACGGGCAATATCCAAACCTTCCCTCGAGATGTGTAACACTTTTGTCTCCAGATTCAGCTGCGGCCACAACGAGTCAAGGGTTGAGCCTTGTGATGATCCTCGTAAGTAATCTCTGGCTTTATTCTATATTTGCACCCAAGGCTAAATGGTACTTCTTTCATCTCCATAGGTGGCCTAGTTCGCCAGCGCTGCCTTGTCACGATTTACGAAAAGAAGTTTCTGTCGCAATGCCCTGACTGCGCACCGAGGCGGTTCGATCAAGGAGCGTGGGAGTTCCGGTAGGTGGACCGACCGGACAGGTTCTTGACGGGGGCGCCTCAAAAACCGTCATGGGATGGATGAAGATGTGTCGAGGCTAGTTGGCTGGGCTTAACGCACCAGGCGGTGAATGGTGGAAATACTTACTGTCTGGATGTTTGATTTCTTTCGTCTAGGTTAGCATTCACCTCTTAGTACCACTGCTCAATCAAAACAATCCAAGCTTCGAGCATCCCCTCCAATACAATCTCTCAACATGTATACTATAGAGATCAAGCTTTTCGCCTGTGGCCACAACCAGCACACTGCCGATTACTGTGCCGCGCGATGTATGTACTCTAGGGCCCCCTTTCCAATGCCGGAAGCTGATAAGTGCGATCTCATAGTCTTAAATAAATGCCCTTTAGGAGTGCCCATGGTCCAACTCGAGTACTAGGACCCATATCGGGCACCCGTACAAGTGTCCAAATCGGCAGTAGGAGGTGTGACTGGACCAAGCCAGTGGGCGGTGTTGTCGATTTGCTGACTCCTACTGACTATATTAGCAACTTCCTCATAGTACGAACAAATCCTCGAATACTTAACATTCCTTGCGACCCAGATTAAAGCGCCCCTCTCAGCCATCTGCTAAATGTGCATCATCGAAATCAAGCTCTATACTTGTGGTCACAAGCAGCGTGTGAACGAGTATTGTGCCCGGCGAGGTATGCGTTCTCTGTGGTGGTTGTTAGTATCGGAGGCTAACCCTTATGGCCGCTTCTCTAGATAGGTTTCCATTTTTTGCCTCCGGAAGTGGAAACATCAAGTAACGTGTCCGTCCAAGTGTCCAGCTTGCCGATAGTGGGGCCGATGGCAGCGTGTCGAGGATAGTTGGCGGCTCTAGCGAAGCAGCCAGCATGGTGTGAGTTGTTTCAGCACTTTACGTCGGCGGCGTGGGCGAGTACTTAGGAGTTCGGAATTCTAAACAGCTTTGTTGATATTTAGTTCTTTAACATACTCTGCAACCATCAAGCGCTGAAGAACCACTCAAAAAAAGCATTTGAAAAGACGACTTTGGCCCAGATTTCAGCAAAGTAACCAAAAGCTGTAAGCCGTAAGATGTGCACTATCGAAGAAATCAAATGGACTTGCGGTCATCGCGAAAGGAAATATCACCCCTGCCCGAAAATGCGAAGAAGGGGTACGTATAACACGTCTCCATTACTGCTCCTAGTTTCTAGAATGGAAAGACACTAACTGGTAACGCCGTGATATAGACGAATATCTGATGGAGGATTGCCGGTACCGTTGGGACCAGGAGACGAGGCGGACGGTCAAGTGTGATAGGTGTGCGTATGATGGCATTTAAGTCAAGCTAAGCGTATGAAAGAAGAACCGCGAGCGGTTCAGGATAGGAATAGCTGAGATAGGTATACTGAAGTGGGATTGGTAATCAGAGATTGAGATTTCTTCAAAAAGTGGGAATTCGAGGGGATGGAGTGGACGGTTTGACCGTGATAGATGGTGAGATCATGGAATGAAACGGTTGCTTCATGGGTACTGCTATTCAACGTGCGCTCCATTGATGTGATAGTTATATGCAGGCGAGCAAAGCGTCAAGTCAGGAGTGGCCGGGAGTGCTTCAAGGTGAAGATCCTCGTGGATGTTGCGAGTGTTCTGACGGAAGTGCGATTTGAAGTGATAATACGGTGTGGAAAATTCGAGCCCGCAAATCAGACTCGGTCATCAAGGTTCTGTGGAAGATGTGCCCGGAGGTCCTTCAACGGAATTTCCAATGTGTCAAGGACAACTTTGATGACCTCCAAAATGGGAATGCGAGATGGAGAAAACTCGAAGTTCATGAAGCCATGACCATGCAGGGTACCTTGGTATAGTATAGTAGGTACTGCTTGTCCTTAGACAAGCGGTCTGAGTATCATCAAAACCTCCCTCCTTCGAACTCCGTCATATGCAGAACCAAACCCCACCCCCTTTAAGCGTATAAATCATCCCATTCCTCTTCCTCGTCGTCATCAGTCTTAACTGGACGGCGCGGCTCCCTCTTCTTGATCAGCGGCTTGCGATCCAGCGGACAGGTATCGTTGAGCTTCAACCACGGGCGTATGCAGTCGAGGTCGAAGCGGTGGTTCTCATGGCACGGGAGATGGACTACCAGCGGAAACTCATCTATACACTGCAGCATTAGCCTCTCTTCAACTGGTCCTAATCCAATATACGCAAGAGGTCCACACACCATCCAGAAACGGATTACAACAAATCGGACACTCATCGTCCTTCTTCAACGACTTCTTCGGCACGCGCTCCAGCTCGTCTAGGAAACTATCCGGCACGCCCTCAAGTTCCCTTGGCGGATTATCTGCAGAGTGCATGAGGCTCAATATCATTGTCTGCAGCGGGGCATTGGGGTCGTCGCTGCCCCCGCCGCCCTGCATCATTTGCAAGGCGTTGGCCAGCAGCCGATACGCGGCGGTCATATTTTCGGGCTGTGGTACGGCGTGGGCATTGTGGTGGCTATCTGGATCGGAGGTATCGACAAGATTGAGAGTGGAATAGAAGGTAGAGAGGTCGGGGCGGGTGCGGTGATTCGGGCGTCTGGTTTCGGGTCTAGATTCGGTGGTGGAGATGTTGTGTTCGACTGTGTTTGCGCATTAGAGGCGACTGTAAATGGAAGAGGGGATCATTGTACCTTCGTAGCCAGACATGGTGGAAGAAGGCGTGGTATTGCTGGGTGGTGTCTTGGGCGCGGGACGGTTTTGTAAGGCTACTTCGTAGTCGTCGTCATTGGGTGTGCCTGACGGAGCTCGGACCCTGTTATTTCGCCCCCACCTTACAAGGGTATGTACCTTTGTAAATCCACATGGACACTTCAACATCACCGCTTGTTATATGAAGGAGTACGAATTAAAAATCCAATAGGCTGCTGTCATATTACTTCTATCCTGTGACCCCTGAGCAGCAGAAGTCAATGTTGCATGTGTCAGCACTTGACAGCCACAATCCCCGAGTAGGTTCGCTGAACATAAAGAGGTCCAACACAGTCTGAGGTGGCCCGAAGAGCTACCCGACATGTTGATTATGTAGTTTTTCAAATCAGGCCAACGTACCAGGGGGCCTCAAGCGGTGCCAGGCAAGCGGACACAAGCATAAAGTGAGTGTGTGGCTAGAATATGAAACTGTAGGATGAAACCACAGATTCGAGGACTGCCACTTTTTGTCAAGGAGGCCTGCCGAGGTACCCCATTTCTAGCAAAACATTGGTAACGTAGGTGATCAGGTTATTACGCTTCCGAATATTAAGAAAAAGCTTGGCAGGTGCGCGGATTCAGAATACGTGTAAAAGCTAGGGTAAACGTAATAACCTGATAACCTACGTTAGCTACGAGGCTCTGCAAGACTCTTTCTTTAAGCGCACACCCGACAATTAAATAATAAGATCCAACACATGCGAATGCAAATCAAGCAAGGAGAGTCTTCTGGAGAAAGCCTAGGGCAGAGCCTCGGGCCGCGGAGAACTGGGCGCCTGAAAGCCTGAAGTGGCGCAGGCAATGCTCCAGTGGCGCAGCTGCATTAGCCACAACCTTACTCCAGCTGGCGTCAGGTTGATCGCGCATCCCGGTCGATCTAGCCTCAGGCACCACGTCAGTTCACTCTCACCAACACGGTACAGCCGAGGCAAGGGGCACAGGGGTATGATTCAAGGGGGTGTGACAAGTTATGTCTAGGGTCCATCGTGTAGCAATGCCAAGAACTTTTGATATCACGTCTATGGTGGCGCTAAGGCACAGCCCAGCAACTCGCTCTAAGCATGAACACCGTAGTTACAATCGCAAAAGATGCAGTTCCTTTCGTATGCCATTCCGTGGTATTATCATACTAACATTTGCGTGACTCACATAATGACTTCGTTGGCAACATCCTATGATGTGGGTCAGCTGATGACATTCGCGATAATAGGGGAGGTAGGGGCGAATATACCCTCTTCAATTCCTTGTATGGCAAACAGACGCAGTTCTGGACGCGAACCTCATCGCCAACCCCGCACTCTTTACCCAGAATGGTGATGCTCTGGACCTTGACACCATTCTTGATGATGCTGGTTGTGTGGCTGGTAATGGGAGTCGGGGTTCCCTCCACGCGAGCCCAGCAGCCGATCTTGCTGTGCCAGCCAACGATGGTGTACAGCACGCAAGCGTCGTGCTTGATCTCGGCGTCCTCCAACACGATAGACTCCTTGATGCGAACACCAGCTCCTATATGAGCACGCGGGCCAATCGAAACGTTCGGGCCGAGCTTGGCAGTCGGGTCAACGTGAGCAGAGGGATGAATGAAGACCGGAGGAATGATGTTTGCGGAGGGCGTCGCAAGCTCTTCTGAGCTGGCCTGGAAAGCCTTCATTAAGTATAAGGCATTAGCAGGTACCGCAGAGCCCGCAGTCTTAATCTGGCGCCAGAAGTCCTTGGTCTCCAAGACGAAGAACTCTTTGCTGTCGGCAATATCCGAGAGCACGTCTTGCTCGAGACGAATGACCTGGTTCTCCTTGTCTTCGTCGTCTTCGCCCTGGTAGAAGGAGGACTCAAGGTTCTCCGAGGAGGGATAGGACAGCAATCGGGGGCGTTCTGTCCGACGCTTGATAGCACTGCGGATGGCGGGGAAGATGCACTCGGTGGAGAACAGGTATACACCGCAGTTGATGAGGTTGGAGATGTGGGACTCGGGCTTCTCGACATAATGGAGCACTCGCTTGGTGTGTGCATCAGAGACAATGCAGCCGAAGTTGGAGGCGGCCTCGTTGGCAACCCGCGTGCCCAGCATCACGGCCTCTGCCTCTTTGTCCTCGAACAGCTTGAGCATCTCAAGCAGCGGGAACGAACAGCAGACGTCGGCGTTCAGCACGAAGAATCTCTCGGGCCTTCCTTTGAGTATGACATCTCTGAAGTGGTATAGACCCCCTGCCGTGCCCAAGGCCTGGTACTCGCGGAGGTATTTGATGCTGAGCTGCGGGAAGGCATTGGAAGCATAGTTTATGAACTCGCGGAAGACAGTCTCGTCGTAGTAGCCCACTATGAAGACCTCCTTGATCTCCGTGACCTTTGCGACGGCGACTAAGCAATGCTCGATGATGGGGTGGCCTGCAACAGGGAACAGTGGCTGTGGTACATTAGCACAGTAAACAAACGGAGTATCTCTGCCGAAAACTGTCGCTCAGGCCCAGACTCACCTTGGGCAGTTCCATGGACAGCGGCCTAAAGCGGGTACCTCTGGAAGGCCCGCCAACCTGGCTGCGTCAGATATGTCGTATTGCAAGGTGTCTTCACATGGCAATACCAAGATTACTGCTTTAGTCGACGGGGAATTGCTTCCCTTGGGTCGCAGGGAAGGGGGCTGCAGGGAGGCCATGATGGCAGTCTCGAGTGCACGGCGGATGGATTGATCGATTGAGGAGAGCGAGTGCGTGAGGCGGTCGTTAAGCGCTGCAGTGGAGTGAGCGTGGTGTTGAGTTTCGTGGCAGCAAAACGTGGTCGGTCCCTGGCAGGCTTTGGCGGTGAGGCGCGCTCTTGGCGCATTTACTCGCCGCAAAGCGTCCTGGTGGCAATCGCCTTCAGCTGGGGACGCGACTTCAGTTGCTATCACGCGCCCGCATCCAGGCACGATATCGCTTTATTCGCCCCAGCGAAGACGCCGTTGTGTATGGTTTCAGTCCATGTACTTCTGGAAGACGGGCCCCTGGCAGGTGGCCAGCCAAAGGCAGCACAATCCGTGAATCCGCCGATACACAGCCACACTGCCATACGCGCGCAAACTCCGCAGAGTGCCTCGCAACGCTGAGGAGGCAGAGTCAGAGTGGGCTATGCTTTCTGACTCTCTCCCTCTTTGTCGACAATCCGCAGGTAACATATCTACGTCGCCCTTCTCCTTCTCTCATCGTCCTCTACTCTCTTTCCTATTTCCTCACTTTCTGCTCCCATAATGTCTACTCCACTACCCGAACGGAGCTTGACCCCGTCGTGGGTCCCTCATCCATTCCATCGCCAGAAGAGATCCCTCGAAGAGCGCAAAGGCTCCATCAGCGATTCTGGTGCTCCCGTCCTTGACGTTCCTGAACTCAAGCCCGAGAGGCGACGTAGCAAAAGCCCCATCGCGCGCGTCTTTCACCGGCTGAAGCGGAGTTCGTCCAGTGCTTCCATCAGCGGCGCAAAAGATGCTTTCACCCGGCGGTCGAGCGAGGCGTCCAGCGGAACCTACCGGGATAGCGATGAGATTCAGGAAACCCTCACTCCAGACCCGGCTATCGAAGGAGTCAGCGATTGGTTCGCAGGATTTGACTGTTACAACCAGCTAGTCACTACCTACACAAACCAAAACCTCTTCAAGACGCCTGAAAGAGTTGAGACACTCATGCAGTTCTCCGACAGTCTAGAAAAAATTAGCGAAAACTGCGGAGGTTACCTCTGTAATGGTCTTCCCGAAGCCGTCCTCGACCTTGCACTGCTCTGGGCACCGGCTGGACCGCTTGTCCGAAACGATGACTCTCCGAGTTGGAGTTGGGCAGGATGGTTGGGGCAAGTAAATTACCCTTTTGACCCTACAAACTGTCCCGATCTCCACGGTGCCAATTCCACACTCTGGTTCAAATCGGAAATACGAGAGTTCCACCTAGGCTGCGAATCCTCACCCCACACTATTCGCCGAACGCAGGAACCAAAGCTGCGCATCGAATACCCCGAATACAACGAACCATTGCCTGATGCTAGCGACGAGGTCGATCCGAATTCAGGGACGCTGCAGTTCTGGACACAAACAATATCTGCCCGTGGTTGGGTGGTCGAGCAGCTGAAACGATCAAGCGGACAAATACCGTGTTCACACCTCGTCAACCCCAAGGGAAAACATTGCGGAGTTGTGATGGATTATGAGCATTCGCTGCCGAACTTCGATGCTAGTGCAAAATACGAATTTGCTCTTCTTTCGCGGAATTTTTCTCAAGAACCCATATCGACCGTGAAGCGATCGAAGATACCCACAATACATCCTCCAGGAACACCGATCTGGGAGAGCAAACGATTTTTATGGAACGAAGACGTGGTAGATTATGATCCGCGGGAGTACAAGGCCGGACCCTGGGCTGTGCTGAACGTCCTCCTAATTAAGTGGGAGGGCGGCAAGGCCGAACGAGTGGGTGTTGCCCGCATTCACGAAGACGCCTGGGCATCAGCTTCCCCGAGGCGGAAATTTGTTGTATTAGTATGAGGCTATGTTTTTTCGGTTTCATCCAAGCTGGAGGACAGCTTCTGGTGCTGTCACTTTTGCTTCATTCAAAGATTTGAACGAGATGCTGGTACATCATTTTGAGTGGTCCGGGGATTCGCTGGGCCACGCCAGATGATCGCTATTATTCTCCAAGAGAGGCCGGTCCTTGCCATGCTCCGATCAAGAAGCGGCTATTTCTAGCGAGATCGTCTCACTTCGAAGCCGCACCACATGGCACGACGATCAACATCTCGAAGACGTTAGCCGATCCTTAACTCTCCCACCGGTCGTACTTTTCGTCATATTAGAGTCAGCGCGCACTTCGCCGCCAGACCTCCGAGCTTTAGATACATGCCTTCACGACCCCTTGCTTAGCATCAACGAGCTGTATAACAGGTACCATTTCTTTCTCTTTGTTTAGTGTACCAATACAAATATCATGCCTTGTCTTTTTTCATTCTGTCTTGCTTCTGTGTTTACTGCATTGAATTGCTGAGCAAAGTTCAACCAGTGACGAGCATAGAAAGTATAACATTGACAGCACCTTGAGTATTTGACCGAATTTGCCTCGAAGGTGAGACCAAGCCATCTGGGCAGATTTTGACTTTTATTGTGTCTGACGCTACTCCGCACACGGTAGCCAAGCCACGGTCACAGTAATAGATTTTCATTCCCCTTTCCCGGAGCAAACCGCTCGTCAACCCCCGCTCACATCACCGCAAATCGCGGGATCCGGCACAGGGGTTGCAGGAGCGCAGAGCGTTTCACACGGCATGAACAATTGTCGGCTGTTCCCGTAACTGCGCGAAATCGGCCCGATTATCGAGTCAAGCGACGTGCCGGCGTGCGCTTGGGATTGGTTTTCCGGGGCGCCCCATAACGCCCTCACGACGGAGCGCCCATGCGCTAGTCATGTCCGTGGGAAGGAAGGGAGTCTGGGGTCAACAGGGTCCCACGAGGGTGGCATTGTGCACTGCACTAAGAACGCCCACTCCCGGCGGACGAAAGTATGCGATTTTAATCCCCTGTGCCTCGTTACCCTACTCAAATCACAGCAAGCTGCGTCAGCCACGACGCCTGCGTTGGCCGGATAGGCTTCCACTGCAGCGCCTTAACGGAGCTTTGATACCACGGAATAGACGAGGAACCGTCTTCCCCGGCCCTAGCCAACCTTGGATCTGCGCCGTAAGATTCCGGAAGTAGCCTTCCCTAAACCTTATCACAGCGTCCAGCATCGAAATCTCTTGGTTCCATGCCGCTTGGCATGTCCCAGAGGGAAGGGACGCTGATGGCGCGATTAATGGCGAGCATTTCTTGCAGATAAGTACTTGTTATGGGTAGGTCTGCTGCCAGCCCTGTTCACTCTCTGTCTCAATTCATTCCGATCGTGCCTGATCGTCCTTTGCGTACCACGATCCTATCGCACATCACGATGGCGGCAGAAGCGCTCCTCGTTTTGGCCGCGGTGTTCATGTCGATTACCGTGCTTTTTGTGGCCATGCGTCTCTTCACACGCCTAGTCTTCATGAAGAACATGGGGCCTGACGACTACCTGATATGCGTTGCAGTAGTATGTCTTTGTGTCATGGCCGAAGCGACTTAAGCTTATGCGTTCATCTAGATCTTTGCAATTGTTTGCTCGTCAACTCCTATAGCAGGTATGTACCGTCTAGCATCGCTTACAGTTCCCCATATGCTAACATTGTCAAGCGATCAAGTATGGCCTGGGAAGCCCTATTAAAGATCAGACGCCAGGAGAAGTCGCACCATATCAGAAGGTATTTTCAGTAGCAAGATCCATAATTCAAAATACTAACGACGTTCAGCTCACCCTCACATCTTCGGTGTCATACAGCTTCTCTGCCTTGTTCATCAAACTTTCGCTCTTGACCTTCTACACCCGACTATCACCAGAACGGAGCTTTCTCATTATGGTGTACGTGGCCATGTTTATCGTAACGGGTTTTGGTATCGGCAGTATCGTAGCCGTACTCGTACAGTGCATACCACTCTCTATGCTCTGGAACCCGAACCAAGAGGGCCATTGTTTCCACATAATCAACTTCTACTACGCCAACGCGGCTTTGAACATCATCACCGATGTTGGCATCCTCCTCCTACCGATGAAGCTTCTCTGGGGCTTGCACATGCCTATCAGGCAGCGCATCAGTTTGTGCGGGCTATTTGGACTTGGTAGTCTGTACGTCGATTCACTTTCTTTGGACCTTCCATTATCATAATACTCTGCTGTGCTCTATCCCAACTCTCTCTCGCCTAGATTGAATCTACCATTAACACCCCCTCAGGGTCTGCGTCGCCAGCGTCGTCCGTCTCGCGACCTTAAAAAGCATAATCCATTCCACCGACGCCACTAGGGACCTCGTCAGTCCTCTCACCTGGTCTATCGTCGAACTCCACACGGCCATCTTCATCGCCTGTGCGCCCGCCTTCAAAGCCTTCCTGCGCCGCTACGTGCCCACTCTCCTCGGCTCCTCCTACAATGTGTCAGGCCCCACAAAGTACGGCTCCAAATCGCGTCAAACGAAGCAGAATTCTGTGCCGCTGGGCAGTATCAGCCACAACAAGAGCGGGACGGGGACTGGATTGGGGTCGAAGTGGGCGAACAACGGGACCACGAGTGTGCGCGCAACCGGCCCCGAGGATAACGAGAGCCAGGAGCATATCTATCAGAGCTACCACGGGATTCTGCAAGAGGTGACGGTCACGGTGGCGAGTGAGCGGCGGAGTCAGGATGAGGCGAGTAGTCGGCGGTCGATTGACAAAGCTGACTTCTAGGTCAGAAAAGGGGGAGAGAGGGCGTGATGTGTGCATGATTGATATCTATGGCGGCTTGTATTTGCAGAACTTTTGGGCGTTCGAGCTTTTTTCGGGCTTTGTAGAATCTTATTTAATACAGGACGGAGCGCATGCATGATTAGAGGGAAACAGAATAGAGTTGACATCGGAATGGGATTGCAACACATCCACCCTTTTCATAACCAATTGACTACTGCACTCTTTATACACACAACACCATCGAAATCGCGAATACCTCCTCAAAATACATTTTCTACTGACCCACCTTCACACCACCGGACGGACCATCCCAACCACGCCTGCGCCGCACCCTGCGTCAATTCCTCCTATCGGCCCTACCCCCCTCAAACCCTCCTCGCGTGGCAGGCTGGGTAGACCCTGCCGGAGCACGCTACCCGACCCGCCCGGGCGGTACCAGATAACAGTCCTTCTTTAGCCCCCAAACCAAGAGCTTCTTTGGCTCCCCCGTCTGCGAGCTTATTTGGGCGGTCGGCCGAGCTTTTGAGTTCGAGCACTTTGGCGCGCGCGATTTAGTTAGGCTGGGGAAAGGAAGCTGAGAGGGTGCTACAGCGAGCGCGGCGGGCAACAGTTAGTGGTACCGGAGCAGCGGCAGGACGCCGAACACGAACCTCGGGAGGACTGCAGGCGTATGTACTCCGTAGCGGGCTCTGGGGAAGGTTGAGGTTAGTAATGGTATCTGGTGTCGTCGTGGTTCCGGTCGCTTGGGGCTGCAGAATACGAAAGTGTGTATTGGGGAGAGCTGTTTGAGCCCTTGGGGAAGGGGTTTGGCTCAGACCGCGTTTAGCACCGCGCAAACAGAGAGGGAAACGAAGGTTGTGAGACGTCTCAGATCTTCCATTCTCATACCCCTTTAAGCAAAGGCATAGACCTAGCGGCCCTTGCGTCCCTTCCGCACCCGTAGGTAAGATTTAAGCACATCGATGGACATGCGAGCTGGGTCCTCCCGCTATTAACCTGGGTTGATTTGTTGATCTATTCTGCGGAGGGCGAGGCCTTCGAGTCTGTTTCCAGGCCTGAGCGCCGCGAGTCGATCGCGGAGAAACTGAATATGCTAGCGGCTGCTGAGTCGTGGTGGAAGAGTGTGGCAGGGGTCGTCTATCGACGAGTCGTTAGGTGGCGTGTCTGGTGCATTGACGATTCAGGCTGCTATCGTTGCAGCTGTGGTGGATTGCTGGGGATGGTGGGGGATGGTGGGAGCTCACGAGGGGACGTTGGAATGGGGGTTCAGGGTCTGGGGGAGTGGAAAGAATGTGATATGTTGGTTGTGATTTTTTAGTGAGAGGTTGAGGACAGCAAAGTGGATATGAACTTAAAACTCAGCACTTAGCCACAACGTTCTGAAAAATTCCTGTCACATTTCTACCAGACCTCCAGCAACTCGTAAACTAACGAGTGCTCTACCATCCGACGCAATGCCAGCTCCCAGCCCACACACTGCCCCCCCAAACCCTCTGTCTCAATCCCCACCATCTGATATCTAAGTTAGCAATGGAACCTCTCCCCCCTCTCCAATGACCTTACTATAAAAGTTATTATGTAGCTTCCCCATCAAATGGTCTCCGTACATAGCCTCCTCATACTTCACCACGCCTCCACTCCTCTTCACACACCTCTTCAACGGCTTGACCACCGCATCCCAATTCGGCTCGTAGAAGAACGGCACGCTGACGCGATACCCCTCCCCGCGATGGATCACCCGGTGTCTCACAGAATGCCACTGTCCATTCGTCCACCGCTCGACCATATCCCCGATATTCACGACGAAAGCGCCGGGAACAGGATCGACATTCAAGTAGCCGCCGGATTTGAGCCTGACTTGAAGCGCGTTCTTGGTCGGGTCGGCAAGGAGGAGCGTCAGGCAGCCGTAGTCGGAGTGCTCGCCACACGAGAACTCTTCCACGCGGTCTTCGTTCCCGTTTTTTGAGCTCAGGGGCTTTGCTAAAGGCGGATACCCGATCATGCGCATGATCCAGAATGAATTCGTTGTGTTTCGGACGAAGACATCGTCGTCTTCCGTGCTCGCAGGGGCAGCTGCGTCTAGGGCTGGGCTGAGCTTGAGCGCGACGCCCATTGCGCCGAGTAGTGTGCTGCAGACTCTCATGCACTCTTGGATGTAATCCTCGTAGAACGGTCTGAGCTCCTCAGGCTCCTCAGGCCATGGATTTAGACCCTGCAACGCTTCGAATGGCGGACGCGGTCCATTGATCGTACCGACTTCGCGATACAGGTCCACGGCTTCATGCATATCGCGGGAGTTCAGGGTGACGTTCTCGCCGAGGCCTTGGTAGCCGCGGAATCCATCTTTGGCGCGAGCGATCTTCTCTTTCTGGGCTTTTGGAAGAGAGAAGAACTCGCGTGCGAGGGAGAGAACGCGGTCGGTGGTGGCAGAGGGGATGCCGTGGCCGGTGAGGTAGAAGAAGCCGAATTCGGTGCATGCGGAGTCGATGGCGCGGACGGTGGATTCTCGCTCTTCGGTAGAGGAGTTGGGATCGAGAAAGGGTGAAAGGTCGATGGTTGGGAGTGTCGATGCAGAGTCTTTGGTGGCCATGGTAAGGAGAGTGGTAGATGGAGCCGTCTGAGGTGGCCCCGAAAAGTGGACGAATGCTCTTATAATAGAATTCTCTCCCTCTCCTTCATGAAGGCTTGAGAGCGTTTTGAGGCGCTTCTGGCTACGAGGAGAAAGCTGGGACAAATACGAAGAATACAGCCGTCTCAATGGTTTAGAAGACGAAGAAGCTTGTCCTTCTCTAGGCTCAGTAAGGTTTTCATCGCAATCTGATCTCGAGAAAAGTTACCAGTGTAGAGGTTTGCACGATTTATAGATTGGGGGGATATGGAATATCGCGGGATTAAGACAAATGTAAAGAGCCTGAGGAGCGTTGTTTTGGTAAGAACCTGGATATAAAGAAAGATGAGGAATGTAAGAGGGCGACTTGATGGAAAAGAGTTGAGTTGATACTGCCCTGAGGAACGTTCCGTCTCCAGAGCGCTAGAAATTCTTGATGCTGTAGATGTAACGTGCGAACTTATCAGGATAAAATTCTGTAAGAACTACTGTGTGAGCTTTGGTATAGAGCTGTGACGGTTGAAAGCTCCTCTTCAATTGACCATGGAGGTGCCGGATAAGATCGACATTTCAATCGAAGCGCTCCCGCCTTAAGCCCCATTCATTACTGGCTGGTTGGAATAGTGGGGAAGGCAAATTCGATCCCGATTTCATAGCTGATGTCGTCTGACACTATCGGTTGATATATGCTCCATTCAGAGTCTATAAAATGTTCCAAAAGTGAGAACAACGGTGGCCTGTATTCTAAACGTAACAAGACTTTACGAAGTATTTATCTTATGACCAACGCCAACGCAGGAACCCCGCAATCATATAGAGTCTTTGAGCACGCTGTCATCCCACTCTCCTGCCTACCTGAGTAACCGGCATTACGTCTTACTCCTCGGTTGCTTCTTCGGGCAATTCGCTTTGCAATAATACGTAGCCAAGAAACACGCCAATGCCGCAAAGAGCTATATTGGAGTTCGGAGTTATATCTTGCCCAGTGATCTGATTCTAAAAGGCCATATAATCCCATTTCTCAACCCGTACCAACTATTTTTCTACCCGTACCAACTATTTTTCTTGAATCCCAATCTTCTTTCCAACTCTTCCTCATTTCCAATCATCGAAAATTCATCTCAACCTCCCGAACCTCCAACCAGAACCATCTCCTACCATCCTCCTCAACCTCGAAAACCAAAACTCCAACAATGTCCTTCACCCTCACCGCCGCCCCCGACACAGACATCTGGCGCAAACCCCCCGCCCACATCGCCTTCAACGCGCCCACCCACCCCACCACTCCCCCCACCCACGCCCTCTCAACCTTCAAATCCGCGCGCCTAACCTTCTCCCTCCCCCCCGCCTCAACACTTACCCAATACGACCAAGCCGGGCTGCTGCTCTCCCTAACCCGCACAGGCAGCACCGCCTCCGGCCCGCCCGAAAAATGGCTCAAAACCGGCGTCGAGTTCTACAACGGCTCGCCCTACGTGAGCACCGTGGGCTGCGACCAGTGGGCCGATTGGAGCGTGGTGCCGCTGTCTGTAGTGCAAGAGGCTGGGGAGGGGAAGGTGGAGGCGACGGTGGAGGTGGCGCGGGAGGATATGGGGCTGTGGGTGTATGTGGTGGAGGGGAGCAAGAGGGTGCCGTTACGGGAGGTTGCGTGGTTTTTCGCGGGGGAGGAGGAGTGGGAGATTAGTGTGGCGGCGTATGCGGCGAGGCCGGGGAAGGAGCAGCAAGGGGGGTTGGAGGCGGGGTTTAAGGGGTTGGAAGTAGTGGCTGGGTGAGTGAGAGGATGGGGAGGGGAAAGGGGAGAGTTGGGTCTTGGGGAGGTTGCATTGCATCGAAGGCGAAATGGATGTCGCTGTTGAAGTTTCGCTGGTCGTTAGAAGCACTCGAAATAGCACTCAATCGTGGCAGAATATCACTTTTGAAGACTCTCATGTTTGGCTACCATGGGATCCACGAATACCACTCATATAGCAGAATTCTGGTACATGAAAATCTGGAAGACAAAGTCTATGCAAACATGACACAGAGATTACTTGGCGTTCTAGAATAGTAGCATTTTCACATTCTGGGGCAAGATCATTTTGGTCAGAAAACACACAGCACGGTCGATTGGATATATATTTACACTGTACATGCGACGCAAGCTCGTCTATTTCTTTGGCTCCTCCTTTGGTGGCTCTGGCTTTGGTGTGGGCAGTTTGAACTGAATCGAGTTAGCTACTTGTTTCGGACGGAATGCGATATATTCAGATTTAGTATTAAGAAAGTAGGCACGTACCTGATCCGGCTTCCTGTCGTCTCCAGGACCGACTGGTTCCCACACGGTGGAACCGCTGCGGAAGTTCCGGTATGCCTGAGTCATTTCGAGAGGCTCCACAACAATCCTCTTCTTCTCCTCATCGTATCGGATCTCAGTATATCCAGTCATGGGGAAGTCCTTCCGTAATGGATGCCCGTCGAAGCCGTAGTCCGTCATGATTCGCCTCAGATCCGGGTGTCCGACGAAGAAAACGCCGAAAAGATCGTAGACCTCTCTCTCGTACCAATTGGCTCCGTCATACAGATCGCAGATACTTGGAACTGGGGTTGCCTCATCCGCATAGGTCTTGACCCGTATGCGCGAGTTGTGCCGGATGCTGAGCATGTTGTAAACGACCTCAAAACGCTGGTCCTTCGTTGGATAGTCAACGGCTGTGATGTCGGAGACTTGGGTGTATTCGGCAGCGGTGTGGTACTTCAAGAAGGTGAAGACGGGAATGACGCCGGATGGAGGGATGTAGATGGTCAATTCGTCCTTCCACACAGAGAATCTATTCAAGATGTTATTCCCATTGTAATGTAGCCTCCTTCGAGCGCCTTACTGCTGGACATATTTTGGCAGACACGACATGACATATTGACCGTATTTGTGTAGAGCTTCGCCCTTCTCTGCGTACTTGTCGGCCGGGTTGACGATCGGGGCCTTGAGCTTGCCGGGTGCGTCCCTCGGCGCGAACTACATCGATTAGAACGGTCGCCGAGCTTGCAATTGATTCAATGAGAGCATACCCGCATGTTCGGAGTCTCGGAGGCTCCCGTCACTTCTTTTGCTCGTAGAACCGTGGTGGTGAAAGCTCGAGGGGCGAAGGCGCTGGAGCTCGCAGCGCAGCGGGCGGCCACGGCCAATGGCCGGCTGGCCGACAGGCGGAGAGCCATCGATGGAGTGGAGATGGGGGCGAGGGCGGCAGAGTCGAGGCCGCGCGCGGATTGTGAACAGTGCAAATGGACGTCTCGCGCATCATCTAAAGTCGACGAGGTCGAGAGAGTCACGGGATCTGTTCGCTAGCGGCTTGGCAGCGCCATGATGGCAACAGCGTTCTGCGCGAACCTGCACGCTTTCTTCCTCAACGCCCTCCATCCCTCACCTCGTTTCTATGCCTCCAGGCGGAGTTCTATCTGCTGCTCTTGCTTCTTCACTCTCGCCCGACAGAGACCACACTCTCCTCCCCAGCTGCGCTCTCTCCGTCGCCGTGCCCTCTCCTTTCAAGCGCCACCCGACGACTGCGCTTGACCAACTCACCCCGTACCCCCATCACACACCACCGCCATGTCGCGACAGCTACAAGACCAGTTCGTCGACGATGACGAGGAGGAGGTGTGTCCGCTCTGCGTGGAGGAGTTCGACCTGTCCGACAAAAACTTCCGTCCATGTCCCTGTGGCTACCAGGTATGCAACCTCGCATTTGCGGCACCAGGCGTGCCCAGCTGGGCCCCCATCACTAACCATCTGGTCCCCTAGATATGCCAGTTTTGCTACAACAATATCAAAACCACCATGAACGGCCTGTGTCCTGCGTGCCGGCGGCCCTATGACGAGAAGAGCATCGAGTTCAAAAACGTCACGGCCGAAGAGTGAGCCTCGAAGATGTCTACGTGCATCATGACATACTAATACCATCATAGACTGGCGATGCACAAGGCCGAGATAGCCCAAAAAGCGAAGAAGAACGCTGCCTTGCGCCAGAAGGAAAAGCAAAAGGTCGAGGCCGACAACTTGAGCCGAAAACATCTAGCCGGACTGCGTGTGGTGCAGAAGAACCTCGTTTACGTAACCGGTCTGACGCCGACAATACAAGATGACAGCCTCCATGAGATGCTTCGTGGCAACGAGTACTTTGGCCAATACGGGAAGATCATCAAAATTGTCGTCAGCAAGGCAAAGGACACTGCTCACTCCAACTCTGTGGGAGTCTACGTCACTTTCTCCCGCAAGGAAGATGCTACAGCGTGCATAGCGGCTGTCGACGGATCGCAGAACGGTCCTCGGACATTAAGGTGATGGTTCCTGACTTCCTTGCTTAGATACGCGTTAACATTGGCTAGAGCACAATACGGTACTACGAAGTACTGCTCGGCATATCTCCGCAACGAGACATGTAACAATCGCAATTGTATGTTCCTACATGAAGCTGGAGAAGAGAACGATAGTTTCACTCGTCAGGACTTGTCCTCTATGAACGTCATCTCAACACAGCAACCGGCTCAGTCCCTTGCGCCTCATTCCGACGCGAACCCGCTACAACCCCAGCCTCCTCCACAACGAGCTCCCCAAGGCATAGCCGCAGCAGCACCGCCGATGAATCGACAAGACAGCAACGAGGCCCCGGCAAGCCCGACAAACAGTGGTGGTGGTGCAGCTTTGCCATCGACGGCGAATTGGGGCAACAAACCTTCCCAGGGCCGACGGGCGAGCCGCTCTACAAATGCCTCTACATCAAGTCCGATGACTACGAACGCTGTACCAGTAACACAACCGCCAACGAAGACCGATCCGGAGCCCTCGAAACAAAGAGGGAAGGAGACTGTCAAGAATGGGTCTCAGAAGTCAGCGCAACCGTCAAAATCGTCTACGCCCCAACCACCGTTGTCAGCCCGTGAACGACGTGGTGTCTCCGATTTGGACCATATTCTAAAAGCTATCGCCAGCCCCGATTTCAAATTTGTGTTCTCAGCAGCATCATTAACCCCGCAAGAGTTTGAAGTCATCTCTAATTTCCCTCAACTTTTGGACCCAAATGGTGGTGCAAAACGCCGCGCAATGAAGGACAAGCAGGAGCAAGCCGCCGAACAAGCTCTCGTATCGATCGCACCGAACATTGAGCCGGAGGACAATCCCGAAGGTGGCAGTCTGCAGTTGGGAGGGGAACCCGAGGAGCACCACGAAACTGCGCCGGGCCGTGGACATCAGCACGTTATTGCACCGCCTTCACAGCAAACCATGGGGCTGGGCTTTGGACAAGGCCTAGCTGACGACTTTGGTGGCCTAGGCTTGAACGGCCGTGGTTTGACTGTACAGCAGCAGCAGCAACTCATGCTACTCAAGTCTGCGGCGCCTCAATCCGCGGGTCTGATGAGCAATCTCCAGGGTCACGGCCAGCAACAACAGGCCTTGGGACAACAGCAGTCTGGAAGCGCACCTGGACACGCCAGACATACCTCGAGATTCAGTTTCGCAAATGACAGCGCAACTGCTTCAGCTGCCGTTCAGCCAGTCGCCAACGCGAAGCTCATGAACCAGCAATCCTCCATGATGCCGAAGAATACCAATCACTTCAACCAACTTGGTCAGCACCAAGCTCTCGGAAACCAATACTATACGAGCGGAATGCAAGCACCACCAGGCCTCAAGGCAACCGGAACACCCCCAGTGAGCGGCGGTGGAATGTTTGGTCAAGGCCATGGTTTTACCACTGGCGGAGTGGGCTACGGTACGAATGCTATGGGAAGACCCAACGAGTCCTACCAAGATCTACTTCGTGAGCGAGGCACCGGCGCTAGGGGGCCTGATGCTGGAAAGCGTGAGTCAATGTTTCCTTCTTTTCTTCATCAACAACACCCCACGACCTCTACGCCAGCCCCTGCCCCTGGCCTTCTAAGCTTCCCTTATGGTGCCTCGCCTGGTGCATATCAGGATTCTGGTCCCCAGAAGCAGAAGAAAAAGGGAAAGAAGCACAGACATGCTAACACTTCCTCCTCTGGGGGAGGTGGTGTAGTTGATGTTGCCGACCCAAGTATCCTGCAGGCGAGGTTGCATCAAGGTGGAGCTATGGGCGGCCAGGGACTCTATGGCGGCCAAGGTCAAGGTGGGTTTCCCTCCATGTACAACAACAACAACTTTGGAGTCGGCGGAAGGTGGTGAAGACCGCCTGCACACTTGCACTTTCTCTTCTTCACTTGTCTGATTTTGCACTTTGTATCACTTTGATGAGGATTGCATGGCGTTCTGGGGACTGAGCACAGCGAAGCATCGGCACATACCAAGCAGATTGGCTATTGGGGTTGCCTGTGGCGTTTTCAAATGGCTGTCATTCTCATGCGGATTTCTGGCCTCTATTGCTAGGCATGGGTAATTGCGGGTCTTAATACCTTCTTCTGTTTTTTGTTCAGCTTACGGGCGGCAAGCTTTGTTGCCTCTGCGAGGTTCGTACCCCAACCTCCCTCGTCGTCTTCGTCATGGCCATCACCTGTACGTAAAATCCCTTTCCGGCCGATCTCGCAGAGACGGCAAAGGCTCACGATTTAATTAGAAAAGATGGCATCTTCATTTGTTTTTCTGCTCTATCTATTCATGTGAAGAAGACGACCGAGAGAGGTTGTGGTGATACTGTCAAGCTGCCTTTAACGATCTTGTACCCGGAGCTGCCCGTCCCGCAACCATCTTCCCAAACACTCCTCACACTTACACTACACTTTAGAAAACTGTCTCTTATGTTCTCACGATGGCTGACACCTCATCCAGATGAACCAGAGTTTGCACCATCCGAGCAGGCGTCGTTGAGTGTAGATGCCCTAGTAAACGATGCTGACCCATATGGAGACGCCAGAGTCGACTTCGAAGATGGTAGCAAGAGCCATCCCGTAGTCAGCAGTCATGTCCTTGAACATCCCCGTCGTGCTACCCCTACGATTCCGCCGGGGTTCTCTGCCCCAAGTACGCCGAAGTTCCCGTCTGACGTCCCGCTTCGTCCGCATTCCAGAGCTGGCGCTGCAGCAATAACCCCAGCTGTCCCAGTGATACCAGCGACGCCCGTACGACCTGCAACACCTTTGAGAGCCGTCACCCCAGTGATCTTGAGCGTGAGACAGGAAAAGTCAGCTAGTCGAAACCCATTCGGTACCCCTGATGCGCCACGCGTGAATGCACATCCGCAGGTTACCGCAGCCAAAGTCAAGGAAAAAGTATCGGCTACGTCAAAGGCACTAGAGAAGACTCTTGATAACCGGAGGGATGTCAAATCGACAACTGATAGCACCACTACGAAAGGAAGCACCGTCTCGGGGTCGCCCTCGAAGCAAGTCGGGAAAGGAAAGAGAACAGCGTCTGATACTTCTTCATCTATCGCTCCCTCGCCAGCTCGCCAAGCCAACGTGAGCCCTCTGAAGGAATCCAAGAGCAATACCCGAGCAGTATCAACTCCGTCGAAGCGCCAGCCTCCTGGAAAACTTGATATCTCTGCAGCTACGAAGTTATCTGAAAGCGATCTGACTGACTCCGCAACCACGTCCGCTGCTAGCAAGCCTGACACGCAGGCCCGAAACCCTCGTGCGGTCTCCCTTGCATCGACAGGCTCACATCCGCCAAGTCCAGCAGTGCAGTCGGCAGGGTCGCCAGTCAAGCGATCAGGCCCGAGAACACTCCGTGTTGTGCCCATGCCGAAGTCGGAGAACGCTCCGCCGCTGTCAGCTTCGTCGGCAGCATCGACGATACCACAACTACCCACTGTCGGAAAGCTACGCTCCAGGCAGGCCAGCCTAACTTCGCTTAATCAGCCTGGGACTCCGGCCAGCGATCTGATCTCAGACACCACCTCTATTACTTCCGCCTCACTCTCGCGAGCCAACTCACCCCCTCCTGGAGGCAAAGTTGGCACCGCGCCAATAAGGCAGAAGTCCAAAGCTCAGGCGAAGAAGGACAGACAAGAGCGTGCGAAGCAGATTGCCGCAGAACGGTTCACAGCTATGGAAGACTCGGTGAAGTCTTCTGATCCGGAGCCCGTACAAGCTCCCATCATTGGACGCAAGAAAAAGGCGAAGAAGCCAGTCACTAGTAGCAATGCTACTTCTGCTACTCCAGCTATGAGCCAACCAGCTTCCCCCAAGCCCACAAAACACACGAAAGCGGATGATAGTCATGATCTCGCGGAAGCTCCAAGCTCCGCAACAGCTCCTTCAGCAGAAGCGAGAAAGTCTCCCGCGACGAGCCCCCCAGACGTTCAAAGTCCAGTTGAAGAGGCCTCCCACTCCATGAAAGGCCGAGGAGAGCCAACTGCCGCTTCCATTCTCGCCGACCTTCAACGCACTGGCGACCTTCTCGCTTCTACCCTGGAGTTCTTCAAGCCACTTTCGGCTTCACTTGCACACACTCGTAACGCCTCCCCCATAACGTCGCCCATCGACCCGAATGCTCATCCATCGCCACCAGACCTCAAGATCCACTTCTCGGAGGCCGACCTTGACGCACTCGCCAAGAAAATGCCCGTCCGTCTAGGTGGCGAAGACGGGAAACCCAGCTCCCGCACTCTCATTACCCCACAGGGCAAATTCCTCTGGGGCCTAAGCAAAGAACTAGAAGAGCGTGTCCTAGAGCTCGAACAACGCGTCGAGGAAGTCAAAGGCATCGCCCGCTGGCACGACACCAGGAAAGCCTCAAGACGGCAGAACGGCGACGGCCCCGACCGCAACGCCTACGGCGACATCCACAACGGCGTGCTCCCAGCCATCGCTACCGCGCTCAAAGAGGCCGGCGCGAAGTTGGGCAAGCAGTCACAGAGTGGGGCGTCGCCTGCCGCAAACGCGAAGCTGCCCCCGAAGCCAGCCATGTCGTTCGACGAGGCGCTGGGGTATCTGAATCAGTGGGTTTTACCGCATGACAGTCCTGCTGACCGACTTCGTAGTGAGCAAGACTCCGTCGGGGGGCCGGCGCCTATGCCCCCGAGCCTGGCTGCGGCCGCAAAGATCGTGGCGGCGGGCAGCGGCGATGTGAATACGATTCCGATCCCGGATCTGGAGAACCTGGGCGTCTTTGCCGCGGAGGTGCTGGGCGGGTATGTTGTGCAAGGGCTTGAGTCGCTGGTTGGGGCTGGCGCGATGGGCGTCCCGAGTTATGGCGCAAGTGCGTATGGGAAGGTGGGCTCGGCGGGTCATGCTGGTGCAGCGGGGCTGAGTCAGGGTGCGGTGTTGAGTGTTGAGGAGGCGGAGCAGGCGATGTTGCAGAGTCGCAAGGAGGCGGAGCAGTTGGAGAAGAAGCTGAATGCGCTGGTGAAGCGGAATAAGCGGATGCTTGCGGGGACTACGGGGGGCAAGTGATGGGAATGGGGGATAGATGGAAAAGGAAAGGGTGAGCCCTGGCTGTATTTATATTAGTTTTGGAGTTGGGAGCAGGGAGGCATGGTGACAGGCTGTATGAGCCTGAGCTCTATTGCATCATTCCCCTACCTTTAGCGGTCCGTAGGGTTTTCGGGCAAATGGGTACGGCATGGCGACTCTTATGCGAGGAAAGTGGAGGATGATGTATTATTATGGCGTGTAGTGAAGATGTAAACATGATTATGAAGTTGAGTACTCTCCAATCTGCACAATTGTGTGTTACTCGATTTCTAAGGCATGATAGGCCTTCTCACTCATTGGGCTCCGTTGAGAATCAGAAAAGGTGGGACCGGTGTCGTTTTATTAGGATTGCTTGGCAGCAATTTTGATGTGACGTCCGGTGGTCGACCTATCTCGCTCCTCACATCTACTTTGAACGTACTTGCAAAACCGGCTTCCCATTTCGTACACATGGATTCTCAAAGACCCCTATCATACATCCAACCTTGCTGTATACCAGCCAATCATCAGCCATCTAACAAGCATTGTCTTGATCTCGCTGTTCTGCTAAATCTGAAAAAATCTGCAGAGTTTGATGTGTCCTATCTGTCTGTACACTTCACTTTCTCACTTTTGACTAAACTATCTACTTTCAGCCACATCTCTCTTAGCATTAGCTACCAATTTCCGCCTACCCTGCCTCTCCCATCTAGCCAGCGCTTTTGAGGAATTGATAAAGCGGGGATGATCAATGCCTAATCTGACTTGTCAAAGCCGTACACATTGCCTCATGAGACTTATAGCCTCCGCATCTCGACCCTGGTCTTTCCACGTAAAGGCAAGGTTGTTCATGCTGGTGAGCGTGTCTGGATGGTCCGCTCCTAGTTTCTTCTTGCGAATCTTAAATATTTGCAACTCTAGCTCTTCCGCTGCCTCTAGTCGGCCTTGCTTCGAAAACGTTTCCGCTAGGTTTTGCATGCTCTTAAGCGTCTCTGGATGGTCCGTTCTTAGTTTCTTCTTGCGATTCTCTACTTCATGCACCTGCAGTTCTTCCGCTGCGTCCTATCGGCCTTGGCTTTCATTCGTTAACGCCAGGTTGTTCATACCAGCTAGCGTGTTTAGATGGTTCGCTCCTCGTTTCTTCTTAGTAATCTCCATCACTTGCACCTGCAGCTTTTCCACTGCGCCCCACTGGCCCTTATTCTTATAGGCCAGGCTTACCATTGCCATACTGTCTAACGTATCTTTATGCTCCCACCCGAAGATTTTCTTTCTTACTTCCATCGCTTGAATAGCCATCTCCTCCGCTTCAGCCCTATTGTTCACAGTCCACGCGTACCACGCTGCGTTGTGTAGCAGAGAGGACCAGTCTCTCAGTGATTCTTGTGCTAGCGGCTGCTGCGCCGCTGCAGATTTGACGTGTGGAAAAAGTTCTTGACATATGGGCCACTTTTTGTACTCTCCTATTGGGAATTGAGCACACAGAATCTTGATATGATGCTGTCTCCATCTTTCCAGCTGTCCGTTTGCTTCCATCCACGTCTTCATTGCTAACTGTACTAGCGCGTGCATCTCAAACTTAGATCGGCCCTCAGAAATTGAGATGAACGAGTAGTCCTTCAGCATGAGCACGTCGTCCTCAAATCCGTCTATTTCCTCATTGCTCTCACTGTCCTGCTTCTCACCCTTATATAGGTCTTTGTTGCGATGAAAAAGAAGTGATAGCCGCTGGATTCTTCGAGAAAGTTTCCTCTGCTGACTCTTTTTGCTTTCAACTTGACTTCGAACCAGCGTCTCGGGAATTCCCTGACTTTTTTTGACTTCAACTTGACTTCGAACCAGCGTCTCAGGAATCCCTTGCCGATCAAACAAGCTCATCAGTGCCAACAAATCAGCTGCTGATGGCCTGATTTGACGTATATGATTAAATGAGATGTGCCATGTGATAATAATGGAGTTCTTAGCTTCTTTATCTCTTCGAAGATGTCCTGCCTCGCTGTCTAGCAGACTCATTTTTTCGCGGTCGCTTTTGCGGAAGGTTTCGAGGTACTGCCACACCGAACTGCGCGGTGCTCTCCGAGAGATGTAAGCCGCTGCCTGAACAATAGCAAGCGGCATAAACTCGAGCGCTTCAGCGAGTTCGGTGACGCTTTTGCTATCATCTTGCTCAGGTAATTTTCTTTGTAAAAGTGCGATCGCCTCCGTTTCGTTCATTGGTTCAACTGTAACAATGTCACGCTGCTCAACTAGCTTCAGCGCCGCGTCTCTAGTCCGTGTTGTTACCAGGATGGATCCGTGCTGGCATTGTGGGAGGTATGACACGAGCGGCTGCAAGCTCCCGCCGCCCAACCCGGTCGCTTTCCCATTATGCGCAGTATCCGCCCCACGGACTAATTCGCGTGCGTTCATTATACTTCGAGCATCGAAAAGGAAATCGGCATCATCGAAATTGTCGAGTATGAGGACCCATTCCCCCGCTCTCTTTTTGTCACGCAGCCAGTCGTGCACGAGTTGGAATATATCCGCGTTTGGGTCCTGCCGTCCGGGGATCTTGAGGTAGCGTGCAAGGTCCTGATGATTCTGCTCGAATCGAGCACTGCTCGCATGCACCCAAAAGACCCACGTTTGCGGGGATCGCTCTCGGATTTGGTATGCGTATTCGATGGCGAGTTGCGACTTGCTTCTCTGCAGTTAGCAACTGTATTCTACGGGTGGACGCGCTGGTACTCACCCGACACCGCCCATGCCGACGAGCGCAGTCCGAGATCCTGGCACAGCACATTTTTGGTGGATCTGATCGAGTATGTTGCCCCGCTCGACAAAGTCTGTGTCACGGCTGAAGGGTAGGATAGCGCACGGGTCTGGTGGTGTTTCTGGTCGCTCTAGTAGGGTTGACGTTAGCGATGGCCGGCTCGCACCTCTTCTACCGCAACTTACCTGGCGGAAAATGGAAATCGGTATTGACGGGGCCGTTGATGATACCAGCTTGGAAGCCCGAGTTCGCATTGCCAAAAGACACTGACGACGCCATGGTGGCAGCGAGAAAGAGAGAGTCGACTGTCCCCCAAGGCTAGCGGCTGGAGGTCTGCAAGGTTGCCCAAAGGCTGGCAGGCAACCCCAAAAAAGCAATATGAACTCGTTTTTAGACGACGCTGAGACTGTTCCTCATCGCCTTACCATCACTACTGCCAACTACGAATGGCCGAACCTCTTAGTATCGCCGCGAGTATCGCTGGCGTCACGGTCCCAGCCTTACATGGTGCAAGACTGCTTCTGAACGACCTACAGAAGATCAAAGAAGCTCCCGAGACTATCCAGCGCCTCGAGGCTGATATCCGGTCTGTCGACATGGCACTTTCCTTGCTCCGGACCGTGGAAGATCGAGAATGGGAATCACTTAGTGCAGATGTAGCGGAGGAGTCGAAGACAACCATCAGCAGCTGTGCAATAGCATGCGAGGCGTTCAGGTCTGACCTCCAGCGGTGGATCCGACATTCCAAAGACGGGAAATTGACGTGGCACGATCGAGCAAATGTGGGCTTCTTCAAGCAAGAACGGATCAAGACTATGTCTGAGCAGCTTCAGAACTGCAAGCGCACTATTAACCAAGTAGTCAGCATAGCAACACTGTGAGTTGTTCCAGGTCGCTCGCTCCGGTGCTGAGATGCTGACTTGTAGCCGAAGGTATAGCTCTATTCGGCATACGCATATCACTGAAGAAATCAGGCAGACTATACACACTAGACAGACTGAGATTGGACGAGCCATTGTTGCGACAGATGATCAGCTGCTTGAATCTGGAAACAGGTTGGAAGAGATCAATGAGCGCAATATTGACACCAGTGATCAGGAACAAGCCGAGAGCAATGAGAGCAGGGCTGAGGCACTGCGGCAACTCGAGGAAGAACGAAAAGCGTTGAACGCGTCACGGAAGCTGCTGGATGAGCTGCTATCCAAGTCACAGGAAGAAGCGGTTGCAAAAGCCGCTGCAGAGAACCAGAGCCGTTCAACTACCGTGATGTTCGGCAATCAGAACTCGGGTTTCCAAGCTGGTATCATTAATGGTGGGATTAGTGGACTTAGTTTTGGAGGAAAGTGAAGCATTTACCTAGGTACGGTACTAGGTCATCAGTTTGGACACACGAATTTTGCAACTGCTTGGCCTCTACTCTTGCTCGCTCGACACTACTGTAAGGAGGACCTCAGCTAGTAGGTATTAACTTCGTCAAAAGGTAGTCTGATATCTAATACGTTGGCATCGTACTTGGAGTTTCAAGCCTACTGGTTTATCCCAAGCAGTTGCAGGGAGTGCCCAAATTCGTGTCTTGGTACTGTAGATTCCGCATCCGAACAACTGAATGGCACCTTTAAACTGAGCTATGACTATGGAACTCTAAATTCTCGTGGCGGCAGTAGTGCAGCAAGCTCAAATGAGACTGTCGATGGTAATATTCATTATTTCTGTCATTTTACTACTGCATCAATATACATCCCAACTAGATCTACCTAGTCCCCGCCACCGACCCAACAGCGGTGCTCAGACACTCCATAACGACTAGCGATTCATACTAGTCAACAATGCTCCCATTAAGCACCCAAAGGGATTTTGGAACATCATCTCAACGTGAAGAGGTCATACTAACTTGACAACAGATCCAACAGTGGAACCAGCCGATGAACTGACTCAAAAGGAGACCTCGAAATGGCAAAATCTGAACTCCTTTGTGGCTCGTCTAACAGACGTGCACTTCGCCCCCTGGCTCACATTTCCCATCTGGCAACTGAGGACTGCACTTGAAGACCCGCCGTCTAAAGGGCCCGCAATGAATTGTAGGCTCTGGGTCGCAAGTGAATGGATCCTACGATGTGGACATGTGGTGCTTGAAGACTTGTTTTCACATGAAGGGCTGAAAGAAAACGTGGCTACCGCCCTGCGGTTGGGTCCACTACTCGTGGACACGCCGCCATTGAGCTTTGCGAGATGGGAGTTCTGGAAGAGGAGGTTCCTTGAGATTGGCGCGAACCGTGGCAGTCTGGAGCTTGACGATACAATGTGCGGACGGATTTTGGATACTTTACAGAGCATGACGGTCACCGAGGAACAGGACAAGCATCTCGAAAATAGACCCAGTACGACGCTAGGGTTCCGAAAGTCATCGCCGCGCTAGGGGCTTTGGCGATTTTGAGGTGGGCTATACTCGGCCCATATTCCGAAGAGAGTAAGATCAGATAAAGAGTTGACTTGAAATTGAATCCTGGCTAGAATGCACCGGTGGGTTGAAGTTGAAAATTGAATCTTAGTTGCAGTAGAATTCGAAGCTGAATGAAACCTGTAATTAGTAGGAGTAGATAAGCGATGAACTTCATCCAAACCTACGTGGAGTATATCTCTCTCTAACTACTGTGGGAACCTTACACCTAGAGTATCCACTGCGAGAGCCGAAATTGAGCTGGCGTAGTCTGATTTCGTTTACGAAATGGGGATACAGCGCTAACCAAATGGGGAAACAGTTGAAGGTGAGTTCTACAGGAGGCTGATGGCTAGTATAATCTGTATACTGCCCACGAAGCCTTTGTGAACCTATTCGAACTCCCGGGAGTAGATGGCTCTATTCGTTCGATGGCTCATTATTGGTTCGCTTACAACAAGGGAGCCCCATGTACGACAGGGATTGAAAAGAATCCGTATTCGTCAGGGCGTGCAAAAGGTGACGCCACTCTCACAACGCACTCCACTCCCTACACATCCACCCCCAAGCGTCCCCATATCAAACCCCTCATAAGATCTGTTCACAAAAAACCCACAAAACAATCTCCGTACCACCTAACATTCAACTCCCACCAAACCACCCCCCAAAACCACAGAAAACTCCACCATGTCCCCAACCACCCCCACAGCCCTCCTGATAATCGACATGCAAACCGTTTTTCTGCCTATGACCCGCACCGCCCTCCCCCACATCCTCACCCTCACCCACCACTTCCTCTCCCACAACCTCCCCATCATAGCAACCCAGCACGGCCACTCCCCAGCCGACCTCTCGCCGCCCTTCGCGAACCAGCTCGTCCGCAAATGGGGCGTCGACGGCTCCATCGCCACCGGCTCCCGCAACTGGGAACTGATCCCGGAAATCCAGGAACTCGTTACTAAGGACGACATCCCCGTGGTGCCTAAGAACACGTACGACGCATTTCTGGGCACGGGCACGGAGGGGGAGAAGAGGCTGGATGAGTGCTTGGAGGAGGCGGGGGTGAGGCCGGGGGAGGGGCGGGTGGTGGTGGTGGGCGTTATGACGGATTGTTGTGTGGATACGACGGGGCGGAGCGCATTTAATCGGGGTTTTGAGACGTGGGTTGTAGGGGATGCGTGTGGGAGTGGGAGCGGGGAGCAGCATGAGAGGGGGTTGAAGGGGTTTGCGTTTGCGTTTGGGGAGGTGCTGGGGACGGAGGAGGTAGTGGGGTGGTTGAAGTAGAGGGGGGCATGGGGGGTGTTGGAGGGGTTTTTCTGAAGGTGATGGGGTGGGAGTTTGGCGGATTTGGTTTCTGTTTCTTGGGAATTGGTGGTGAAGTAAAGATGCTTGAGCGACGGGGAGATGAAGCGATTGAAAGTGGATGAAAGCGATCGGATTCATGCTTTCCAGGGTCGATGTCAAGTTTGGATCCTGGACAACGTGCCAAAGTATCCTAAATGATTGCGAGGGAATGTAGTTTATTGTTTTAATTCGAATGGCTACTTGTGGATACATTATTGACCTCTAAATATTGATGGGGTTTTGGAGGGTGGATGAAAAGGACATATTTGTGTAAATCATATCCCTGCTGGGAGAACGTGAAGTGGATGGATTGGCTACTAGCGCGCCAAAGATCTAGAGGTTAAGAGGTGTGAGAGGTAATAATCGGACAGATTAGAGAAAACGAATTTTGAGCATGACACCTGAAGAAAGTAAAATGAGACCGTAGCACGCTCTGAACACATACAGCTCCCTTACAGATCCTATTCTTCCACTAATTGTTTCACTCATTCGCCAACTCTAGCCTCCGCCGCCTAAATCCACACAAGCCCAAGCATTCGAATGTTCCAGTTCCAGTCTTGCGGGGTCGATGACTGCCATCCACCAAAGTGCAAGTCGCCTTGGATATGCAGTGCAAGCGCGAAAGCCGCAGCCGAACCCGTAATTCTAACTACTAGAAGATTCCTGGAGAGTGAAGAAGATAATGGCATTGATTATGACTATGAGCGCGACGCAAACCCCAGCTCCAACGATCTTCCCAGCAACAAAAAGCCCTGTCAGTATAGTTAGTGAAGGGCATGCGAAAGAACTGATAGGGGAATACTTCCATAAGGTTGAAAAGAGGTCGCCACCATCCCCGGGAAGATACCCTCTGGCGTCTCGCAGCTGGTGCCGAACCACCACCCGACTCGTCCACGATGGAGACTGGGTTAGTGAGGGGAGGGACGACGTACCTTTCAAATACCCTCTCTTCAATCTTGCGATCCTCAAGGCCCAACTGTCCAGCGGACTCTCTACCACCTCCCCCGTCTTTCTCAGAACCGGTCCGATCTCCGCAAAGCAGTGGCCATAACACACGCGTACTCTTGCTGATCTCCCGCTCCAGGTTGCCACCTCTTCTCTCCTCTCACCTCGAAAAGCTATCTAGTATACCCTGGGATGGCTACTTCCTACCAACAAGCACCCACCTGCAGCCTCCATTGCACTGAGAGTCTGCCGAAACAGACCCCGCCACTTCGACTACAGGATTCCTCTTGTCAGTCCAACCGTCGTCCCTCTAAAAGCAAAAAGAAATGCAGATAGAAAAGCAACGCGAAGAAACAAAAGCAACGCTAGCAAACAAAAGCAACGCTAAGAAACAAAAACTTTTCCCTCCCAGGCCGTCTGCCCTTTTATCAGATCTTTTTTATTTTTAAGTTTTTTTGGTCTTTTGTGTTTTCGGGGGATCGCGGTAGAGCCGTAGCATCATCACAATCTACAGGCGCTCTTTCTTGCTGATCCTTGTCGAATGAGCCTGGCTTCATCACAATCCAGGTCTCCGGTGTCCATATCTTCGTCCGTATGTCCACCCCATCTCCTCTCATGTCCTCTCGTCGTCGGTCCGGTCGCGAGCGCGCGGTGTAGGAATCTGTCGGCATCTTAGTCAGGCTCGGTCGTCGAATCGGTCGTCTCGTCGTCCAGTCGTGAGCGCGCGGTGGGGGAATCGGTCGGCATCCCCGTCAGGCTCAGTCGTCGTAACAGTCCCCAGTAAGTCCCAGTAGTCTCGTCGTTCGGTCGTGAGCGCGCGGTAAGGGAATCGTCCGGCATCCCTATCAGGCTCAATCTCCAATCGTCGGTCTCCAGAAATACATCTCTCAGTGAATCCTAGCCGTGAATCCTAGCCATCGCAGCATAGTACTGCTTCTGCTTTCGAGTGAACAGTATCTTGCCGGTCTTTCCGATGTTATGCGTGAACATCTCGTCGGGAGATTTCCCGACCGAAAAGACCATCGTCGTCCGCTGCTTGTTACCGTAGTACTTTTGCCAATCGTCGTAGGCCAGACGATTGTTCCAGTAGTAACGTTGGACCTGATCGTAGCGGTGGAGGAATACTCTGCTCGGGTAATAGTCCACTTGGAAGACGCCATCGTCGTCGAAGTCGCCACAGGTGATGAAGGCCGCTTTCTCCGGGTAAGAGAAGAGGCGGCAATCGTACGCGTCGTTCTCAATGTGGCGCCATGATACTAAGCTACCCACAAAATGCTCCATCCGGACTAAGCGCTCCTTGCGATCTTCTTCAGTGAAGTCGTATTCGCGAACTTGAAATAGCGGCTCAGAGTCCTCGTCGGCCCATCTGACCCTCCTTTGCGGGAGACTGTCGGCAGAGCTTGTCACAGCCGCCTTAAGTATGCCCTTTCGCCACTCAAGGCTACGGGACATGGTCTGAGGTCGAGGGGGAGGCTTCGCTGGATTGATGGGACGTACAGGAACGGACCACTCGGTAATGGTGTCGTCAGGGATCTCGACGACATGATCGTTGGAGGACAGAAGGCTGCGGTCGCAGATGAGATCGTCGTCCCACATGCTCTCTTCCGTTACTGAGTCGTGCTCCTGCTCCTCGACCGCCACAATGGATGGAGAGGAGTCTCGGCGACCCTGTTCATCCACATCCACCACAAACGTAGAGGAGTCTCGGCGATCGCATGGTGCGATTGAGCCACTCACGAATGAGATTTGACCCCATACAGAATCATTCTCCCCCTCTTCGACCGCCATAATGAGCGGAGAGGAGTCTCGACGACCCTGTTCTTCAATGTCTATCACCAACGGAGACGAGTCTCGGCGATCACATGCCGGAATCGAGCCACTCACGAATGAGATTGATCCCCATGCAGAATCATGTTCCTCCTCTTCGACCGCCACAATGAACTGAGAGGAGTCTCGACGACCCTGTTCTTCAATGTCTACCACGAACGGAGACGAGTCTCGGCGATCACATGCCGAAATCGGGCCACTCACGAATGAAATTGAACCCCATGCAGAATCATGCTCCTGATCCTGCTCCTGCTCTAGGACTATAGAATCGAAAGGAGACGAATCTCGGCGATGGCATGATGGGACCGTTGGGCTCACGAATGAGACGATGCTAGGAGAGTCGTTCACGTCCTCTTCCTCTTCAACCGCCATAATGAACGGAGAGGAGTCTCGGCGACCCTGTTCTTCGACCTCCACCACAAACGGAGACGAATCTCGTCGAGCGCATTGCGAGGGCGATGCAGGGACGAGAGAGAGGTTACCGTCGGTGTCATCTACGATCTCAGACCTCTCGAACATCCTCATCTCGACGTTCAATTCCCTGATAACATCGCCGGTGAACCGCAACTTTGCGAAATTGAACTTTTCGCTTCGCGATGATTTCGACTGAGCATATAGCCTGTCGAAGACTGACAGTCCTGGCATCCGCAAAGGGTTTCTATTCCGAGGGGCGCCGATAACTTGACGTGCGGCGGCGGGAGCGGCTGCTGCTGCGAAATGATTAGCGACTTGTATTCTTGATGAATGAGTACGATCTGCGGGCTAGTGAATGTGACATTGAGGTGGGAGGTTATTCATGCGGCGGGGGGTGGTTCGCTAGCTTATCAAACCCTGCAGACTTGTGTTCGAGGTGTTTTGAATTGCGGTCTCGTTGCTAAGACGTTGGAGTGGGGATTGTGGTGTGCAGCCAGGGGGGTTCAGTGGGTTATGAGGCCCCGCAAGTTTGTGATGGAGGTGTGCTGATTCATAGCATGGGTGGAGAAGGTTGGAAATGTACTTACAACGTGCTTTGACGACGGGACGTGCTGAGGCTGGCGCACGCTTGTTGTTTGTCTGAACCGGAGTGGTTCTTTTGAGCGCACGATGTGGCTTATCAACTGTCTTCACCGTCAACGGTACCTTGTTCACACATTGAGGAGCACGAGGGGGAGAGAACTTAGCCTGAATACCAGCCTGGGCTTGCTTTTCAGCAAGAAGGGTTTTGACAGCGGGCGTTCGGCTAGGCGGAGGGGGAGGGCGGGTGGTAACCGGGCGTTGCGCCCACGGACGAGGTCGAGAGTTTCGCATTGCGGCTCGATCCGTGAGACGCTCTCTGGTATCTTGTCGGGGAGCAGTAACCTGTCGAGCAGGCCTAACCATGGGCTTTGCACCCATCGAGGGCAGTGCCTTCGATAGGACGGAGATGGCGGCAGGTCGCAGGAAGGGCATCGTGAGCGTATTAGGCTTGCAAAAGTGCGCTTTGTGATAATTCTGTACAGCTATCTGCATCAGAAAGACCTTCAGAACTCCCATTAGCAGGTATCGTAGCAAAAGGGCGGGTATTCTTACGATCTGTGGAAAGATGGTGAGGGGAGAAGGGGGCCAACGCCGCAACCTCGTTTTGAGTTTGTCGCCAAGACTCACGACACAACAACCTCAACTCCATGGCAACGGCATCCGCTGTGGTGGCTTCAGACGAAAACCGTGCGCTGAGCGTGATGATGACCAACGCCATGAGATGTAATTGAAAGACTTTTAACGCCACCCAGTGCGCACACAACGCACTAAGCGTTCCTCTCCAGGATGGGTTCAGGGGCCCCAAATGTACGAAAATTGAGTGAATACTTCGAGATGCGACTGCGACAATACGGGGGAAGAAGCGTGAGCATATCTCAGGTTCGCTTGAGGGCGTTTCATAGCCTTCACCGGCGCAATGTGCCTGCGAAGAGGGCCGCTTGGTGGCAGTTCATCGGACAGGACGTCCAAAACGAGTGACACAGTCGATAATGGGAGAACAGCCGCCTTCCTTTTAGAGCGCTAACCCTTCTCTTTCTGTGTTCACACATGTACACGGCCTTCGGTGGTACAGCATTGGGGCAGGAGGTCGTCATTTGAAATGGAATTTGTCACAAATTCACCAGAAATACTAGCAACATTTGAAACATACTCTTGAGAAGTGACCTACAGCGAATATTACTAAGTCCTAAGACTAGATACACGATTATCTCACCGCTTGTCTGCCACTCTTGCTTGCCATACACCACTGTCAGGAGTAGCCCCGCTGCTAGGTAGCCGGCCTGTCAATAGGTCGCCTAGGTTCCAACATCTGGACTTTGCATCATGTCTAGAATCTTGAAAGGCCATGGGGGCTCTCCAAACAGTGCGCTCTTACCGATCGATGTATCAAAGTCTAGCGTAGCTGTGTGCATGCTGCGGACTTCGGCCACCGACGACGTAAGATGGGCTACATTTAACACTTCCCGGACGGCTTTGAAGAGTATGCCATGGTAGTTATTCCACGTGAATGTGTTTTAGATCGTAGCGCTCAATCAAAAACTACCTTCTTGCCCTGGAAAGCCGCGGTCTGCTTCTTCTCTTTCGCCAATTTTGCAGCTTGCCACGAAGGATGCAAGGGACCGGTATCGTCCTTCTTAGGTTTTGGCTGATTAAGCTCCACTTTGTTGGCATCGGAAGCAAAATTTCTCGTGTTTCGAGAATCCCCAGACCGATACCTACCGTTTCGTCCACGGGAGCCGTCCTGTGCGCCTCTCTTCAGATCCCAGCCTTTGTCGCGGTCACTGGTCTTAGCTTCCTTGATGTGCTTTGCTTCTTCACCAAACTTCTTCTCCGCAAGCTTGCGCCTTGCCTGCTGGCCTCTTCGGTTCTTCCTTGGTTGAACGTCCACGTCGTCTTCTGGTTCGGATTCGGAGCCTGACCAATAGCCGCCTGTCGTAAGGGAAGGAACGAAAGTAGACTCAATAAGAGCTTTAGATGGCTTAGATGACCCAGCTTTTATCTCAGGCTCTGAGAACCCCTCGAAGGACGACTCCTCGGATGACGGCGGTGGAGAAATCGAGACATCGATTCTTGGGGAGACCTTGCTTTTCAACCTCACGACCCCGCTATCAGCATCGCTTCCGGAGGCCTCGCTATTGTCTTCGTCCGAAGAGGCTGCAATGCGAGCCTTGTATTCTGGGTACTCTTCATCATCGCTTGTATCGCTCTGTCGTTGAGGTTTGGGTTTCCGCTCTGCCGTAGGTGTAGTTTCCTTGTTTTTGGCCTTCCTAACTTTTACATTGCGGTCTTCCAGCCCTAATATGCCCTGAATATCGGTAATCAGAGTCTTCATTGCAGTCTGAACGGGATTGGAGTTGTATAGGCGAGCAAGAACGTTCAGAGAGGCAGTATCCACGACAGCACGGGAGGGAGGTTTGACAGAAGGAGGGAGAGCTTCAGAGGATGCTATGGATTTTATTTTAAGGAGGCTTTTGTGTATGTGGTCTTCTGCGGCGCGTTCGAGGTCGAGGGACTGCGGAACTATTAGTACCATATCAAAGTCCGCGTATATAAAGCTTACGGACTTTCAGAGCTAGAGCTTCCATGTCAAAGCGTGCAAGAGCAGCATCATCCTTCTTTTGCTTCGCTGTCTTTCTTCGTCTTCCGGATTTCTGGCGCTCGAAGCCCGCAGCAAGCTTCATGGCGCGGCGGACGACCGTCTTTGCATGATTGATCCTGTGCGCACATAGACCTGTCTGCACAGCGCGTTCATCGTCGGGCACCGACCGATCTGGAGGCCCGGATTCTAGGAATTCGGCGTGTGTTCGTTTCGCCATGTTGCGAGGCTGCAGACCGGCGAGGAAGACGTGAAGTTGTGGAAAAGTTTAGTGTATGCCGCACGGACCACATTTTAATTCAAGCCCTAGACCCTTCGTGCTTCCTCCGACCTCCATCCATCAACGAAGAACCCGAAACTACACTCTCACCCGTTTCTAGCCTTGGGATCAGGTGTTCAAGCACGTAAGTCAACAGAAACTTGGGATCTTATCCACAATGTGCCGAAAAGAACGCGTCTACTACATGAGAAGCTTCATCTATCAGTCATTGATGCAACCACAAAACGGTCGGTCACACGGCCATACATTTCTTACGATGATGAATCATTCTTAGAGAACACATGTTATGAGCTCGACGCGTTTCGCTACTTCTTCTCCTGGGCCATATTAATGCATTACTACCAATCCTTCGAATCTAGCCACGCAGAATCCCTTGTTAGATGCTAGCAGTCTTGCGTATAGATCACACCCAAATCCGCCAATTACACCACCTCCTTGGTTTCCGCAGGCGCAGCTTTGGATACCACCTCTTCCAACGGGTTATCCTCGTGATAGATCTGCTTTTCGATCGCCATTGTAGCCTCGTCAGCCAGCGCTTTATCCTCGAACACTGGGAAGAAGTTTGTCAGCTCGGCACGCAGGATGAAATTTTGTAGCAACTTACACAAGGCGAGTTCCTCCAAAGTTCGGCAACCAGTCTCAGGGAAGATGAACTATACGAAGACGATCTCAAAGGCGATCCAGCAGCAGTACGTTATTAACCGCCACCACGTGATGTTCGCAAGCCCAATCGGGTTCACGAAGGTTGTGAAGAATCCCGCGCCTCTGTCCCAGGATTTGAATATGGTGATTCATCTCGTTCGTTGAGCAAAGGGGAACAACTCGACCAGATATGTGTAAGTTAAGGCGTTATAGCCTATGTTGTACGCTGGTGAGTACAAAAAGACGAAGAATATTGTGAGCTTTGCCGCAGCTTCCCCATGTTTTGTCAAGAACCGTTGCATGGAAATGGCCCAACCGATATAGACGCAAAGCAGCGAGATGGTGTAAGTCATATACACGACTCGCCAGGGGAATCGGCGAACCAAGAGAGTGGCCGTAATACCGTTGATCAACTGCCAGCTGTTGAGTCCGACGTTGAGTTTGCCCTTGGATTTTGGATCCGTGTATCCTATTGGGACTAGAAGATCGTTAAGATTAGGGATTATGGTTTAGGTAAGAGCTATCAGCCTCGTCCAAACTGTCGTTTTACAGTTTTTGATAAATCTCAAGAGCAGCTCAGGTGATGCGAGGCAAGTGTACACAGGCTTAAAGAGAGTGTCTATCTAAAGCATGTAGGATTTTAGTAAGAATTACAGATTCGTGGACTGCCACTTTTTGATCAACGAACCCTGCTCGTTTGAGCGTCCCTAGACATAGCCGCAATTTGAATTGATGAAGCTGGATGCCGAGTCACGTGGCCATGCCAAGAGAGCGGGGATGGACATAAAAACTCCATTGAGGCCAGCGGGGCCCCGCGAAAGCTTACTGAAATCTCAAGGTGTCTCACACGGACCACAGAACAGTTCAAAGTGGATGAAGAATGGTGGGCCGTGGTGGGCCGTGGTGGGCCGTGGTGGGAGTAGTGAGGCGGCCAGCGAATAGATGTATCGAGCTACCCTGCACGTCACGGAGTCGAGGGACCGCCAACACACCAGGTCACTCCTCTTCTACTGGTCTGTGACTTTACCCCAACGTCGAGAAACAATTCCATGTGGCAGTTAAATTGGACGCCGGTGCCGTCGACTGTATGGTATACCTATTCCCCAGACTTGGCTCGCCAATTTGCGCCTCCTTCAGTTATCCACTTAAACCCCGGTTGCGCCGACGTCCTGAAAAAGGAATGGGTCTTCAAAGGCCTCGTGATGTCAGATTGGGCTGGCACGTACTCCTGCAGCGAGCTCGTTAATAGAGGCATGGATTTGGAGATGGTGAAGACTTCAGGATCTCTTGATTTCATTCTTTCCCTGACATATGATTCAGACTGGTCCAATCAAACATGGCGGTAAGAAGCTTTTAGACGCAGCATCGAGAGGCGAGGTAACAACAGAGCCCATTGATGTAGAGGCCTATAGAGTACTGGAGCTCATCAAACGAGCTGACAAATGGACCAACCCAATTGAGATGCCTGAATTCGAGGCAGCCAGCAAAGTAAGGGATGATCTAAAATGTCGTGCGGCAGCAAAAGGGTTTGTGCTTGTGAAGAATACTGATTCCGTACTGCGTTGCAGTCATCGGGCATCATACGGCCGCCACGAGTATGTCTGGAGGGGGGTCCGCTAAGCTATTCCCGCTTAAGGGCGTTACGCCCCTAGAAGGGTTGACGAATTCTGGAATCAATTACGAGTACTCACCAGGAGTCCTGGTCTATAACGCGATTCCTATACCGGATATGGATGTCGTCAGTCTGGTTGGATTGTCACCGTCCCCTGAGACTCCCGTTCTTTGAGTGGTTCAACGCAACCTCTTCAGATAGGAGACCTGTTCGAACAGACTACTTGAAACGACCGGAATACATGATCAAAGAGGCGTGGCCGCAAGATCTAAATGAGATCGACTATTGCTCCAAGATGCAATCTATCCATCGTTCTCAAAACGACTGAAGACCACATCCTCGGAGTCACGACGACTGGTGAAGTCGATATCTTGGTCGACGATGAGCATGTCTACCACCGAGAACAGGAGATGGATCTGTTCTTTGAAAGCTGTAATTTACTCATCACCTTTAGAAGTTCCCTAAAGACTACACTGACCGCACTCAGACGTCTTCCACAAAACCACCCTGACCCGCTACATAACCCACCACATGATAGCTAACCACCCATACCGCATCACTTTCCTAACCAAAGGCGCCACCGACGCCGCTCGCCCGCCCCCGCTCCTCCCAACTCGGCTCCATGACCTTCCTCCCAGGTTCCTCCATCCGCTTCTACGAAGCCTACTCCCTCCCCACCCGCCTCTCCAACGCTGCCACCTCGAATCTTCCTCCGACCTCGCCCTCGTCTTCGTCGGCAAAACCGACGAGTTCGAGAGCGAGGGCTACGACCAGGACTCCATGGACCTACCCTGCGACAAGGTCTCTCTCATCAACGCCGTGGCTGCCGCAAACCCGACCACCGTGGTGATCAATTTCTCGGGCTCGCCGGTCGCGATGCCGTTCGCGAAGCTGGAGGGGGTCAAGGGGGTGCTTCAGTGCTTCTACCCCGGGCAGGAGGCCGGGAATGTGATCGCAGCGGTTGTTACGGGGCGGATCACGCCGTGTGGGAAGCTGGCGAGTAGTTGGCCGGTGCGGATCGAGGATTATCCGTCGTTTGGGAATTTTCCGTGTCCGGAGGATGGTGTATTGAGGTATGAGGAGGGGAGGGATGTGAGGTATAGGCACTACGACCGAGAAAGGAATGCGGCGGCAAGGTGAACGTTTTGGTATAGACTGAGCTATACGAGTTTCGAGTATGCTAAGATTGGGTGGGAGGGAGGAGCGGAGATGAAGGTGGTAGGGGATAAGTTGAAGCTGGTGGTGAGTGTGAGGAATATTGGGAAGGTTGTTGGGAAGGAGATAGTGCAGGTTTATGTCGCGCCGCCGGGGCATCAGGTCGGGCAGGGGAAGAGGCCGATAAAGGAATTGAAGGGGTTCGCGAAGGTCGAGGGGAGGCCGGGTGAGGTCGGGATAGTGACAATTGAGCTGGACAAGTATGCTTGCCAGCTTTTGGGATGAGGACAGAAACACGTGGGTCACAGAAGCGGGGACGTACCGCGCGGTCGTAGCGAAGAGCTCGGAGGAGATTGTTATGGAGGTATAGTTTTCTGTGAAGGAAGAATTTGTATGGCAGGCAGTGTGATTTGAGCTCCAGGGGTTAAGGTTGGCCATGTTTGTGGTCCCTACTTGAGGTGCTCTGGCATGGTATCGTGTCATTCATGAGCGTTCGAAAGTACAGTATCGAGACTCAAACTTTTCGTTCACTTGACCACCGTTGTATGAAGTCCTCCGACTTATTTCGAAAAATGAATGAAGTGTAAGGAAGTGGTTCTGCACAACCTGTAAGTTTGTGAGGCTAGTTCGGACGATATCATCCACGAGTACATAGTAGGGATGTTAGCTTATATATTTTAGATTTCGGGGTAGGGTGTGAAGCTCGCCTTGCAGCGGTAGATAAGTACACGCAGATTTTTTGCATAGCACTATAGGGCCATTTTGCATACCTAGAATGTTTATATGCATTCGGGTATTATACAGCTTTCTGTTAGATTGATGCTGCGCCCTAATTGCCCCCACCCTTACAGGCTAAGATGTCGTGAAGATCCTGACTCGAGTTGCAAGCAACCTAAGATCAGCAACTCATACGGTTCACGATCACCTGTGTGCACACCACCCCAGGTATCGCTTACTCTCCCTTTCTCTCCCTTTTTCTTCCTTACGGAGTTGTGTTGCTTCCTTGCTGTCAAGGGAATGGAGCGCCCTAAGGGGTAGTTCATCTCGTTACTCTATATAGTCCGCCTTTACGGCATCTACAATAGAGGAGAGTTCACATCAATTTCATCCTGAGTTCCTGGATATTACGCAACTTTCTGGCGCTCTAATTACCCCCGCCCTTTATAGGCTAAGATATCATGAACATTATGGATATTACGCAACTTTTCGCTACATAGTTGCGGTGCCCTAATTGCCCCCACCCTTTACAGGTTAGGTTTTGAAAGTGACCTGAAGCACTCCCAACAGCGTCAGAAAATGTGCAAGGCCTGATATTCCGTCACTGAATCCTCACGCCACACAATGAATTTTGATTTTGAGAGCATCTATTGGCCGCATGGCTAAGTCTAATTTACATATCTCCTAATTATGAGGAGAGCCTTGGATGTAGGGATTGATGTGAACCACCAGGTGAAATAGGCTGATCCAGCTAATAGCATAACAGAGAAATCCAAGCAGAGCCCTTGTCCAAATCATCCATTCGTCATGCAAATATTAGAAACCAAAGCAAAAAGAAAAGGTGATTGGGGAATGTGAAATGTGTAGATGATGACCGAGAAGGATGCTTTTGGAATGTCCAACGCCAGAAAGACCAACCTGGGAAGGCTCGCTGAATGAGGGCAGTCTATACTGCTCAGAGATCACGGAGTGATTGAGCTGATGCTAAAACTCGACTAAGGTTGCTGCATCCTCTACAGAAAGAAACTCCTGCAGCTTATCATCGATTTCCCCCTTCTCCGCAACTAGGATAGTCGTCTCGCCCTCCGTATCCGGGAAAAGTATCATCGATGCCGCCGTAATCGCAAGGCCAGGCGGACCCACCTCAAAGAGATCGCGGAACTTGAGATGCTCCAAGTTTGAGTCGTTACAAAGCATGCCACAGGCCTTTGCAAAGCACTCAGGACCAAAGACCACTTCCCGTAGACTTAGGGTGCGAATATTGTGGGTGTGGTAGAAGCGTCTGAAGGACCCGTCTGTGAACGCCATGCCCCGAAAGTGGATGTGCTGTAGCTTCGGCCATTTCATGTTGATGATCAGCTTAGTAACAGCACCTAAGTTTGCCGCTTCTGTGGGTGAGTCGATGTCGCCGAGGTGGAGGTAAAGGGACTCTAGGGCGAAGAGACCAGAGAAGAAGGACTGGATTGATTTCGCTGCGCGGTCGTTGGAGTAATGTGCGGTGTTGAATCCGTCGAAGCGGCCGTTTAGGGCTAGCTTCAGCGAGGTGATGGTGCTGATAGGCGTTGGAGGGTCTGCTGGGCCTTTGAGGTACCAATGGTTGAGTTTCATGAAGAGGTCCCAGCACACGAAGTTACCATTGACTGGAAGCTCTAGGATCTTCAAGTGGTAACTGTTGCTCCTGTGCTGAAGAGCAAGCAAGATCATAGTGGCATGGCAGGTGAGGGGCTTTTCTGCGTGCATGGACTCGGAGACCATACTGACCTTGGACAACGCAGGGAGATTGTTGAAGGCTGTTAAGAGGCAGTGGTTGGCCTTGCTGATGAGAGAATCTTTGAGGCGGTACTCAAGATTTTGCTTTTGTAGTGGGTCCATGTGAACGTCATCTGAAGTTTCGAAGATGAGCTCCTTGAGCTTACCTCCGAACTTGGTATTGCGGGCTTGTTCGACAAGAAAGCGGAGCTGGGTCAGACAGATTATGACGTGCTTTCGCGTGCAGTACTTCCTAGTGAAGTAATGAATAGTTTGGGTCTCGAGTTGCTTGCAGGCTTGTCGCAACTGCTTCAGGTCACAGAGTGGGAGATGCTCGGCAATCTTCTCCACAATCTCTGTCGGGAGAGCGGTAAGTGCGAGCTTCTCCTCCATCTCATTATCGGTAAAAGCGTCTAGCTGCTCGATCGAGAGCCCGTCGAGCTTAAGTGGAGGCTGACCACTCTGCGGACTCTCGAGATCAGTCATGACGGATGATGAACTGTTGGGATGATGCGACTGTGGGTCACGATGATTGGTATAGGTTCAGTCGGAAGATGTGTAGTGTCAGCTGCTGAAGGCTATTCGTGCTTTCCGATGGGCGTTTAGCAAACTTATAGTGACGAAAGAAGCTCACTATTGTGAAAGAGGAAAATAGTGCAAGTGAATAGGGCCAACAGCGTGACTCTGACTGACAATAGTAGACGATGACAATAGGAAAGTGCGAACTTGCTTTCACTAGTTGAAGCTGGAATCGCTTCCCGCCCCCTTCCGAAGTTACGGTGTAGCCTTCCTGCACTGCGCCGATAGAAGATGGTCACGTGGACAGCTCACTTCAAGACCACGGAAAGGTTCCCCTACCGACGTAGAGACCGGCTATTTCAGTCCTAAGGAGCGGGTAGATCGTAGAAGCGTTTGCTGCTGATGGACAACACAGGACTTCTGCTGTCGATGTGCTGGTGATGCGTGGGGGTGGTTCACTGACCAGGGGAGATGACTTCACCTTGACGAGAACAGTTGTGTTAAGTTCACACTTACTAGCACCTGGTGGCCCTATTTATAGCAACTGACGAAAGAACATAATCTAGGTTCTTTGCTGAATGATGTGAATCTGTCGCTGTCGTAGGTTTTCTACTCATAAATCGCATTGTCGGAGTCTGGTTCTGCCGCTTACCCACGCTTAGCCAAAACTGCTCCGTATATACTTCAAGTGGCAGTCTCTCTGACATGTGCTTGTGCGATAGGACTTCCTCTCCTTCGCCGCCACCGAGAACCCACAGGCACAAGAGTCGCAAAATATCGGGTTCCGGCCACCACAACCACTCATAAAGAGAAAGAGGTGGAAAGAGATACCACAGCACATCATCTGGACAAATCCAGTCTAGTGGATCACAAAATACTTATAAGCCCAATGCAAGTCCCGCCAGAAGGCCTCCTTCGTGGCAACCTCGACCCGGAGAGCTTGGGAATACCAGACCAGCTCCAAAACCACTGAAGCCATCAGGAGGGCGCGTTCCAGTGCCCCCAGAGGTTCGTCCGCGCGGAGATAGTGCTCGCGGTCAAGGACGTGGTCCAAAGCCGGCTGTCCGACCGGCACGCCCACCAAGCCCTGCAGCCCTTACGGTGGTTGGTGATATCAATATGGGGAATCCATTCCGAAATACACGGGCGGAAGTAGTCCCGAATAATGGGTTTTCCGATATGCGAGCCGTCATACCCCCGCGAAAACTAACTCCAGAAATTGCTCCAAGCGGGGTCTTTTGAGGCAGGGAGCTGCAGGCAGCTGAAGAAAAAGAACTCGTTGCAGATTCATTTCAAGGTGGTGAGAGATGCTAGTCTCAGAGGTCTCCAACACGAGATGGAGGTATTCAGGTAATAGCGGAAAAGAGTGAGATATGAGAGCGGCATTTGAGATAGAGAATGATGAACAAGATTTTATGATTATTGAAGGGCATGGAAGTAGACGTAATGCGAACAAGATGTCGGAGGCCTCAAGGCAGCCGCATATCAATAAACGTAGAAGGATGAAGGCTTGGCCTTCATTCAGGCGCTACAAAAGCTTATATAGTCACCGTAATTGAGATTGTAACAAAGGACTTCAATCACTGTAAGGTTAGGCAATGTCTATGCTTGAGACTTGAGCCTAATCTGAGGGCTAGAAAATATTACACCAGTCTCTGATTCTAGAAAAAGTGTTGGAGGTCCTTAGACAGTAGCATGTGAGGGTAAATTCGATCATGGAAATCGAGCCCAGATTAGCGTCATAAAATTGCATCGTGCGGTTCATGTATCAAAACCTTGTTGAGCGACTTCGGACTGTGGCATGCGAGACCGGACATGCCTCGTTAGACATCGAGATGGATTACGGCGTCAGGATTGCTACTTCGCTTCTATATTTCCGGCAAGGTACTGAGGGACTTCTGACGGTGCTAAATAACGTTCAAGGGGTAAAGCAGACGTGAATGAAATGAAAGATATATAGACTGTAAGAGATGAATGAAATGCAAATTGACAACGAAGAAAAAGCGATCTCATCTGGCTCGTCTCTCTTGCACCTCCGACCTCAACTTGATCACCATGCGCATGACTGTATTAAAGAGGCCCGCAAGGGTGGCATCGACCTCACCGTCACCGAGCCGCTGTGGCAATCTGTCGGTGTGCCAGTTAAGACATTCCATCTTCATAAATAGGAACATCTTGCTGGCATCGTCCTGGTAAGGGGTAGCCTTTCGGTAGAACTCTTCAACATTTTTATCGTTGACGTCTTCAACTTTGCCTGAAACGACAGGCCACGGTATTATTTGACGAAATTCAGCCTGTATGAACGTTAGTTCGTGCCGTAGATAGTAAAGGACGAAGTGTGAGCGTACCGACGTCGCTTTGGTAGTGTTCTTCTTGAGTATACCCCATCCCGTGCTGTATCGCAACCATGCGTCCTCCAACGTCTTCTTCTCCGCATCGGCTTTCTCCTTGGCTAAGCGTTCTTTCTCCTTCCTCATCTTCTCAGCTCGCTGCCTGGCACGCTCGTTCCGCTCCTCGGTCTCCCTTTTACGCCTTTCCTCTGCCGCTTTGCGCAACTTTTCTTCTTGTTCACGTCTTTGACGTTCTTCCTCCCGTCGCTCTCTCTCAACTTTCTCTTTCTCCAACTGTTCCGCCTGCCTTCTCGCCTCCTCTTCGCGTTTTTCGTCCTCCTTCCTAAGTCGTTCTGCCTCTTCTCTACGCTCTGTCTCACGCCGCTCTGTCTCGGCCCTCTCTTTTCTTAGTCTTTCTGTTCGCTGCCTCGCTTTTTCTCGCTGTTCCTCCATCCGACGCTCGTGCGCCTGTCGACACTTCCTCTCCCAATTGTCCTGCCTCCGTTTCTGCTCCCGCCACCTCTCCTCCGCACGTTCCTCCTCAGAGTCATACTCGTCATCTTCCTGCTTGAAGTGCTGTGACTCCACTCCTAGCTTCCTCAATTGGCGCAAAAGATGCTCCATCTCGCCCTTTAGCGCCACAGTGTCCAACCCCTTCGCCGCTGCTCTTTCCAGCGACCGCGCTACCTGCACGAGGCGCCGATGCAACATCCTCGTCTCCCGATCATGGAGTAGATCGTTCAATTCCATAATCTCATCCCACCTCTCATCCATATCCAAGTCCTCAGGTTCCCTTTTGACTTGGACACGAGATGTGCTGTATCTTGGTAGTTTGGCGATATCACTCATCCACCCGTCGACTACCTTATCAACCTGACTTTGGTGGTTGCCGAGGCATAGCGTGTGCCTCGCGAGCTTATACAGTTGCACTTGAACTGAAGAGCTATGTGGGCTTAGGTATTTGAGGTCCTCTAGGATGTTGAACGCGGAGGCGCGATTGGCGGCGTTGATATGGGTTTTGCAGCCGCGGTGTTTGCTATAAGCGTAACCGACGCAGGTGAGGGAGCCGCGGTGGCCGTGGTTTATGATGTTGAGAGTGGTCTCGGGGTCCCATTTAGGGGCGGAGTGGAGGCCCATTTTGGGGGCGAGGATAAGGGTATGACTGAACGTGAAAGAGGAACACCGGGATTCCAAGAAGATACACACGACTAGGAAAATGACTTCTCTGAAATAAAGAACACTCAAAGCACTACTTGTGACTGTACTTGCCCAGCGAAAGACCCATCATATAAACCCCACCCCGACTCGCAGTGGGAGACTGCATGAACCCACAGCCGCTAGTCTCACAGCCACCTCACAGCACCTCCACTGCAACTGCATGACAGGTTGTTACAGGGGCCGCATAGTACCTGTCACAAGCCTTGCAGGGGAGAGGCGAGGCGGAGTTACCGCAGCCCGAAACGCATGAGGTTTGCCCAGCGGTCGGCGCTTATCGCGTGCGGCACAGCACTTGGACCCCTCACCCCACACGGACATTGGACCCGCTAATTTGGGAATCTGTATGAGCTTCTGTTTTCGTGTTAGTGGGTGGAATGCTAAGCCACGATGGTTAGAAAGGTGGTATGGGGGGCAGTGGGAGTGTGCCGACTTAAGTCTAGAGGTGAAGGCTGAGGAGGCTCGGCACGGGTTCCTGCACTTCCGGTATGAGGCAGGCGGGAAAATGAAGCAACCAGAGAGACGATTGAGGCCATAGGGTAAGGTTTCAATGGTATTGGGAAAGAAAACGACGTCACGGCTAGTACGTGCACGTATGCAACGTCGAGTAGAGATCTTTCAAGTTATGAATATCCTATGAATGAGAAGAAATATGACTGAAAATGGATAATTAAACACCGCTATGTGTATAGAAAATGTGGTTCCTAACGAAAATACGACTCAAATAGAATGAGCATCTGTTTTAGCGGCGCCTCTCTAGGCGGCTCTTATCACGTCTTTTTCTTTTGTGCTTCAGATCTTAACTTGATTGCTGTGCGAGCAACCGTACTGAACTTGTCCGCAGTATTTGCATCCGTAATAGCGTCGAACCAAAGTGGTATCTTATCAGGATGCCAATTTTTACATTCCTGCGCCATGAAATTGTACATCCGACCAGCATTTTCCGGGTCAGGCGTCGCCTTGCGGAAGAAGTCCTCGACGTTCTTTTCGTTCACATCCTCAAAGTCGCCCGAGAAAACTGGCCATGGAATGGTCCGACGCAATTCGATCGTTCGGCGAAGCTCGTCCTGCAGATGAGATTAGCTCATATTGTAGAAATTGAGAGAAGGGTAAAAACTGTACTGATGCAGCTCTGGAATCATTCCCTTTGACATCTTTCCATCGCTTTTCATATCGTGACCAAAATTCACTCATCCATCTTTTTTCCACTCCGGCCTTCTCCTTGATCAATTTCGCTTTCTCCTTCTTCCAGACCTCTTTTTCTTTCTCCAAACCGTCCCCTTTAAGGACCAGGAGCTCCAACTGTTTCTTTTCCCAAAGCAGTTGGTCATTCTTATCGGCTAATTGTTCATTTTTCCTATCCAACTGCTCGTTGCTTTTGGCCAATCCCTCCATCTCTTGTCTTGTACGTGCCGCTTCTTCCGTCGCTTTTCCCAACAAACGGATGTACTCCGATGTCATCCTTTCGTGCTCCTTATGTAGCTCCTCCTTCTCCCTTAGTAGCGTGTCGTGAAACTCATGTAGTTGTACGCAATCCGTGGATAGATCCTGATTTTTCTTGAGTAGCTCCTTCTTCCCCCTTACTAGCGTGTCGTGAAATTCATGCAGTTCTTCGTTTTCCTTGGAGATGTCTTGGATCTTCTTGAGCAGCTCCTCGTTCCTCTTGGCCAGCTTGTCCATCGCTTCTCCTGTAGTTTCTATTTCTCGACAAATGAGACGAATTGTTGTATCCCGCTGCTTCGTCTCCTCTGCATGCCGTTCCTCTTTTTGTTTTTGCTTTCTTTCTTGCTCAAGTCGCTCCCTCTCAATCCCCTCTTTCTCCCTTTCAAGCATTTCTTCTTCCCTCTGCTTTCGTGCCTCTTCCTCCTGTGACTCACTTTCCTTTTCACGCTGGCCCTTCTCAGTCCTCTCTTTTTCTAGTGCCAGCTTCAAGGTCGCAGTCACATCCTTCGTGTCCATCACCGTGCGCCAAAGCTGATCCATCGTGCTTTGCTCTGGGCTCAAGTCCCATTGCTCCTTACCTCGTGGACCCCTCATTTTCAGTCCCTCGAGCAAATATTGCATCTCCATGAGTTGACGCGTGACATGTGACACTGTATCCTCTTTTGTTGGATCTTGATTTTGAGGGCTCGCCGGGTCTTCTGCTGGTTTCTTCTCTTCCGCCGCCGCTTCGCCATTCTCTTCTTCCCCCGTTAGACCACCGTCTTCCGTCAAAACCTGCTCTTTCGCAGAATCTTCCTCTTGCATAGACCTTTGCTTTTCCTTAGACTCATGTCCTTCTATTAACCGGTCAATATCCTTCCTCCACTTATCCAGAAGCATGCTCTGAAAGTCGGCATGCGTGAGACAAAGCATGACTTCTGAAAGTTCATACAGGCAAACCGAGGTCTTGGCAAGCAGCGGACTGAGCTTTCCTATCGCCCATAGGCAGTATTTTATCTCAGTAGCGGCAGAAAATACCATACGATCACACCGCCTGCCTTTATCGCCTGCAAGATGGGCCATGCAAGTCAAATAATTCCTGTCAGGATTTTTGATGCGAAGTGTGACTTCCGGATCCCAATGGGGCCATTCTGGCGCAATATGAGACGAAGATGGTGGATTGTTCCCGCTCGTGTCGCCGGCCGGGGGAGGTGGAGGGGGAGGCGAGCAGATTGTCTCGGACCCAAAAAGGAACACTTTCTCCGGGTGGTAGTTGACTTTTTTATTGAAAACGAAGTCGCTGGGGTGGAGGTCGCCAGGCTTGAATTGACCAGGCAGTTCGGATGAGGAGTAAAAGGAGCTGGAAAGGCGCGGCTTGATATAGGGATCCTCGCAGGCGAAGAGAGACATTTTGGGTTATAAGGTTTTGATTTGGAAGTAATAGCCACGAAAGAGCTACGTTTACCTGTAGGTTGTTTGCAGGTATATGCTCGATGTATAAAGTCTGCCTACCCCACGTGTAGCGGGAGGGGGCGGGTATTAGGAACTTTCAGCCGCAGTCTGAGATCTGCCTTTTACGCTCACCATCAGGTTTCTACCCAATTTGAACATATTGACCTATCTAAGCAGGAATAGCGGCCAGGGGTGTGAAGCTGAGGCGTTGGTATTTGAAACATTTGACGCTTGCTCCTGCGTGCGGCACAGCAGCCTCGCACGTTCGCGACACAGATGGTCAAGAAAAAGTGACTTTGGTAGTGAAGAACCATTTACCGTTTCCATTCTGCTAGTCGCAAGGCTGAAGCACGAGGCTTGCAGGAATTGTTTGAAAGACCTGTGGGTAGTCTCAGAGATATGACGGTTTGGTCGGTTGGTAGGGGTGCATCGTTTGGAAAAAGCGTCCATCAGTCTACCGGAGATGCAACATTTGCAAGCCATCAAGTCAAGACTGTTCTGAAGAGAATACGTGCATGCCATCTGAGATCAAGTGCGCGGGAATTGCGTCGACTTTACCTTTCTTTTGCGCAGCCTCATAATCCGTAGTACCGCCCCAGAGGCATCGCAGTCCAAGCGCTGAAGACGTAAGTGCCGTAGAACTTCAGATCAGACCTGTTCCAATAAGTAACATCTTTATGCTACCTGAGATCAGTGCTTGCGAATCGGACTGGCTATACCGCTCCCTTTGCACGTTCTCAAAATCTATCGACGCCGCTCTAGAGACATTGAAGTCCGAGCTCTCAAGATATATCGTTTTTGCACCTTTAAATCAGGAAGATCATATCTTGATTATTGGCATGGTGCTAACGTGCGTGAGGCACCTCTAAAGATAACATAATTCGAGGGTGGGGGTTGTACCATGCCCGAGCCTGCAAATTAGGGGGCCGCGTTCGCAGACTCTCAGCGAGGCTTTCGGGAGTGACAGGCTCCAAGAAGAATGGACAAACGAGAAACAATAGGGTATTCGAGAGCCGAGTGGAGATTATTGATGACAATGGTGGGATATTGAACATATTTGATAGAGAAGTTGCCCGCTGAAACTCAGAATAGAAACCTGGCTAGAAGTCGCACCACGTGACTCAGAAAACTTGCACGAAGATAGTCTTAATTAATCCAGTTCCCGTCCTTTTCATACTTTGGTTTTCTAAGGTCTTTTCGGCTGTTGTAGCAGGTCAGAAAATGAATGAAGATTGGGTAGTTAGTCACGAGAGGGGGTCGGAGAGAAGGTCGGCCAAGCGGAGAGAGCTTTCCACTGCAGGGTCTTTGAAGAGCTTCAGCTGTTGGTCAACAACCGCCAGACCCCCTTCACAAACAATCACCCATCATGGTTCCTCGGATCGTCAAGTTCACGGCCGGCTTCGTGGGCGGCACGGCTGCAGAAGCCGCTTTCATCGCCCTCGGCTGGAAATACTACACCAAAGACACAAAATTCGTTCCCTTCACCAGCTCCTCGGCCGACTTCACCTCCCCGATCGCAAAGAAGCTCAACCCCTTCTCGAACCCGCCTCTCTGCATTGATCACGCTGTGCGAACTGTGCCGCTTTCCCAATTGCGCACGACAGACGAAAAAGAGCTCACAACGGACTTTTGCCGAGGAGTATGGTCGGGACCTGGGTTCGCATTACAACGAATCTATCTCGCGAGGAAATACAAAGCCTTGAGTGGACGGGAAAAGCACCTCTGGGAGAAGGATGAGCTGAAGATTTCGGAGTATCCTGTGGGGACGGTCCTAGTGGATCACTTCGAGGTGGTGGATAGGACCCCGAACAAGGTTCGTACCAGCTATACGCTTTCTCTCTCACACTCCTACATGCTGCTTGGGCTAGGTCTATGGGCTTCTGAGAAACAATTAAGCTAACAGAGCCGTGTGTATAGGTCACGGTGCGATGTGGAGATTCCCCGCTCATAAGAGAACCCAGGCCTAGCGATGGCTTGTTCACAATTGAGGTCACAAAGGACGAGGCAAACCAAACTGCGACGTTCCATCTCAAAAGCATATTCGTGAACACATCGGCCGACGGCAAGAACGCAGAACCATTGCCGCCTCGATTCATCTGGGCGCACAAGGAGTACACGAAGCTGTGGATGGAAACCAGCGTCCGGAAGCTCTTGAAGTAGGCATATCTGGCATACATAGGTGGTCTTGAATGCTGCGCCTCGAAACTGCGCGATGCACGACTGCAACACTCTGCTACGTTCACGGTCTCGGCTTGGCTATTCACTCGGGTGGTATATCTTCGCAAGCAGCCGGCGGGTGTAGCTGCATCCGGTCTACTGCACGCCATCTGCACGGACAGATAAGCCCAAAAATAGTGATTCGTCACGTCGGCCACGACCCTGCCAGCCTGTACCCACTATTGCGCGAACCCTCTCACGACTGACGCGTCGCATCTGTTCCGGAACGTCGTTACCCCTCCGACTCTGCCTTGCTGGCTGTGAGGCCATCGAATAAGCCGCGTATGCGCATGTGCAATGCGCCCGCTTGGAAGACTCTTCCCCTGGCCATTACGAGCGACATTCCTCCTTATATCCTGTAGATACATCAAAGCACGCAACTTTTACCCTTGACTTGCCCATCTGGCTTTGCTCTTCACTCGCTTTTGTCGCTCCGCAAATATCTTATCGTGAACATTCCAATCGTTTTCCCTCAACAAGTCGAGTAACAGGTTACTCTCGCGTTTGCAGCGTTCGGCAATATGTATGAAAACAGTTCCAATATACGTCTGACCGAAGCGCCTCCGCCATATGAAGACATAAAATCTCCGGGCTCTCCCTCCAAAGCCAACCCTAAGTACTGGGGTCGGAAAGTATGGATTGGCGTCGCTGTTGGCGCTATTGTTATACTCATTGCAGTAATCGTCGGAGCTGTGCTTGGCGTTCGGGCGAATGCGTACCCAAATTATAGCAAATTGACCTATTCACTAGCAGACGACTGTTAGTACTATCCCTTGCTTGGCGTTTCGTCTTTACTAAACCAACACAGACTCGGGAACTGGGTTCTTCGATAACTTTGATTATTTTACTGGTTATGATCCTTCGAGCGGATTCGTACAGTACGTATTGCAACCACATATTGCCAATGCACTGGAAGCTAATGGACTGCTGTCAGTTACGTCGATTCCGCAGGCTCCCAATCCCTTAACCTCACCTATGCCTCCTCCTCCACCGCTATCCTCCGCGTCGACACTTCCGACACTGACGCCAGCACCGGCCGCAAATCCGTGCGCATCACCTCGAAGAAGCAGTACTCCTCTGGCCTCTTCGTTTTCGATATCGTCAACACCCCATACGGCTGTAGCACGTGGCCCGCCCTTTGGCTCTCCGATGCTTCCAATTGGCCGACCAACGGAGAGATTGATGTGGTCGGTACGTAAATAACTTCATTTACACGTGTCATGTTTCTTGGCTGACCTCACTCCAGAAGCGGTGAATGGCGCCACGAGCGGGAATCAGGTTACCCTGCATACGACCAAAGGCTGCGAAATGGACCGCAAGCGCAAAGAAACCGGCAAGGTCCTCCACAAAAACTGCTACAACGGCACCAATAGCAACGCAGGCTGCGGCGTGCAAGGCGCCGAGGATACCTTCGGACAGGCCTTCAATACGAATGGTGGCGGCGTGTACGCAATGGAGTGGCGCTCGGCGGGTATCCGCGTGTGGTTCTTTGCGCGCTCGAAAATCCCCTCAGATATCACTACCGGCTCGTCGCCCGACCCTTCGTCGTGGGGTACTGCGTTGGCGGATTTCCCGAACACGGATTGCAGCATCTCAAGCCACTTCAGGAATCAGAGCATCATTGCGAATATTGATCTTTGTGGCGCTTGGGCGGGCAGCACCGAGGTGTATAGTACCCAGGACGGGTGTCCGGGGACATGCACGGATTTTGTGACGACGAATGCGACGGCGTTTGAGACGGCGTTTTGGGAGTGGAATAGTTGGAAGGTTTATACTGCTGCTTGAGAGTACAGTGGCCTTTAATTGAATGGAGCTGTAGAATGATGTTCGGACCATGTGGAGGATCTTATAATGTCTTTTTGATACCCGGAGTAATGGGCGGCTAGGCATGGCATGGTAACATCCAATCGTTTTAAAACAATCCTTGGGTATATATCTCGAAATCTCATATTATTATAGCAATCTCAGAAATATCATTAGAGGTTCAACTTCTTGTCTAACCCTTTTCATATCGTTGGTCGCATTTCTCGTATCCATATCGAGTTCCTCTCTTCAATCAATATTGATTGGCTCTTCTCAAACGTCCTCGTTCAAATCTGCCTCGCGAGCTTGCGGGGTCGTTCCGAACCATGCGAGCTAAGAAAACCTCAATAAGCTCGGCAATCACCTATTTCCTACCTCTGCTCTCAGCCAACATCTTCAACACATTCTCCTTGTCCATAAGCATGAGACTCGCTCCATAATGTCTATCTGCAACGGGGCATGCCTGCTGCTCATTCCTCTGCTACTCATATGCATCGCAACCCTTCTCTGGACCAACACCACACCATCAACCCATCACTTCTCCCGCCGCAAATGGGTCCAACCCACCGGCTTCCCCGGCAACCCCGACATCTACGGCCTCGGGCATCCGCGTCGGCTACTACACCCAAGCCCTCTCCGTGTGGGCCGCCGACCTCTGGGTGCCCTCCGAAGCCTCCTTCCTGGACAACATCAACGTCCTTTTCATCATCGCTATGCTAATCGGCATCGGCTTCGTGTCCCGGGATCCTGCGACTACCTACGCCGTTGAGCCGTACATGCTGCTGCAGATCACCTACTGCATTGCGTACGTTGGCACGAACGAGTTTCGGAGTGCGGATGCCAGCTATTGGGTGTTGAGGGATTTGAGCTTTCTGGGGCTCGATGGGTACAGTTTCTATTTCTGGTGGAGTGGGCTCGATCAGATGATGCCGACGCCCGGGCCGGAGGGGGCGGTGACGAATGTGTGGTGGCTTACGCAGGCGGACCTTTATGGGTGGGTTAGGGTGGCTGCGAAGGTGGCTGTGGTGGGATTTCTTGTGTTTAGAGGGATGAGGCTGGCGTTTACGTTGAATTATGCATGTGAATGGTGGAAGTTTCGGAGGGCGACGACGAGGCAGTTTTGGAGGGAATTAAAGGAGGATTTGGGGAGGGAGTTGAGGGCAAAGAAGGTTGATAGGACCAGTAAGAAAGGAATGGAGGAGGGAGTAAAAGAGAAGGAGACCTACCTCGCCATTCCGGATATTGAGACTACTGGACTGCCTGTGGATGGAGACGATATTAGGCCACGGCGTACCAGCCATCGACGGTGTAGGTCCTTGACCACCATCCGAAGTCAGAGCGATTTCACGTCACGCTCTCCCTCACCTATCCGGTTCAATATTTCCCTCCACGTTCCGACACCTAGCACCGAAAGCCACTCTTCACACGTCAATAGTTCAAACAGTCCCGGGCCAATATGCGATACCTTCGGCGGCCCCTGGACCCGCACCCCAGGATTACCAACTCAAATCCCAACCTTCACAGAGCTCTACACAATCGAAAACTATCTCTATAGGCTCCTCCCGCACCTCCACCCCTCCTCACCAGCCTTTTCGACCCCGTACTTCCTCAGCGAGCCCCTTCGCCTCGCCCACCTCACAACCCTACTCTACTACAACTCCCTCACTACGCCAGAGCCTCTAGCTTGGTATCGCCCGCCTATCGTTCTTTTTCACACCCTTCGCCGCGCCTACCGCAACCACCCACCCGCTTTCCACTTCCGCCTTCTCACCGAGTTACATCTCGCGCACGTTCCAGCGCCGCGTTGTTCCAAAGTTACCTTTATCCTTGGCCCGGTTCTCAGTTTACTGGTAGTTAGTTTGCTGGTTATTGCGGGCGAGTTGACCATTCAGTGGAATGGGATTAAGGGCGTGCAGGGGCTAGGGAGTGTGGGTCAACTTGTACCGGCGGTTATAGGAGTAGGTGGGCTGTTCAGGGTTGGGTGGGGCGTTGGACGCCAGGTTCTAGGGCTGAGGGATCGAGGGAGGAGAGTATGGCATGGCGGCTATGAGGGGAACAGGGACAGGAGAGAAGTTGAGGGCGCTGCAGAGGTGTATTTTCGGATTAAGGAGGAATTAGAGAGGAGGGGACGTAAGAGAGCAGAAGTCTGATTCTAAGTGAGTGTTGAACTTGTATTTATCATTCGCAACAGTTGTCTCTGAAGTTTCACGTAGGCCTTAAAATTAACGGCATAGGTGCAGTACGTCTTTAATCTCAACGAACATCAGAGAGTTAACTAAATTAGCAGAGTTCTAGCGAAGACTAGAGCAAATGATTTCTAGTGATTACGTTCTGGGTCCTTAGCAAGACATGTGAGGTAGAGGAACCTTGCCCTTTCGGAACGAAGACCCAAGGCTTCCCCGGACCCCGCAAACTGCACCTGTGTACCCCAGACGTCGATCCATCGCTTCCAGTGAAGGACTCAGTTATGGCTCGTGGGACTTTAAGGACTTCGAGTTTCGCTCGGCTTGTTACTGCATTCGATCTCTCCCTGCATGATGCCGCATAGGCCGTGGACCTGGAACTAGCCATTGGCCATATCATATACAAGTAGTTTCGGATGCCGGAGGCTACTTTTGTACTCACTCCGCTCTCATCGGGCCTGACACCATCGGGGTGAAGTATAAGATGCGGTATTTGGGTTGCCATTATGTTTCCAAGTGTACGGATTGGCATCAATTGGCTCCCTAGTCTCTCAACCAAATCACATTTGAGGCCCGTATTTTCCACCATGAGAATCTCTCTACTCCTCACTATCTTTTCCAGTCTCTCATCAGCCACTGCCTTGGTCGGCCCCTCCCCACCTCTCTACTTCAAACCCACCACAAGAGTCATCCCTCCCCACCCCGTTGATGGCGAAACCAGCTTCATAGACACCCACCGCAACGGCCCCTTCGATGGGCCCCACACCGATCTCATCAACTCCACCGCCATCGAGTGGTGGTACTTCGATGCCTCCTCCATGGAAGGCGAGCAAGCCATCGCCGTGTGGTGGACGACGCCCAACCCCGCTGCCATCGGCCTCAACTTCACCAGCTCCAACTGGTTCATTTTCCACTCGAGATTCAGAGACGGAACGTCGTACGATACGTTCATCCCGGCGGATGAGGTGATTATCAAGACGACGGGGGATGGGAGTTCGGGGTTGTATACCGGGGCGGGGTCTGGGTGGAGTGGGACGCCGGATATGAGCCATTATTCTATGAGCTTTGATATCCAGGATGAGGGGATTAGGGGGGAGGTGCAGATCATGAGGGTAGATATACGCCCTTGAAGTATTGGGCATCGTGCTGACCTACCAATCAAGATAGTCCCCTCTCGTAGTGCAAAGCGTCCCGCCACCGACCTCGACGAAGACATGCGCAACATCGGCGCCCTAGGCTGGGCTCTCGCGGTCCCAGGCGGCGACGCGACTGCCTACGTCCAGGTCGGCGAGAAAACCATCTCCTTCGACGAAGGCAGCGGATACCACGACCACGTAAGCTCGTACCCCCAACCCCCCTCCCTCTCGTCCTCTACATGCTAACAACTCTCAGAACTGGGGCATCGGCCTCGCTGACTTCCACAACTGGTACGCCATCCACGGCCGCTTCGGCCTGTATACCTTCACCGCCATCGAAACCCTGCTGCAAGCTCCCTCTTCCCCAGATATCAACTCCCCCACTACTTTCGGCCAAACCTGGCTCGACTATAACGGCACCACCCTCGTTGAGACCCTCGACCCCTCCGCCGTGCGCATCCGCCCCTGGGGCAATGGTGCGGAGTACCCACCGAAGGGGTACTATCCGAACCCGCTAGGCGCGGTTATCACGATAGATGCGGGCGAACATGGGGTGTTTGAGTTGAATGTGACGAGTAAGACGAGTAGCCCGAGGGTGCCCATGGGGGTGGGTTTGGGGAAGTGGTTTGGAACTGTGAAGGGGAGCGTAAGGGGTGGGAAGGTGAGTGAGGGGCCCGCGATGTTTGAGTGGTTGGATTTGGATTTGGAACCGGGGGTGGAGGAGGGGTTGGTCGTGCAGGGGGGAGCTCTAAGGAGAGATGAGGGGGTAATGAAGGATGGAGTTTGGAGTAGAGACATGGAAAAGAAGAGGGGGTGGGTGGAAGGCTGAGTCAGCGATGGGATGGAAATTGGTAGGATGTCTTGAGAGCTTATTCAACCATTGCCCGAAATGTTCCCCTTCGATTTATGCTGGGTGGAAGGATCAAGCACCAAGATAAGGATTTCGTTCGCATGTGTGGGCGTGTGAGTGTAGGGAATCAAACCCAAGGAGGAACCCCAGAATGGCTGTCTGAAACATCTCCATCACTGGTAATCACCACCACTCCCACACAAACATGCCAAACACTAGTAAACCTCCACATAACCGCCACTATGCTCGACTGTTGTGTCGCCGCATCCGCATCCGCATAACGTAAAGGTGCGCGGCATCATTGCTACCGGTAAGATAATGCACGAAACACCACACGCCTCCACTAGCTCCATAGATAACCACCCAGCCATTATAGCATCGCACGAATCTAGTTTAAAGGATCTCCCACCATGAATTAGTTACAGCAGCCTGGTTTCTCCCAAAAGCCCTATTCATGTCGCTTTTCTAAGAGAGGGAAGGAAGATCTAGGGAGACGTTTAAGTAGGAGGGCATTTAAGGGTGGCACCTCAATAACAGATTTTTGAATGCCAGGTAGACGTAAATTAGGGTATTGCACGTGCTAAGTTGCGACCACGTATGTAGTAGATTGCGGAAGGATAGGAGAAGAGAGAATAGGAAGCATATAGGCTTAGGGTGGAAAAAGCCCGAAGGCCCTTCACACCGCTTACTGAAATCCTGCTCCCCTCTTTTTAGAGGTTTAATAGTATGTGAAGTAATTAGGAACAAATCCTGCAAAGTATCTCCTCCAATAAACGCAGCTGCTCAGCGTGCATAGACCTATGACATCGCCAATTAAGTAGACACGGTGCACAATAGAGCAGATGAAAACAATAGTTGGATATTGGGAAATCTGGAGGCCTCAGGTGAAGATCGCGAAGTGCGGCATTGCATGAAGTACTGCCAAGATACGCCAACCGAAAAAAAAGGGGGCTGAATAAGGCTGAAGATGTACCAGGCGAAGAGTGTGTCGCATGATTCGGATGAAAGAATTATTTCGTCTGAAATGTACATACAATTGAATACGCTAGGAAATGCTGAAGTGGAAGGAGGCGGTTTCGAACGAAACGGCTATTCTATTTCACCGCAGATGAGATTTACGCTAGGACTCAAGGCTACAATGGGGCTACCTGAGCGGGCTGCCGCCCTCCCTGCAAGTTTTAGGCTGTAGTATAGTCGTACCCTACGAAAATACTGTGGATACGACTAAAATGCCACCCAAAACTTTGCAGGGAGGGCGGCAGCCCGCTCAGGTAGCCCACTTGTAGCCGTTGCAGAAGGGTCTTAATGAGATAGCCGAAATGGTCACGTGATGGACTACAATGTCGTCAGAAATTAAAACTGAATACTCTCTTCCTCCACACAAGGGCAGCGTATTTTACTTCGTGGATCTCCAAAAGCCAAAAGAAACCCTTCTCAGCTAGTATGTAACATTGCGTTACTCATTTTAGCCTAGTTGATGTGATTGATCGCAGGGATCATAAATCTCCGACAAAGGCTCCGAATAGTCTCCGTTCACCATATTATAAGAAGACGCTGCTGTAACCTGTCGGCAGCCAAAACCAAATTCTACTTTGATTGTCTCACCGTCAATTAGGGTCATATTTTGTAGTCACCTCCCTTCACTCCCGCCATGGCCTTCGAACAGAAAGGCGACGACTGGAGCGCGAACGCCAAATCATACAACGCTCTTCCTCAGGATGACGAGTCTCCGATCACTCGTCCGAGCATGGTGCTTGTCAAGACACTCAACCACGCCCTCCCAATCGCCGAAGCAACCGCCATCCTAGACGTCGGCTGCGGCCCAGGAACGACCATCGGCATGCTGATACGACAGCTGGGTTCGCAGATCCCTCCGAATGCGCGCCTCATCGCGTCGGACTTCAGCGCGGGCATGATCGAGCAGCTCGAAGAACGTAAGAAGACGGCAACAGATCCGCTCTGGAACCGAATCGAACCACTGGTATCGAATGCAGAAGATCTAGCCGGCATTTATGACTCTTCAATCAGCCATGTCATGGGCAGTCTGGTCTACAACCTCATTCCCGACAGCCAAAAAGCTCTTGAAGCGGCATATCGCGTGCTCAAGCCCGGTGGTGTAGCTTGCATGTGCACCTGGGTAACTCTTGAATGGATGGACCTCATGAAGCTAGCCGCAGAGAATACAAAAGGCAACACGGCACCTGCTTCGTTGTTTCCAGAGCCGTGGTTGAGCGTGGAGGGTATCAAGAAGAAATTCGAGGAGGCTGGGTTCAACGACAGCACTTTTGAGACCCAGGAGGCGTTCATGGCTATCGACGACCCTGCTCCATACTTCAATGGGTTTGTAAGAGCGAAGAATCCGGCTGCGAACCTCTACATTGGAGGCTATACGGAGGAGGAGCTTGATCGGTTCGAGGAAGAATGGATTAGGCTGGCTTTTGAGCGGCATCCAAAGAGTCCGAAGAAGCTGAAGGGCATTTTCGTTGTCTCGACGGGGAGGAAGTGATAACTTTGGGACGCGATTCTTGATACGGGTATATACTAGAATGCGGAGGGAGGATCAGTTATATGGGTCGCGTGGGAGCACTGCTTCCGCGCCATTCCATTAATAAGTTCTAGTAAAAACACAGTCAATGGAAATAACTCATACAAACACTATTAAAAGGCGTGATGAAGAACGAATTAGATACCTACTTTGGAGCATTAAAAAAGGGGCGTAGGTCACGGGAACGCGCGTTGAAACTAGCGTGCGCCACAAGGGCCTAGCACATTTGGACTCACCGCCGCTCCCAACCTTATTTCCACTGCATCGTCAATCATCACCGGAGCACTATTTCCCAGATGCCATATTGTGCCTAAAGGGCATGTTCTGGTCTTCCTAGGCTCGTTTCTAGGTCATTTTCTTCCTGCTACCCCCTCCGCAATCATGGGCGACGTCCCCGGCTCTTCTCTCCCAGATCGGTCCAAGCAGAAGACTGATGTGAACGACCATCGCGAACGTGGGAACGCGCTTTACAAGAGTGGTAAACTTATCCAAGGTACTGTTCACCCTCTCTTTATTTCGTTTCCTTGCCGCCTCTATTCTTACGGATTTTTGTCAGCGATCGACGCGTACAAGAAAGCATGTACTGCCAGTCCCGAAGATGCGCGACGTCTATCCAATTTGAGCGCCACGTATTTTGAAATTGGCGAGTATGACAATTCAATCAAGCCAGCAGAGGCTGCTATCAAGCTTCTGAAGTCTCCGGATGACCCTCTGCGAGTTAGGCTCCAGACAAGAATATCCAAGGCTCATATGCATTGCTGCCGATGGAAAGAAGCTGAGGAAGCAAGTCGCAAACTTGGGGCTACGGATGACGATGAGTTTAATTCTGCCTTGAAACATGCCATTCGGCTTGAGAGAGATATCGAGACGAAAGCGCCGCAAGGCATGTTCACCTACGTATCAAATGTTACTCAACTCGTACCACGCTATATGCCCTCGATGTGAGCAGAATATGTTTTTTTCGAAAAGCACGAATCAGTACTTTATATTTACGTTTGGATCGAGCAATTGACATCAACGTCGAGAGAGGGTGTACGGAACTTGATCATGTCATTCCACCGACACACCTAGGCTGTCCCAACCGGAATATTACAATGTTGACCACGATGACTGCTCACCCCTGTTGGACCCTGCTGTCATGATGAATCCACCTTTCAAGGAAACGCTCACGGCTATGTTTGGAGGCATCGGAGACGCAAGACACCTTTACACAACCATTGCAGCCGTCGCGTCGTGGGAAGACCAAATGAAAGAAATGCTACGCATACCGAAGTATCATTTCACTTGTGTCCCTTTGAAAGCTCCCACTATGGCTAGGTTGCTCGTCATGCTGCTCTTGGTACATCGGTTACCTGCAAATACGACTTCCGACGCTGCACAGAAAATCAATTCCGCGGCATTCCACATTTTTGTTGCGCCCATAATGCCACTTTATGCGCACCAAGAGCTACAAAAGACCATCACTTTGGCAGTTGATATTCTGGAAGGTCGTTGGACCGCACCCAAGTGGATCACTATATATGAGCTCGACAGACCAGCTATACTCAACGCCCTCAAATCCTGGCAACAGAAGACTGCCGCAGCGTGGCCAACTGCAAAAATGGCTTTACTTGCAGCCAAGGACTTTATATCGTGGCCGTTGATGACCCAGTTCCGGAAGGTTGTGAGTTGGATCACCACTGCTATAGTTCTGGCGCGATGCTTCTACCTCCTCGCGCCCTACTCACTGAACGCGAACGCTCTTTCGTCGAGGCATTGAAGCAAAGCGGCAACGGCTCGGAAGAGCCTCAAGCTACTCTTGTCAACTTCTCCGACTATCTCGTACAAAACTGGCAACCAAATGTCACTCCAGTAGACATTGATGCGATTTTCCCGCCTATGGAACCGGATATCTCACACAATCCATTTTGCGTCGTGGGAATGCAGCTGTGCAATGTGCCAACGAAAGAGCTCCATCAGTTATATGACTATTGGAAGGGTTTCTTTATCGAGATTTCCCAAGCTATCTCCACCATGCGCGGCCGGATTGTCATTGAACTCATCGCTGGTGAAGTCACCTAGACTCTGGAGCATTTAAAATACAAAACTCTTGCGCATCGTAGGTCAAAAGCCATAGACTTAGTCGAAACTGCCTCTTACCCTTAGCGATACGACAGAATCCATCTCAGCAATATCCCGTAAGCATTGTCCTCCTCATGGCTTGCTGCTTCATCTTAATGCGATGCGCTGACGGACCGACCATGCAGGACTACATTGGGGGACCGCTCACGAAATTTCTCTACGCGCTTCCAGTGAATGATCCAGATCGCGATCCGTACATCACGTCGAATGTTCTTCGCAATAACCCTGCTTATGGGGGATCAAACAACCTGGATAGGTTCATGAACGAGAATTTGTGTTTGTACGGTTCTGAAAATTTGCTCAAGATGAAAGTAGAAAAGACTCGAAAGTTATTTGAGCCTAAGGATGACGAGGTGGAATTTGGTCTTCAACGCTACACATGCTGGAAGCGCCCAGGCGAAAAAAGGCTACAGTTCTTCGATCTCATGGAGCGCCCAAATCTCGAGAAATGGGTATACTCGCTCTTTTTGAAGATCACGCTGCCATATCCACGGGCCGTCACAGGTTTCAGTTTCCTTATTCTGGTCTTTTCTCCATTCAACGTATCAATCATGTCTAGGTTGCTCATACATCTCTCCGAGATAGGATACCCCGCCCACTGGCTTGCGTCCATACTATCAAGTATTTTGAGTGGAAAAATAATGACTAGAGCACGTCCGCCTCGCTCGTGTCCCCTCTCTATTGCAGAGACAACAGCCAATCGGCCTGTGAGGACTACCACAGCGACACCATTTGTTGAAGATATGCGAATCCAAGCAGCCATCCGGTTACCTCTCATGCCGTTTGGCTTCTATCCTAAATCTACCACATCTGGACGACATCTACCGGTACAAGATCCCCGTCAAGGGCGCAACGGCCTTGGGGTCCGAAGTGCCGCACTTCATTCTTGTGCTCTTCAATAATAATATCTGGCCTGATGGCGAAACCACAAACTTACGACAAGACCTTCTCGACGACGACAATAGCATACAGACTCCTGCAGTCAAGAGGTTTCGAGAGCAAGGAATTGTCGTCACCAGCGTGTTCAAGTTCACCAAAGTGGTTAAAAACAAAGCTAAAGAGGCAGCCCTCTGGATGGATAGGCGCGTCATAGAAAAAGATGTTGGGTGAAGGGACTTGAATGGTTGGTATATGGCGCAATGATGATTGGAGTTCGCAAAGCGAGCCTTGCGACTTGAAGGAGGGGCCCAAAGGGCTAAAGAGAGGAGGATGTTGGATCGACGTGTCTACCAAGAAGGATGTGCCCTGAGCTTGGCGATTCCCGACGAGGGCATCGCTGATCGCAGACGCAAAATAGAGCCGCATAGCTAGGAAGGGTTTCTCTGAATTGCCATTGCTTGCCTATTTCGCCTATAAATAGTTGAACTCCGAGGACCAGCGCTCATCGATTCTCCAGAGCTCCTTCTCTGCCCCGCTATGCTTGCTGACACGCTAAACGGAACCCGGTAAAAGCTATCATCTGCCCCGCATGTTTACGCGTGATATGCAGCATCTCCTACATATTAACGGCGGTTGAGGCGCTACAGCTTGCATATCCGTATCTATAACCATGGTGTTTGCCTAATTTCAACTTCACATTGTTACTTAAACACAGGCTACATCCGACCTCACCATTTTCTCTCCTAGCATTTCCTCTGACTTCAACAATTTCTACACTCTTCACATAAACCGAAGATCAAAAAAAAATTCAAAATGCCTCTCGTCCTCTCCCGCGCCCCCCTGACCGACATCCCCGAAATGATCGGCGTCGAGCTCAAAGCCTTCCGCGCCTCAGGCTACGCCGCCCACGCCGCGCTTTTCGGGCCCTGCAACACGCCCGAGCTGCGCAAAGCCGCCGAGGAGCGCGTCCTCAAGGGCCGGACCGCCAATCCCACGATCCTACAGCTGAAAATCACCGACACGGATACTGGGAAAATAGTAGCGGTGGGTGTATGGGGTATCGTGGTGAATTGGGTAGATGCACCGCAAGGACCCAAGCATTGGGCCACCGCGCCGTACTACGCGGAAGGGAGTGTGGAACGGGAATGCGCGGAGGCGATTTTGGAGGATTTTGTGGCGCGGAGGGAGAGGTATACGCATGGACATGCGCACATGAGTGAGTTTTAGGAATTTGGGGGTTAGGAGTGAGAAATGAGACGCTGATTTTGATTGCAGTTCTACATGACTTGAATACGGATCCGGACTACGAGCGGAGAGGATGTGCGAGCATGCTCATCAAGTACGGGCTAGAGATTGCGGATAGGCTGTTCATTCCGGTCTGGGTTGAATCGTCGCCGATGGCGCTTCCGCTGTATCAACGACATGGCTTTGAGATTGTGGAGGAGGTGAATTTTCCGACGGAGAAGTGGAGGCATGAGTATACGGTGACGTTGAGGAAACCACAGCTAAGCGTGCCGCTTCAGACTTGAGGAATAGCTTCTTAGACGCTTTTGGGGATTTCTCCTGACTCCATCACCGACCCCGGGAGGTCTGCAGTTAAGGTTCTCTGAATAGGACGTTGCAAATAGCGCCCACAGAGGTCCATACCTTCATGGCGTCTTCATTAGACCATCTTACTAAGCTCATGTCCGGTCCTGTCAACTCTTCTTCCACAGTCAAGCTGTGCAGCTTTGGAAAGTGTGTTGCCTTGTGGTAGGCGAACTCCATGATCCATGCGTAAGTCCATGGCTCAAACGCGGCGTTTCCGCTTCGCAGCTTTGCACGTTCCTGGTCGTTGGAGTGGAGTATATTCATTGGTTTTCCAGAGTACGGATTCGTTTTTTGTGCGAAGTACAGCTGAATCGTAATGAAGTTAGCATGCTAATGAACCAGCCGTCACATACCTAGACATTTACATTGACGATTCGAGTACTAGGAGAAGGGTAAGAGTTGACTCACGTTCAGTTTTGTCATGGACCAGGGGAATTGCGCATAAGTTCCGTTACGAGAGTCGTGCGGGACCGGCCTGTTGAAGAAGCAGTGAACTGGAAGCGTGATGCTTTCCAAAGATGAGAACATCTTCAAATCCAGCTTCGTGCCATCACAAAAAGGAGTTGGATGCGAAGTGTGGCTCTGCAAATTGAGTAAGTCGAGGGACACCAGAGTATCTCTTGTCGGAGCCAAGGCATGCTGTAGTTGTGCAGCGGAGAACAAAATGATTCCTGGGCCGGTACTGCGGAATGGACGGGGCATGGAGCCGGTAAGATGTTGTAGGTATGGACACCGCCTGAGCAACGCTTGGAATAGATCAAGCGACGTTCTGGAGTCATTGAGATTCAGTGTTTTAACTCGACAGGACTGTGATATTGACGTTAGATCTGAAGCTCGTTTCGAGTCTTCGAAAGTCTCCCCAGTTCTAATAGAGAAATCAATCAGTTCAACGTTCGGAAGAGACATGCAATCGAAGATCGTCGCAAAGGATACCGTTTCGCGTTGGAAGTTAACCCGACGGAGTTTTTCTAGCTTATTGATTTGGAAGAAGTTGGGAGAGAATGCGAAAAGCTCCCGCAAATCCTCAATATTCGATAATGCGCGCTGGATCTCAAGGTACACGAGGTTCGGGAGTTGTTGAAGCAGCTCGTTTGCCCAAAAGGACGCCAGAGGTTCAAACCCAAGCGTGATCTGGATCTTTCGCACCAGTGCCCTAAGACCTGGTGTCTCTTTCAGTGAGCGCATGAGTAGCCTCAATTTGGGCACATCGGAAGCTGTGATTTGGATGTTCATGGCTTTCACAAGATGTCGTGGCACCAAGGCACCGATCCGTAAACATACGCGAGCTAGTTGAGGGAGAGAGATAGCAGCGGAAGGGTCTCTCTCTTTCATGAGTTGAAGCCATCCGATTATTTCGTGTAGAATATCGTCATTGAGGTCGCTGAACCGAGTCATGTTTCCGATTGGATAGGATTCGGATTGACAGCTGCGGTAGCAACTCGGGTACCTAGGACGTTGGATATCTCTCTGCGCATGCAGAGTGAACTCTAGAGAAGGCGATGTCTGCAGACTTCAAATGAGACGTAATGGATTCAAGAGGTCAAATTTGGAAAAAATCCGAGTCTTATGACAAAATGTTGCCGCCTACGGCACGTCATGCGCAGCGTTTCATATCGGTCGCCTTGTTAAGGCCACCACGTACCTAGGTAAGCTCGAGGACCCGATTGGGCGGCGTATCAACGATCGAACTCTCCAATTGGTGGAAACCTCCTGAACGAAATGTTCCTAAAAATACCCACAGAATCCCATGTCTCCCGCAATGACTCAGCTTGCTGTCCCGTGCCGCACCATTCGACAAGGTTCTCGATCCTTGGGTTGCCTAACGTGTCTTCCTCGACGTTGAGTCTCCACAGTTTGGGGAAACAGCGGTGTTTGTTATGGGCAAACTGTAAGAGCCACTCGTAGGTCTAGGGTTTAAATGCTGCATTGGGTCCTCGGTACTGTCCCGGATATCCACGAATAGTTGACTGCTCGGAGGTGTGACATCGTGTTGCCTTGTAAGAAATCGGGTTCGAAGGGATAACCGGCAATCTGAATCCACAGCGTCCGAATATTTGGGAGTCTTTCTAGTAGCGCATTTGCCGGGCCATGTGCACCGGCCCCATAGTTGTGTCCGAAGATAATGTGAATCTCCCGCACGAAAGCCGCAAACTGTGGATTCTCGACAATAGTACGCTTGAGTAAGGCACAACTTGAGCCTCCTCCTTCCTCGTCCGAGATGGTAATCTCGATAGCTCGGAACATGTACCGTGGTATTATTGCACTGAACCTGTGGCAGAGAAGCCTTAGTTCGGCTAAAAAGCTGGTCATGTTGGTGTTGGCTTCGTCATCATAGCCTGATTGAGTCCATTTGAATATTACATGCAAAATGTCATCATTGAGATCCGAGAATTGAGTCATCGTTGTAAGGAGCGGCGATTCAAAGACGGTGCTGAGATTCGTAGAAGGGTAATGCATGAAAGAAGGTATAGAGAAAGGAACGTTGGATCTTGCGACGACGGCGGCACAGTTTGTGCACAATCTGTCACGTGTCATTTTTGGTAAGATCGTGCTATGCAAGACCTTGCAAGGCGTTTTGTGATAATAGTGTTTGAGAAGAAAAGTTAACCCATAGGAACAGTAGTATGTGTTCATTACCGGGAACTGTGAACGAAGGGCGGAAGTAAAAGCTCACGTGATCTGAAAGACGCGCAGTGAAGAGCTTAGATCCTGGACAGCCTTGCACACCATAGCCAGAACGGAATTCTTTTTATTCTATTCGGACCTTACGTGCACCTTCACATCTGGAGTTTCCCCCATACAAGCTTAATGGGGTTCGTAAACTACTAGCGTTCAAATATCGTATCCAAACTAATCGCGTACAATTACTTCACGCCGCTTGAATGCCTATACGCATGATGAATACTGGAAACGTGGCGTGAGTAATATCACAAGCTGAATCAAAATCGCTATTAACTACCATCAACAGGTCAGTTTCTTCATTAAACCTCCCTATAAGGCTTGATGAATCGCTGCGAAACGAGTCCAGCGACACCTCCACAAATGAGCTTCCCAGAGACAGTTCATGAGCCGGCACGTGCCCCACTAGCCTCGGTATAGGGCAATTGAAGCGAAGCACACCATTCTGAATCTAGCAAGGCTTCGTGGAAGCGAGGCTATTCATCAAGCGGCTCGCGATCACGTGACAGTCACTCATCCGCACCTGATATCCGCACCTCCGATTTTTACCCTCAACCCTCTCCCCACTCCCGCACGGCTAGGTCGGCCACTCCGACTTTGGTCATCTTCCAGACTCCAATCTTGCCGGTTTCGGGAAGATTATGCTCCGGTTTTCGCTCAACTTCAAGAAAACTCTCGGCATAAACGCCACCGTAGCGAGGTCTGGAAGCGCATTACGCTCCACGCTGAGCCGTCCATGCACCGAGTCAGCTTTCTCACTCTCACATGGGGCACGTCCGGGGCCAATGGCGGCATACCCAAGACGCGTTGACCTTCATGGGTGGCATACAGTCGAGGAAGAGTGAACCGTGAAATCTTCGCCGATTGCTCCCAATCGATTCCCATACGACACTTTCACTCACCGCAGCTGGCCTTACCAGTCTCCCAGACGGGTAGAATCCACCAGCCCACTCCTGCGACTCCTTTGACGGTGCCCGGCCGTCACAGTGGGTGGTGGTGACATGATACGATCTCGGAAGTCTTCAACCAACACTTCCGCACTAACGCGGAATGCCCGCAGCTGGCACTCTATCGGTCCTATTGAAACGCATTATTTGTCACCGCTCTTATGCTATTGCGGCCCAGTACTGGCGGGCAGCGTCTTGGAGGGCTACGGCTGGCCTCGTGCCACCGTAGACGAAAATTCAGACACTCGCTCTAGATACTGAGCGACTCCGTATTCTGCGAGCCTTCTCTATAAAAACTACCGTCAGGCGTCTAAGGGTGGCCTGGAGGGCTCTAGACTCCATCCGACCAAGCGACCGGGGAAGCAGAGTGTTCGCGTTGTGGCGAGCATCGGCCAAGTGAAGCTCGTGTCGATGAAGACATCCATCACCCGGGCGAAGTGCTGGCCCGCCTCCCTACTGGCCCTCCGGCTAGCAATCACGCACCTCAGACTGAAAGCGGAAAGTCCAGTGGACATGAGGGCAATGCTACCGTGGCCGTGACGAAGAAGCTCCCGAGATTTGCGTCATCCGGCGCCCATTTCGCCAGAGCGTCGACGAGTATCAAGGACGGAGGAGAGCCCCATCGCCGCACGAGCAGGGCTGCTGAAGTATGCATAGCACTACCACACGCAGCCCATGAAGTGGAGTTACTTCCCTTCGCACCCGCACACTGCCTCCCAGCGCCCGGTTCCGATGTCTACCTACCCGCTGTCCGGGGCAGCCGCCGTGCCACACGTTCTACACGGAGTGCAACACAGACACGGCATACAATGCTCCCCCATCAGGAGAAAAAGCACTCTTCCTCGCACGCAGAGAGTCTCGAATAGGGCTCCACCCCTTCCGCCCAGGACCCAAGGAGCCAGCGCACCAATCCCCGCCCTAAGACCCCAAACCTTGCATATGCACCCACGGCCTAGGTGCAGCAGGTCTCCCTACTCGCGCCAGCCCAAATCCTGCACGCTGAGGACCGCGCCCGGCAGCCCTCTGCGCGCCTCTCTCGCCCGCCCTTCGCCCAACCCCCCGGGGGGGGCACAATACCCAATAGCACCGCCAGCACTGCTGCCCTCACCCACCGGCCGTCAGCCAGGACGTGACGCACCGCGACCCACCCGGCCACCTCATTCGCTGCCCACAAGCGGCCGGCCGCGCTCGCACACAGCTCTGATCTCGGGACTCCCATCTCGCGCGCGTCAGGCTGCTGGCAGTCTGGTTACCTCGCCCGCTGCATTCTCCCCAGCATCCGCGACTCCTCACATGACGGCCGCGACCACCAGCAGTCGAGCGCACCTGCATGTAGTAAAAATCAACGTCGGCCCATGGGCTGCCACGGCCTCGGACGCTCGCCCGCACGCCGCACGCATTGCACACACGAGGCAGAGACTGTCAGGAGTAAGGCACGGAAGGGGTTTGGCATTATGGACTAATTGGCTGAGACTCTAATCGCTGTTGTTTTGGGGCTGCGCTTTGTTTACTGTGTTCATGCTTGCTGCGCCGAGGGCCGTGCTTCGACCGCCCTAGTGGTTGGTGCACAGCAAAACACGCGAGGCCCGGAAAAGGAGGCAAGCGAACGACAACAGATGGTCCTCTTGCATAACGGAGATGCCCACCTAACCTCACTCTCGTCCTTCGAGTCTGCCTTCAGGGCAGCTGCTGCCCGTTAGTGGATGATAGGGTTAGTTGCAATCTATCGGTGAGCGAGCATTGGCTCGGCAGTGCGGTATTTGCCTTCCTGATGCCAGGCAGACAGCGTCAGCGTGACGGCCGGAGTTCTGTTCTAGTCATCTCGCCACCGCAACGTCAAAGCGCTCACTCCATGCTCCTGCTCCGTCCATACGTAACGTCGAATGCGGCGGGGTAACCGGTGAGAGAGCGTCTGATCTTGCCGTGGAAATGCGAGCTTGTGACGCCTTCCTGCGGGTTGGGGGCAGGTAACCCCAGCCCGGACTGCAGTAACAGTGAGGCGGACCGGCGCTGAGAGTTTTGTCCGGCCCATTATTGATTGAAAGGAGGATACCCTGGAAGCGTAGTCTCCCCATAGATCAACCAAACGGTGTCCGCCACGTCAGAGGATCTCCGATGGGGCATGCTCCGGTCGAATCTAGCGTGGTTCTGCATCTCAAATGATTGCCTCGATATGCGATGGCGGACCAGGTGCCGCATGAACTTCGCACCAGCCTGTTATCTAAGAGCAAATGCTTGTCAGCCTGCATGCGAAGCTAGACCCTTCAACAATAGGCGGGACGCGGGTGAACCATGCCGTTGCGCGGGAATTTGATCAGCTGAATGATCACAGAACCGACCGCTCAATGCATCATGCATGTATGTACTCAGGCTAGTGAACCATGCAGACGGTACGTGGCATGACCGGACATCATCTCCTCGAGCGGGTTGCAGCGCCAGCAGATAAGGTGACTGGGCAGCGATGCCTACAGCCAGTGGGGAAGGGTCGAGAATGTTTGTGTCAGCCAAGGAACGCGGAGGATCCGTGTCGAGGAAGGCAAAGGGTGATCGAACGAAGTGGTATCCGTGGAGCTCGAGCCTACGTTTGATTAGCTGGGATGACAAGGGAGATTGACACAGACTCAGCACCGGCAAAGGCTGCTGGAATGCGCCACTTGGACGGCAAGGAATGAATTGCAAGTGAAGCAGCAACAAAAAATCAAACAACTCGAGCCGAGAGGCACGACAAATGTCTCCGGGCACTCTTGACCAATGCTTTGAGGGGAAATGACAGAATCCATGATCGGTGGGCGTGCGGTAACCGTCGTGTAGAGCACCCGCTTTTCAGTCCTCCCATGTTCCGAATTGATGAGGAGGATAACGTGTGAGGCGCCATTGTCCAATCGCTTGCCAGGAACGACCAACGAATGAAGAGGCTTCGGCATCGACCTGGAAGCACGTGACCAGATCTCGGTTCAACAACTTCAACACCCACCAGGGATGGGATGCCCAAAAACACCACAACAAAGCCCCCAAGGCGCCCGGAGTGCTTCGGCTGAAACGATCGGACAAGGACCATGAGGGATTTTCTCCTCGCGAGGAGAAATTACGCGTACGAGGAAGCCACGACGTCGGTGATCCCTAGCAGATGTGATATCTCTTTGCATAGCTGGAACGCCGGCCGCGGCCTAGGGTATCATTGCAGCCGGCCTCCATGGATCCTTTAGCGTCCTTCGAGAGGGATCCGTTGATCATGGCGATATTGTTGGACGCCAGCGAGTGGGGTAGCACCATGCCGACTCATGGACGGACGACGGCTACGTCCCTTGGTCCGCCGACGGCAACGAGCGGGAGCCAGACGTTGTCGAGCTTGTGATGGTCTCTCCGAGACTTTGAGGCATAAATAGCGGCGTCGGTGCCCTCAGGAGTCTCCTCCATCATCTCATCAGCTCCTGACTTTCTCAAAGCTCCACCAGATATCCAGCATCTTCGACCATTGTCCATCTTCTCCGACATCTAGAGCTCCTCCTGTCCAAGCTCTTCCTCATACCACGCTTGAGTAGACATCGATTGTCTCTCACCCAACCGCAGTGTAGGTCATGATGAGGTTCCTACTCTTGAAGTGACCCCTGAGGCTGATCTTTGCGAGCAGTGAAGTCCCTTGTCCAATCGTTCCGAACTACAAGCCCACTCAAGCAACCCGAGGTACGTTGATAAGACCTGTCAGCCAAGCGATTGTCCCATAGGGCTGACACAGACATTGCGCTAGAATCGCTCAGCCCTTGAAACATGTGCTTCTTCGATCAACACCGGTTCGTGTGTGGCGACTGGAAGTGGGGCCACTTCCGCCAGCACTGCAATCGGGAGTATCGCATCGGTGAAACGTGTGGCATGAAGCTCATCATGTCGACGGTCCCGGTGGGCCAGAAGTGCAAGCTGTGCGAGAAGATCGACACCAAGATGCGTCGCCGGGCCGCCGAGGTCGAGCGCATCAACCGATGGCAACGCGAGGGAAACAAGTTCCGTGCTTCCATTGACAAGTCGATGGAGATGATTCACGGTCTTGACGCCGAGATCTATGAGCTTGGGTGCGAGCGGAATAGGAGACTCCAGGGCATCGGCAGCCATGGCTAGGCGGGAGCGCGGGAACGGGTGTCGGAGTATTTTCGTTTCATGTACAACGTTTCGTTCTTCTGCAGTGACTTGGAGTCCACTCATTCTGGAACAGGGGAATTTGGATGATACGGAAAGATTGATGTTGGAAGGTGAAGGAGGAGCAAGGAAAGGGAGAGCGGTACCTCTTACAGTCGCTTGTTTCTCAAGTAGCTCTTCTGTCAGGTCTAATGATGCAACGATTTCAACTACCTCTATGATTGGCCGTGTTGTGAGAGCTGGGACGTAGCCGCTGAGCCGGTGATCGGGGGCTGAAGCCGTCCAATCCGTGACGGTCGCGTAGCCAAAATAGCAGTCCACAGATGATCGCGCACGGCCCCCACAGGAGGCAGCGAGGCGCCCGCTCTGGTGCCCAACGAGCCTGGCAGAGGATTGGAACGCAGTGCGCTATGTGTTGGGGGGTATGCTGCACTGTTCGCTGTCATCGGTGAGGGCGGGAAGGGGTGTGTTGTGGAGAAAAGTGCGGCGGGCGAGATGAGGAGAAGTCGTTTCGCTAAAAGTTCCTGTCACGTGGTGGCGCTAGGTCTGTTCTGGATTCCGCCGAGCTGTCCCCGATGGTCCTTGGCGCTCACCGCTTCATCTCCGGAGAACTTCCTCATTCTCAACGGCATCCCTCTTGTCTTCTCCCATCAATGCCGCGAGATAGGATGCAGCGCTGCGTATATAGCATCTGCGGCTATATAGACTGCATGGCAACGGTGGTATTGTGATGTCTTTCCTTCTGTGTCGCGCCTCCAAGTATGTCTTCATCGCTCTCTACCAGCGTGCTCCATCAAGATCGCGCTGTTCGGATCGTGGGTATGGTGTTGAGTGCGATTTTCGTTCATCCTAGAGTTGTGTCTTTCGCTTGGACAATATCCGTCATCGTTATCGAGCTTTGCCGTACCAGGTTTCGATGTCGTGCTGCGTTCGTGAGGGCTGGGTGGCTCGGTAGGTTCGCTTCCATCTCTTCATCTCTTCCCCTCTCAAAAGAAAGCGCAAGACGCCAAAGGATGGGAGCTCCTCTTAGACGACTCAAAGGAGCAATATCAACCCACAGGGCCAGCAAACTCATTCCACGCACTCTCTCCCACGTGGCGGTCTCTGACTGGTCTGCCCACCCCGTAGATCGCTCCGGTGTCCTCTCCGTCAACCTGGCCCGGCCCTACGTCTTCTGTTAGGATGCGAATCCCTCTACGATCTTGCTTTTTGTCGATGATCGTGATCTCGTGCTCGCCCTCATCTTACCTTTTTCCTTTTCCTCTCCCACCTGCTTGGTGTCTGGACGCGAGCGGCGGCCCTCCCTTTCTTTTAAAGTCTCAGCAACCCCAGCAGCCCAGCCCAACACAGCACATCTCATCTTCTGCAGTCCTCGGCGCTAACTTTGGCCATTGCATTTGACACCTCTGTACGACTTACTGCTGCCGAATCTATGACGTGTACAGGGAAGATGCCAGGTTCAGCGGCGGCGTGCAACCAATAGCCAGCGCGCAGCACCTTCCCTCTCCTCCACCCTCGACAGCGTCAATACGGGCGGCCATTATGCCAGGCGAATACACTCCCTTCACGTGTATTGGGGTGAGACTACATACCTCTCAAACCCTGTCAACGGCTGCCGTTGCCAATAGGACGTATTTGATACCCTTGTATTATTACACTCAAGGCCACCTGCAGAGACTTTCGCCCCACCATGCGTATGAATTGGGCGTACAGCTCTCTCCCATTACGAATATCTCTCCTTCTCACATCCGCGACGCGTTTCAGTCATTACGAGGACTCATTTCCCCAGCTGACCAATCAGAGCGAAGAAGAGAACAACCGTCCTTGTATGGACTGCAAGCCTACCGCCAACAACCCACAACTTCCAATACGCTCCCAAACGAACCACAAGCGCTTGCCTTGCATACAGAACATCCCAGCGGGTCTCAAAATCAATAGGCACACGTACTAGGCTTACCGCCAACAGCCCGACTCTCCACTGGTGACTACCAAACGAACCCAAGCGCTAGCGCTGCGTACAGAGCATTTCGGCACAATTCAAGCTGGTCAGAGCAAAGAGGCGCCGAATCGCTCTTCTACGGATTACGAGTCTACCGCCGACACCCCAGCTTCCACCGCCTGCTACCTAACGAACCCAGGCGCCCAGAGCGCATACAAACCTAGCGCGTCGAGAAACAACTCAGAAAACTCGAAAATGAACATCTGATGTCGCCTTTACAGTCTGCAAGCTGACCACCAAAAAGCTAACGAAGAACAACGACTTCTACCAGCATTGCCACAGTACAATGCGACCAACGCGTCTTACCGGTACCGGCTGACTTCCACCAATAACTACCCAGCAATCCCCCAGGCGCCCACTCCAATATACACAGCATCCCAGCGTGCCTCAAAGCAGGCCAAGATAGCACATGGTTTCCAACGTGCGTCAAAAGGAACTCAGGCGCCCGCACTGCATCCATCGCACCCAGCGCGTCTCAAAACAAGTCAAGAAGCACAACAATTCCATTATGCTACCGCAGCCCCACAACCTCCACCACTCATTGTCCCGAAACCCCCCAGGCGCCAGCACCGACACACCTAACAACCAGCGCGTGGAGAAACAGCGCGAAAAACAACGAATCCAGGCTAATGATGCTGTGAAAAAACTAAGGAAATCCCGCAACGAAGCCGCCACCAACTCCCATCCCTGATCTCGCTCCCCCACCCACCCCCACGTTTTACCTCGACCCATCCTACCTCCTTTTCATTCGCTCGTCCATTCGGTTGTCCACCGGCTCGGCTCGTTCCGTCCCGTACCCTCCCGCCGCTTACCCCCCATACTCCCCCCTAATCCGCAACCAACTGCACTCCATCCAGCTCCACCGCAACCCTCCCATCCGCATCCAAACTACCTCTACACGCTACCGTGATAACAAAGTCCACACTGGCCCCCTCGGCCCCGTGCCCGCTTTCAAAAACCGCCCGACTCGTTTCCCAAAGTATCGCCGACTCCGCAGTCGGCTGCACACTCAGCACCACCTCGCTCCCCACCTTAAACGCCACCGTACACGCCCCATTCTTCGGCGCCTGCCGGTAACTCGCATAGAGGCTGTATGTCGTATCCGGGCACAGCGTCACAGGCTGATACACGTCCAGAGTCGCGTTCGACGTCGTGCTAGTCACGCGCGCGACGTACGAGCCGTTCAACCCGGGTGCCCCGCGGCGGCGGAAGGAAGTGAGGTAGGCGTCCGGGCCCTTGGGCACGGAGTCCCAGCCGAGCGGGATGAAGCGGGCGTCGGGCTGCTCGAAGTCGCTGTTGAAGAGGGCGTTGGTGCTCTTACTGTCGCAGGCCTGGTTGATCTGGTCGTTGGTGGCGGTTTGGCCGAGGGCGCGGCGGAAGGCCAGGGCCGCGGAGGCGGAGGCGGAGGCGAGGGAGGCGAGGTAGGCGGTTGTGTATTGGGCTGGTGCGGTGGGGACGGGGAAGATGGGGGTGGAGGAGCAGGAGGCGCTGGCGGTGTGAGTGATGTAGGTTATGATGGTTTGTGTTTCGACCCAGGGGGAGGTAGTGGGGCAAACGCTGGCACCAGTGCCGGTGGGAAAGGAGGTTGTGGCATTTGCGGAGGGGAGAGAGGGTGTTGGGGGAGATGCTGATGTGCCGGTTCCGAGGGGAGCGGTTGAGTTAGTAGATTCGGTTGGGATGCTGAGTGATGCCGACGCCGTCGTTATAGTCGTGCCAGGGCTGGTCGAGTTGGCGGATTCCGTAGGTACCGTAAGTGAGGCTGATATTGGAGCTGTCCCGGCACCGATGGGGAAGGTTGAGTTCGCAGACTCTGTAGGTACCTCAAGAGAAGCTGTCGATGGGCCCGTTCCTGTGCTGAGCGGGATCGAAGAATTCTCAGATTCAGTAGGGACCAGGAGAGAGGCTGATGTTACCGCAGTGCCAGTCCCTAGAGGCAGTGTTGAGTTCAGCGAAGGTGAGTAGGTCGGGAATCCTTCAGAAGGTATTAGAGAACTCGTTCCAGTCCCCAAAATTAACGTTGAGTTAAACAACTCTGTTAGCACTAATGCAGAAGGAGCGGAGGCAGTGCCCGTGATCAAAGTGAAATTCAGCAATTCGGTGGGAGCGAAAGACGGCGCAGATCCAGTGCTCAACACGAATGTAGTAGTGACCAGCTCTGTCAAGACAGAAGTTACAGTTCCTAGGATTGTCGAGTTTACGATAGCTGTAGGGACGACGCCCGTTGATCCAGTCCCTAGCCACGGTCCCTCCGAATCGCTAAATCCAAAGTCCGTGGAAGGAGACGTGGTGGGAGCCGGGAATGTCGCATTCGAGGAAGCCGAAGCAGGTGTTACTGATATCAGCTCAGATATCGTCGAGTTTGCCAATACGGGTGGCAATCCGCTCGAGACTCCAGTTCCGCCCAGAATGGTCGACCGGCTCCTTGATTGGTGACCATTTCGGCCACCCTCGTCGTTGCTGAAGTCAAAGGTATCTGTGGTATCCGTAGAAGTCGAGCCATTGACGCTGGCCGATGGCATGAGACTCTGTGGGGCAGTAGTAAGTGGAATGCTTGATTGTGGAGTGCCGCCGTATGAAGGGAATACTGGTGACAGCACGGTCTGTACTGAGGTCACAGTCTCCACTATAGTCTGATTGACGATCGTAGTAGTTCCATTTGACGGTATTGGGAACGGTGCCGACGTGGATGGAATGATGCCGCTCGATCCAGTCTCGTTCATGACTGTCGTTACCCCAGATACGATAGAGGTGAAGCCTGCGGAGATGACGGTACTTGACACAAATGTCTCGTTGGCCGAAGGCAAGCTTCCAGTACCCGAGATTACGCTGGAGAAAGCCGAAATCAGAGTCGACACAGCTGTGGACACATTCAAGGCTGTTGCAACTCCACTGGACGGACTACCAATGGAACGGGGAGCAGCTGGGAGAATGACGCCCTCTCCTCCAGTCGAGTTTGCCGTAAAGAACGAGCCCGACGTGGTGCTTGAGAAAACCCCGCTGACTATTGCTACTACAGTAGACTCATTCAAGGCTACTGTTGGCCCACTTGACGGGGCACTAGTCGAGGGAGATCCTGTTGGTGGAATGATACCCTCGCCTCCCGTTGAGTTGGCTGTGGAGAACGAGCCAGACGTGGCGAGAGAAAGCCCGCTGCTCAACGTCGCGACTATTGTAGAGCCATTCAAAGATGGTGTTGCTCCGCTCAAAAGACTGCTGACAGAGGGAGAGCCAGTTGGCGGAATGATACCCTCTCCTCCCGCTGAGTTTGCAGTGAAAACGGATCCCGAAGCCGCCGTCGAGAAGACTCCACTAATTACTGATGTTTTAGTGGGTGGGATGATGCCCTCTCCTCCGGTAGAATTCGCAGTGAAGAATGAGCCTGAAGTAGTAGTCGAGAAGCCGCTGCTCACGACAGATGTCGCAGCACCAGTCGGAGGAATAACGCCTTCGCCTCCTGTCGAGTTCGCAGTGAAGAACGACCCCGACTCAGCGCTCGAGGACCCACCGCTCGCGACTGATGACAGCAGGATCTCGCTGATAGCAGTCGACACAGCAGGAGCTGTTCCGGTAGGGCTCAACGCCGTTTCGTTTGAAGAGATCGAAAAAATGATTGAGCCAGTAGCATGCAGCCGTGTGCGGGATTCACGTTCCTTTCTACCTCTTCCTCTAGCGACAACTGTCTTCTTTACGGGAGTGGGAAAACGTATGACACAAAGGATGGGGCCATCACTGGGGTTCTTCTCAATGTGCTTGGTACTGGGAATGGTACAACTTGTGCTATTGAAACCCCAGCAAGTGCAAATAGCTCTATCGATGTTGCTTCACTCAAGTCCGTCCTTATTAATAGCCTTCCGACCATCTCACTGCCCCCTCTTGTCTTTTCTACGGGCCACGCAGCGGCGACCTCCTACTATACGTCTGCTCGCTCCACAGATACCGCAGGATTTGTCCATTGGCATTGGGAAGAATATTACAACGCCACGAGTGACTGGTATATCGAGTACGCCACTGCATATTCCTGCACATATGTCCAAACTCAGACCATAATCACCCCTTCCGTGACAACCAGAGTAGTGGAATCAAACATAACGTCAGTCATCGTTGGCGCCACCACAATCATCAACGGTTTCACCACCACAATCATCTCAGGAGGATCTACTACCATTATTATCGGCCGTGAGGGCAGCGGTGGCTCAACACCATTACCTGCCATCATTAGTGGCACGATTGCATCCACGTCTGGTGCTGCTGCTACCTCGACTCCTGCTTCTCAAGGTGGAATTCTAGCCGTATCTTCGGCTACTCCCACAGCGGTACCAAGCGAAACTGGCGGCGCTAGCTTTGGCCTTGGGAACTTGACCTCCCTTGCCTTCAGCACCGGAGTGATTATTGGTAGCGACAGTACAGCCATTTCTGGTACATTTGCGACCGCTAATTCTACCGGCGGGGCTGGAATAGAGAGCCCAAGTGCATCCATTTCGGCGCCATCTAACCAAACTTTGGAAACTACCTTTACTAGTCTGCAAGTTGTCACGATCACGAACGTCATCTCAGGCTATACGCAGATAATTGTGTCTACAGGCGGAGGCGGTATCGAGACTCTGAGTCCTTCGTTCAGTCTCCTGGCAAACGCTACCTCCGAGATCGTTATATCCTCAGTCGTGAGTGGCGGGGTTTCCAGCGCTGTATCTGGTGCAAAATTCACGGCAAATTCCACAGGGGGCGAAGGTATAATTTCTCCAACAGGTGCTCCTAGTACTGTGCTCTCAGCCTGGAAAGTTTGCATCCACATATGAGCATTCGGCTGCGCAATCGTCTTGATTGGAAGTGGTGAGAGTAATGAATGGGGTTGCCCCGATCAATTCGGTATTGCACATGAGCAGATATTCCAGCATCTTGCCTCCAATAAAGTTGGCGATCTTCTTGTTGTCATCTTCAGGACAAGAAAACGAAATGGCGGTTGCAGTGGGCAAGACGGAAGTGCTTGAGCTCACTACCGATGAGGCAAGACCTGATGATGTGCTATACAATGTCGTCACTGACAGCGGCGTGCTGGATGGTATGGTAGCATTATCGGTAGATACGAAGGAAGTAGCCGGCGCCGAAGTATTCGAGAATGATGAGAACCCGGTTAAGGACGTTGCTGGCGTCAAAGCCGATACGGTCGAGGTAGTCGTCACTGTCTCGGTTTTCGTGAATTTTGAGGTGACTACTTCCCGATCATAGGCGTACAAGGTGGTCGTCTACGATAATTAGGGCTGATCAAATTTTCTGAATATTGCACTTACAAAAGTGGGTGCTGTATAGATACTAGTCTCGGTCGCTGTTGGAGCAACATTCAAGCAGGTGCAAGCAGTACTAAGAGCCGTGTCCATGGACGACATCTGGCTGTTTGTTGGCGATGGGGCAGGGGTGCCAGCTACGACGGCCGAAACAGTAGAGTCGAGTTCAGCTTTTGCTTCAGCTCGAAGCGCATTTCTCTCTCGCTTCCTTGCCGGGAAAATTGTTGAAAAGGCGGTCTCGGTGACAGTCTGGGTCGTTGTAGTCCGAGTCGTAGTGGGTATGGTGTTCCACTGACTTCCCGTCACTGTTGTTACGGTCCTGAAAGATGTCAGTTCGGATCGATGATAGAAAGTGAGGAGAGCAGTACACTAGTGGCGTGGTCTCAGCGGTCACGGTCGTAGGACTCAATCCAAGCCATATGTTACAGAATTTCTGGGCCGTATCCTTATCTACCGATTTATCGAGATATGTAAATTCATCGTCCAGGACGCAGAGCAGTTGTCACTTGCCGAACAGATGATCTTGAGCACGGTCGATTAGGCGAGTCCCTCTCGAGAGTTCTCGAACCTCGATTAGCTCCGCAGCGCCCTCCCTCGGGCTGGTAACACGCGCGTGGGCTAGAGAAAAGGAAAGTGCAAAGGCCGAAGCCAGAAACGAGGGACGAGTAAAGTACATGGCTGAGCAATTGCGATAAGGGTGGCTGCTCCAGCCAAATGAGAAAAACGAATGGTGATGTCCAAAGAGGCAGGGACAGGAATTTCAAGCACCGCATGATTTCATAAAGGGACATTGATTGAAACCTCATAATTTACCGCGTTAGGAGGCCGGTTACCAGCAACGACCAGAACGGTCCTCCAATGTGCCTTGCAGAGACATGGACGGTCCGAGACTGACAGCAGTGCCACAAGACTGGGAACATCGTCGCGTGTCGGCGGGCTTGTGGGCAAGAATGACCTTGCGTGAAACCAGCCCCGAGATTTTCATGAAGCTCAGGTCCAGGTGGTAGTTGATGAGCTTGGCAGACAATGCTGGTGGTGGACCATACCATTCTTGGAACTAAGGAGGCATGCATAGGGCCCTGAGCTGCTAGACACGCCCCTTGCCTCGCAGTTCTCCAGCACATGGCAATCGCCTTGCATTCTGGAGCACCACGTCCATATTTCATAGCCAGAAAGGGTTATCTTATTGGATCAGCCGTCGCGTCAACCAGACGCGATGCGCGATGCGGGCAATGGAGGTGCACCTTGGCGGAACGTGGAGAGACATGGAGATACAACATGACGGCGCAACACGGAGGAGAAAGAAATGAAGCTGTAGACTGTGATATCAAGGCGAGCGTGAATATCGATATATTGTTTTGAAGCGGCGAAAACAGTATGAGATTATGATTCGCTATGGGATACAGGAATACACCAGTCTTGAGACGCAAGCAGCCACGACTCGGACGGCATCAATGCCAGCCAACAACTCACGCGAGAATGGAATGGTTTCAGGGTGCCGTAGCGTGGAGATGGCAGATGGTGATGCCGGATAGAGTGAAGTGTGAGGTTGATGTCCCTGAGCAGATCCTGGCGGGAGAGAAACGGGCGTGCATGCAAGCGAGTTTTTTGGCAAGCCCGCCACCGCCGGGAAAGCTCCACAACACCAACCTCCTCCGGTCAATTCACCCAAACACCACCCCCCAAGACACCGCCCAACTGCAATCCACACTCCACGGCTAGCATACCATCCTCTGCGCATTCCCTACAGCTCCCCCCCGCGCATGCAAGTACCTCCACGTCCGGCGCTCGCAGTCTCGCTCGCCGCCGCGCCGACCTGAGCTTACCGTCTGGCGATGGGCATCTGCTCGTCCTGCATCGGACGACGGGCCTCGCAGTCTGATGTACGTCCTGCTCGCTCTCGTGTCTCTGCCCTCTGCACCGCCTGTAGCCCTGCAACGTGCTAACTCTCTCCCTTGCCGCAGCGGTCTGACAGCTCTCACCTCCTCATCGACCCGTACCAGCCTCACTATGGTAGCATGCACACATCAGGCCCGCATGGCAGGCCTCAGCCGGATCCGGAGGAGATACGGCGCCAGCGCGACACGTTAGAACGGATATGCGCCCAGACGTCCGAGTGCGTCTCCTCCCTCTGTTCGCTCGCCCCAGTCACTAATTTCCTATCCCTTGACAGCAAGCTGATCGACGTCTCACACTCGGCGTACACGGAGGAAGGGTCCAAGATGACCTCGGAGTACCCTCGCCTGTTCATGGAGCGCTTTCCGCCGCCAAAGGTTGCCGTCGATAGCAGACCTTCGTCCTCCGGCACTGGCGATGGAGAGCAGGACGAAGCAACCTGGCTCATGAATACAATTGGTGGCCGCGATGGAGAAGAACCTAGCTGGGACCGCGTCGAGCCCATCGATGGTGGTACCCTTACAGTGCAGTTCGACGAAGCACTCGGACTGGACAGAAGACAGGGAGGAAGGGCATGATGGCCGACTGCTAGGTCTCGCTTCACGCCTGTGGCCTCGCGAACATCACCTGAGGCCCAGACACATTGAGCATTCAGGTTTCCTTTGATACCCCGAGGTCGCACTACTTAATTTTCCTTCTCATTGCGATCATACTGAGCTATCATTTCAGGCGTTCGGTTCTTCTTTTGTCAGCGCTGAGCATTTTCCGGCGTCCTGCGTTGTTATGTCTCTGCAGGATAATTCTATCTGCACATCAGCCAATGGCATGCATCTGGTTATACTATTCCGTTATACCATTCCATACAAATAACACCATTCAGCAGAATTATCACAAGTCTCCAAGGAGATTGCATTCGTGCTACTTTGTCACTCGTACCTGAATCAAGACTTAGACATGAGGCTCCCGTATCCGACCTGTTTTTGGTGCGCCACAGTTACCATGTCTGAGATGACGGCTGTGCTCCCCTGCTGATCTTCCGAAAGAACATCTCGCTATCTAGGAGACGTCGATAGAGCATCTAGCCTGCTTTTCAGCGTGGTACCAACTTAAGTCAATTCTTCCGCCATCGGTAATGGTCCCAAGACATCAATACCCGATAGCGAACTTCACTTTAACACATCAGTAAGCTAAATTTAGCATATTTTTTCCATTTTTGTTATCCTAATCAACATTCTACAAGCGCAAACACACCGCCCAAGGGTTGAGCTCAACACCTACACAACTGTCTAACGTGTTACACAATGTCGTCTTAAAGATACGGCGAGCTGTACAACATGCCAACGGGTCCTACAACCAGACACTAGGAACGATTAGCGACTTCATACTGGGTCTCCTTCTCTGGTGTGTCTGAATTATACTCGAACAGGATGCAGGCGCGGCAAGCCATTATGGTTAGCGTCCATTGACATCAACGACACTGTTGAGATAATTGTACAATCGTTGGCATCTGGGACAGTTCATTGTCCAGAGGCAGAGCTTATAACCCTCTCACACGCTGCAGAAGAATCGATGTGGTGGCAACATCATCGCGAAATCTGTGTTTTATTAGTAGACCTCTCAAAACCATCACATATTCCCAAATGATCGATATCATATATCACACATCAGAACTCCCGCTAGTATCAGCCAAAAGCCGTCATATTATCGTTGCCCTATCCACATTCTGCCACTAGGTAGAGTAGGTAACAAACCGCCAACAAAGACACAAATTTACCGTTCAGAAAGCATGAAGCATCACTGTGCTGACCACCGAATCATTAACATCAACACAGCCGCAGTTGAATGAGAACCAGAATTTGACAAGCTTAGCCGAAAACATTCCCATAGCAGCTCAGCTCACCTAAGCTCAGAATCCAACACCATGGAAATGATGCCGATTTCGTAATCCAGAACTGCACATGCTCAGCCCAACACAACAGCACTAGACACATACTCCCCAACCTCTCTCTCACAAGCAGGTTCCGCGTGGGCGTAGCTAACCGACGCGGCGTCGCTTAGCCGTCTCCTTAGTCGTCTCTTGAGAAGCAGGCTGGCGCGTCTGAGGCTGAGCCCGAGGTAGATCTGCCGTAGTCGGAGCTGGGGCTGGAGCTGGGGCGGGAGCAGGAGCCGCGGTCGGCGCGCCCATTGCAGCATAGTATCTGTCACGCACAGCATTGCCAGCAGGCAGCTGAACATGGCACCCGAGTCCAGCAGGCTTAGACGGCGGCGCAATGGGCGGCTGCTGGTTCTGCGGTGCCGGAGTAACAGTCGCATTCGGCGGGATAGATCCAGCACGGAGGAAGCCAGGCGGAGCATAACCGGCAGGCAGCTGGCTATCGTTCCAGGGCCCAGTGTTCCTAGACAGCGGTGCTTGGTCCGGCAGTCCGTTCTGAGCATATGGGTGACGGTAGGCATATCCGCTCGGGTGGGCGTAGTCGTGCAAGTGGTAGTTAAGCCGCTGGGGCTGGTGCTGATCCTGTGGGACGTACCTGTATCCCCCCGGGAGATAGGGCTGCTGGGGAGCCTGGGGTAGGGCAGCAGCGCGGGGTGCAGGGCCCCAGATGTTATCTGCGATCTTGTGGGCCTTGCCGGTGAGGCGGCGGAGGAACTCGGCGCGCTGTGGTCGGTCCATGAATTGCAACATGTTGTTTATCTCGCCGAGGAAGACCTGCTGTGGGAGGACGGGGCCAGGGGTAGGAGCACGTTGGGGGGGGGCGGCTGTAAGAGTAGGATCACCATGAGAAACGGCGATGGCAGGGGTAGGAGCATGCTGGGGGGCGGCGGTCGTGGGGGCCTCTGGCGGAGCTTGTGTAGCCGCGCGAGCGTGCTGAGAACGAACCAAGGCAACAAACTGCTGGGCCTCTAGCTCGTTACGTGGGGCGACAGGGTTGCCATTCTCTTGCAAGGGCCAGCCCTTCGGAATCGGATAAGGAAACCTTTGGGGTGTGTTCTCGCTTCCAACGGTTGGGTTGTTGTTGGTGAAAGCAAGGACCTTCTTCGCAGCCTCTTCAATCTTCTTCTTGACTTCCGTAGCACGCGGCATCGGACGTGCACCGCTGATCTTGTTCGGAACCGCAATTTCAGCGGGAAGAGAAGGAATCGCTCGATCCATGGGCGATTGGCCAGGGGTGTAGCCTGCCATGAAGGCGTCGACGCTATCAATGGGGGGATAATGAGGACGTTCAATGGTGCCCGGGTTAGCGCGAGTCGAGGTCGTGCTATTCGCCTGTGAATCATCCACGAGTGTAGCTCCACGCGTCTTGGGTGTCGTCTTCGGCTTGATGCGGCCAGTTTGTGCAGCGCCAGGTCGAGCAGGAGTTCCCTTGGATGGCTGGACGCCCACTAGTATGTCTTCTCCGTCCGTCTCTGTGTCTGCGTCTGCCTGAACGGTGCGAGCGGGTGCGAAGCGGCCGGAGAGGGTTGCCTTGGGCGTATACTTGTTTCCGCCATCTTCGGTCTCGGAGTCAGTCACCACCGTAGCGTGTTTGCCCTTCTGGGGTACAGAGACACCGCCGTTGCTCATGTCGGCGTCGGAGGGGGAAGATGAGGGAGATCGCGCACGGCGCTTTCCTTTGGCTTTAGTGGCTTTACCGGAGGACCTAGGTTCTGACGCATGTTGGACTGGCGCGGCGGGGGTTTTGGGCGGGTTTGTTGCGCTAGTAGATGCTTCGGTCTGGGACGTTGGAGCGTTTGTGCTTGAGGCTGGTGAAGCAGGGGGAGCAGCTTCTAGGGAAGCGGCCTTCGGGGAAGCTGATGTGGAGGCGACCGGCGGCGCTGGGTCCGGAGGCGTAGCTGTGGCCGAAGTTGTAGCCTCAACTCCCTCCATCTTTTCACCTTCATCACCCGCTTCGTCGTCGGTGGTGTCCTCGTCATAGCCGTGATCGAGCGCGGATGGGTTCCCGTCGAAGCAGGTGGTACAAACTTGGAAGCTACACGTCTTGCAACGACGAATGATATCCCTATTGCGGTCCTCACAGCAATCGCACTTGGTAGTATGGATAGTGAGCTCCTCGAACACCCTGTGCTTGAGAGGATCCTTGGTCATTGTGACGGTGGTGGACTCGGGTCCGGAGGTTGGTAGGGTTGTACCTGTTGTGGGAGGTTTGTGAACGAGCGTGGTGGGATGGCGATGTGGTGGTGTTGTGTTGATCGAGGAGAAAGTTTGCCGACCACTCGAGAGCTGGTTTAAGTACGCCTGTCGACGTCAAAGAATGGGGGAGACAGGAGGTGAATCTTCTGGATGGGATTTCCTTCGCCTGCTCGTCTTCACTTGTCCCTCAAGTAGACGTGTCACCAGCGAGAGAGGTGGGCGTTGCCGATGGCGAGCTTGCGTCGTTCGTGGATTGTGAGTGAATCGTCGGCTGAGTCGCCTGATAGAGCTAATCGATAGGATGCCGGCACCAAGCGGCCTGCCACATGTTCGGGCAGAGCAAAAGTAACGGTGATGGTAAGGCTGGAGACTAGTCCGCTTAAGCTCGGATTCGAGAGGTTTGAGAGTCACCATTGGCCATTGCGTTGGCGCCATGACCGCGCTCGCCGCCAGTGCATCGACATCTCCGACCACATGCGCAAGAATGGAAACGCTGAGAAAGACAAAGGAATGAAAGTATGATTTTAATACTCGTCTAGCGGATTCTAATGACGCTGTGCTGTGTACTATTAGGCGCCCTTCCGGTAGTGGTAGACTCCCCACGGTCGTACTTCCTTCAAACCAACTTCAAACACGTGAATGAGACATAAGATCACGGTCAGCGGGCGTCCCTCTACCTACCTAGGTTATTTCAAGATTAGGTCTGATAAGATAAGGACTTACTGGCAGATTTGTAAGTGCTTGAGAGACCTTGTGGCGTCGCAAGCAGCGGCATAGGAGCGCCCACAAGCTGTTAGCCCAGTACAACAAATACCCAGATATGACATTTAAGCGACACTTCTATAGCTCCGATAGCGATAGGACAGAGTTCTTTCGGGAACATTAGGCACCATTAGGACAAGACGGGAGTCAAGATATGGATGAAAGTTTGATATCTACTCTGCCAACAGCTTCGAAGATAGGAGTCTGAAATACCCAGCTGATAAACATAGCCAATGGGCATATAACGACTAGAAGAACCGATTTCTCGAGGGCTGGGGATTCCTCTAGAAATTAAAGATGAGTGTGTTTGACTACCTAGCTGGTCTAAAAGGGAACGCAAATCCGTGGCCACGCATCCAGCCGCGTTCTCATCATCGTCGTCAGAGAACTAAGTCTCTGATGGAACTCCCGGTGTTCAGTGATGCCTAGAAAACCTTCTTGGAGAACACGCGTCGTGGGCGTTGAAGACGAAGGGTCAAGGGGTACAAGGAAGACGGCGAAGGGAACATCTTTCCCCCGTGCTTTCAGGGATAGTTGTAATGCCACTTGTCCTTAGGCCTGGGCATCTGCAACCTCGACGCCGCAAGGACAGCTCAAGCCTCCATCCCCGAAACAGCGCAGGCTGCGAGATTCGCAGCTGAAAGCCGAGCCGGGGTAACACTGCACCGCTCGACAGGGTTCGTCATCGATCAAGATGCCCACCGAGGCCCACGCTCTTGGTGGCTGCTCCTACGAAACCTGCGGCGTTGCAGCTTGCGCAGAACGCTTTGAAGGCAGCCTGCGCTATATAGTCTCGCTCTTCCCTCGGTCTGTATTGGCAGCGCGTTGTTCTGAGACTTTTTAAACCTCCGCAGCCCCATTGCGGCGCTCCACAATCCTCGATTTCAGTCATGGCGCCTCAAAAGAAGTTACTTCTGCTCGACTCAGTCATCATTTCCTTCTTAGTAAATCGTTATGCCTCTACGTACAGTCTATGGGGTTCCTTTATCTGGACTGCGTCTGCTCTGTACACCTTTCAGCTTCTTGTGCTTGCGACTTACGAGATCGTTTTATACCCCCACTTCTTGAGCCCTCTACGACACATTCCGACACCACCAGTAAGACTTTCAGCCAAAGCACGCGTTCGTTACTAAGTCGTCAAGGGTGCCAATATCTTACTCGGCCACTTTCCCAGAATGTTCAAGGAGCCGACAGGATTCCCACAGCGCGAATGGATCGAAACCGTGCCAAATGAAGGCCTAATCAGATACACTACCTTGTGGAACGAGGAGCGCCTCTTGATTACCAGCCCGAAAGCCATGGCTGAAGTGCTGGTCCACAGGAACTACGACTTTATCAAGCCCTTGCGTTTCGTAGGTCTATAAGCTCCGCCAAGGCTGACTCCCTCTAACCAAGCCCCACAGCGCGAAGGATTGGGACGTGTTCTGGGCATCGGAGTTCTACTAGCTGAAGGCGAAGAGCACAAGGTAAAGGTTCATCCCATTTAGCCCATACAGCATAACCTAACTCGACCAGCGACAACGCAAGCTCTTGATGCCCGCGTTTGCTTTCCGCCACATCAAAGACCTCTACTCGGTGTTCTGGGAGAAATCACGCGAAATGGTTGTAGGAATTGATGCCTCCATCAAGAGTACTAATGCTTCAAGCGAGAAGCCTTCTAACGTGGTGGAATTCGGCAACTGGGCAAGTCGCGCAACCCTCGATATCATTGGGCTTGCCGGCCTAGGACGAGACTTCCACGCGCTTGATGACCCAGACAACGAACTGAATCAAACCTACCGTACAATCTTTACGTCAAATCGCCTGGCGCGGTTCATGCAGATATTGGGAAACTTTATCCCAATCTGGTTCCTGCGGCTACTACCGATGAAGCGAAACGAGGAGCTTTCAAACGCCGTCAAGCTCATCAAAAGCACCTGCTGGGACCTCGTTCGTACCAAGCGGCAGAGTGTAGAGAAGGGCGAGCGCACGGATTATGACATCCTGTCCGTCGCGCTTGAATCCGGAGGGTTCAGTGACGAAGATCTGGTCAACCAGCTCATGACTTTCCTTGCGGCCGGACACGAAACCACTGCATCGGCGTTGATGTGGGCGATCTATCTGCTTTGCACCAATCCCGACGTTCAGCAGAAGCTGCGGGATGAAATTAGGGGAGCCCTTCCCTCCGTCATGGACAAGAACGCAAAGGTGTCGTCGACTGACATCGACCACCTTGCGTACCTGAACGCGGTGATTAACGAGACAATGCGCGTGTATCCTCCTGTTCCTCTGACCCTCCGAGAGACGGCTCAAGACACCACCATCCTCGGGCAATTCGTACCAAAGGACACAATCATCATCATTTGCCCCTGGGCCGTCAATGCCAGCGAAAAGCTATGGGGCGCAGATGCCAAAGAATTCAAGCCCGAGCGTTGGATGGGTCCCGGCAAGGCCAACAGCGGCGGTGCAAGCTCGAACTTCGACTACCTGACCTTCCTCCACGGGCCAAGGAGCTGCATCGGCAAGGACTTTTCCAAGGCCGAGTTCGCGTGCTTGTTAGCAGCGGTGGTGGGCCACTTCGAGATGGAGCTTGATGACCCGGCACTGAAGGTGGACATTCAGAATGGTGTGACCGCCAAGCCGAAGGGTGGGCTTTTGGTGAAGTTCAAGGCCTTGGAGGGTTGGTAAGCTTCTAGGACAGGATTTTCATGGCATTGGCGGACTGGTTCAGCAATATGTCTTCTTAGTAATGTTCACAAGATATGATGATCCCAACTAGTGATACATGTACACTGCATCGTCATACATGCGGGGTTCCACTTATTTTTCACTGGAAATCCATACAGTCGAACAATGCTACGAATCTGCATGGATTCAAATTAATCGTTTTCCACAGTCTGGTATCTTTGTACCTTGCCAGGCCACTTTAGGCAACGGTTTGTCTGCCTCTCAAACGTGACAACTATCAAATTATACAGTTTTATGACGGCGCAAGAGCATTGAGAATTCATAATCATTTGTCCTGCACCTGTTCCAGAATACGAGCAATAACTCAGCAAACATAAGAAGCGCCGAGACAAATTTTTCTTCAACCTTATTCCCGCCACTCCTCCGGCCGCCGCGGAGCTTCCTGCGACGCAGGACGTGGGTGATGTCCCTCTTCTTGGCGCGACCATTCTTCCAACCCACCTGCACGTCACCACTGCCAGATTGCTAAGCATGGCATGATATAAAGACCCAACCTTGGCCTCAATTGTGCCCGCAGCACCATCTCGTCTTCAATTGCACCCGCTTCTCAATTGCATTCCCCAGACGCCCGCCTACCCCGCCATCACCACTGTAAACATGGCGAACCCCCACCATGGCGTTACAGCTGCGGTTGAAGAAGAGGACCACATCACCAACCGTGCAGCTGCTGGGGTAAGGGCTCTCTATCAATTGGCACTGCAAGCCTACACTGACAATCTTTGGGTTTAGATTTCCTACTTCACGCCTGCACAGCTCCCACCAGCTGGTACCGCTCTGCACATGAAGGATGAGGGAAAGCCAATTCCCAAACTCTTCACGCCATTGAAGATTCGGGGCCTTACTCTGCAGAATCGCATTATGGTTGCTATACCCCGAGACTCCCCTAATTATCCTCCCAGTAGCTAACATTCACAAGCTGTCCCCCCTCTGCCAATACTCCGCCCAAGACGGCCACCACACAGCCTGGCATCTGACCCACCTTGGGGGAATCATCCAGCGCGGCCCCGGGATCGCCTTCGTCGAAGCCACCGCCGTAGTCCCCGAGGGCCGCATCACACCTGAAGACAGCGGACTATGGAAAGACTCCCAGATCGAGCCGCTGAAGAAGATCACCGAGTTCGCGCATAGCCAGGGCCAGAAAATCGGCATCCAACTCGGCCATGCCGGACGCAAAGCCAGCACCGTCGCTCCATGGCTCTCAGCCGGCGACGTCGCGCCCGTCAAAGTACGCCCAAACCCCCACCCTTCCCCCTTCCCCCTTCCCCTACTAACACCCATCCCAGCTCAACGGCTGGCCCGACAACGTCTACGGCCCCAGCGCAATCCCCTACAACCCCAAACACGCCATGCCCAAAGAAATGACCCTCGCCGACATCTCCACCTTCAAAGCCGCCTTCAAAGCCGCCGTCGAGCGCGCCCTCGTCGCCGGCTTCGACGCCATCGAGATCCACAACGCCCACGGCTACCTGCTGCACACCTTCCTCTCGCCCGCCTCGAACCACCGCACGGACCAGTACGGCGGCAGCTTCGAGAACCGCACGCGCCTGACACTCGAGATCGTCGATATCGCGCGCGCGACGATCCCGGACACCATGCCGCTGTTCTTGAGGATTAGCGCGACGGATTGGCTCGAGGAGACGGATGTGGAGGGCTGGACGGTCCCGCAGACGGTGAGGCTGGCCGAGATCCTGGCTGAGCGCGGGGTCGATCTGCTAGATACTAGTTCGGGGGGGTTGCATGAGAAGCAGCAGATCAAGGGGGGCCCGGGGTATCAAGTGCCGTTCGCGAAAGCGGTGAAGGAGAAGGTTGGGGATAAGCTGCTGGTAGGGGCTGTGGGGACGATCACTGAGGGAACGCAGGCGGAGAAGATACTCGTGGAAAATGATCTGGATCTGGCGACTGCGGGGCGCATGTTCCAGAAGAATCCCGGGTTGGTGTGGGCGTGGGCGGATGATTTGGGGGTCGTTTGTCAGTGGGCGAATCAGATTCGCTGGGGGTTTGGGGGGAGGGGGCAGAAGAGTGGGAAATAGGGCTGGGAGCAGGCCTGATGATGGGTGCGGGATTAGAGCGTTATGGTTAGAGGTTGTGAATTAGACTCCCTTTCTAAGCATTTGGCTTTTGAGATTTCGTGATAAGCTGAAGGCCTCCTGACGTTGATAGACGACTCCACTCCGATCTTCTAAGCATCGCCCTGATCTATGGTGTTGCGGACGTTACGTCCCTCTTAAAAAAAAAATTATGCATGGGCTGTAGCACTCCTAACGGTGCCATGAGCGTGTCAAGAGGAAATCAATAGCAGCGTAATTCACTGCAAGGGTAACTTATTGAGGGCATCAGAGGTCTATAGGAAGGCTCCCAATTTAAAGCGTTCGGATTTTACGTCCCACCCCGACTTCCGGTGGTGTACCGGCGCACTCCTAACGGTGTCATGAGCGAGGCAAAAGGATGCAGACAGCGGTCTGAATCACGACGAGGAGAAGGTTGCATCATATTTAGAAGTAGCAAAGAGCCATAGCCAGATTCAGAGTGCGTAGGACGTGACATCACGTCTAGAATATTATGGTTCACTGAGGCACTTCTGGCGGTGTCATGAGCGCGCCAAAGGAAACACAGTTGTTGTCCGAGTCGCGACGAGGGGCAATTCACATCACATCCAGATGCAGCGAAGAACTATAGGCAGATTCAGAGTGCGTTGAACTTGACATCCAATGCTGCATTTTATGGGTCATCAAGGCGCTTCTGACAGCGCTGAACAGGTTCCAGAACGTGTCTGACGATAGCCTGGATGACAATGCGGTGAATATTACATGCCATTCTGGTTTTCGAGAACGTAGCGAAGCACTTTTGACAATGGTATGAGGAAGCTAAAAGGGGTCAGTCTGAATCACGATGCGCTGAGCTTGACATCACATTCAAATTTTCAACCTTCACCGGGGAACCTCTGACAGCGGCATGAGTGTTGCAAATTTATCATTAAGCAGCGCTAAAACTCCTCTATGCCACAAGGCCAACCACTATTTCTGTTAATTCTGAGGGTATCATAGATCGGAAACAGCCCTACGCCCCAGATCACCTTCGAGTTCCGCCCACATTGCCCGCGCTAACGCCATGCTGTGTGCACCCGAGACGGTATCATAGTCGTAATTCGTGAAGGAAAATTGGAATAAAGTGAAGTGTATGTGCAATAAGTAAGTGAAGTGTCGTGGTATATGTCGTCATACTAGTATCGTAATGCTGAGATGTTGAGATGACGGCGGCCTTGCCTCGGATTGGCCGTTGGTAGCACTGGGTCCTCGACTTTGATCATGAAACCCTGCTCTCCGACCTCGTCTTCGTTGGGGGAAACGAACGAACTGATGTAGTAAACCAGTCCCATAGCCGATGATATTGCTAATACTGCGAGGGCCGCAAACTTGATGAATGGGGGGATCGTTATCGTGGTGAGAAGAACTGACGCGTGTTGAACCAAGGAGGAAGCTTTGTCGAATGCGTAGTGGAACCAGGGAGATGCGCCGGCGCTATAGATGATCAAGAAAATCCCTGGTATAGGTGTTAGAAAGGTCGTAGGAATATCGTATCGGAGAGTATCTTGCCGTAGAGGATTGAGAGAAAACCAGCCATCCTTCTACTAACGAACCAGGCGCCTACGATCACAAGAGTCGCACCTAATTTCGTGTTGGAAACGCCGAGTCCACCGAAGATCCTTATTCGCTGAATTTTTTCTGTAATCTCATCGACAGCAGACATGAGGATGTCGAATGTCATGTTTAAACGCTGCATGGTGTTAGAGAGAAGAAATCGAGACGGGTATGCACAGGGCGGGCTTACTTCGTCTAGGAGAATTTGGCGTTCAGACATGTTTGTCATGAGCTCCGACGAGATCATCTAAATGGGTTTCCTTAGCTCTCATACTGTCTGGAAGGAATGAGAAAACTTACCAGCCCGTTATAGAGCCCTTCTAAAGTTTGCTGAAGTGCTAAAGCGCCTTCCTGACTGACTTGCCATTGCTGAGTTTGCAAAGCGGTGTTTTCTACATGCACGACCCCCACTTCTTTAAGCATATCAAGAATATCCTCTTTCGATTTCTGGATGGACTATATCAAATTAGCTATAGCTTTGGATTTGCTGAGTACCACAGTCTCTTCATCGATCTGACCGCCGAGCAAGATACACATACCTGATCCAGGTCTTCAGCCTGATTTCCTGCTCTCATGAAGGCTTGGGTGACCATGTTGATTACAGATTGAGCTGTCTGAGTGACGCTATCGAGGGCCGAAAGAGAGCTTTCGCGGCCTTTCCTAATCTCCTCGAGGGCCTCTGTTCCAGTTGCTTTGACCTTCTCCGCGTACGCCAGTTGCTCTTCAAGGCGTTTTTTCGCTTCCTGAAGGGACTCCGCAAGTGCGGTCGCGATGTTTGCTGTTACGTCTGCTAGCGATTTGTATAGAGCAATCTTCTCGTCTGTACGATGTCAGCATGAATTCGAGAACGAAATTCGCTAATCAGTATACACCAATCTGCCACTGGTTGAGGTGTCGTGACGAGGTCACCCGCTCATTCAGAATAATGAGATTCTACGACGTTCAGAAATTTGAAAATTCCTTGGCGCACCACAAGCAGCGGCAAGAAAGGCGCACTCAGAAATCTCATACGTACCTTTCTCTACGGTGTCTCTGCTCGCTTGGCACATGACCACAGCGTTCTGTCTGGCGTTGCTGTAAGAAGTCCAATACTGCGGCCTCGCTTCCAGAGCTTTGAGACATTGTCCGAATTGCGAGCGAGTGGCTTCGGGATAGCACAAAGTGTCCTCGGTTTCGGAATGGTCATCTCGGCCCCAAAAGCTACTGAAACGGAATTTGACACATGCCTTGGATGAAGGGACGAATATGGCGCACTCCCGTGGGACGTTGGCTCCGGCACCGATAAGCTCGCAGACCGCCAATCGCGCCGCGTACTCCGACTTCACTTCGTCGAGACCGAGTTCGGTGTTCACCTCAGCCGTATTGGTTCCTTTTGATGACGTTTCTAGGGACTGGCAGGAATTGATGAGGCTGAGGGCTGCTAGTCGGTTGCAAGATGGAGATGATTCAACGGAGTGTATGATCCGCAAGGCTTGGGAGAGCAGCTCTTGGCGTTGAATAGGCGGATTTTGGAGCTTTGATGCCAAATCCGACGGGACTGCTGGGAAAAGAGTGAGAAAAGCCTTACCATGAGGGTTCACATTGGCTAACTGACCCTCGATGCCCATGACAGATTGGTGCCCGGTTGTGGCTCCAATGAGCAGTGCTGCCAGCAATGTCACCATAAATGACTGCGTGTATGCCCACATCGTGAAGCTTGCTGTGATACTAGGTGCAATTAGTCGTTGGAAGGCTACAATTTGTGGTAGATGCAAGGAAAGGGAGCAAGGAAAGGTGTAACGGTTGAAGGAAGACGACGATATTCAGCGCAGTGAGGTCAGTTGACAGTACCTTGTTCAAGCTCACTGTTGGTTCGGGCGCTGTTGGTGCTGTTGAGGGCGTTAACGTAGGCGTTAGTCTTTCGATCAAAGTTCCAGCAATTGGAGCACGTCTCGTCAAGAAGAGCCCTTAAACGACTACAATGAGGGTTAGTTTCGGTCGCTAAAGGCGGATGTTGGCCCCGGCGACGGCGAGGCAAGTGTGGTGTTGGTGGAAGAAGTTCAGACGCGACTCGAGACGAAGTGAGGTTTGAGTTATACTAGTGCAAACCGCAGGCTTGGCATGCACAAACTTGTATAAAGTCACGTTATTTTTAACAGTGTATCTAGAGTCTTAAAGAGCTTCCTATATAATATAGGTAATTAGGTTATTATATTTACCCTAGTTATTACGTTTTTAAATATTAAAATACGGGCTAATAGCCTAAACCCAAATTTATATAGCAGTAGTATTATATAATATAATTATATTAGTTATACTAAAGGGGACTGATAATCGCACACCCCTAAACTCCTCCACGCACACCCCCTTATTCCTCCACGCACACCCCCTCCCCTCTTAGCGCTTCACCACCTTCTAATTGGCTCGGAGCATTTCTACGGAGCCTCCGATTCGCTCGCTTAAGTTGCTCACTAATTCCAAATGCTCTCTCCAAATGCGGCCTTGATCGCAATCAATTACATCCTCTTCCTCTCCCTCTACAATACACTCACCATGGCCCTCCAGCCGCCACGGCTGGCGTACTACCCTACAGCAGAGGAAGCGCATATTGCTCTACAAGCGCACGCATCAGCGCAGGGCTACGGCCTAGCAAAATACCGTAGTAAACCAGATAGAGTAGACATATGAGCATACATACCTCTAAGACGCATGCCGACAGCTCCGCCGCCAGCACCGCCTATTTCTGTAGTCCCTCGTCCAGCTCCTGTCGCTCGGAATGCCTATCAGTCGACGGCTACACCGGTTGATCTTTCTCGTATTGATCCAGCCCTTCTTAGGCCTACAGCTGCATCTACGGCAGCACCTACGGCAGCACCTACGGCAGTACCTACGGCAGCACCTACGGCAGTACCTACAGCAGCGCATACAGCAGCGCATACAGCAGCGCATACAGCAGCGCATACAGCAGCGTTTACAGCAGCGTTTACAGCTACACCTACGGCTGCACCTGCAGCTAAGAAGCGCGGCCGGCCGCCTGGTGCAAAGGATAAGGTACCACGGAAAAAGGCACTTTAGAGGAAAGATAGTACTCAGCCTACGCCTCAGCCTATGCCTCAGCCTCAGCCTCATCCTCAAGTACAGAGGCTTAGCCGAGAGGAGCTTCTACGTCAGCTTGCAGCGTATGATGAGGAAATCGAGGGGTATATTGATCACGGTGAAGAGTAGATGTGGGCGGCGATGCTAGGGGGCCAGGCTCGATGCAAAGGAGCCGTAATAAGGTGAGGGTTTGACGGATCTGGCATACTTGTAGGCACGTAGGCACTTCTAGAATAGAACTCTATTCTATACTTATACTTAGACTTAGACTACGTGAGCTTGTACCTGAGCTCGTACCTGAGGCTATATGTGAGGCTATGCGAATCGGCATAGCTATATAGCTGTACGTGAGCTCGTGTATAGCATCACATACGGCCTCGCGTATAGCATCACGTATGGCCTTGCATATAGCATCACGTGTAGAGAGACGTAAAAGTGAATGCCCGGAGCTTCCTCCGCACTGCTCCGAGCCAATCAGAAGGTGGTGAAGCGCCAAGAGGGGGAGGGGGTGTGCGTGGAGGGATTAGGGGGTGTGAGATTATCAACCCCCGTTTTATATAGTCAACTTTTCTCGCTAATTTATAGATAACGCAAAATTCCAGCGGCAATACTATACCTAGCTACGGTGTTCTATGCCGATGCTCGGTGTTAGGTTACTGGCGAGAGTTGGGTAGTTTTATATAGTTAACTTTTCCTACTAATTTATAGATAATATAAAATTCCAGCGGCAATACTACACTTAGCTACGGTGTTCTATACCAATGCTCGGTGTTAGGTTACCGGCGAGAGTTGGGTAATTTTATATAGTTAACTTTTCCCACTAATTTATAGATAATGCAAAATTCCAGCGGCAATATAACACCTAGCTACGGTGTTCTACGCCGATGCTCAGTGTTAGGTTACCGGCGAGATTTAGATAAAGTTTAGGTAAAGTTTAAAAGTTGGGGAGGGCTAACCGTACACCCCCTACCCCCTGTTATTTCACCGCCTTCTAATTAGCTTAGAGGGTTGCCCCGGTGCTTCCGATTTACTTGCTTTACTCGCTTACTAATTCCGAATGCTTTCTGTAAATGCGGCCACGTAGCCTCCAGCGCAGCCTATCTGATTTGTACAGCTGCATATACGGCCGTACGTGAGCTTATATATAAGGCCACACGAACCGGAAAGCATGCACTGTAAAATAAAGAGGCTAGATAGCCTATGCCAATTTGTATAGCCTTATATATGAGCTCACGTGCGCCTAAGTGAATAAGAAAGGCTACACGTGCTAATGCACGTGAGAATAGAGCTCTGGACGAAGCTCTGAGTCGCTCCAGCCAATCAGAAGATCAGACGAGAGGGGGGAGGGGCGTTGTGCGTGGAGTGATTTAGGGGGTGTGCTAATAATTATATTTTGGTTTAAACCGGTCTGATCCAGATTGAACAAATGAGTGAATTCAATCACACTTAGCCTAAACGGGTAAGGTATCAGATTCCCGGAGTTCTGCCGGCTCAGCCGGGAGAAACACGTTATTGCCAGCCTTATTAACTACGGCTCCAGCCCCCTCCCCCTCTAGCACTCTATAATAACGAGATAAGCTTAAATAGACAACGGGAATCGATTTATACAGGTCGGATTACGTTTTACGCGAATTACTGGGTCTAACTAGGCTTCAAAAATGCGCCCCCTTTGGTACTCCGCCCGACGTTCCCAAGGGAGATCCCAACACCCCCCCCCCTCTTCACCTGGAACCTCACCACCATGGTACTCTTACGTCGCCCTTTAATCTGGGGCACTCTGTAGCCTCATCCATGGGCGTAGTTTGCGAGCCGTCTGATTATTAGGCTTATAGGACTTTATATGACAAAGTTATGTCTATAAAAATCCGGTCCAATTTGTATACATCCTTTCCGGTTTATACAACACTAATGGGATCAATCGGATCAATCTCCGCTTGAGGTTTGATTGGCTAGAGGATTGACTGATTGGATGGATTAACTAGAAGTGATATTAATAAACCGGCCGTCAATCCGGTTGAAGATTGGCCGGTTTACTAACCACGCTGATGGTGAGGTTATGCGTAAGGGGTTCGGGGCTGCAAAATGCTGGGGATTTTGCGATCCAAAGGAGACTTTGGGGATCGGGATACAAGGTCGTGGTATTGGCGAGCGGAGCGTATGTGCTTATATTGTAGAGGTAAGACATAGTAGAATACTGTGGATTGAGAAGGGTTTATCTGACATAGTCCTGGGCCAGAGCGTGGAAAGCTCTAGGGGTACGAAGACAATGCAAGACTTCTTTCTCACACGCAATATAACAGCGGTTTCAGACAAGACAAGATCAGAGATCCATTCAACAGAAAGTAATCGATCTCAATACCACCCCCACCAGAACCCTCCCATCTCAAGCCTCTTATCCCCCTCAAGCTTCCATCCAAACGCACCCCCTTAGCGCCTCCCCTTCCGCATGCAACACTTCTCCAACCCAAAGCAGGTTCGACACCGAGACGACTACCTCATCCCACCCTCGTAACCCTATCTCCTCCGCCGTCCTCTGTATCAGAGCACAAAACCACGCCCGCTCCTCTCCCTCCACTTCCAGCGCACCGAGTACCAGCACCCACAGCAGCATCGGCTTGAACACCGTCCACTCGCTATAGTATCGTGCTAAAAGCGCGCGCAGCCTGTCGGTTTCGATTCCCGTGAACACGATCCGTGGAGACAGAGGCGGAGAAGACGCTCGTCTGATCTTGCTGAGCAGAAGGAGGGCCGCGAGGCGGGAGCACTCATTCACGAAATTCGAACGATTCACCGCGTCTGTTTCGATACTAGTATCGAGCAGTCTGTGCGTGAGCGGATCAATATAGTCGCGGACGAACTGGGTATCTTGCCACAGTGGCCGTCCGCTTCGGCTGTGCTCCAGCTTCACCGTCATGATTGTAGTCGCCACGTCTCTGAAGATCTCGGCTAAGGTGTCGTCGGAGGGAAAGACAAGCTCCCACACATTGTCGCCGCCCGTGTCGCCGACGGGGAGCCACCACGGCACCTCTTGGCGTTCTTCTCGACGCTGAGAGAGCGCGCGCAGCGGGAGCGGGAATTTTACTGGCGCGTTGTTGAAGCAGGATGCTGAGACGTCGATGCTGTGTGATATCAGCCCACTGCACTTCATACCCCCGACGGTGTGGATTGTTGCGAGTACGTTGAGGTAGCGCTGAGAATGGAGGAAAAAGAAGATAAGGAAATGTGCAGCGGACGCACCCCGAGAGTAGAAGCCTCAAGATTCGATTATTGTCGAGCTTGTGCAGGCCCCCCTTCAGCCGGATGATAGTCCGCAAACCCTCCATATGCGCTTCATAGCTCTTCCAATCCTTGGCTATGTGCTTCAGACGTTAAGCTTTGCACATACATCGCCCGGCGGAGTGAATCGAGTACTCACACTGAAACACGCGAAAGCAAGAACTGCCCCAATGACCCCTTCACTCAACCCTTGACACGGATCCTCTAGCCTCCTATTCACATCTCGAAGGGCAAGGAGATGCAGTTCCAGCGCTCTGCTTCGGCCGCGGTCTGAATATCCAGGATTTACAGCTGCGATATCAAGAGAAATATGCGAGAGAATCTCGTAGAAGAGTGCCGGGTCTGACAGGCCGAGGGGAAGCCAGGTGTCTCTGAACGGGCGCAAACGGGGTGCTGGGGAGGTGCATACTACACCGCCCTCATTCTGATAAGCTCTCTGTACTTGCTTGAAAAATGAAAAACTCTAGACTCACAATAGTCGATTAAGAAGAATGTATCTGAGTTCATAGGGATTGGATAGCTAGCAAAAGGATTCGTCCGAGTGCCACCGGAGACTAGTGAAGGAGCCATGATCGCCCCTGTTGAGACTGGGACTTGACATTGACCTGAGGCTTGCTTGTCAATGGCCTTGCGACGGGGCCTGCCACGCCTTGAAGCTCCGATGTCTCGCATGACATGTTTTTGGATAGCTGTACGAACATCCTTGCGAGGAGCAACCTTTCCCGTGTGTTGGACTTGAACGAAAAGATACGCAGGATTGGGCATGATGACTCTCAACACTCGCTCATATCATCAAGTTGGAATCATTGCGTAAGTGTTTCGATTTCGCTTCCTTCGTTAGTTAGTCGCTTATAAATTAGCTTAGTAATCAGCGATTTAGTTTCAGGTATAGCTATGTGATCAAATCCTGTAACCATGTTCACTAGTTCACATTCACAGTCAAGACCTACTACCTTAGAGGGCCTCAGCCTACCCCGTTGCAGGATAAAGGCTGCTTCGTACGTCGCAATAGTCTCCTCGATCGGGTTCCCCGACGGTTCTGCTCCACTAGCTAGGTAATGCGATCTCGGGTTCTATCTGTACGCCGGTGGCTGAAACATGGCACAGCATAACATGGTAAGTGTGCTGTGTCAGAAAAGCCACGTGAGGCTGGGCTTGTGCACCCCGAGAAAAGCGAGAGGGGACGTGTTACACGATTTGTTGGGCGAGTGGATATACGTGATATGGGCATGCAACAGGCTTGGGGACAACGAGAGAAGGTGGGTGTAGATGTGGGCATGTTTGTGTAACGAGCTTAGGAGGAACCGGCTTGCGAGACACGAGAGGCTATGGCGTGCGCGTAGCCGGGAAAGCTATCTGCGAAACGGGAAGGAACTGGTTGCAGCAAGGCGTGCATGACAGGCTTGAAGATGTGAAGGTGTGGCGGACGCGTGGCCACGGCGTGGTGTGCCTAGGTATGTGGTTGGCTATTCCAGCTGCCCAGGTGGGCGAGGTGCGTCACTGGGAGAGTCTGGGCGAGGTTACCTAGAACGCTGGCTAGAGATACATGGTGCTAAGGAGCCAGTATGAAGATTTCGCATAGCTGAGTTGAGTTGAGTTCAGGATGGGACGCTCCGCGGTTAGGCTATGGCCGTAAGAAGAGTTGAGATAGTGTAGTCAATCCGTCGAAGCGAGGTCCAGGAGGTATCTCCGTCTATCACACTGACAGCCATTACAGACGGATCGGCCCAGACAGTGGACCCCGCGCGATCAGATGTCGAGATCCGAACAGTCCAGGACGGAGATGGGAGCCCCAGTTCCCCGAGCTCATGGACCCTTCAGATGCTCGAGCATGACGGACTGCGCCCAGTCGATCGGCTGCGGGAAGGGAGATACTGCTGTTTAGAGGCGATGTGCCGACAGGGTGGAAAAACTGGGCCTCACATGTGATAATCAGATGCTACTTGATACGTAGATAATAAGAACGGCTTCAATGAACGACAGAGATACACACCCGAAAATGGTGAGATGAACGAAAGGACTGTCTTGTACGACCAGAAAACGAGAACAAGACATAACACTGGAGGGAAAAGTCAACACCTACCCGTGTTGGTTAGATTACTATAATAGCGCCCTGCAGCTAGAATGGCCGGGTCATCCATAACTACCGCCAGCCTCGCGTATGCATATTCTGCTTCCGAGAGTGTTGTGTTACTCGGCAATGCAAGGGACGAAAAGGCCTCATCATGGCGCCTTCTTCATTTGGGGCCAGATGCAAGGAGGTGTAGGATCCTGATGCATGAAGGACAGAGTCCCTGCGCTGTGAATGGGGGCGGATGTACGGGGGGTGGTAGGGATCGGATCAAGATCAGCAGTAGGCGAGCGCGCACGTAAGTTGATAGACCTGAGCAGAAGAGTACCCAGTGTTTCCGGGAGCGAGAAAAGAAGCAAGGCACACACTCAACACAGTTCCAGAAGGGGTAATTCGGTCGACGGCGGCTAGAAAGCCACGAGCGGTCGACAATCTGCGCGGGATTCCCGAGCTAGTGGTACGACGAGTGCATCATGTCCAACTAGGTAAGGGTCTTCGCAATAATGCGGACAGACAGACACCTGGGTCCTAGGCCCTGGATAGTCTCGAATGGATGTTTTGCAGAGGCGAGACACGAGCTCAGCGAACAATTTCATGCGGGCTTGCGAGATGAATGAATAAGCCCCGTCCAGGCCGGGCCGTGGACAATAGCGGACAGTCATCGCCATGACGTTACGGCGAGGAGACGTACGGACATGAGTTACGGTTGGTGATGAGGCGCGGGAAAGGCTGAAGGGTTGGTATCTGGGCGTCGGCGAGGAGCACCGGCGCGAACGTCATGCGGAGGGAATCCTTTTTCAGTGTTCCTTGTGGCTATAGAGTGGACCAGACCTGCTTCATGCAGGCAGGAGACGCGCGTGGCTGTCGTACTTGGCGTGGGTGGTGGGCGTTGGACATGGGCTGCGAAGTGAGCCTGAAGCACTTGTTGCAGACAGTTCCAACACGCCGTAAGACAGCGGCCCAGCATCTCGCGGTCCGCTGTAACCTGTGCGGCATCGATCCTTGAGGCGACGACCTGCTTCCGTGGTGTTTGTGTCAGATGAGGCTCTTTGATGCGGGCGGCCGTCAATGTGTGAGACTCTGGACGCCTTGCAGACTCCTTATGTCAGATGCCGATGGGCGAGGGGTCCGTAGACCGACAATGCCACAATGCGTAGGCCCATTCGCAGCTCTACAGATTAGCGATTGGGAGGACTGTCGGGGGGTTTTCACGGACCTTGAGTGTGCTGACTATCCTGCCCGGCGCTACTACTGCACAGTCTACTTTGGCGAGGCCAATTAACGCGTCCCCGACACGCGCACGTACCAGGTCGGCTATGTTGCTTCTGTCTGACCTTTTCTTTTGGCGGGCAGGTTTGCGCAGACCCGAGTGCGGAGAGGAGTTGGCTGACGCTAGAGATGACGGGCATGAGGCGTGGAGTTGTGCTTTTGTCCACCACATGGGAGATGTCAGCGTCGTGGAAACGCGCCATCGGGAGTGGACCGGCATTAGCTGCCCGTATCGACGTTTACTTTTTGCCAGTGCCGAGGAGGAGCCCTGTCTCAGACACGCTCCTGGGGCCGCCGGCGGGTGCAGTTGCTGCAGTTGCTGCAGTTGCTGCAGTTGCTGCTGGAGAGTGCGTCGTGCTGTGGGCAACGTGGGCGACGATGCACGTCGAGATAGATAAGGAGAGTGCTGGGGCTTGTATGAATTCGCTTGATGATGAATGGAGAGAGCGGCGAGCTCCAGCAAAGCTTACCCTGCCACCTGCGCACTCGATGTCGTCTTCTGCTGGCCTTCTGGAAGGCTTGGGGCTGCCCCACTCGTCGAACCGCCACGTGGAGGAGGCGGAGGCGCACATGGCTGGGGAGATCGCTTCCAATCATCTCTGGCACACGTTGGACCAGCGATGAGGCAGCGCGGTACCACATCGAGACAGACATGTGGGTGCAGAGACAGCCGTGCCATGGACGGCTCTGCGGTCCCAAGTGATATCAGCGCTCAGAGGAGCGTGCTTCCGGCGCCACTGCTCGCATCGTGCCGCCCGCCAAAGTTTCAGGCCCAGGGGCTGCGTGGGCCCGTTGCAGACAGGCGCCGTGCGCTCGTGGTGGACGAGAGTCAGGACTGGCCTTTGCGTGGCACGGCGCCCCGAGTCATGGCGCTGGTGTTCTGGCGTCTGCGTACAAGGTTCCGCCACGAGCTTTGGTCGAGGCCGCTAAAGCTGCTCTCTCCGCGCCTGAGGGCCCTATCGCTGCCCTCTCCTAACCCCGTCCTCCTAGAAACACCCTCTGACCGCCTAGCATCCCAAAGAACCCAGCCGTTTCACCTGCTACCACAGACTGCCACACCCAACGGGTCCCTCCCACAGCCTTTACCACCAGAGCCGCCTGCTCTATCGTCCATTTCTTGAGTCGTCCTCACCACCCGTCCTGCACACCTCCACTCGCTGGCCGCTCCTCCTCCGCTCCCCGCCGCTCCGTCACCGCGAGGCTGCATGAATCGAACGACTCCTCCTCTGGCCGCCCTCACAATCGCCGCCAAATAATGGGTAATTCGAGCGGGAAGCCCCTGGGACCGCCTGGCGAAGAAGGTATGGCTGCCCCGTACCTCTATGAGCTGCACTCGACCGCCCTGCTCACTCGAGCCTGTCGCCTTATCTCCACGCAATTGCACACTGGCTAACCTCAAAGCCTCGCAGTGAACCTCAATCACTTCCGCCTGCTTCGAGTCGTCGGCAAAGGAGCATTTGGCAAGGTTCGCATCGTCGAGGAGAAGCACTCCGGCCTCACATTCGCTCTCAAGTACATTCGGAAGGATGAAGGTCAGTCACATTGGACACACGCCCGGGACCCGGCTGCTAGTCACGTTGAGGACCCGCCTGCCAGGCTTGCCATGCTAACGCCGTGTAACAGTGGTACGATCTGAGAGCGTGCGGAATATCATAAGAGAGCGGCGGATGCTGGAACATCTCAACCACCCATTCCTTTGCAATTTGCGTTTCAGCTTCCAGGACATTGAGTATCTGTACGTTGATATTATTTTGCCCCCACGTGCTTATGCCTACTGACAGCCTCAGGTATATTGTGGTGGATCTAATGAATGGCGGAGACCTGCGCTTTCACATCTCGAGGAAGACCTTCACCGAAGAAGCTGTACGCTTCTGGATAGCACAATTGGGTTGTGCTGTGCGCTATATACACCAGCAGGGTATTGTCCACAGGGACATCAAGCCTGATAATGTTTTGCTCGACTCTGATGGACACGTACATTTGGCTGATTTTGTAAGTCACTTCGAGGCTGAAATAGTGATGTAGCTAATTGTTTGTCATAGAATGTTGCTTCCGATTTCACACCCCACAAGGCTCTAACAAGCAAGTCGGGAACCCTGGCATATCTCGCACCTGAGGTATACGAGGGCAAAGGCTACTCATCCGAAGTTGACTGGTGGTCGCTCGGTGTGCTCTTTTACGAATGCATTTACAACAAAGTAAGACATGCAGCACTCCGTGACATCACACCGCTAATGCTCTCCAGCGGCCATTCGAGGCCAGTAACCATGACGGGCTCGCCGAAAAAATAAAGAAGGGAGAGCCCACGTTCCCCGTAACAAGCCCACCAGTCACCATGCCTTGTCTGCATGCTATCAGTTCGCTTCTGGAAAAGGATCGCAAGCAAAGAATCGGCGCTATCGGCTTCCACACTTTTTCTGACAACCCGTTCTTTAGGCCACTCGATTTCGAGGCACTGGAACGAAAAGAGATCGAGCCCATCTTCATACCCTCGAGCGAGAAAACCAACTTTGACGCAACGTACGATCTCGAGGAGCTACTCCTAGAAGAAGCACCCCTCGAAGCGCGAGCGAGGCGGCAAAAACCACGTGAGCAGCTGAAGGACGATGCAACAGACCAAGAGATTCGGGCCGAAGAGCTACACAAGATGATCGAAACCTTGTTTGAGCCCTTCAACTACACCACCGTAGCGGAGCAACGTCCAGCAGCCGCACCGGGCATAGTCGCAGTCGTCGAAGATCCCACGGCCACCAATCTGAGCAACAACAGCAATCACACTCCCACCTCGACCTCGTCCCCCAACGACTGGCCCCGCCCTACCTCTCAACCCAAATCCACCGTCAACGACAATCTGCGGCCCGCTGTCTCGCGGTCCAACACGAACCACCGCTCCACCACGCACTCCCCCAACGGCAGCCCGCCCCGCCTCCACAACCCCCTCGCCGCGCAAACCCCGACGCCCTTGGGATCGCCCTCCTCCCAGCGCGGCGAAACCGCAGATTATTTCCCCACCGACGACGGCACGATCCCGCCATCCTTCTCGCGGCCCATGAACCGCCAGCGCGGCAGCACGCGCAGCACCAGCATGGGCGGTGGCGTGCAGGTCGTGCTGAACGAGACGGGCTCGTGGAGCGAGATGGCGAACCAGAGCAGCGCGATGCTTGCGGACAAGAACGCGCAGATGGAGAAGCCGTCGGGGATGCTCGGCTTTTTAAGCCGGAAAAAGGGACGGGATCGGAGCCCGAAGGCGAAGGAAAGGGGCGTGTTGGGGAAAGAAGGCGCGAGAGTCATTATTAGTAATACGTGAGTGTTTGCCCTTGGGAGAAAGCCGGTCACTGGTTTGCAAGAAGGCGGGATGTCGGGAACTGGGAGAGCAGAGAAGAAGAGAGGGAGAGAGATAAGCAAACGCCGATTCCCGCTCCACGCCAACAAACGCTCGTTTTGCCCCCCCTCGTTCATTTTCCTCTCTCGGTCGGCTGGCTTTCTAATTGGCGTTCTCGGCATCCGATTGTTTCCAGCGGGAGTTTCTGATGAGGATCGATGTTTTATTGTCCTTCCGATGTCGAAGTTCTTCGCAGTTTACGAATTTCTGGTTTTGAAGGCGCGTACGGGGTCTTGGGGGGCATCTGGGGCGAGCTTTTTTTTTTTCTCCTCTTTTCGCGTTTTTCTGTCTGGTTCGAAACCGATATCCCAACCGCCAGCTGCTTGTTGTGGGGGGTGGCGTAGATGATGTTGCGGGGGTTGGTTGGCATCGTATACTCCTCGTCGTGGTGGTGGTGGGAGAGAGGCATTTGAATATGGTGGTCCGAACATAAAAACTATACCTATGGACGAGCTTGTTTGGGGGTTGGATGCAGACAGGAGGTGTGGATCCCGCCGCGGATCGTGTACATGAACATATGCATACACAGCATTTTGCGCCTATTTGTTTTGTAATTTTGGAGGGAGTAAGTCTGTGGTGGGGTTCAATGTTCAGTTGGCTCGATGAAGGGGGTTGGGGGGGGGGTGAATAACGCAGCTACAGCGAAACACGGAAATAAGGGGGAGGGATGGAAACCGAAAGTAGAGTACGAGGAGGAGCATAATGTGTCTTTTGTATGATGATACCGATATTTGTACAGTTCCAGTCCAGCTCTACCAGCCCTCTCTAGTGTTAGTGCAAACCGAAATAATCCAACCCAAACTCATGATATACACACACAGCTACATTGAGTTCCATCATATGTACACCTTTCATTTCATGTCGAGTCATGGCTGCTAGTCTCTCAAAGCCTCGATATCGACGACTTCCTTGACCGCCTCGGTCGTTAGCACCAGGGGGTTCTCGGCCTGCACGCAGATGCTGTCTTCGATGCGGATGCCGATGCCGCGGAAGCGGGCGGGCCAGCGGGGGGAGTCGGGGACGTAGATGCCGCTATACGCCAAAATATTAGTGCGGATCAGACAGCGAGGAGGGCGGTGGGGTGGGGCCTACGGTTCAATTGTTATACACTGATTCGGTTCCAAGGGATTCGTTCGCGGATGCCCAGGCGCGTCGTGCACGTCTAAGCCGATGAAGTGGCCCACGTGGTGGGGGAAGAGCGTGTCGATTGCCTTAACTCAGATGTCAGTAAGTCCTCCTAATACTCAAGTTGCATACAGATACTACACAGTACACTTGGTACTCCAAAGAAAAGGGCACGCACATCTCCGGACATGTCGAATCCCAGCTGGCCCAGCCCGTCTTTCAGCCCGTTCGACGCGGTGCGGTGCAGCTTGTCCAGCGTCATGTTCGCGTCTGCGCGGCAGAGCGAGACGCAGGTTCGCTGGACGCGGAGGATCATTTCGTAGAGGTCGCGCTGGGGGGAGCTGAATTTGCCTGAGGTGGGCCAGGTGCGCGTGATGTCGGTGATGTAGCCGCCGTATTCGGCGCCGGCGTCGACGAGGACGAGCTCGTTGCCCTCGAAAAGGGCTTCGTTGCGGACGTAGTGGATCGTGAGGGCGTTCTGGGTCGTCAGTTCGCACAGCGCGTGATGGTGTGGAGGATTCATACCTCGCCTCCAGCAATCACAGGCACGTAGGCTGGTCCGTCACAGCCCTCTCCCTTGAATTTGTAGTCCAGGAATGAGTCTAGGTCTTTCTCGCCGGAGAAGTGCTGGCGCATGGCGTCTGTGATGGCTCGGCCAGAGACTTGTCCAGCTTTCCGCATGTTGCGGACCTCCGCGTCGCTCTTGATCACCCGGAGGTTATTCATCAAGGGCCGCAGAGGCTTGACGGTCTTCTTTTCGGCATCGCGGAAGACTTGTGCTAGGCCTTTCGCGTTGTAGGGATCGAAGCCGCTTATGAATTTCGTGAAGGGGTTCTTGGGGTGCACGCTACTTGGGAGGTCGGTATAGATTTCGCTAGATCTTTGGATGATTCTAGGAAGGATTTCAGGGAGTCGGTTCACGCTTTCAGTCTAAGAGGTGTAAGTTTATAGATTTATGGATTTTGAGGGAAGAGTACCTCATCGGCGTTGAAGACGTCCTGAGCGGCCTGGATGCCAGACCGTGGCCCGTCCCAGAGCTCCGCTTTGGCATCTTTTGGGCGCACATAGAGGTGGAAGCTATAGTCTTCGTCCCCAGCTCCTTGCTTTTCTGTATTACAGTGAGTTGTTGTTCCCACAATCTAATAGACTTGTTCCCACCTATTATTGCCAATGCGTCCGGTTCATTGAATCCTGCCCCCACTTAGCTTTGTCCAATAGGATGGTCCTTTCAATGCATACCGGTCAAGTATAGGAAGTCGGGGTCTTGGTGGTATTTGTAGAAAACCGAGCCCGAGCGGTATTTCAGGTCGGATGCGGCGAGTATAGCGACGGCATTGAGAGGTAGGGATCTAGCAAGCTTCGTGCGCCGGTGGGCATATTCGAGGGCCGTAATGCCTGGAGTTACTGCAATCATATGAGCGAAGTGTCCGATATAGTCGCAGAAGCTTCAATAGCGCCTTACTCTCCCCCGCCTGTAATAGATGCGGGTGCGTCTCATACACGGGCTGGCCGAATTGGAGATCCGCCGCGGAAACCACCAATGCTCTCCTCAGACACGGTATTGGAGCACCACAGGTTTGCCCTCGCGCGGCAGACAGCAATGGGCGGAGAGCCGGGAGCATCGCTGGTCATTGAGGGGTGTACATGTACATGTCGTGACTGTTCTCGGGCAAAATTTCCAGTCACGTCGGAGAGTATTGCTATCGATAGAGGGCCGAACTAGCAAGGGAGTTGACGTCGTGCCTTTCTATGGTGCCACTCCAATCCTGCATGTTATCCACCATGTTGCCTGCCTGTATTTCCCCGCAGCCTCGAGTCGTATCTGTACCTCCCTCAGGTTGTCAGTCCGGCCTGAACATGCACCGCTGACCCCGCCCCGACAGCTACCTAGCGTGTCTTTTTGTTATTTCACCGCAAAGCTATCAGTATGCCTATCACCACCAAAATGGCTTCTACGGCGAGACCTCCCCTCGTACCCCCCGCCGATCTCGAGTCTTTTCAGAAACATCTCAACTCCTCGAAGCGTATAGTAGCTCTTGTTGGAGCTGGACTCTCAGCCTCTTCTGGTCTGCCTACGTTTCGAGGTGCTGGAGGACTATGGCGAACCCACGAAGCCACCGAGCTCGCCACTCCGGGGGCATTCCAACGTGATCCGGCCTTGGTGTGGCAGTTCTACTCCTATAGACGACATATGTCACTAAAGGCACACCCGAATCGCGCACATTACGCGTTGGCAGAGCTGGCACGGCGGAAGGATTTCATGACCGTGAGCCAGAACGTGGACGGTACCGCCTCCCTACCACCCTAGAAATCTACTTCTACCTATACTTGCACTTCTCCATATACCATATGCCCGTCGTACGACCTGAGAGCGGGGCTGACTGCTTGAATGCAGGTCTATCGCAACGAGCCTCGCACCCCCCTTCTAGCCTCAAGCTCGTCCACGGCTCGCTCTTCGACGTGAAGTGCAACGAGTTCTTCTGCGAATATGCAGAATCGAACAATTTCACCGATCCCATTGTGCCGGCCCTCGCCCTCCCTACAGACGAGTCCGACCCTACGACCACCGAAGCCCTCCGTGCCCGCGAGCTCGATATCTCTGACGAGCGCGTCACCCTCCCCGAGCTCAACATTCGCGACCTCCCGCGGTGTCCGAAGTGTAAGAAGGGTCTGCTCCGGCCTGGCGTCGTATGGTTCGGGGAGATGCTGCCGAAGGACACGCTTAAGGACATCGAGACTTGGATGGACGATCCGAGGCAGATCGACCTGATAATCGTGATTGGCACGAGCGCTCGAGTATATCCGGCGGCCAGCTATGTCGATGACGCGAGGATGAGGGGAGCGAAGGTTGCGGTCGTGAACATGGATCCTGCAGACGTGCCGGCTGGGGGGCTGTATGCTGGGGATTGGTTCTTCCAAGGTGATGCGAGTGAGATTGTGCCGGAGATTCTGAAGTCGGTTATTGGTGAGGTGGAGCTGCCGGAGCGATCATGATGAGGTTTGAAGGATCATTGAGTAGTATTTTCGTGTTGTTTGGAGTCCACACAAGGCGTTCGGTTGCTGGAGTTAGCTTGCACCCCCCCTTTATCTTCATGGGCCGGTAGGATAAAAATTCCAGAACTTCGTCGGTTATTCTCCATGCTCTGGCGATTCCAGATCTGGTTTCCTTTTTCTTGCACGAGTTGTGGTTGTTGAGTTATGTGCGAAAAGGTGGGTGGACGTGAGAAAACCGTAAATATTCAGTCTCTCTGGTTTCGACACTTCTTGGCAGCCAAAAGCTGCCCGATGGGGGTGGACGACGGTAGAACAAAACTCCGAGGTGAGGTTTTCACGATTTCTCAGACTCCCACAACATCTTCACGAATAGCTCAACAACCACACCTCGCATCGCAGACCTGACAGCAGGACGTGATTCGCCTGGCCCAACAGTATCTTCTAAGAATTATTGGAGAAGTAAATCCTGGGCGTCGTTGACTTGTTGAGGGGTGTGCAGGGCTCCACACCCTTGGAACTTGTCGCGGTTGCCAAGACTTGCCGTTTAGAGAGCATCTCCGGGGGCTTGAAAAAGGTGGCACGTTGAGTCTAGGGCAAGCCGCCGTGGATGTACGCGTGTATGCCACTGCCTGGGGTGACTTCGAGCAGTAGCAGACAGGGGTACGCACGAGATAGAGTGCTGGATGAGTGTGCCACGCTCAGAGTGGCCATTACGAGTGTTCCCCAGCCAGCCAGGCAACAAACGGCGTCACTATCTATACTAATATTGCAGAACGGTCAGGTTGACGCATTTCGAATTGCATAGAGCCGCGAGGGACCGCAAGCGCACCAGTAAACGGAGCCCCTGCAGGCAAACGCTCGATCTGGTTGCCTTTCCAACGCTGTTCCCAAATCTCTGGTTGTCTCGTAGCTCACATGCACTGACCATGGAAGCGCTATGGCCGTCGAATATCATGAACCCATGGACAGTAACACGTACTTTAGGACCTCAAGTGCCATCATTTGTTTTTCAATTGCAATTTCGAGGTAATCTTCCATCGCAAGTACCCTCCCGAAATTCGAATGTAATTGCCTATCTAACTTACTGGTTGGGGAGACAGCATCATGTATATACGCCAATTCCCAGGCTGCGTCCTTTCCTTCACCCCAGCCGCCTTCGTTCATTACCTTTTTTAGGCCCCAGCCTTTGCAGCGCGCTTGCAACAGTCCATCGTTCTTTTGTCTTCGTCCTAAGTCTACACAGCTCTATTATCCACCCATCAGCTCCAAGTCAATGAACTTCTCGACCACAATGGACGGCTTGCCTGCGACGGCGCCGACTGCCTCCAGCGCTTCGACCGTGTGGAACGCTGTTGATGTACTCTCTCTTGTCAACAAGGACGTTTTTGACAAGCATAACCCCGATGAAAAGTTCATGACATGTCCTGCGGATGTCGACGACGAGATGAGGCGGTGCAGGAAGAGGGGCAACAAGATGAAATGCTCCAAAAGCATACCAAGGATCCAAGAGTTAGGTCCAGAACACGCGAACCTCGGACCTTTACTTCGCAATTTAGCCGAGTCAATAACTTGTAGGCTACATAAGGACTGAATAGATGAGATAGTGGGCAGCTGGTTGGCAAGTTGTGCAGAGCTTGCAAAGCAATCAAGTCTTCACAAGGAGCCCTCTGAAGCTCACCCTAGTAGGCCGCCTAGCAGTAATAGAGCGATCGACATCTTACATACCAGTCAGTATCTTCTCGCCATGTTAATTGCTATTCGACTCTCTTACGTTACCTAATCCAGCTACGACGCAAATTCTGCAGCAACCAAATGAGCATGATGTTCTAGTCAAAACTACAGATCGACCTCTTTCGCTCTCTCCGAAAAGGATCAGAGAGTGAAGCATTAATAGTCAGCTATTTCCTATTGTTTATACCTTATCCTTTCCTGCTGACTTTGACCATAGCAACCAGAGCCGTCTGCGTAGTGTTCAACGATCCTACCTCCGCTACGCACAATGAGCCGAACCAGCCGAACTTCGAACCCGTCAAGAAATCGTCGGCATGACTGGCGATGGGGTTAACGACGCCCCCCCTCCTGAAGCAAGCAAACATTGGTATTGCCATGGGGTCTGGATCGGACATTGCCATTGAGGCGGCTGACATAGTCCTCCTCGAGTCCTTCTCCGCCATCGTTGAAGCAAGTCCAAATGCAATATTCAGAAGAGGGAGAGGAATTCCCTAGGGTCGACGAAGAAACGAATAAAAAGAATCTCGTGTTCAACAATGCCGCTGCAGACACACCAGAGAGTTTGAGCGTGCTGGAAGGGATTCAATGGTAGCAATTTCTTCAGCCGGAATCGAAAGGCGACCACGATGAGGAACAAGAGGTTGACGAAGGCATTCCTAGTGAGTCACCTCTGGCCCATGTACCGTGCGTCCCTCTCGCTCGCCCATATGATAGCAGTGGAATTAGATCCCACAAATAGCAAAGACTCGGAGCTGGATACGCTTGCTGCGATGATAGAAAAGCGCCTGACATTAAAGCCAGAACAAAATGCAGAAATCCGGACTATCATCGCTGAGATGAAATGCTCAAAACGATCCTACCAACCAGAGCTCGACTGCAACCCCATGGATTTCGACGACGATGCACATCCTGCGCTCCAGAGCGCATTGCCGCTCCCAGAATCCGGTGCTTGTTTAGAACCACAAGCTCCCGTCGGCGGAGGGGCTGACCAGCTGGAGGAACAAGAGAGTCTATTAGAACCGGAGGACATTTCTGAATATCCGGTTAACAAAGGAGGGCTTGGAACGCCCATATACTCTGCCCAGGCCTCCCAGGAGGAAAAAAGGGTTCTTAATGCGCCCTTACCATCGTTTCTTTTACTTGATCCACCAAGACCTCTAATCCCCACTCGAACGCTGATCCGCCGGCATTCTGTACCATCGTGGGTCTCAGGTCGAGGGAAAAGAGAGAACGCTCTTAAGTCTATAGACCTTGAGCATCGAGCGGAGATCTACTACGAAGATGAGGGTCCACCTTACCAAGCTTGAGTTGATGTAGGCTATCGCAATCTCTCCATCAATTTACGATCTCTTCCGCATTCATTTTCTCTTTATTTCATCATCTCACTTTCTGACTGTCCTTAATTTTTCCAACATTCATAGCAATCTCTTGAATCTTTAAATAACTTATTAAACCTACTTCTGGCGATTTGTGTGCCCCTTTCCTTCCTGTTTGCCTAGAACTACTTCCTGTAATGTGTTAGGTTTATGAGTTTAGTTAGTAATAATATATTATCAAGAGCTTCTCCTTTAAATTGAAACGAAATATTCCTCATTTCTTCAAATTCCTAATCTATCCTAGTGCCTGATACGTGTGTTCAATAGTCCCGTCTCGGATGTGTCTTCGTGAAAGAGCAAAGTTCAGAACTCGCCCGGCCCTCTTTCCTCTGATCACTCTCATTTACCTCCTTATACATGGACAACTTAAGATTTAGGAAGGAGATTCTTTCTTTAGGTTTCATTCTGGGTTGCGAGCGGCCGGGAGTGAGGTATTTTAAGGGATATGCATATATCTATTCAGCGTTTCCTTCTTCATTGAGCATTGCATCAAGGACGTTTTCGGAATATATATATAGGGGATTCAAGATGTTTTGCATAGATTTTATGATGTTGGAGCTTGAGGAGAGATTCATTAGTGTTGGGTTTTGAGCTCGGAGTGCATCACGTTCTAGCTATGCTTGCAAGTTTAAACTGTGAAGCTTAGAATGCTGAAGGCTGCATTAGAACCTATGTCTTAATTATGAGTATTTGGGCCTGCTGCTGAGGTCTTACAGCTAATGACAGTGGTGCTTCAGCTGTATCATGCACATGACTTTGGAGGTTCCGACGAGAGAACATCCAACTGGACCGCGCCGTACTGGACGGAGCTCTTAAAACTGCTCATGAGGTCTCGGAAGTCAACTAAAGTCCAACCTTCCTACCATGGTGAACCAATTTTGCGCTCACAGAGCGAATCTCTTGTCTCAATTGCCGTCTAAAAGACAATAGCACCACCTTGATGACTTGATTAGCACTGAGTTTCGTAAATGGGTAGATCAGCTTACCATCGACTACGATATCTGCGGCGTTGATGTAGCTACCGGCTGCAGAGCATAGGAGCACCAGCGGTCCCGTCAGCTCTTGAGGCACACCCATTCTGCCCATCGGGTTGCGATTTGCCCAGACGTTTCTAGCCCGCTCGAGGCCAGCTCCTTCATTGAGAATAGTATCCATGTATCCTGGAGAGATGGAGTTCACGCGGATGCCGTAGCGAGACCATTCTGCGGCGAGACAGTTCTTGAGATGCAATAGGGACGCCTTGGAGACGTTGTATGCAGCCTGGGGCTGAGGAAAGTTCACACGGTGACCGGAAATGGCTATGAGTAGGTTAGTACTTACAAGAGACACATCTCTGAATGATACATAGAGTAGTAAGCTTACAAGCGATGAAGACGATTGTTCCTCCGCTATTCTGATCTACCATTTGCCTGGATAAAAAGGTCAGCGCTTTGCTTCCGGAGATACGAGCGGCGATCTTACCTCGCAACAGCTTGAGCACAGAGGAAGGATCCGGTGGAGTTGATGTCCATAGTTCGCTTCCACTCGTCGACGCTCATATCGAGAGCATGGGTGCAGCCCACGACGCCTGCGAAGCAACACAGAATATCGACACTTCCTAACTGCCCCGCAGTCTCATTCACGGCGGCACCAATACTCTCCGCATCCCTAACATCGACCTTCTTGGTGATGATCTTAGCGTCCGGGAAGTCAGTCCTCAACGCCGCGATTGGATCAGCTGCTTGCTGAAGGTTGAGATCGAAGAGGGCAAGGCCAGACAAGCCATGCTCCAGGAGAGCTCGAGCACCTTCCAGGGCTAGAGTACCCGCACCTCCAGTGACTAGATCAATTGTAATTAGAATTGTTCACAGGATCTCCAAAGCTTCCATAATGCTAAGGTCATTTACGTACTAATTGCATTTCCTTCGACGTTGAATCTGTACACCGCTCGTCCTTCCCCACTCAGGTAGGGTGGCGCCGGTGGGGGCGGGGCTGTCATAGACGAAGATGAACCATCTGATAGCTGCATCTCGGGTAGCTGCCGGTTGACGAGGGCGTCCCGAGCAGGTTCCCCATTTTGCGCCATGTTGATAAACTTTTTGCTCAAAATGATATTATTCTGGAACTCGTCGGTGTTGGTGAGTTCGTGAACGAGACAAGAACGACAGCTGAGCACAACACTCTCGGATTTCGGATTCGAGCATTTATAGCATGTTGAGGAAGCCGCACAGCTTCTGCGAGACGTGAATTAATATGCGGATCGAGAGCAGAAGTGAATAGAGAAGGTTTGCCGAATGCGCTAGTGATAAAATGGGTTAGCTGGAATCCCATCATGTGACCATTTTCCTTCTATTAGTGCATACGGATACCATACAGTCTGCACATAATTTGTGAGGAGGTGATTGAAAAGATATCGGAGAGCTTAGATATTCTCCGTCCTCTACAACTTACGGGTACTGTTAGTATATTGACTAGCCTTGCTTCATTCTCCGGAGTAAGGTGCTTTACTTAAGTCCGACTTCGTATCCCACTTTGAAACTCTCCCACTTACTGCTCCAACACCAAAAGCCGTCCAGGACCAACTTGAAGTTGTTACTATATCGCCGTGTAGCCTCTACATTCCAGATTTGATAGAACCCCTGCGTTGAGATATTGCATGCCGCCGATATTCGCAAGCTCTGAGTCACATAATCTTCTGCGATTTCATCTCTCAAACTTCACAATACTTTATCAACATATCAAAATCTCCTGAATCTACCATTTCAGGCTCATTTCAACACCAAGAGATCATCATGCCTCCACCCCACCTTGACCACATAGTCATATTCGTCCCCTACGCTTCTCTCCAATCCGTTCCCACCTGGCTCACAACCCACTTCACTGTCTCCCCCGGCGGCCGTCACGGCGACAACAAGACCGAGAACAAACTCATCCTGCTACCTGACGGCTGCTACATCGAGCTGATCGCATTCATTGACGACGGCGCTACCTCGCGCGAGGGTCACTGGTGGGGCGACAAGAAGACCGGTATCGCAGATCTCGCATTCACTACAGAAGGCGCCGCTGGGCCTTGCATAGATGGTGTAGCTGAGCGACTGACCAAATCCAACGCAGAGGGTGGACTACAGGTCGTTTACCAACAGCCGCAGCGGGGTGCAAGGAACCGGCCGGATGGAACGCGTGTGGAGTGGGAGGTTACGTTTCCCACGGGCAAGGGTGTGCAGAGGGGGTTGGCCCCTTTCTTCTGCCATGATGTCACGCCGAGGGATTTGCGAGTGCCATTGAGAGAGACGAGTGCGAGACATCCGAGCGGAGCGTATGGTGTGAAGAGCTTGACGATTATGATTCCAGGAGAGGAGGTTGCAGGATTGGCGAAGACGTGGGAGGCGATTTTGGACTCTAAGAATGAGGGCACGGAGAAAGAGGCGAGGTTCACGGTTGGAAGCGTGCATAAGGTGGAGGATACGCCAGACCCGGTTATCATTATCAAAGCGCCGGAGGAGGAATGGCAGAAGGAAAGAGTGAAAGATATGGGCTTTCTGATTAGCGATCTGAAGATTGGCGCTTTCAACACAGTTCTAGCGGGGACTGAAAAGAGAGTGGATGCAGACGAGGAGTTTGATTTTGGAAGGATGCTCTTGGAATACCCGTTACCGCCTGCTTGGCCGAGAGCGGATGGAATGGAAGCGGTGGGACAGAGGGTGTGGAGTGGCCCCCCGGTGCCGTTTCAAGTTTCGCGTACCCACAACGCAAAAGTAGAAGAGGTGAGTTTAAAGATACATGCTTAGGATAAGAACATAGTATGAGGCACTTCTGCACCTATAATAGATTTTGACCCTGCTATCGAGAGATACTTCAATGCCTCATAAGAACGGCAATTCAATTTATGCTCATTCAGTGATCGTAAAGCAGAAAACCGGGCGCTCTACCTAGATCAAGGCCTCCCTACAACGCCCGTTGCCAATTAATCATCCTCTTCCCACTGTGGTGGTAGCGGTATTGAATAGTCGTCTAAACTATCCTGCATGGTCAGTCCCGCTGTCGTCGCCCCTGTTGTCCGTCTAGAATAGTGCGCTTGGGACCTGGGTACTCTGAATATTTTGAAAGGAGACGTGGGAATGGAGGATGGAATGCTCAGAGGTGGCGGGCGCGTTGGAGATATTGGAAGAGTGTGGTGGCTGTGTTGAGCATCATGTGGCGAGGCTTGCGTTCCTTCAATCGTCGATGCTTGTGAAGGATGGGTAGACTGGGTTGGTAGAGGGTAAGAGGATGGGATCCGCTGCTCAGGCTGTTCCTCAGGAGCTGGAATTTGACTGTATGACGGTTGGACGGAGATTCGTTGAGTGAACGTCTGGAGCTCGCTGTGTAGCTGCGCTGTCGCTTCTTCTGTACCAGTTCCAATTGTGCATTGGCTCTCTTCAAACTGTGAAGGTTCTTGTTTGATAGTTCGATCATATACCCCTGGGTTAGCAGGTACAGGCAGACCTTCTGTTTCTTGGAGAGTTGGTGTCGCCGAAGCCCGATTAGATCTCGCAGTCTCTACATTCTCAATTTCATGTATGCTATCTCGGCTTGCGCACATGAGATCAATCTGCTGAATCGCAGCTTCTGTTTCTTCCCCGACACCGGCGTTGGTAGGAACTGTGTTATCTTCATCCGATTCTTCTTCCTCGTCATCCGTGTCCGGAATAGTGTCTTTAAATATCCGTCGAGGAGGTGCTACTGGTGAGGATATCAGGTTCTCTTTGACTTGGAGTCCACCTTTTCGCGATATTGGTTTAACAGGGCTCAGTCGTTCTGCGTCTCCAGGCCGCAATCGCGAATGTAACAGAGAAGGCTGCTGTATATTCGTGGACTTCTCTTCAAGGGGAGACCTAGTAGATCGCTGAGGCGTGTTTTGTGTTGATAGTGGGCTTTCGGGCGGAGATTGCGAAGAAGGTATTTCAAGAGGGCGCCGGGTTCGCGGCGTTGAGCGTGGCTTTGAATTTACCCTTGTTAATCTAGGTGTAGACGCACTATCCACTAGCTGACCGTGTGAGGTCTCTTTATGGCCTCTTCGGGGCCGCAAGGTCCGGCCATTACTGTGACCTTTGCCCGACGGAGCTGCATCTCGAGCGGTTCTACGAGTCTGTCGTTCTCCCACTGGCCTGTATAGCCCACTGTTGGCTAGACGCTCTTCCATCGCAACAGCATACGTCCCATCTAACTCCTCTTGCTCCTCTTCGACATCCGATCGAACGTCAGGTTCTCGCCCAGTGCCTATCATCTGAGTCAAAGTCTGTTGCCGTTTTTCTTCCTCAGTCAACTCCTGACGACTCCTTCGTCTGACAGCAGACTTCCGGTTTCCCCCCTCATTTCTGGGTAGAGGTTGGACTCCGTGGCCCAACTGCGTGAGGGTCGCCTGCCGCAGAACACTGAGGTAGTCTTCTCCCTCGATTTCGGATCCGGACTCGGGTTCCGACTGTGAATCTTCCACTTGCTCCACCCTCTGTTTCTTTTTGCCCGAGGGCGGTGCTGTGGTAATCCACCCTGCCTGTGTCATGGTTTGCTGTCTTGAAGCGGGTGGTGGTGGGGATGGCGAAAGTATGCGTTTCTTAGTACGGCGCGATGGGAATTTCTTCTGCCGCAATACTGTTCCATGAGCGTACACGGTATCTTGATTGAAGCGAGCTCGTTTCTTAGGAGGCATGTCGAATTGTGAGGCTAGAGGTCTACGACGTGAACGATGGAGACGCGCCGAAGCTCAAGCTTGAGACGCGACGAAGATGCACCAACGCCAAAGCTCACGTGATCGCGTGCCGGAAATTCATGCGTCATCTCATTCCATTCATCCCGCATCCGGATTCACGCGGCCTCCATCCGTCGTATCTGTCGTCTTTGCTCTAAACATGTAAAAACATTAATGAAGTAATGAACAACATCCTACTTCCCCCCGGAACACCCCCTCTCTCCGCTGGTCGGCTACCTCACTCAAGACGCAACTTCGACACCACAGCGACAGTGAAGCTTGCAGATGCCTAGCAATGGCTGGTGCGCGAGGTCGGCCACGCAAAACAGCCGATTCAACGAATAATAGAAGCACTGCTCGTACAAGAAGCTCCAGAAAGACGACGAAGAAAGATGCCGATATTCCAGATGTGTTTCAGGATTTGCTTGCAGAGGCAGCGCCCTCTGCTAGTGCCGGCCCGGATGAGGACAATAAGCCTTTAAAGAAGCGCAAGACGGCGAGGAGTACTCGTATAGCGGAACCAGGAGCACAACCGCCTCCTACTACTACCGAAAGTCGAACCACTCCCCAGCGAGATCCTTCCCCGCACACTCAAGACGATTCGGTGGACAATGGTTACAATGGGACTCGGCTGCTACAAACGGTTACAGATTACTCCGAAGAATCCGAGGAAAGTGATCTAGAATGGGAAGACGTTGGTATAGATCAGGCCGAGGAAGGGGATCAGAAGTCGGACGAGGAACGTCCCATTGGAGACATTTCCATTGTCCTGGGCGGCGACAAAAATGACCAAAAGGCAAGGAAGCAAGTGCGGCGGAAAGGGGTGACTGCTGCAGAGAAAAAATTAAGGCTTGATATCCATAAGATGCACATCTTGTGTCTGCTCTACCACGTTCATCTGAGAAACGCATGGTGCAACGACTTCAAGACGCAGGTATTTGCAACGCTCTACGTATCTTAGCATAATTTGACAGTATTTCAGGCTACCTTGCGAAAACTGGTCAACGTCAAGCTGATTGAGAAACTTGCCCAAGATCCAGAACAAAATCAAGGGCAATCATCAGCATTGTTCTTAGATGGGCTGGTGAGACTCAAAGATTTATGGTCGCAGAGATTCTCTATCACAGCCATGGGACTCCATAAGCCACGGTGGGCTGATAGTGAGGAGGCCGTTCTAGATGTAAGTCTTTAAATGAACTCAACAGGAATGCATTGGTCCTAACTCTGTCCAATTTTGAAGTTCAACCAATTCGATGAGCTCGACCCCCCTATGGAATGTCCGGACTTCCGCACTGCGGCACACACACTTCGAGGTTCTCAGGACGTCGGAGCTCAGTTATTTTGTGCACTTCTTCGAGGAATCGGCGTAGAAGCCAGACTGGTTTGCTCTTTACAGTGTCTGCCGTTCTCATCGGTTGCTCAAAGCTCCACTCCCCAGTCAATCTCCAAGACGAATCGCATTGTCCTGGACCCATACAATTCGGATATTTCCCCAAGCAAGTCCACAGCCCCGGTCGCGTCTGCTTCGAACACTCCATCTACTCCATTGCGGCAGCGTCCCGTGCGACTATCCAAGCTTGGGCAGTTCTTGACAGGTCAGAAGACATACGATGCTGGCAAAGCTCCCCCGTTACCGAAACCCAAGAAGAACTATCATACAGCATACCCGGTTTATTGGGTTGAAGCGTTCGATTTCGCATTGCAGAAATGGATTGTAGTAGACCCACACTCTTCTTCCACCGCCAACAGACCAGATAAAATCGAACCTCCCATGAGCTACTCACAGAATACGCTTAGCTACGCAGTGGCGTTTGAAGAAGACCTGTCAGCGAGAGACGTTACGCCGAGATATGCGAAAGCACTGAATGCGAAGACTCGCAAGGCCAGAGTTGAGAGTACTGAAGGAGGTGCGAAATGGTGGAAGAAAGCACTGAAAATCTTCAGAAGAAGGACGACTCTAGACAGAGATCAGGTCGAAGACGCTCAGCTTGCACGCAGAGAGGCTGCAGAAGGAATCCCGCGAAACGTTCAAGACTTCAAAGGTCATCCTATATACGTACTTGAGAGACACCTCAGGCATAACGAGATCATCCAACCCAAGAACCAAGTTGGCAAGATCAACGTAGGAAGCGCAACTGCAAGTAAAATGGAACCTATCTACCGTAGACGCGACGTGCATGTTGTGAGAAGCGGAGATAAATGGTATCGAATGGGACGAGAAGTGAAGGAGGGTGAACAGCCCTTGAAACACGCCAAACCTCGAAAAGGAGCTCGAAGCTCTCTTGGTCCCGACGAACTCGACGCCGAAGACATGGAAGATGTCGGCGTCGGATTATACGCAGGATTTCAGACAGAGCTATACGTCCCTCCGCCCGTCGTCCGCGGTAGGGTACCTCGGAACGCATTCGGAAATCTCGACATTTACGTGCCATCCATGATCCCAATGGGAGGTGTACATATCCGCGCACTTGAAGCAGCGAAGGCCGCACGAACCGTCGGGGTTGACTTCGCCGACGCTGTGACGGGCTTCCAATTTAGAGGCCGACATGGCACTGCAGTCATCCAGGGTATCATCGTTGCCGCCGAGTATCGAGAAGCGATCGAAGCTGTCTTGAAAGGAATGCTGCAGGCACAAGAAGATGCACAGAATGCTTTACGCAGTGCGGAAGCGTTGCGGCTTTGGAGACGATTTTCTCTTGGTCTCCGGATCGCCCAGAGAGTCGCGGGATACGAAATCAAAGAGGACAAGGTAAACCTCCAAGAAGAGCTGGATCAAGAGGAAGAGCACCTTGACGAGCAGCAAATGGCTGGTGGCTTCTTTCCTGGCGCTAATTTGGGGACCATTGATCCAATGGAGGCTAGGAATGAATACGAGCACGAGCACTTTGGGTTCGATGGCACTTCTAGGGGTAGAGTTATCTCGGATGTAGTGATTGATTTTATTCCAGAAAATGCCAATAGCTTCGGAAGCTCGCTCTTAGAACAGGTCTCAATCACACCACGAAGTACGCGAACGATACCTCAGCATCAAGAGTCGCTCAAAGCAGACCCAGGCGATATAAGAGGTAGCTTTATACCAGATAGTCCGGGCGATCAAGGTAGAAGATTCATTCCAGACGAAGAAGTTCTTCCAGAGGAGAGTCACAGGGTCCCTCCTCGGCAGCAGAGTGATCCAATGGAAATGGACACAGCGGGTGGATTCATCGTCGACGATATATCCAAAGATGATTCAGTCGAGCAACTGGAACCCGCCCAGCTCCCCGTGCCCGCAGAATCGAGAGACAGCGCAATGCAAAAAATGCCACAGTCCTCTCAACCATCAGCGCCTGCAAGCGTCTCCATGACCGCAGAATCAGACTCGACAAGCCAACAACCAGCTCAAGACGGAACCTCGATTCAGGTTGAAGAGCAAGCTGCAGAAATTTGGCAAGATCCAAAACCCGCACAGCCCGCGGACAACGACGAGCAATCGAGCGATGAAGACCGCAACTCATTACTGTCTGAAGACCCGGAAGATGAAGATGCCGACCCGGATTGGTTAGTGTATACAACATAGATATCTGGATAACCTGCATGTTGTATCAGTAGCTAGATATGTAGAAAACTTTGGCTCTTGAGACCTTTATTTTTCTCCTTTAGACTTCATTGTTGGACTAACTTTGGAGATTGCAATGATGCTATAGCTGTGAGTGATTCACATAGGACCCTTCTCAACCTTCCAGCTTTTCTTGTATCATCTCCTCCGCCATCTCCTTTACTATCTGAATAACCCGCCTGCAATCCCCCGTCACAAGTTCTTTTTCTTCCCCTTCTCTTTCAGATCCTTCTTCCGCTCCTCTACAGCCTTCCTCGCGCATTCTCGCGCCAGCTCAAGCCCCCCCAACATTCACATTCGACAGATCCCTCATCGTTGCCACAATCTCCTTGCTCCCCTGCACCGACAGCTTCGCCCTTCCCTCCTCGGGGCCGGTGGAGCGGTCGGTGCAGCGGGGGCGGTTTTGCAGTTTGCGGATGTGAAGGGCAACGTGGTTGGGGGACGTGGTCGGGGGACGTGGTCGGGGGACGCGGTAGTGTTGGGTAAGCGGCTGAGACGTTCCCTATGCGTGAGTGAGTCTGGGTTGGAGGCGCTGTAACGAATGAAAATGAAATCCGTGATATAAACGCAATTCGTGGTACATTTCCCCACAAACCCCACAATTTCGCTTTGACTTTGTCCGAGCCTCTCCCTTATTTCGTAGCTCTACTAAACCGCGCGAACTTGCACTCATGACCTCCAAGAAGAACAGTAAAAGCCAAAACAACATTACAGCTCCTGAAAAGTGGAGATGGAAAGAACGGATACCATTTTCCGAATTATGGGATCGAAAGTGAAGACGTTCCCAATAGTCATGCCACCCCCCATGGCTGGCGCAAGGACTCCGCCCGTGGTGGAAAACTAGGAGAAAGCCAGGAAAAAGACAAGGCGTCAATTGCAAGTAGCCCACCAATTCCAGCAGCTTTTGCTGCTGCGCCTTTTCAGTCCCTATTCGCCACCATCTTCTCAAAAGAACAGCTACACGCCTCAATCGTATTCCCCCACGGATCCAACACATACAGCGCCACCGTCCGTACCTCCTCCCCCTCCGTCGACTTCGGGCTCACCGTCTCCCCAATCTTTCGCCCGCCCGCCGCAACCACCCTCGCACACAGCGCCTCGGGATCCGGATCCGTGACCGCGAAGTGGAACACGCCGCCGCGCGTGTAATCAAACGAGGACGGCACGCTCATCGGCGGATCGATGAACTGGAACAGCTCGAATCCGACGCTATTCCCCGTCGCCAGGAACGCGACCTTGACTTTGTGGAGGCGGGAGTCGTAGATGCGGAAGATGGGGGCGTCGGGGTCGGTGGAGCGGTCGGTGCAGCGGGGCAGGTTCTGGAGTTTGCGGAAGCTGAGGATGCTGGTGTAGAAGGCGATTGCGGCGTCGATGTCCGGGACGTGGAGGGCGACGTGGTTGAGGACGCGGTTGAAGGGTGCGACTTCCATTCTGTGGTGGTGTTGGATGAGCTGCAGATATACAGCGACGTGATGGAAGAGGTCTAGGAGGATGGCCACTTACGTTTGATATTGTGAATGTTTACTAAGATAGAACGTTGAGTGCTAGGAACAGTAGCGCAAGTATAGGAGAAGCGGGATAATAGTGTATGAGAATGTAGTGACTTGGCCGCTCACCGAAAGAGGGACCAGCTCTCCTTAATATGGGTATTTATTTCTACCAGTTACCCCATAATCTGGCGTAAATATGGCTGGTCTGGTGCGGATTTAGCCCCACTAGGTTGATCACAAGCCTTTAATGCATGTACATGAGTACCAAGCGAATAAGCATCCTAAATCATTAGACTCTGGATAACTTGAACCGATACTCTATGGAGAAGGTTCGGCCGGTCTTTGCGGATGGTGACCCCTCGCTGAAAGAAGCATGGCAGAGCCGACCCCGGGAGGTCTTATCCTCGAGGAAGTTTGTGAGGAATGCAGAATGTCGAAAAATGCAGTGCTGGAAACAGCGAAGTGGAGCTATATGATGATTCTATTCGCTGCTGGCGAGGCAATTTTGCAACGTTAACGTGGCTCGAATAGAGGCATGAGGAGGAAACTCTAGTACAAAAGCAGTCGTATGTGTGATACGTATTTACGTGAGAGACGCGAATTGAGAGAGGTCCGCGATGGCCAAGGGAAGAGGTAGAAATGAGGTTGAGTGGGACCGTCCCGATCCGGCTAGTTCTCCTTACCACGTGGTATATGTCAATTCACTCCCAACTGAAATCAGAACCTTTTGCAGCGATCACATAGAACGACATGCTTTAGACTTTTGTATTTCATTTCGCATGCTACATCGAAACGCGACCCAGATGCGCAGAATACTTGCTAGATACTCCATCCAACGCCGTCAACGCAAAACACCACCTGCCCATCAAAACCATCGTAACCATCCTGCCCTTTTCGTGACTACTCAGCTTCTCAAAAGCCCTACAACATCAAGAAAACAGCCGCTGCTATCGCAGCGACCGCTCCCATCGCGTTGGGTACGAACGTGCCAGCAGCAGACACCTTGATCTGCACTAGCTTACTTGACGCAAAGGTCTTCCCGGGATTTGTGCTGTTGAGCGTGCCATCCCAACAGTATTTTGTAAAGCAGGTCTTGCAAATATCTGGCACCGTCGTGCCTGTCCTGTTCAGAGACCGACTCAGCACCGCGCAGCCCACGCAGGCGGGGAAATCCGCATCGAGCGTGCCGTTGGCCATCGTGGCGACATCGTAGCCATTCTCAATGATGGCGTTACGCTCGGTGTTGTTGTAGGAGAGTGTGAAAGTGGAGACGTTAGAGTTGTAGACGTAGGGCGTGTTGGGGACGTAGACGACGAGGGGCGCGTCTCCGGTGAAATTGGAGCTGTCGCAGCCGAAGAAGGTCGGGCGCTTGTTCAGGCCTAGGTTTACAAAGGTGTTTTGGTCTGGGATTGAAGGGAAGGCGGTGCCGTTCTCGATGGTCTCGTTCAGCGAACGCTGGTAGGTTGCGACGAGAGCAGTGCCATTGGGCCAATTGGCCGCACCATTGTCTGCGGTGGTATCGGCCGAAGAATCGACGGCGAAGATAACGTCGACGTGGCGGACAGGCTGAATGAGAGGGTTTAGCGGGATATTTTGAAGATCTTCGCCGCCATCGACAAGAGTGAGACGCTTGTTTGCGGCGTTTGGGTTTGTCTTGTTGTTGAAGTGGTAGAAGGGGTTGGGTGTCCAGTCCGCAATATCGTTCTGGTCTTCACCAAGATCCGTAAGCACGTTGGCGATGACGGACTTCAGTAGTTGCGGAGCGTCGGTCGAGTTGAGATTCAGTATCAGCTGATTGAAGAGGGAAGAGCTGGTGCCCATGACATATCCAACATTGTCAAAGCCCTCGATACATTGCTGGTTGGAATCGACTTTGCCACCAGTGAAATTTGAGCCGACATATCTTAGCGGCGCGAAGCCGTAAACAGTTGGGTCAAAGCTACCTATCTCCCAAGGGTTGAACTCGTAGTTGGTCGCGTTTCCAGAGATCAGGATCTCGCCTGGAGCACGGCCGTCCGCTACGAGGATGGGTAGGGGAGTATTGCCTGCGGCGAACTCTGTGTCATTTGCAATGGAGGACCAGGTGTAGGCTGGACCTCCGTCCGTTGCGTTGACAAGCTGGAAAGAAAGCGCACGGCCCCAATAATCGGTCAAAGAGGTGTTGAAGTTGCGTGCCTCCGATTTGGCATTCACAGTGTCGTAAAGATCGTCGTAGTACTGAACGGTAGAGAGAATTTGGATCCCGCCAGATTCCGGTCCTAAAAGCCATTAGCACATCAATCTGGAATACTTCAACACGGGCAAGGGCTGCAGATGATCATACCCTTGAGAATGGAGTTGCTAAATTGCCACAGGTCTCCCGATTGATCTGGGGTCGAGTTGATGAGGTCCTGAACCGAAGTATAGTTGTTGACAAACAAGCTGCCCACGAGCCACCCTCCTCCTGATAGACCGGCTAGATACGTCGCAGATTGTAGCAGACCTCCCAATTGACCAGTGTTGGTAGCGTTAGGCGTCCTGTTGTCGTATGCAGCCAAAGCCCCAGCTCCGTTCATCAGCGCTCGCCATCCTCCACCAGACACCGCGATCGCAACGTTTGGCATCGCAGACGAATTCTTCGCGTGGCTGTCAACGTACGCGCCAGCATCGAATCCGGTGATGTTCATCCGCACGAGAAACTCGCGCATCGAAGACACAGTATTGCTCCTCCTCTTCTCGAGCCATGATGTTTCCTCGTCGGAGAGCCCGTTCGCGAGGCGGATGGTAGGACGCGTGGAGGGACAATCCACTGCCGCGGGTGTGTAGCCGTTTGGTGCATCCGGGGCTGCCCGCTTCCACGCGTTGATGGCGCGGGCTGCTTCGAGGGAGGGCTCCTGGTATATGGCGTTTGCTGGGCATGTCAGCGCTGTGTCGCGTGCGCAAGGAGCTGTCAACGAAGCTTACCCAACGTGCTGTCCGCAAGCGACAAAGCCGTAGCCAACTGCAGCACTAGAGATGAAGTCTTCATGATTGCAAGGTGACACAAAGTGAATTGATGCCAACAGCGGAGGTGGGCGGGTATATAAGATGATACAGCTCCCCAGGGCTGTGCCCATTCCGCCCCCTGTTGGGCTCAGCTCTGACGATGTGGGACTGGTGCGCGAGCACTGTTCCTGGGCGCTGATCGACTACCACTGAAATTATATTTACCGCGATATGTCATCGTTTCAACATGTCGAATTTAGGTGAAGAATGAGAAGGTACAAAGGCATCGAGAAGCCTCCGGTGCTTCCGCTGGAGGGTTGCGTCCGACTGTTCCGAGGCGCTATCAAAGAATACACTCCGCGCCAACGGGTTGTTGACGTATTTTCTGTGGGGCCGCGGCCTAAGGAAGAGCCAAGATCTGGCTAATTCGGCACGGGTGCCGGGAGACGACCCTGCCGATGTGCATCCCCAACCTGGAGTCCTTGGTGTTGAGGAAGAGGGCTGTGTGGTCCTTTCGTTGCCATCCCAGCCGACTTCCGATCTTGGGCCAGCACCACGCTCTTAGAGGCTGAAACATCTCGAGGGAACCACGCCCACGGGTACCCAGTTGGCGAGAAAGCGACCCATCGTGGAACAGCCGGCTAGTCAACTTGTAACCCAGCCCTGGAGCCAAGACCCGTCCCCAGGGATAACAGAAGCTGGGACGACCACAAGAGCTCAGACCATGATGACTGATGCCATCTGGTGTACCACGGTGTGCCGGGATCCATTTCAAGTCGCAAGTGCCGCCTCGCGGTGTATCAAGGCGAGCCGCTACTCCTCATCCGCTTCAAAAAATCAGATACCTAGGGTGACCAACCCTTTTTTCTTTTCTAAGTTGCGTGAACCGCAACTTCGAGTGCGTTCTCGGATCTGGATACGACTGCCCTCGTGTCTTCTAACTCTATTCAGTATCACGGTGCGACTGTTGTCAGCTAGTCTCTTACCGTTGGACTCATGACCCGCATCACATACCGATTCTGGTGATGATATCGGTAGCCTTGGGCAACTCATTCCGTCAGCAACCACTACATTGGCCGGTGGAAGTTTTGCTCAGTTACTGGGCCTCGATCGCACATCGCTCAGCAGCTTGTGACACATGTGAGTCTCGATATTCACATAATTCACAATGTTATCAATGCTTGTTCAACGAGCGTGTTTTGTTTTTGATGTTCTCTCTTGCTTCGTAGCTTCGTCCTTGTTTTTCAATTTAGTCTCCTACGACACCGGTCCCGCCTTTTGCGTGTCCTCCATCCCTCCGACCACTCTCTACCAGTTTCGCATCCCGATATTCCCATTCTTAGGTACTGCCCTTGAAACTTCAGGCTGCTTCGGCATCCTTGGCTTCCTTGTATAGGTGACTGTATGAAGCGCCGGCAAACTCAAGAGCATCCTCAGGCTTGGCGTCACGCTTCGCGGCTTCGGCGTCCTTTGCCTCCTTGTACAGGTGGCTGTATGAAGCGCCAGCGAATTCAAGAGCGTCTTCAGGTTGGGCGTCACGCTTCGCGGCCTCGGCATCCTTCGCTTCCTTGTACAGGTGGCTGTATTGGGCGCCAGCGAACTCGAGGGCGTCCTTAGGGTTGGCATCACGCTTTGCGACTTCAGCGTCCTTCGCTTCCTTGTACAGGTGGCTGTATTGAGCGCCGACGAACTCGAGAGCGTCTTCAGGTTTGGCGTCACGCTTTGCGACTTCGGCGTCTTTTGCTTCCTTGTACAGGTGACTGTATTGAGCGCCGGCGAACTCCAGGGCGTCTTCAGGTTGGGCGTCACGCTTTGCGACTTCGGCATCCTTCGCCTCCTTGTACAGGTGGCTGTATTGGGTGCCGGTGAACTCGAGGGCGTCCTCTACACAAATGGTTAATCCTAAGCTTCTTTTGCATGCTTCTACAGATCTCGGCAAACAAAGAATGACGTACTAGCCACAGGTGCTGCAAAAACAGCAGCAGAGCCGCACAGAACTGCCACGGCGACGGAAGACTTAAAGAGCATATTGAATTATCGTTAACAAATTATTTTGGATAGGTGTGCCTGAGAAAGTGGTGGGAAGCCTCTGCTTTAAGATGACCGCCCGCAATAGAGGTTCTGATGGATTACTCGGCTTCTGACAGATTGAACACAGTTTGCATTACGAACGAAAGACCCATTTACCAGGTTCGGGTCTTTGCTCCGCTCTCGGGTCTTGACTTTGAGAATCCAGCATCCTTCTTTTCCACCGCGTTCTTGTGCAGATGTGGAAGGTAACACAATGCAGTATCGTGAAAGTCCACAAGGATCGCCGAATAAAACCAATCATCATGGGATCCAACTCACGAAACAAGCTCTACTGGTTGATTTAAGCCTTCTAGCCCTTGCTGTCGTCTTCCCCACTGGGAAGGCGAATCGATATACGCCATGTTTTGTCAAAATGCTTCAGATAGGTGTGGAGCTCCAGCAATCCTACTCCTTCCTTTTGCGGCATCAATAATCGGCCCGTGATCAGTTAACAATCGTATTCTCAAATTATACGCGTTGTACTATTCAGAGCTGACGATTTCTAAGCTGACGGCGTCTTCAAAGTAAAGCGATTATGGGGTCTCCGAAGCTTGTTCAACGTTACACGACCGTTCACCTTCCTGGTGCGGGCCGAAATCGCGTGGCGATTTTCATCCGTCGATCTTTTATAGGCAGCTTCCAAATTAGGCTCGTAGAGCAACCATATCCCAAGACTCAATCCAGTTAGATTCCTCCGCCCTAAAAGCCTGGACTAGATACCTAAATTATAGCCCGGTTCATCGTGCTTTACATTATCTCGTCCCCGCACGCGGGATATCCGTGCCGTAAGCCATCGTCGGGAGCCGTAAAGCTTTTCTGAATTTCCGAGTTTGTACTCCTTTCCAACATTATTTTTCTAAGCAGAGATATACACTGTCATTCCCCGCTCCGAAAGCCCAGGTCTCCCTGTCTCTTTCACACCTTCGTCTCCACAACCATGACGCCCACATACTCCCCTCTCAACTCACAAGAGTCCGACAGCGAATCCGCCGCCATGATCTCTTCCTCTTCAGACTTCGAAAAACTCCAATCTCCACAGTTCTCAAATCGGCGGAAGCACTCCATCTCCGCCAACATCGTCCACTGGGCAGCTCACGTGATCAGCGTCCTCATAATCTTCGGCCTAATACTCAACCTTATTTTGAGAGACATCACGAAAGCAGACACAAAGCCAGAGCATAATACCAAAGCACAGGGTGTATGGACACCAGCGGATGACGCATTGGGTGATACAACGCACACAGAAATTTTCCAGAACTCGTTTTGGGAAGACTCGCCGTACAAAGGCCCGCCAACCGAAGAGATCCTCGCAAGATGGCATCACATCACCCATACCGGGCCGTTGAACATCACGAGGGAGGAGATGGAGGGGCTGGAGCTTTCAACGGATGCGGTGCAGTATCCGGAGGAGTTTGGCGGCGTGAGTGCCCAACCTAAGCACTGCTGCCACCACTTCATTCAATATCAATCGTAGGCATTCAAATGAACTTTTACTAACACCTCTACCACTACAGGGCTATGTAGCCTACCTCGAGTCCGCCCACCAACTCCACTGCCTCCAAGCCCTGTGGGAAGACCACCACTGGAACACTAAACCCCACCTCCGCCACCTCTTCCCAGTCCTCGCTACCAAACTCGCTACCGAGCCCGACATCACCGAAGCTCACTTCGAGCACTGCGTCGATGTGCTCCGCAACCGGCTTATGTGCACTGCCGACGCCTCTTTGGTAACCTTCCGGTGGGTCAAGGGAGTTAGCGGCCCGTACCCGTACTTTAACACGAAGCATGAGTGTAGGAGCTATGAGGGGTTGCTGGGGTGGGATCGGGAGAGGAGGCCCGGGGATAAGTTTCCGGATGGGTATCCGTGGCCGAAGCCGGATGGGGTGAGTGAGTTGGAGCGGGCGCCATAGAAAGGGGATGGGGGTGAAGGTGCCACGTGTAGCTGCGAATATGCTGGGGAGTTATGCTCGCCTGTTGTGAGTGAGCTCCGAAGATGTCATACTTGAGTGGATGTACGGTTTTGCGATTTAGCGTAACGATAGGTTTTTTGGGATGAGTTCTGGGAATGGAAAGAATATTTCTGATTCTGAGTTTTGCCCTTGAGGATCGGATCGTCTTTTCGGAGACTATTGCATTACGAAGTCTTGATTAGTTATTCAGCTGCTCAGCCACCAGATCTCTTGGTTTCCGGATTTTGGAGCGATTGGAAGTTTAGATATGGAGTCCAAGGAAGAATAGAACTGAATTGGACGCTTGTGCGCAGATCACAAAGCTTTCAATTCTTGCACACTGGCCAAATGTTCTTCGAGTTGGAATCCTTAGACAACATGATAAGTTGGTTTCCAGAAGTGTTTGATCACGTGCGCAGGTGATGGGGGCTAGTCCAATTGAGTCGTTAGGGTAAAACGACGCGTAGCGATTCAAGCGTCAAACCTCACCTCATCTCTCAACGACAATTGATGGGAACCCCCTCAGCAAACCACCACTGCGGTAAGTAAAATCTCTATCTTTTCTTCAATGCAGCCCAACTCTTGGGTACAAAAGTAGATTCTAATGTGTCGCAGTGATACTCGTCCGAGATGTCGCTCAAGCGCAAAAGACAGGGCAGTGACAGCGATGCGATCGTGCACGGCAACCGAACCGCTCGAATTTCCCCCGATGATCCTCTACAGCAGATCGCAGCTGCTTCCACCGCTACCAATGCCTGTCTTGCCAATCTGCCAATAGAGATGATTGGAGAGATCGCTTCGTGGCTGTCAAGTCCGCGAGACGCTGCGGCCCTTTCCCTGACTGGGAAGCTGTTTAATAAAGAGATGGAGCGACGCATATACAACAGCATTTCCCTCCCAATCATCGATCTCGATGACACACACTGGGCGCTGCTGTTGCGGACATTTGCATCGCGACCAGACCTGGCCGCAAGAGTTCAGAAACTCGAGCTTGAGATTCACTATTGCACATACACCAGTTGTCCAGGCCGATGCCTACCTTCATACATGCCGGCTACTGGGTTTTCATCAATCGAAGACGACACACTTGTAATCAAGTATCCTCCCGGCGACTCGACCCGAGTGAGCTCTCAGGAACTCCAGTCACTCTACGCCGGCAAATTTTGTCCAGCGGCACAAGTTCTCACTCTAGCCAATTTGACGCCGAAGCTGAAGCACCTCAGTGTAGCTATAGATGACAGTAACCAAAGATTACAGAGTATATTTTTTATGCGTTCCATGAGGGAACCAACGGCCGAGTGCTGGCAAAGGCTCTTCCGCTCAGTACGACCGAGTCTATCGTACTTGGAAAGTCTCAGCATTACAGGTATCGGAGGTCTCGACGGAGGAATAGGAGTACGGTACAAACACGACTTCAACGACTTGTCATTCTTCTGGAATATGCCATCGTTGAAGACCTTGCGCGCAGATGGCTGCGACCCATATTGTCGTCTGGAGATGGATAAGTTCAAGCCTCAAACATCTTCGATTACGAAGTTGGTGTTGCACCAAACTTCCGTAAACCTACTTCAGCTCTCAACGCTAATCCTTTCGTGTCAAACCCTCAGATCTTTCACACTATGTCTGAACACTTGGGTGATGCGTCAGCCCCTTCATCGATGGCGAGAGATCATACAAGTTCTAGAGCCAGCAAAAGATGCCCTAGAATACCTCAGCCTGGGATGGAGCCTAGAAGACATTGATGGTGATGATACAGTTGAAATGTGTCTATTACGTGTGCTGCCAATCAAGTCCCTCAAGCACTTCAGCTCTTTAGCTCATGTTCGACTTCCGTTCAGGGCATTGTTCGTAGAAGAACATGACGAGGATGATGAAGAAGGGCCTCCATATTCTGTGTATCCGGCGCCTCTAGAAGACATTCTTCCGCCATCCCTGTCTATTCTAGAATTGAATGTGGAGGACTCTGAAAGAAGGACCACGTACGAGGTTGCTTCCGAAAGCTTTGAGCGCCTCCGGCAATGCGCGCACGACAAATTGCCGAAGCTGACTAAAGTCGCTGCGGTGGGTAGAAATGCGTGTACATCTGAACCAACCGATCGCGAGAAAGATCTCGTGACTTTTTTCAAAGAGATAGGGGTCGAATTGGACTGGAATTCTGGTTACGGTGTTGATTGGCATCGCTTTGGCCACGATTTCAAGATTGGAAACTCCGAAGGCATATTGCTTCCAGATTATATCTCGAGTCCGATTTTGATTTCGGATTCAGATTCCGAAGAATACAACTGGTAAAAATGGACTTTCTTTCGGATTCCGTCCTTGAACGAACCCGTATGTACGTCTCGGCGTTTCGGGTGTTTCTACGGCCTTTAGCTAACGAATCTCTTCTTCTTTCCGCCTAGGTTCTTTCGGGAATTTGTTTCCATTAAGTTTCTCTCGGTTTGAAGCCAGTCGACAGTACCTGTTTCGGTAATGATACTTTGGTGAGCTAGACTATACAATCACAAAGCTTAGTCAAGAATCTACCTCGCGCAATGAGGGTTCTCGTACAATCTCTATCCTTCAAGTGGTTGATACTAGAGTTGATGAGCTCGTTTTGAGTTACACACCATCACTCTGCCGTTCTAAATGGAAGCGACGCAATGCATGATCTTCATTCGCGTAGACGGCTCCCGGTTAAGGTCGAAAAGCGGGCGCAAACCCACCTCCCACGTGAAGGCGTCTCATTGAACATTCGCCCGAACCTGATTTGCAGACTGCTGTCACGGTGCGGAGTTTAATTACTAATGGCTTCCAGTGGTATGTCCGCGAGTTCAGCGAAAGCATTGACGCCGTTTTATTACTCCATCTAACTATTCGGCCGAAACCTCGGTTGAAAGCACTATATAGAACAGCTCGCGTCTGGGAATGACCAACTCCAACTCCAGCCTCCGAAGTAGCTCTGGGTCTCTACCTCATTGTATCAAAATCATTATAGACGTCTGTGTTCAAGCTCAAGTCTACTCTTTGTATCTCAAAAGTTTCAAGCAGCCGACGCAAGACCCACAGTGTCTATCCAGAGAAAATGGTCAAGATTGCTATTGCAGGTGGCTCCGGCAGTATGTTCTCCACCGTTATGCTCCAATCTGGAGTGTTACTAATGCCTCGGCAGACGTTGCACAAGAGATCATTGATGTCCTCGTTGCTAGCAAGAAGCACGAGATTTTGCTTCTATCTAGAAATGTTCGCATATTGTCCACGCATGTATCAATTGCTAGTTCATCGCAGCTAATCGGCTCGCACAGGATGCTCCGGCCGGCTCGGTCGTCAAGGGTGTAACATGGATCAAGGCAAACTACGAAGACCCCGAGCAGTTGGCGCAAATTCTGCAGGGAGTGCACACTGTGCTCTCATTCGTAGCCATTTCGGGGGATGCAGCGAGCACCATCCAAAGGAACCTCATCGATGCCGCAATCCTAGCTGGTGTGAAGCGCTTTGCACCCAGCGAGTGGTCCACGTAGGCAGTCCTTATCCCTCATGCTGTATCCGTCACTGACCTCTTGCAGGTCCGGCCTTAAGCACCTCAGCTGGTACGCGTACAAAGCTGAAGCTCGCCAATACCTCAAAGAGCTGAACAAGGACAAGAAGGTAAGTTTCGAGGCGCTCCGAGATAAGCTGAAGTTCTAACACAAGACCTCACTGATAGGTTCTCGAATACAGCCTCTTCCAACCAGGCTTATTCCTCAATTACTTTACAAGCCCCTATAAGTCGTCCAAACACCTCCACGCAATGGAGATCCCTTTCGACTTCAACAACCGCCGAGCTCTTGTGCTGGATGGCGGCGATGACGACCGTATCACTATCACCACCGTGCAGGATCTCGCCAATGTAGTCGCGAAAGCGATCGACTTTGAAGGCGAGTGGCCTGTTGTCAGTGGCATCAGAGGCGTCGACATGTCCGTTAGAGAAGTCATTGCTCTGGGAGAGAAAATCCGCGGTGCGTGCGCCTCCATCAACTTATCGATCTTGGATATGTGCTGACATTGAGCGAACTAGGCGCACCTTTTGCAATTGAGAAATTGAAAACCAGTGAGCTCGAAAGCGGGGAGTGGAAGACGTCGTGGATTCCGAGGCTCGACCACCCTTCCATCCCAGTCGAGCAGGTTGACATATTCTCGAGGATCATTGTCGCTGGGGTTTTGTTGGCTATCTCGGCCAAGGGCTACACTTGCTCGGACGAGTGGAATCAGTTGCTGCCAGACTACAAGTTTACGAATCCCGAAGAGTTTTTCACCGAGGCTTGGCGTGGTAAGCAGTAGATAGGAAATTTAACGTCTCTTGGGCGGTAAGAGAGATAGTAAGGGGAGCGGAGAGGCGTGGGAGGCTTGCTTTTTGCTGTTCCGGATCTGCGAAGTAGCTCGAATGTAAAAGTTGTCAGAGAATAAGAGTTGCCCTGAATACCTTTACAGGTTCTGGCTATGACATAGTAACTAGTGTGGCAGCTAATTTTCTAACCTCTACATCTCTTCTATCCTAGATGGTGGCTGCTCGCCTTTGGCCATCACAGGAACGACCTGCTAGTGATGTTTGATGCGACATGTCGTATCCGCCGGGGAGGGATGCATTCCGGACTTTCTGACCGGGGATGAATGATGCTCCCTTGTCGTCACCAAGTAGGGGCATCTCCCCAACCTTCACGTCATCGAACTCTTGGATTCGCAGTTGCGACGTTATGGTTGCCATCTTCATGCAGACCCCCAGTGATTGGTAAGTGTCGAATGTGCAATTGCCTGTCGAGCAGGTCGCTCCAAGCGGTTCGATTGGCCTCAAGAAGTTACTTCCGTCCTCTGCGGTCGCCATCAACAGCGCTTTGCGTGTTCCCGTGTCCAATTTATCTTTCGGCGCGATGATCGTACGGATGGCTGAAGCTTTGCCTCTTCCGACGCGGCTAGCACGTCTCGTAAGGGGTAACTGATAGCTAGCTGTGTGATGGGGGAGGTTAAAAAACTCAAGACCATAAGGATAGCCCTGAGCGCACCGAAATGCCGGAAGCGAATCCGCCATACGAAGTAGCAGAATCAAAGAGCCCCAGGCTCCTCTACTCGCCTGGTCAAAGACATGGAAGTCATAGAACGGCCTTTCTCGGCTGAACCAGGTCCATTGCGCTTGACTAATAGCTGAAGAGACGGGAAGCATAAAAGCTGCTTTTCCTAGTGTAGTAAAGAAGGCGACCAAAGTATTAAGCGTGATTCGTAAAGGCCATTCCGGCAAGCTCTGTTGGTCGAATCGAGCGAGTATGACAACAATCACATGTTATATACTTTAGGATGTTACGCAGCCTGGACTAGTCCCTATTTTAGTTCTTCGTAATGGTTCGCCCTTTAGAATGGTACAGATATCGTACTAATCCCTATGCCGCAACTTTGTAATGGTACCCTCTTGTAATAGCCCTATTCTGCCAAATTGTACTGGTATGCGAATCGTACCAATCCCTTAATGCTAGCTTTGGCATGGTATGCATCTCGTATTAGCCCTAATTCTGCCAAATTCGTACTAATCCCCATGGCGCCAGCTTTGGAACGGTACGGTATCTTATATGTCATACTCTGATGTGGTGAGGGTCCAGGCCAGGATAGTGTTCTAAAGTCGAGTTCTACTTATCTAAATGTTTGGGACACGTAATTATTATTATATTCAGATAAATTTAGTCAAATTTAGCTTCAATAGAGAGCTCATATTAAGGAATATAATTAATGAGATTTCTAGCAAATTCTAATTAGTGGTTGCAAAGCTATCTTGATATTTGCAACCGAATTTTTCCCAGTTGTGATGAGCTCCCCTAACAAATCTGTCGGAAATCTCTCAGACGTTCTTTCCACGCGGCAGCCCAATTCGGCTATTCCGCCTCAGGCGGCCTAAAGCTTGCCAACAAAAGAACGTCTGAGATATCCTGGGTACTCATACCCCTATCTTCCCAATACTCCACCCACGGTCCCACAACCACCCTTTCAAACCCCTCGCTCAGAAATTCGGGCATTGGGTCATCTATCATTGGACAGCACCCGGTGGAGTATAACATGTCGATCCTGAGTACGGCTTCTTGACTTCTTCCGTCCTCCTTTTGTGCACCGCCTCCACTACTGCCTTCCCTGCTCCTAATGCCTGCAAAGTCCTGTTCCTCTGGTTCATCCTCCGGCATATGGAAGCCAATCGTGATACTATTAGGTCTTCCCATAAACTCCGAACACACAGCCTCCTCAACATAGTCGTACAACACTCCCATCCTCAGTCCATCATCATGCAAATCCTCCTCTTGAAGATCCGCCTTTCTCCCCTTATAACGGAATGCAAGTTCCCTCTTATGATACTTGAGATGATTTTCTCCAGGGTGTCGCTCTTCAAGCTCTCCACTTCCATTTATAACCTCACTACCTGGACTCATCTGCCTCGCGATCTTCACCAACGCCGCCGACGTACACGCCTCGCCTTCCCTCGGCAAGTCCACAACCGCCACCTCCATGCTCTCCCCCCTCCTCCGAACCTCAATCTTCCGCACCTCAATCTTCCGAACCGGCGGACTGGAGACGAACATCCGGCGCCAACTCGCTCCTTTCCGCTTAAACGCCTCCCTCCTCTGCAACCAAGGCAGCATTATAAACATCTGTTCTGAGCTCTTCTCATAGAGACCAATAGGCCGTTTCGCTTCCTGAGCATTCAGGAGGTCAGGTGGTAGGGGCGTGAGCCAGCCGGGAAATGCGGTGGTGAGGAGGGGGTTGAGTGTCAATGCTGGAGAAGTAGTGTTGGGAAGGGAATTTGATATTGAGGATGGTGGGGGTATGCGGAAGAAGAGGTCTGATTGCAGAAGGGGGGACGCGGAGATAAGAGTGTGGAAGAGGCGATTAGTGAGTTGGGCGTAGAGGAGAGATGGTGGAGGAAGTTGGTGCAGGATGGTCTCGAGGAGCTCGGGGGTGCTGAGGACCGCAGTTGAGGCGGTGGTGGTGGGGAGGTCCATGATGGTGATGAGTTATCTTGACTGTGAAACTTTGGGTGGGTTAGAGGCTGCATTTATATATTTTGGCTTCGAGAAAGCCGGTGAGGAGGTTGCTGGTGCCTAGATTTGACCTAGCATGCATGTGTGGCGGACTTTCAAAACCCCTGGGGGTTGCTGGGTGCGCCAATCATTGCGCTGCTGTATACATCCAGGAGAGAAGGACCGCCTAGAACTAAACCTGAGGGGGTGTTCCCTTGAACATCTTTACAGATAAATGCAGGTTTCTGGTAAATACCCCTCCGAAAATGGACGTTTGTAACGCCGTTTTATGGGGGCCTTTTCCCGCCATGCCAAGAGCAAAGCCCCGGCATCGCGTAAGCGCACCAAAGGCCATGTAACGCCGTGGTGCTAGCTTCACCCCTGCACTACCAAGAGATTGAGATTGAGAAGACACCTGATCTTCTCAACTGCCAGCTACTTATACGCTTGCAAGAGCCGGCTAGCACGCACCTCCGTGCGCCCAGCCTCGTGCCCGCTCCGCGAGTCGTGATAAGTTATGAGTTACTAGAGGAGAAGGGAATGCGAGGATTTACCTTAATTATCTATATAGAAGGGGGCGGAGGCCCCTGTGTTCGCAGGTAAGTACCTAAGGAGAGGAGAAGATGATGATGATGATTCTGATGGCGATGCCGCCGCATCACCGCTTATAGAGTCCGTCGCCGTTCGTCATGTGACCGGAGCTGAGCCTAACCCCGTGACCCTGCTATTAGCTGATGGCCACCGCTCACCCCACCATAATACTAGTAATAATGGACCACTAAGGCCTTTACAGGAAGAGGATTTATAACCTTTGCTTTTGCTTTTGTACAAGTATAAAGTGTTGGCATTTAGGAAGTGACGACAGGTGGCTCGATCGCGTGGCTTAAGTTTGGGGCTTATGTTAGCCATACTAGTTGATCCATGTCGTTAATGAGAGGGCCCAATCCGATTGGCTATTTACGATCGGTGTTTGAGCCCGTTTGGGCTCGTCTTCCCTTGTACTTGGGCAATTATCCGCAATTTCGTAATGGTATATTGTGAGGAGCCCGTTTGGACTCTTCGTACAGGGGCTATTGTCCGCAATTTCGTAATAGGACATTGTGAGGAGCCCGTTTGGGTTCCTCTTCAATTTTCGTACTGGTAGACTCTTAGTAATGGTACGAATCATGCCATTTTGTAATGGTTCGCCTTCGTAATGGTATAAACTGTTGAATGTCACGGTTAATGGTGGCTGAAACGATGTGACAAGGGGTGAGAATGGATACATATATGAGGCACCCCGCCCATCCATAGCCAGACAATGAAAAAGCAGACACAATCACTTGCTCAACATAAACTTTGGAATGGTACGCCCTTCGGAACGGTACAGATATCGTACTAATCCCTGTTGAGCAAGTGATTGTGTCTGTTTTTTTCATTGTCTGGCTATGGATGGGCGGGGTGCCTCATATATGTATCCATTCTCACCCCTTGTCACA